TAAGTGGTCTCACATATTTAGGCCGAATACTGGCCGGCTCTTAGTTATGCTGCTGTAGGTTTAGACTTTGAGCACCTTTCCCTCCTTCTCCATCATTTTTCTGTCCGTATCAGTAACTTTGAATCATCATTTCCCATTAGAGTCATTAAAACAGTCTTTTTTTGGGAGTCTCTGAGCTCCATCATGCTGTAGGTATCTCTGGATTGCTGCTGCAAATGTTTTGCTGCCTACTGTCTAGCTGCTTCAACTACATGCATCAGTCTTAACCTTGTCCATCTTCCTCATCTTCATCTCCCTCTGTCTAACCTAACCCCCCAAAAAATAAAATAAAAAAACATGGGAATTTTTTAAATTTTGTATTTATTTATTTATTTTTGGGAGGGGGTTATTAACTCCTGTCCTGTTTACGTATGGGAAATATGAATTTATTTTCATAATATATTTATTTTCATCAAATACTGTTGCTTAGAAGCAGCAATCACTAATAATATGTTCTGTAATTTTTTTCCATATATGTATTTTTTCGTGATATCATTTTAAGGCTATATCGCCCACCACTAATCTCCAGTGTAACTGGTTGAAGATGGGATGGGAGTGGGTCAGATCTTACATGACAGGGCTCTCATCTTTTCATCAGGTCTTTGTAAACAGCTTTTTTGGTAAGATGTTAGGGACTGGGGCTGTATCAATAAAAATATATATATTGATTGATTGATTGATTGATTGATTGATTGATTGATTGATTGATTGATTGATTGATTGATTGCCCACAGCTAAGCCCTACCCACCAAGAGTTGAAAAATGAGTCTTCTCACACTAAAACTGAATAACTAAAAAAATTAAGTACATAGGACAAACCTGTGAAGAGAACAAGAAGAAATGAGCCTGCCGAGTCAATTCTCATCATCACTCCACTCTTAGTAAACAACTAGTTTAAAGTATTTTTCATAATGACATTCAATCTGAGGAAATTGCAGACATTATTTTGGATGATGGTTATTTCCCAGACCTCTGACTGCGTCCATTCTTCAGAGGAGGATGTCAAACTCTGCACCCGTGTACACGCTGACTGTCACGGCTGCTGTTTAGAGAGATTCTGGAACAATAATGGCGCCGAGAGCCGGTTAATAACATCTCTGGATGCGGTGCCAGGGGCCCAGCTGACCCTTGGCAGTGTCCCCGGGTTTCCATCCACTGCCCAGAACAAACAGCAGAGATCATGTTATTTATAGTTCTAGTCAACAAGTACAGTTAGACGGGTCAGCTGAGGGGCGTCCCTGTGACTCGGTGGGATAAGGCGCCTGTTGTACTGTCCGTGGCATGCTGCAAAAGCATGAAAGTTATATTTACAGTTATTTAAAGCTTCTCTGAGGAACTATTTGATATCCTTGTTTATCTTGTCTCTTTCTACGTGCTCGACTCTGAACCAAAAATGCCCTCCAGTTGACATTTGAGAGAAAAATGATTACTCGCACAAGTTTGAAGCATTAAAGTTGGGATATAAAAATCATCAGTCCTGCAGCTGACGATCTTGATTGCTTTTAAATATCATAAAGAGGCATCACTGTGAAGCTAAAACTTTTCCATACATGTCAAATAAACTCTTTAAATCAGCCCGACTTTTATGTTCATTTAACATCATTTTTTAAAACTAGTTTCAATCAGATGCATATATATGTAGATCTGCCCACTTGCTCTACAGAAAGTAAAGCATAGCTGACTGTGTGCTAATGTCAGGGTTTAACATGCAAATGAGGATGAACTCTGGGAGAAAATAACAAGATGAAAATCCATCAAGATAATCCGCTGACAGACATTTCTGCTTGTTAAATCGAAATACAATGAAGTTGAGTGTCTCAGCGAAATACCCAGAGACTGTCTATAGAATGGACAGCGTCTGCGTCTGACTCTCCCGCCGAATGCGTACAACGCTACAACGCAATGCTGGTTTCAGGAAATGAAGAAAAATCGGGAAAATACTGAGAGCTTATTGGCTTCAAATCCGTATACAGGCAGGAGGCGGAACCAAGTTGTCCATCGTTCAGTCTATGGAAATACCACACTGGTACCTGAACGTAACATAAGATCGCACATTTATTAATAGCTGATGGAGATTCGACGGTTTAACAGCTGATTCTTTGGTACCTGATATATTGACATAACAGGACGTATAAATCTGGCTGACATTGACCTCCTTCATTAACATTTGGTTTCGGCTCTTCCTCTAATTGACTCCGATCCAGGGCATCGAGGTCAACGGCCTGAAGTCCAGCATACTGTGGCATTTGACTCTTTTGGTATTTATGCACCTCTTGGCTCTCTTGAATTTCCTCAGCTGTCGTTTTCTTCGACCCGTTGCCTTTCACACTTTGCCGATACGATCGGATTTGTGTGAGCTGCAAAAATAAGGGTGTGAAAAGGAATAAAAGCAGCATTAAGTGCCAGACTGCTGATGCTCGGATGACAACTTCTACACAATGAAGGATGCAGTTCGCTGAGACGAGATATCAGTAACCACTCGATAAAGCTTGTTCTGTGGATTATTCAAAGTCATAATAAGACATTCTTTTCAAGTTTTCTGGCTCTTTTGCTCTGATACTGCATCATAAAACAAAATACATTGCAGAGGAGTGTGTAACCTGAGCATATAAGTGGTTTTGAAGTAGTTTGTACCATCTTTGAAAAAGGAAATCGCAAACTAAACTCACTGGCATTACCTTAACTTTCAACCTGTTAGTTCTCTGACATGAGCGAGAAATGTCTCGTCTTTGTTTGCAGAGCTGATTTATACTCTAAACTCTTTTTTATAAATTCAAAGCTCTACATTGGATCACCTGTAAGTCCAACAAAGGAAGAGCTGAATAAAGAGCTTCAGGCCTCTCTGTTGTTTTATGATGGGGGCTCTTTTTCTGTCCTTTTGGGCCACAGTGAACTTAAATGAAGAATATGTTGTTTTCTGTGAGAGGACATCATCTCTGTTTGAATAAAGCAGGAGGGATGACAAAAAAAAAAAAAATTAGCAGACTCTAGTGATGTTGTCGCATGACGACAGCTGAAAGTAGCTGTCGTCCAATGATAATTCAGTGATCAAAAATGACATTTTAACCTAAAATATGGATATACACCACCCAAATTTTGTATATTCATTGATTTTTTTTAGTGGTTGATTGGTCTTAAAATGGTAAAATAAAATTGATGAGTCAGATTTTCTTGATTTCGGTATTTATTGAAAATTATTGGTTATCATTTTGAACCGTGAATCACATCCTAACCAAAAAAGTTGGAAAAATAACAAACACTTGCACGTATAACTTAGGCAATGAAAAGTATCAATGAAAAAGTATGATTAGACTAATAAAGATAAAAGCAGGTTTAATGCTGTCTTTAGTGGTCGGGGGTGTCGAAATGAGTCATTTTCAATTTCTCTCAGTAACAGGATAACTGTGCGTAACAGTGTGCTGTGCATTATATTTGTGTGTTGGTCCCCTGCAGAGCTGACATGCAGACAGCAGAATAAAGAAATAAAATAAATAAATAAAGATAAAATAAATAATAAATAAAGAGCGGCAGACAAACACACAAAGGTATAATCTCTGCATAGTTTATTTTTAATAACAGAAACAATGTGATGCCAACATGTACTCACACAAAGCTTTCTGAGTTATTCGCCCACATTTGGAGCCTGCTCCATGCCCCACTGTTCGATACCCTGCGTAGATTCTTGTTTAACAAAAGGCAGTATTAAATCGGATTATCTGTGTTACATTTGCTAAACTCAAACACAGCATTAAAGCATCTAAAGTCTTGCATCAGATGACATACAATACTTGCACATGCGCAAATATTTACACCTTAACACGCAGTGGTTATAAACACTGAACCACACTCAGTCATCTGCGTATCAGACAACACACAGATAAAGTGATAGGTTTTCTATAGTGTGTACTGCAGCATTTAGAGGGAGGGACACAGTTCAAGAGAGGGGGCCACTTCCTGTCCTGCTGCATCGGAAATACCAGACCCCAAACCTCTGAGGCTAGCTTCAGATTAAACAGCAGACACACACACACACACACACGCACACACGAGGACAAACACGTATACGCCCCAGAGCCCACACGCAAGCAGCAGTGTAGATGCAGCGATGCTAAACTTGTGAGAGTAAACACAACATGTCACATCCCCACATACTGGAGCTGCCTTACTTAAAACACCAAAACACACACACACACACACACACACTCACAAACTCACATACACATCCACACAAAAACCCTCCCATCCGCTGAGAGTATTGTTGGATTCTTCCCCCTCTGACGCCTGTGAGGCATTTGCTTGGGAAAAGGAAACGCATTCTTGTGTAACCTTTATACAGAAAGAGCTGCAAGAGAGCGAACAAGCGAGAGACACACACACATACAGAGAGAGCTTCAGTTAGCAGAACCAGAGGTCAGGCCCTGAGCTCTGCTTTAATCCGCATTTCTACAGCCAACACGTTGTCAGCTCCAGAAACTGAAGGCCTTACCAGCTTAGTGATGTTCATGGTTTAACTGCTCACACATAAATAAATACATGAATAAATCAAAGAGTACTTTAAAAACGTTAAGAGCTCATGTATACAGATGTTTTTAAAAACTGATCTTTAAATGTGAACATGATATTCATTCATATGGAGTCCTCAACATTTTTATCTTGCAAGTTAAAACTATTAATGATAACATAATTGTTTGCTGCCTCCACCTTTAAGAGGGAATTAGTCAAAAATAAGATCCTGAAAAAGTAGTTTTGCAAAATACTGAAAATTTAGGGGTGGGGCTTAATGGCTACAAATTTCCATTTAGTTGGAAACTCCCAGGTTTCTATGTTTAAACTGGTGGGATTTATTTCCATCTGTACTTTTAAAAAACCACCACATATAAATCCAGGATGTAATTTAACCATTTACACAGTTGCTGCTCTGAAGGGGAATCATCCAATCAAATTCAAGGAAATTTGGGGGCGGGGCTTGCAGTGCTTCACTTTTCATATCATTCTCTATTGCTTGTTTCATTGGACGCCATTATTAGTCATTGATGGAGAAATATGTGTAAAAAAAATAAAAGGTCATAGAAAAGATGATGTATTAAAAGTTGGGAAATGTGGCATTCTTTACCAGAGGTCATTATCTGACTGGAAAACACCATTTTAATGGTGGACATTGGTCGGGTATATGGTTTATTAAAATCAGGATCAGTTTTTCCTTGGATTATTTCTTGTATTTGGGTGAAAACAAAGAGGTCCTGCCACAAGTTCCTCAAAAGGTGAGATAGGAAACTGCAGGGAGCTTATTCTCTCGACGTCCCGTATCTTTCCCCAAATGATGACAGTATGAAGACTAATGATGCCTCTTGTTGTGTTCCCGATAGCTCCTGCAGGAACGAGGATAGGGTCAGGTTATTTCACATGCACGTTAAAACACATTTAATGCTTCGAAATGGAGCAATAAAACTTTAGAAATTGTCAGATCCTCGACTTTGTTGGTGTAATTTAGAAACAACATGAGTTATACTGTACGTGGATAAGTCTTGACCTCATTGTCGTTGATGTTTCTACAAGATTTCTCCCCTTTCTTTCTTCTTCTCCACTTTCTCTGTAGCTCTCAACAGACTGTGGAAAAGTCCATTAGTTGTTTACATACTCCCACTTTCTCCTCCACTTGTGAATTAATGTTGCGAATCAGACTGAGCGCTCTCCTCTCCTCTCCTCTGAGGGAGTTACTCACATTTAAAATCCCATAATCAAACACCTACGTGTTAAATGGAAAGCCATTAACACTAATGGTATACCTTGGACTGAGCCAAGATGAAACCTTGAAGAACTTAAGACTATCAGGGCGCCAGAAGGACTTTATCCTTCACATGTTGAGTCACTCACTCAGTCAGATATCAGTCATTTCTTCGAAAATGGGTGTTTTTCAAATCTCTCAACCTCTCTGTGGTTATCAGAAGGTCAGAGATCTGAGCTAGTGGAAGTTTTAAATCTGGAAAAGCAGGAAAACTCTTTATAGTTTTTATCTTCTGAGGGGTAGTAAGTGTCTCCTGAGTGAAGACAACACTGATTTGTTTTATGAGTTTGTTTAAAGACGTCACATGGCGGACAGTCTGGCTCCTGATTGCTGCCTTTGGAGTTTGACATTTTGTTGAAGTAATTTCTGGGTTTTCAAAAATGATGGACAGAAAAGGGAGTTTCAAAAAGCTAAAAGACTATTTCTATTTGACTGCTTCTATTGTCCAAAATGTTGAAGTCCTGACGGCTAAATAAGATCATTCTCAGAGGGCAAATTGTGAGTGTAATGATTATCCTCAACGCCCTGGTCCACCATGTTTCTACAGCAGACCACGACAGAGAAACAGAAGAACCGGACAGGTTTTTTGTATTTGGTGGGCGATTGTCGAAATCATACATGTTGGCGTCTGAAGAAGTAGGTTGAGGTTGTTCTTGACAGACATTTAAAAGGAGCAGTGTACCCATCATGCACCACGGGAGACTCTTGTCTTGGAAGGCTACAGCAGAGGTGATTTTGCCACAACCTAAATTACAGTTAAATATCACCATTTACAATTGAAGTATAGACATATGTAAGGCAGATGCCACCACTTTCAACACTGTTGTTACATCGGCTATAGTCTAATAAGGGGATGTCCTCTCCAGCTCTGCTGTCGTTGCACGGATTGCAGGACAGAATATTGCTCCACTTCTCCTTAGAGTCGAGTAGCTCTTCAGACTCAGATCTGTGCCTGCTGACTGACATTATTTCACGACTATTAAGACGAGCCTGAGATGTTGATAGTTTTTTGGTCACAGTGTCAACAGGCAGAGGTGAAGTGTGGGGATTAAACTGACATGTGAGATCGGTTTCTCTTCTTGCTGTTGAGACATTTGCGATGGTAAGCCATCGGTTTCAGGTTACCCTGTCCGTACATAGCCTGATGTAGACCTCCTCAATTGATAATTAGCTATAACCCTCAAATTATACACCCAGATCTCTTCACCATGGTTTATAAACATTATGATCAATATATCAGAAATTGAGATTGTATTACCATGCGTAGATTGGAATGGCCACAGAAATAACATGCTTATTTTCCTAGTTCATAGTTCTGATTGTGTATCATAACAGCACTAATTGGGGTATTTTGAGTACCAACAAACCAGTTTAACTCATTTTTATATGTTTTTTAGCGTTTGGGATATTTTTGGTCCTGAAATTCTTCAGTATCTTCAGTCTGATGGAAATCTGTGGTCACTGTGGTTCACTCTGGGCTCCATCATTTCCTTTCAAGGAATTTCAACGACATTCATATCCGACAGATTTTATCTCCCAATTTGACTGGCCTGCCCATGACTTCTCCCGTGTCTCACACTCAAAGCTATTTCACTCTCCTCAGACAGGCGCTCATGTGTCTGAAGAGTAATCCTGAGGTTATTTTTAGGACGCCCTCACCCCCTCCCCCTGCTGTTCAGATGGTCCAGCCGGGCCAGAGGAAGGGGAGTGGTAGGGGAAAGGGGAAATCTTCAACAATGACTTCATTAACATGATGCCCAACATGACCAGAACGACTGGACTTTGCTGCTGCATTGCCACACTGGATTTATGACTTTCTCTGTGGATTTAATTCTTCAAATATCTCTTGATCCGTTGTCGGTTTTGGGGTTAAAATGGAAGTTTGCTGAAGTTTCCTCAGTTCAAATCGAAAGCATGTTGATCACAAGTGAGTATGTGTTAATATACAGCTTATATGTAGTGTTATGTTACAGACAGGGGTATAATAAGAGTCTGAGCTCCTCTATTCTGCCTGTTTTCTTTCTGAAGACAATTGACAATTACTGCTTGATGACATCCATTAAGGAGATGATTGCTTAATTAGCTTAACGATGGCATTTAATGAGGACCTGATAGAGCTTTGATTAGATGGAAAGTGGCTCCTGGGCCACTTATAAAAGTCCCTTCAGCTGTTTGTTGAATCAACTGAAGGAAGATTTGACATAAGCAGGTACATAAAAGACTGTAGCCATGATTTGCCACCAGTTAAAAACACATTTTGGAGTCCAAACTTTTATGTTCTCTAAGTTTTATTGCAGTAGGACAGAGCTGTTTTTGAGTCATGAAACCCAAGAGGAATTCAAAGCACTCCATTATCCACTGAAAGATCATTGTCGTTCGAAGGCCGTGGGCCTGAAAACATCACGAGCGAAGTTTTGAACTCTGGTGGAATAAAAGCTTTTTCTTTAGCAGGAAGAGCGTAGGAATCTCAATGAATGTGTGTGGGTTACTTTGATAACCTGCTTAAGAAAACTGCAAGTAGTTCAGTTTCATAGTCTGAATTTGGATCTTAAAACTTTGAGAAAAGAAATCAAACGTTTTTATCAAAAAGTTCAAAAGTTTATTCTCAAATCTTTGACCTAAACTCGCTTCGAATTTCATTTTTGTCCTCTGGCTTTAAGCTTTTCCTCCTTTGAACCCACAATGACTTACAACTACAAATTTTTCACATCCTATTAATATTGTAAGTTATGTCTTCAAAAACCTTAAATCAGTAACGTCTCTTTAGGAGTAAGAAAATGGAGCAATTCGTAATGTGAGAGCTGAAACAAAAGACAACTGATTACTTGATTTGATTTTTTAATTTATACTGGGAAACAGGGAAATCAGTTTGTTGGAAGCTCTTAAAAAGGACTTAAGATTTCAAACTAAACCATAAAAGTCTCAATTCCAGCCACAAAACAAGCAATAGCCTGCTTTGAGAAGCGTAGTATAAATCACGATGACTAGCTTCGTCTAAGACTTCACTGTGAAAGTCTTTTTATATTTGGCATCTGGAGCAAATCTAAGCTATTATGACTTAGAGTCCAAATTTAACCAAATCTTCCCATATCTGTAACAAGCTTTAGTAATAAGCTACAGTAACTCATTAGCCTAGCCGCTTAAATCATGCTAACACCCCATTGGCTCATATTTTGTTAGCGAATGTAACTTGAGTTTTACAAGTTAGCAAAAGAAAACAAAATGGTCTATTTGAAGTAAAACATACTAACAACTGTTTCCAACAAAAGTATATGTGAAACACGCAGGAAGTAGGCTTTTAGTTTCATTTTAAAAAATAGTTTGTATATGTGTGACAGAAGTAAAAGGAAGGATTTTGATTGTAATTTCCACATCGGTTACAACAGTCTCCCGCTTCAATTTTTTACAATAATTTTTATACCTTGAACCCAAAATATGGAGCTTGAATAAAAAAAATGTCTCCTTTGTCACAAACTAGACAGTATAAAACATGAACAAAGTCTCAGTGACGCCCCCTACTGGTTTCATCAGTGGGGTTTGGAGGTGTCCAGGTGGAAAGTGCTGACTCAGCCTATCTTTCAGTTGACCTAGCAAAAGGTAAAGAGGCGAAGTCAAGACGGGCCTATCGCCTCCTCACTAACAGCTTCAGTGTTCCTGAGTAATGTTAAACTTGTAACTTTAAAATTTGCAAAACTAATGAGTTGAGGGGAAAAAATAACCCCTGAATGGCAATGTGTAGAAATATGAAAAACCCATATACTGTACCTCCAAAAAATGAAATGACACAAAACATGCTTATTTGGAAAAAGAGAAGTTTGAATATCGGTAGGCTCATGCCTCACTTTGTTTGGAAGTGGATTTGATGTGACAATTCAGTGCAAATGGGATTTTGTAAGATGTCTATAATATTTGCCAAATAATAGCTGGTTTGAGTGCTGCAGTCGCTCTTTTGATGGAGGAGGGCTTGTAAAAAGTGGTTACAGGGGTTGAGGTTGGCACTATTACACAAAGGAGTAATTTTGACCATTTTACACTTTAAATCTGAAGGAGAGCTCATTAAACCTCCACCTCAGTGGGTGAAGGAAATTGGGTCTATTATGTGAGGGAATGAAATCTGCAAGTATTTGTTTTCATTTTTTACCTGTATTTTACCAACTAGTGGGGGACTTGGTGCAAAAATCAGCACTGATTATAAAGAGGGTCAGTGTTTATGTAAGTTAATATTCATTGGCACAGTGAGAAAACACAATCGTTCGGCAGGTTAGTAATCGGCAGGTCAGCTGGAAGCAAAGGCTGGATGGCGAACTCACCCAGCGTCATGCTCAAGATCTCAGCTGTGTAGTGCAGTTTAGTTTGGCCATGTGACAGCTGGTTTTCTGCCCAGCGGCTCGGGCAGCTTGGCTTTGTCATGTGTGTTTGTATGAAATAACTCTCCAATTCCTCCAATTTGCTCTCCGGTAACCTGAGATTGTTTATCTGAACTCGGTAAAGCTATCTTTCCGCGAGGCCAACAGTGTTGTTAGCAACGGATAGCAACAGCATGCAGGAATGATTATATTGTACCTACGTATGAGCTAATGCAGTAATAACTGCCAGCTGAGGTCGAGCCAAGATATTGTGTGTGTGTGAATGAGATTTCCTCAGACCGGGCTGCAGAGGTCTCCAATCATAAATAGTATCTTTTGCTTCAAAACCGAGCATAGACTGAGTTTGTCCCACTGAATAGAGGTCATTATCATAACTGATTTTATCCATCAGAGTCTTGTATTGATTGTTATTGGACACACTTAAATAGGAACAGACTGTACCTGATTTTGACATACTAACATGTCTCAAATGTACAATACGATCTGACGGAAAAGCTTATGTCAGAGTTACGTAAACGAGATTGCATATGTTGCGTAACAGTTTCCTGTCATATATGCTACCACTGATATTTTTTTGTTTGCTGTAAAATGAGTTCAAACTTTTTAAGGAGATGTACACACAAGTCATGCTCTGATATACAGATGGAAATTGAAGCAAAAAAACAAGATTTTTCGATAAGATAACGCCTCATCAAGCCATCCTTAAATTTATCTTTGGGTTGTTTCTCCACATCAGAGGTCTGCGCTTCCTGTCCTCATCGCTATCACTCAATCTTCCCCATTTGTTAGGGATTAAGTCTTGACTCCACAGTAATACTTCATGGCAGCTGAGACTCTCACTGACAATAGACGGGCATTACATTCACCTCTGCTGTGGTCATTGTGAATTTTTCTGGGGTTAACCTGCTCTGATCTGTTGAAGTCAGTCTAGGTCATCTTTATTGGCTGAATTTAGGCCCGTTCAGCTGAATTTTTATTATAAATCTGAACAACACTGTTTTTTAAGACTCTCAAGGTCAAAATGATTTAAAATTAAGCGATTCTTGTAACCAACAAACTTTGTTTATTTGTAGACCAGAGCTCAAATCACTCAGAAAACACATGCTTTTCCAAACAAAGGCTATCGGGTATCAGATTCTCAGAAATCCATTTTCAAGAGACCACTAATGGATAAAATGGTGAAATCCCAACTTTTTGGTCAACCCTCCTCCGCCATGATAAGGAATTTTTCCAGAATCAAAGGAAATGATCGTGAAAAGAATGAAAATTGTACCAAGAGATCGAGATTACAGCAAAAGAGAGACTGCATTAGCTCCTTCTAGGGATTTGCTTCTCTAAATGTCCATGAGTCATGACAATTTGTGGGAGTAAATTGTCTCTGATGGCACCATAATTGCGGATAAACATAAAGGACTTTGACCTGTTCAACCCCACAGATCATTACGACCATCATTGCAGAAGTGCCGTTTATAAAAGCCTGAGATTTTGAAAAATTACCTCTTAAACTGTTAAAAAAAATAACCGCTCATGAATTTGTACTTAAGCGTGGGTCATTAGGGTTATATAGAGGAAGATAAAAGAGAATGAAAAAGTGACAAAAGTCTATGAACTATTTAACATCTAGACAGTACATATCAAGCTACGTTCAGATTGGTAGACACTCAGACATTTGCATGTGTTTTTTTTTTACCATTCGAACGTCGATAAAAACATCCCCACGAGGATGGAGAATCAAACTCTTCATACAGAAGCCAGAAATGTCCAAAGACTTCAAGTCTAATAAGAAAACAGCCGATCTCATCACGACTCACAGCTTTAAGACAAAATCGGATCTCCTTTTGTATTTTATAAACTTTTGCTGATAAAAACTGGCTTTATGCTGACATTTCTCCACATTAAAGTCAGCTCCCCATGCTGTTTTTAAAGGTCACTGTCTTGATTACTTAAGTCTTGGTTCATCAGGTGAGTGTGCCTCCAGGGATATATTACTCCATCGTACACACCTAGCATGAGTCACAAGATGGAGTTTTGATATTTGCCCCTCCAGCCTTTCGTGACCGCAGACTTGCTAAACTTAGCTTTACAGAGATGACTGGACTGACAGGGGAATACCATCAGAGAAAACAGGAGAGGGAAAGCATGGTTTGCCATTTTGACAGCTGACATACCTCTGATCTTCACCTCCCAAACCCTCTGGGACACTCTGAAGCGCCTTCCCGATCTGCAAGCAAAGCAGTGACTGCACTTTAAACCCCATGAGGACACGCAGGCAATCATTGGGATGTAAAACTGGTGCGAGATCTCTTTAAAATGGTCTATATTATAAGGCATTTAAAATATAAGTGTCTTGTCTGTAAGTTTTCAGACATTTTAGTTTATGTGCACATATTCAACGTTTGGGAAGCATGGAAAAGCAGAACTGTTGTTAATATCATAACCCATAAAACCACCATCTTGGTTTTCGAATTTCATGTTATAACCCTAATGAAAATAACAGATAATGGAAATAATATTTTCATATAACCATATGCACGTAACAACAATCAGTGTTACAAATTTCTCACTCTCCCAATTCTGTACAAGTATCTATATGCTGTATCTCAAGGACCGTAATGGATACAGAGATGTACTAGGTACCAATATGTCCGCAATACCCAACTTTATATTCAACTTCAATATGTGTATGGGGCTTAAAATCAAGGCATTTTGAATTATAAAGGAAAAACCACATTTTGGGGCGGACATCTTGGATTTTGGGGCCGCCATCTTGGAATTTTGCGTGGCTAACGTTATTTTTGAAAAGAGTGGGGTTTGAAGAGTATATGTACCAAATTTCATGCTTGTATAACAAAGTGAACGATTATTTCCTTATCTGCTCAGCCATAAAATATTAGTTGAGTCAAGCAGCACAATAATACACACAAAAAACTAGACGCATTGAATTTTTCTACATCACATTGAGAGAAAGGTAAGTGGTCTCAACTTTAAAATTCTCATTGTGTATCTCTCTTAGTTTTTATCCAAAGTTACAAAGAAGTTTGAGAACTTTGTAATAAAACTTACATGTGTTGAGCATGTGGAGCTTTACAGGGGCACCAAATCAGAAGTGATGAAAAGGTTCAAATTAATCACGATTTTCACACAATAGTCATTTTCTCTTGGTGTAGAGTTCAGGGTTGTATGCTGAAAATCAAAAGACATACCTGTAACACAGAAAAACTATGAAAATATGAAAAGTGTGATAAAACATGCCTCTCTGACCTTTAAGTGATAAATACAATTAAAGGCAAAACAAATATGTTACAACTTTTTTCATTTTTCTTAAGTAACAGCTTATTTGTAATCTACCAGAGTCTAGCTAACGCCACTTAACCACAGAGCAGTGTTGCAAAATGCAAGAGTGAGTATTGATGGCATAAATGGAGAGACAAAACTCAAAAATAAAAGAATATAGCACAATATTAGACTAATAAACATGGATCGGCATGTGAAAGTATGGGAAATTTAAGCAACAATGTGGCTCAGCTAGAGTTGGAAAAACACACAAAATAAGAAAAAGAATTAAATCATTGAAAAAAATTAATGACACTGATTCATGAGTCAAATATTGTAAATATTCTACTGGCTCTACCGAACTATAACTATCTTAGAGCGATCAAACGTCCTGTTGTCCCAGAGCATGTCCTTTTTTTTAAGTCCTGTCCTTGCTGTCCTGGTTGTTTTTTTTACACAAAGTAGTGAAAATGTCCTGGTTTTCATTTTTTTTCATTCAGAAATGGGACTAAAGATATACATAATTTTTATTAGTTAGTTTTGGTAAGTTTGTGAGAGGTATTTTTGTTAAAGTTGAATATAGCAGAGGTATTTTTTTATTTACTCCTTTTTCTAATACAGAAGAGACATTATTCCTTTCATTATTTAAGTCATAATTTTTTAAACTTGTCATAATAAAACATGCTAAGTAACCTCTGAGAAGTTTATCTAAATGTGTGTCTTTGATTATCGGTAGTATTTAGTGACATAACAATTTTCTATCTATACAGAGGAGGCATACTTTAAATGTATTGAAATTAAAAGGCATAACTTCAAGTATCATTTGAGTATCTCATTGCTGGGTGAGTGTTCTGTATGTATATGGTAACCCTAAAATAACCCAAACCATTTTTAAGTAATTTGGTTCAAATTTCAACATCATAACGCCAAAATGTTGAAAATAAAACAACTCAAATCTTTAAATTTTCTGAATAACCTGCGTTTTGCAGTCCAGACAAGCATACACCCAAACACAAATGCTCCGCCGAGCACGTAACCTCACCGTCCTCGGTTCCTCTCAGCATCATGAAACCCGCTGTCCTAGCTTCCTGGCGCTAGCGAGGCGGAGCTGTGCTTATCTCACTTCCAAATCTCTTATCAGAGCCTGGAGGGGCCAAAACACAACTTCCTCAGAGACAAAGCCGTCTGAAAAGGGAAGGGTCGGTGCTTGCTATGGCCGTTCTAAACAGCCCAGTACCAGCAGATAGCATCTCCTCCGTAAACGTAAAGTGGATTCAAAGGGTCCCCCTGAATATGGTGGTCAAGTCCAGTAAACAGATTTGGAGTTAGTGGTGTTTCTGACAGATGTGAAGAGTTTTGTTCCTCTCTGGACTCATTAGTCACTTGGTAATCAGGTCAGACATGAATCGAGGTCATTCTGGTGGCTGTACTTTTGTTCTGGAAACCTTTCCATCACCTCTGCAAACAATGCAGTCGCTGTACCGCCGTTTGTTTTCGCCAGTCTCTAACACCGTCTTATCACCAGAGTCTCTCCAACTCTCAGTTTAGGATTAATATATTTGGATTTTCTCTTATCATTGGCGAGTTTTCTGCTCTGACTGAATTTCAAGCACGCACCATGCTGTTAGACATCATTTACCGGCCGCCCATGTTTCGTTAGCTTAAGTTCCATGAGTATAAGCTTAGCATGTACACAGAGAGCAGCGATCGATATAGTTCAGACAAAGTACCCATCAACACTGAATAGGTCGTTATCACTTTTTCACCAAGTAAATTAACCTTAGAAACAAAGAAGAGGCTGAGTTTAATTAACTGAAGACAAATAGTTCAAGACTCCATTAGGATTTATTGACCTGCTGTGTGTTATTCTTTTAGCCAACACAAACAAAACAGGGAGGAGAGCAGACCTGTTTCATTCTGTATCTTACTCATAATTCACAGAGATAATGTGAAGACAATGCAAAAAATAAAAATAAAAAGGCTATTTGGGGAGAGGAGCAGCACTTCAACTCCAGCTTATTTCTCTTTAACTTGCTTGTGTAATACTCTGGGTTTCATTTGTTTTATACTGTGTGTGTGTCTTCTTTTTATGAAAAGTTTACAACCAACTGAAGAACTTTCTATCAATCTTTACTCATCGTTAAATGGTTTGTGGCATGTATTTAGAGCTTTGTTTGTAGGTTTAGGTGGCAGTGGTTAACACAAGAAGCAGTGTGGTTGTTTACTGTTTGTAGCTTTGATCTGAAGAAACTTGAGCTGAAGGATCAGGACTGTGTGCTGTGTTGTATAATGATGCAAACAAATTTTGTGGACATGTATTGATGCCAACACATTGATTGAAATTTGCTTTTCTTGGCTGTTTCACTCACAGAACTGGCTCATTTCAAAAACTGAAATTCAACATTAGACAAAATTAAACACATTTTAATGCAATAAACTTGTTTTTAAGGTACAAACTTGTGGCAACCAGCATCGTTAAGCCCTTTGCTTTTGTTCTGCACACCCCACGCTCACACTTCCCTCAGTCCTCATAAATGTGGAGGAAACTCAGCATCCTGTTTAGACCCCTTCATTCTGAGTTTATACTGTATTTGTAGTGCTGTGCTGTTACTCCTGTATTTATCAGTGTGTACACATAATTATTAATAATGCATTCATAAAACTGTATCGAATTAGGACACATTTTGCAGGGATTATACTGTATATTATTAGACATTATTTGATAAATCTTTCATTTAATTTTACTACTTTTGCACCAAGTTCTGTCGAAATGTCAAAAGTTATCACCAAGCTTTGTTATTGATAAGCAGAATCAGTATTGAAATCCATGTCAAGTCCTCATATTGACAAAGTTAGACCTCTCTTTTCCACTTTCTGGTTGACCAAAATAAAGAGATGGTCTTTGGCTGGTAGAAGCTGAATTAAGCAGTTGAAGTCCGGTATCCTTATTTGTGTTTTGCTAGTTTTTGAGGCCTCTAAGCTGCAAAGAAACCCACTTCATCAACATCTAAAATTCTTGTAGCATGTTGGGAAAGATATAAAACTCAGATTTCTTCTCCTACGTCTTGATCTTACTGACTTTTCGTTCACCACACATATCTCAGTTGTACCCACACAGCAACTCCAATCCTTTTATATCTCCGCCCTTGAGTGGTTTAGTTTTGAATACATTGCTCAAGGACTTTCAGATAATTCTAATAACAATAACCTCTAACTTTCTCTCCACTGAAATGATTCCCCGTGGGCTTTAAACATTCGTAACCTCTATCGTTTTAACAGAGGCTCCCACCATAAGCTCTGAGCCAGGGCCGCCTTTGAGCATCAAGTAAAGTGGAAAACTGGTTTAAACAGCGAGAGCTTTTAACTTATGACCCTCAAGGTTGCAAAAATGGCAGTGTGTATTTTTCTAGTGTTTGTTATAGATCAGGATGGTGCTCCAAGTGATGTGGGGGCCTCTTTAAACTCAGGGCTCTGACTCTGGTACATCCACATATCCCTGGATTTACAGATCCCCTCACGGACATGTGAGACCGCCGCTTGGCAAGCACACTTTATCCCCTCTCTATCTCGAGTGTCACATCTCCATCGTGATGCCAGAAACAGGCTCTGCACTCAGTCATTTCACAATGACGTTTAACCCCCAGACTACTGGACATCTATCTCTACTTTCACTGTATTTGCATGGCTGTATCATCTGCTTCATGTATCATGCTGTAATACACATCAGGACACTGAAGCGTGTTTCCTATCTGAGTGATAATACAGCAACTGTTTTTAGTCTTATTATATAAAAAAATATGTAGAATTAAGTCAAGTCAATATTTATTTATAAAGCACCTTTAAAAGACAGCAGTCAACAAAATGCTGTACATGGGATAAATACAAGAAGTAAATAAATAGATAACAATAAAAAATCAAATTAAAAACAGTAGAATAAGATACAGACAGTAAATGAATGAAAGCTACAGTGCCTAGAATAGAAGCTACAGAAATAAGCACAAAGAAATTACTGTTTAAGGTTTTGTATCTAAAAAACTACAATGTAATATGTTGATTCATATTCCTGTCTACCTTTTACCCATATCCTGTTGATGTTTTCAGTCCTTCAAAAGGGTTAGAAAAAACAAAAAAAAACCTCCTTAACATTACATCGGCGTCCAGGCTGAACAGAGCGAGGTCTGCTGTCACCATGTTAACCAGTGGGAACCATTTTTTATAATTCAATGCAGCAAAACTTAAAGATCTACTGCACATGCAATTTTTAAAATAAGTCTTATTAAATTAAATCTGGTATTCCCCGATTCTAGTAAATTCATCCAGTTCCAATAAACTAGATACCTGAATCTTAACCGAACCTGCAGCTCTGAAGATAACACTATTAGACCGGCTACACACAAGATGAGTTTTAGATCTTCACCAAATTTTAAAAGATCAAATAATAATCATTATAACAGTCCTTCTACAATAAGTCGTTTATATGCAGATGTGTGGCTCTGTTTCATAACCTAATCTGTTAACACCATGTGCAGATTTGAGCTCAGGCTACACTATCTTTGACTGCTCAAAAGTGCGAACCTCAAACTGTATAAAGGATTAACAATTCTGCTGATTGTGACATGTGACATAATTGCATATTAAGCAGATGAAGCCAAGGCATGCACAGAAGCTACAGGAGTGATGTAAAGCCTTTTCCAAAGCATGCATTTATCTCACCTGTGAAGCCCAACAATTACTAAAGTGGGTACAGTTTTCTCTACATGAGCAGTACTGCAGCCAGTAGGCAGGGGGAGCTCTAAGTGTTTTGGCGTCAGGGTCAGAGAAAACTTGTGGCACACAAAAACCTTTTTGGTGTAGATTTTGCAGTGCAGTGGAAAATTGTGCTGCTATATAACAATGATAATTATCTTCAAGACCAGGACCTGCTGTTCTTCATTTTTAAGGGTTTCACTTTAATTCTTAAAAGTCAAAATGAGTGAATTAGTACTGCCAGTCTTACAATGTCTGATTAATTAGTCTTTTGTATCATATCTCCATTTTAACAACCAATTGACAACTACTTTGCTGCTCTGTGGCCTCTAATGCTGTCTTTTCATGCCTGTCGTTTAGATTTTTGACACTTCTGCTGAATGTTCCCACCACTGTTTACATGTCTGGACCATCTGCTTTGTGTCACGACTGTCTCCTGACCCATAGGGAGTCAGAGGAAACAACAAGGCCACATCCTCCGCTGAGTTTCCATCCCGCTCTGAGGGGAATTTTAGAAAAACTTCTGAGAAGTCACAGAAAAATAGATGTGAATTATACGCCTTTCATTCATCCCCGCAGAAGTGAATAAGCAGGCAGTAAAAAAGCACAAAAAGTGGAGAGAGCCAATCCGTCATGGGCAAACTGCTGTTGTTGTTCTTTAGTGGGGACTAATGTCGACCATATTTCATGCTGTCTGAATATGAAAACAAGAAATGCCCTTGGCAGTTTTTTCACAAAGACGCATGAGAGAGAAAGAGAGAGAGCAGGTTTTACATTTCAGGGAGGTTTGTGGGAGACAAATATTTTCAGACCTCTCAGAAAATCCAAATCCTCGACTAAAGCCGAGCAGCCAGACTCAGAAAATGATTCTTGTGGCTGCTTATTGTAAACATCCGGGATCAGGGAAACATTTTCATGCTTCAAGAGGGACTGTTTTATTGTATTTTTCTTCTCCACTCAGCCTTTTCTAATACTGCTTTAGAGTCTCCACAAAACTCTCCACTGAAGTGGAGGTCGGGGGGTTGTATACGTACACAGCCCATGCTTGTCTAAGTGTGTTCTCATCATGAGTGCGTTTCGAAGCTTTCTTATGTCAAGCACCCTATCAGGTATCCAGGTATGCGTGTTTTATTAAGCTTTACGGAAAAGCTGCAGACATCTTAAAGGAAGAGGAGAGGCTTGTTATTAATCTTTCAACCACGCTGCTGAAGTGGCTTCTTAAAGCTGGAACAATTTCTGCCATTCAGAAAGAAATCTTGAGGCATCAGACCTAACTATCCTGAGAGTCGTCTGAAATGACTTTTGGGGGTTGATATCACATAATTTAGCTTTTTCTGTTGCAGAAATAAATAAAAAAAAGATCTCGTTTTTGTCAGTTTGTTCATTCGTAATCAGCAAAATTTCCACACTTTGGTAAAACCTCATCCTCATCACATGACTCTTGACTCCAAGTTTGTCGTGATGTGAAGTCAAATCCTTGCTTTAATGGTTTCTGTACTCATTTAGCTGTTATGTACTGACTTGACTTGACTTGACTTGATGGTTTCTAAATACGATTTTCTTTCTTCAGTTATTTTAATGTGGGATGAGGCTGTTTGTTGAATTCTTGGTCACCAACATTGTGTCAAAGTTTTCTTTAGCTCTGTAAAGTCACATTGTTGTACCACATTGTGTTTTTAATTTAATATAATGAGACGTTTTCTCTATTTCAAGGTCAAATTAAGAGACTTAAATGTTTGACCTCAATCTGCATTAAGCTCAACAAACCAGGTAGAAATAATATTCCTATGCATGTTTAAAATTGTGTATAATTACTTGTTTTTGGTCATTTAAAAAAAGACTTTGATATCTAAGTGATGAGCAGGTACTTACGCACAGACAAATTAGTAGCATACGTGTTTTTGTATTTAGCATGTGGCTGCATAAAATGCGCTTGTTGGAAAATGGAGAAGAAAGTATATGAATTGCTAAACCCTTCTGATGGTCAAAATTTGACAATGAGCTGAAGTCCCGTAAGCAAAGAGTCCTACAGAGGTGATTTTATGCGGGTTCCTTTTTCTTTTTTCTGTTTGAATCATGAGCACATGAGTCGCGTGTGAGATAAACAACATCAGAGAGTGAAGTGAAGCAGATGGAAAGAAGATGAAGAGGAGTGAAACATGAATAAAAATCTATTTCCCACTCTCTCTGAAGCTCCCCTCCCCACACTCAACCAATTAGCAGTAATTAAAATGGCCTCTTCCAAGTGTCACAGATAATTAATAGCCTGTGTGTGCCTCCAGTTTCCCTCTCGCAGTGTATTTTTTTTCTTCGCCCAAATGCAAATGTAATTAAACTTCATAAACAGACGACTGATTAAGTGCAAATATTTGCCCTCTTAAAATGGGCTGAGCATGAAATGATGATAATTGAATCTTACTCTGTTTTCCTCCTCGCTGTTTGCAGAGATTGAAGCCAAGGAGGCCTGTGATTGGCTGCGAGCGGCTGGCTTCCCTCAGTATGTGCAATTATTCAAAGGTAAATACGAGTCTGTCACTGTAATCCTGTTGCAAACACACAAACACACACATACGAGGGGATAGAGATGAGTCCAAACAGCGTCTCAGGCAGCGTCTTATTGTTTCATTTGTCTTGTTTGTGTTTCAGACTGCAGGTTCCCCATCGACATCGAGTGGGCGAAGCGTGATCACAACTTCCTGGATAAAGACGCCCTCGATTCACTCTGCAGGTAAACTTTACTTTTCTACACAAACAGTGTACACAAGATGATTTGTTGAGCAGCTTTTACAATCCTGTCAAATCAAATACAATCATGCAGCAGGGAGTACTCTCTCTAAACACAAAAGAAAATAAACTCTGACACCTGTTGTCTTTTCTGGTGTGTATCATTAAATTAGATTTTTGTATGTTTGCTTTTTTTAGTTTTTCTTTTTTATTGAACGGTCATCCGGGTGTTGAAATGTCATGAGGTAGTGGTTAAATGTGCTCTGGATGTAGCTAATGGGCTGTCAAACATGGATGGAGTGCTTCTCGTTCTTTGTTCCATATTTTTGTTGGAGCAAAAAATCAGAAAATTGAAACAAGCCGGGTTTGTTTTTTTCAGTTTGCAACAACAGATAACAAAATAAGAGTTATTAGATTAGACTAGTTTAGATTAGATTCAACTTTATTGTCACTGAACACAGTGCAAGTACAGGAACAACGAAATGCAGTTTAGCATCTAACAAGAAGTGCAAGGTAATAAAGTGCAACGTATGTACATATGGGCAGTGCAGGTATGAACTGAATATACAATATATATGTGCAATGAAGATGCTAAAAATATATACACGTGTTGGTTACTGCAGGTATGAGTAGGCTATACAACAAAAAAAATTATCTATATTACGTATATTATCTAATTATCTATGTATACAGTACACTGATTAGTGCAGGTGCGAAAAAGAGAAAATGCTATGAAACAGTAACATATTTAGGAGTATGAGTAGGAATATGTACAGTTATTAAATAGATAGTTGGATAAGATATATACAGATACAGCAGAGTGTGATTAGTCTCAGATGTAAGTCTCTGTTTTCTCATATTTGATTTCATGCAGTAAAAGTTCAGTCTGGTTTTTGCCAGGTCTGCATCAGATCTACAACGCAGTGGCCAACATCACTTCATACAATGTCGGTGCTCGCCAGTTTCCAGTCTAGTTATGTCCCTTCCATGTTGGTATGCAGGAAACCATGGCAACTCAATCTGGGTGTGATTTGTTTCGAGTCTGGGCTGATATATTTTGCTTTTCAATAACAATGTCTACAACCAAGCAGACCAATCACAGGGCTTGTGGTCCACGTCGTTTCAGATGGTCGTTGTGTTTTCGGAGGAGGTGCGTGTTGGCTTTTTTGTAGGCTCAGAGCTACATGGGCGAGGGTTTTTACTAGCTAGTTGGCAAATTGAATCTCTAGTAGGTATTATGGGTTATGGTCAGCTTGTTGAACCATCAGTACTGCAGGGATGCAGGCGGGTGTGCAGCATAAGGCGCATTTTGTCAGAAAAGCCAGACAGTTATTTTCTCTAAAATGTGTTTTTAAATAGTGTGACATTTCACTGCAGAGTGCTTAAGATGATTGTGTCGATGACTGTTATTTTCTCTGTGCCTAATTCCCGTTCTTTCGGAGTCTTGACACAGAAGCTTGAAACAGGCTTTATTCAGATACATAAATCAATCAAAAACCACTTTGATTGGAATTTATCGGACATTTTGTTTCCTTAGTTTGACTCCGTGTCTCATCTGTTGACATTAAGGGGGCGGAGCTTTAAAAGTTTTCTCTTTGGGGGACTTTTATGTTGCCCGTCTCTCAGTCCAGCCTGTGGTACATATACTTAATATGCAAAAATGCTTTTTTAGAAGTCCATTGTTTAACAGCCTCCCTCTTTCCTCTCTTCCTTTTCTTTTAGGAGATTAAGCACTTTAAACAAAAGCGTGGAAATGAGGCTGGAGCTGCGGAGATCAAAACGCAGAGTGAGTGCTGAGAGCAAACACAGAGAAACTCAAACACAGTAGGGGTCTCATGGGTGTCACACCGTGAAATCTGCTCATTAAACATCAGCTGATTTTGACCGATACAAAGTGATGAGTGCTCCACCTTCTGCTCCTCCTCCTCATCATCGTCTGTTTCTCTCTTTGAGAAAAAAGGGGGGAAAAGGAGAAGAGGGAATGTTACTTCACAGAGCGTCAAAACACCCCTACAGTATTTTATGTGACATAAAATCATTAAAGGATCAGTCAGGTTGATTCGTAATACTTAAAATGAGATGAAGTCTCAGCCTTGTGAACAGTTTCCCTATTAGACTCAAACAAAAAATTGGTCGTCTAATTTCCGATCATTCTAATAGATTTTTATAAACACTAAAAAGGAAAAAAATCAACTCCATAAGACCAAATTTCAAACTGGAACAACCTCATCTCACGACAACCTACTTCCCAAGTTAAAAAGTTAAAGGTTAAGTCTTTTCTCGATTATATTCTTCATTATTTCTTCCTGTAAAAAGTTCTGGAAAATTCTTGAAACAAGGTTATCTGTTATCACACACACACACACACACACACACACACACACACACACACACACACACACACACACACACACACACACACAATTTTCTTTCGCATCTTCTCAAGATGTCACACACAAAGGTCTGAAATTAAAAGCCAACAGGAGAGTGCATGACAACTGCAGTTCCTCAGACGGCCACTTGAGGCTTTGTTTCTAGTGTATATCAATCCCCATGGAGCCCCATGTTAATAAAGTCAGGTGGTGACCTCTGGTGTTGATAAATGGAGCTTGTTCCATGAGTGTTTAGTTATGCAGACATCTGATGGTCTGAACCTCTTCATCCAGGGAGACGACTGTGATGAGGAAGACTTCTGCGCCATCAGCCCCAACTGGACCTACAATAGGCTGACACGACGATGGCGACGCGTGGACTCCGCTATGGACATCTTCAACTTGCCGGACAGTCCTACAGGACCCTCGGATGTGTCTCTGTGTGATGTAGGAGACCACCACGATATCTGCTCCATCCACAGCTCCAGCAGCACGGAGAGCGAAGGCCACAACGGACGCAATATCCGTCAAAAAGACGCCGCTAACACCTCAGCAGCCAATGCCAGAACCGCAGACGACCAGGAGACCAGCGGGAGCTCCTCTCGCTGTTCCTCCAGGAACAAGACGCCATCCCTGGACACCTCATTCAGTGGACCCCCCTCCCCCGGTGAAAGTGGCGGAGGATCTTCTGCAGTGATTCTGGAGGCTGAGGGCTGCTTTCCTGATAAACCGCCAAGGAAGAAGGGCTCCAGTTTGCTGAAGAAGATGGAGAAGCTTAGGCTCAGGGGGACTAGTGGTCTTCTGCATAGTGGAGGAGGGGGTAACAGCGCGGGGCAGACCAGGCATGTGATCAGTGGACCAGTCCTGGTGCAGGAGGAGGACAAGATGGAGAGGCTGCACTGCCCGTCAAGGTGAGGGACAGAGACTCTGATATCTCTTCACTGTAGTCCACTCAGGTATTTAATCCAGTCTGTTTTGGGTGGTCTCCCTGAGCATTAACCTTTAAACCACCTTTAATTTGTGGTCTCCAATGATCTCAGTTAAGTCAGCAACATGCAGTTTCTGTGCAGCTGTGTAGCGCTTCTGTGAACCATCTGTTTCATCGATTTTCTCCATGTCAGTTTTCTGTTTTAACAATGAAAACGTCCCCAAAGAGACAAGACTACGATCAAACTGGATGATAGTTTTGTGCATTCCCTGATTAATTTGCCTGGAATTGTGCATGCCCATGACAAAGCCTGGTGCCACCGCCATGGCGCCACCGTCTGGATGAAATGATGTCAAGGTATCTGGTAGCTGAAGGCAAAAACTAGAGTGACACACAAATCCCCAATTAATGAATAACAATAATTTAAAAAAAAACCTTTTGTTTTTTTTAAACTGAGAAAATTGAATGAGGATTGTAGGAACATAAAGGTTAATTGTTAATTACATCAAGTTTAGTAACGTGCTGAAGCTCGTTCTCCTCACTAATTATGTACTTTCTTTATTTTCGTAGTCTGAAAGGTCAACCGGGCAGTCGTACATCCTCGTCTCCCTCCTCTCCTCACACCCTCAGCAGCACCAACAGCAGTAACAGCCAATCAGAGAGCAGCAGCACCGTCAGCACACCAAGTCCTGTCGCCCGGGTCAGAAGTAACTGCAAACGGTCCAACAGCGGTGCCAGAGACTCACCGAGGAACAACCAGAACTACACGGGAACAGAGGTCAGGGTCGGAGATATGATGGAAAAGTCAACTTCAAATGCTCCGTTTGAGTTTTGTTGTGTTTTTCTTGGTGATTGTTGACTTTTGTTTCCCTCTCAGGAGTACAAGAACCAGATCAACAACAATAACAACGTCAGCCACAAGAGTCTGGTCTTCCAGATCCCTCATGGACACAAACCAGGGACCTTCCCCACCTCTCTGGCCCACAAACACACCCTCCTGTCCCCCATCATGGACTCCTCTGTCAACTGGAGGACCGGGAGTTTCCACGGTTACCAAAGGCGAAACAACAGTCGGCGTGGCCCTTCATCTCTGGCCGCCAGTGTCCAGGACCCCTCATTGTCTTCCTCCACTGGTAACGTCGGAGTCCCCAGCCCGCTGGCTGTTCTGGACCATCGGCTGAGTATCTACGACAACATGCCTGATGACCAGCAGCTGTCAGGAAGTGAGGCCAGCAGTGGGGGGAGTGGCAGTGATGCAGAACGGATCGGGGAGGAGTCCGAGGTGGGTCACTTTGTTTACAGGTTGATTTTTTATTTCTCAGGACGATAATCGGACACAGTAGACTTAACAGATTTTGGGTAAATCATAGCATAACTTCATTTATCTCGTAGTTACAAAAACTTCATATTGCCTTCTGTACAGCCACCAAACTCCATAGACAATAGTGGCAACTTTGCTGCTTCCAGCTGTAATGATGCTTTTGTCTTTTATTTTGTAGTGTGTCACTGAAATATTACTCTGGTATAACTAAAATAGGTTAATATTTAAATTTAAGGAATAATTTAAACACCTGAGACTCAAAATGAGACAAACTGACAAATAAAAATCAGCAGAGGATGACCAGCAAGAGACTTGTTCTGTGACGTTAAAGTACAGTTTTTATCAGTGGGGTTTGGTTTGGTGTCTGGACCAAGTTTATAAACAGGTTTTAATAAGCATGTGTAGATGCAGCAATGAGCTGTGTTCACACTCAGTGATTTTGAACCCATGCAGTGATTTCCACTACAGAGTCACGCCTGTTTTAAATGCGATCTCAGCTAACCAGTGTTGCTTTATTCAGCCTTGTCCCTTTTGAACAGATTTCTCAATTTCTCCTTATTTCTCCCACAATTTTATGCATTGTTATTATTATCATTTTTATTATTTTGCATTATTGATGGTTAAGTCCTCAAATCCTCCTGGTGATTTGTCTTTTTCAATGTTTTGTTGTCCCTTTCCCAACTTTCTCGAAGGTGTTGCTGGAATTAAATCTCAATTAAGGGCCACATTTTTCAGTCTCAGCATTACATGTTGTTTCTGCTCTATTTTGAATTTAAGATAAAGTTTGAACGGTTTGTAAACCAGCAAAAAAAAAGTCTTTTTTTTACCAACATTTTCTTCAGCCTTCGCTTGGAAACGGGGCTTCACTTTTTGCTGCTATCAAATGAAGTAATCCACATCAGCTGATTTAAAACTCTTTGAACTTTTTAGTGATTTAGACACCTAAAAATGGAAAATCATGACCCGGGTTTCTTTTTATAACACTTTTCTACTTGAGACGCTATATTGGCAATCATCAGTGTGACGTACACCTGTGATTTTCACTCTCTGTAATGACCTGAAGAGGTTTCCAAAGTTTCATTATTACCTAATAATTTCTACAAAGAAGTCAGTGTCAATACAGATTTGATGGCTGCCATCTTTGTGTCAGAACTGGCTCCAACTTTTCCAAAATCACTTAAGAAGACGTCTGAAATGAAAATGATTAATGTAACCTGTCAGGAAATACTGTAAAGTTTAATCTGAGATGGGAAATGATATGAGCTCTCAGAAATGGTTTCTGGCCCGATTGTAAAACCCCGAACTGTTTCTTTTTTTTTTTTTTCTCTTTTAGATGAGTCAGCTGTTGGCGGGCGAAGACGTTTTCTCCGCTCTTGACAGCGTTTTAGAGAGAATCAGTGACCTCCAACAACTGGTCTCCACCTGGTCTGAAAACCTGTCTGAAGACGAGTGTCAAAGAGCTTCCTCCTCCTCCTCTTCCTCCTGTGCCTCCTCTTCTCCACCTTCCTCCCAGGACTCACCTGCTCATGGCTCCTCAGCCGCCTCCCCCTGCCCCTCCTCCCCCTCCCACATCCACCTGGAGGTGCAGCATCCGGAGGAGGCGGAGGAGGGGGTACCAGCTGATGAAGAGGGGCAGAAGACAAGATCAGCCCAGCCCAGGAGCAGGTGAGAAAACCTTGGAGTGTAATACAAGAAATAAAAAGTGCAATTAAGAGGGATTTCATTTATACAGAGCATATCATATTTCACAAGCAGTAAAACTGCAAGTGTTTCCCAAGTGTTGGTGAAAACAGATCATTAAAGAGGCTCAGGAGCAGCAGGAGTGACATTTAAGCTCCTCAGTTAAAGGTCTATAAAAAACACATTATTGAACTCCTGATATTGACCTTTATATTTCAAAACACACACCTCTGTGTCCATCAGAGAACAAATAATGAGGATTTACTCCCTCAGGCTCATAGCCACACTCTTAAAGCAGTAAACTCACGGTGAATAGTTTGATCGCCTCTTTATACCGCAGCTTTTATGTCTCTTAGTTGTTGCATATTTGTTCTTGGATATAGCGCGATAAAAAGTTATGATTCCTCTCTTGTAATATGAAGTCAGCCGTATCATCTGTGTATAAATGCTGAAGGACGACGCTTGTTTCCTCATTTCCTGCTCTGTGTGGGTTTTACAGGCTTAGTTTAATACGGGAGTCCAATTACCAGGATGTCCGTGTGTGAATGTGTGTGTGTTTCTGAAAATGCCTTTTAAAGACATAGAGAAACCTGCATCCAGCTTATTAGAGCAGTTTTATAAGGGAGTCGAAACAGATCACACCATTTAGGTAAGAGACAAGATTTTGGGGCTGGTTTGTATGAGACAAAAAAATACATTTTTCATTTAAAAAAAAGTCTTAATCTATGAGAATGTGAGACATAAATATGAGAGAAATAGTTAAAACTGTTAGATAAGAAACTGAAATATTCTGCATTTGAGACAAAAAAGTTATTACTGCAAGATAAAATGTCATAATTATGAGACTAAGTGTCAAAATTATGATAATGAGTCAAAAAGAATGAGGACAAAACATAATTTCTGTAAAAGTCGGTCATATTTATGAGATATAAGACACAATTATTGTTCTATAATTGACTTTTGATGACTAGCTTCTTTATATTTTCAGCTTTTTGTTTCATAATTATGATTTTATTTCAAAATACTGACTTACCTTCTCATATTGATGACCACTGGTCTCAAACTTTTTAGTGAGATGTGAAGGCATGAGTTCAAGATAAAAAGTCAAAGAGATAAAAAGCCTGAATTTTGTCATAAACAGTCTAATGATGATAGTAAAACTGCAGTAATGAGATTTTACCATTTAAATCTATGAGTCACTCTGTCTTATCGATGAGATACTGAGTCATAACTTTGAGATAAGGTAAAGAGTAAGTCTTAACCTTGTGATAAAATCCTAATTATTAAACAGCAAAAAAATAAGTGATAAATGAGAGCTTAGGGAGCTTTAAATCAAAGTCATACTAATGAGAGAGAAAGTCCGATTTGGAGATCTTAAACCCAAAATTTACAAGAAAGTCGGGCTTTATCTTCACATGAAAAGTGATCAATTTCAAGGTAAGAAGTGGAAACTACAACATAATCATCATTATTTGACAAAAAGTTCAGATCATGTGATCATCTGTCCAAGTTAAGAGGTATGTGATCTTACATTTGACAGTAATTAGTGGAAATCATGAGATATTGCTCTCATGGTAGGACTTACTACTACATATGTGGTGATTCATTTCTGTATTTTCAAAAGAGGATGCTGCAGAAAACTCTGCTACTGTCTGAAAAAAATCTGTTTCTACACGAACAATGACATGGTTTACATCTCCCCAGTTAACAACTGGAACTTAATTTTCTTTGTTTGTGTCTATTTTGTGCACCTAATCCGTCCTCCCCTGCTCTGTTTCTAGCAGAGTCAGCCAGCAGCTGCACTGGTCCAGCGAGCAGAGCCTGCCCTCCCTGCCCACCAGCCCAGGAATGGAGAGCCAGTCTGTGTCCCAGTTCCTCTTGCTGCAGAAACTCTCCCTGCTCAAACTCACCGCTCTGATGGACAAATACTCCCCGTCCAGCAAGCAGGGCTGGAACTGGTAAGACCTGTGAGGACGGGACAATTTCGGGCGATTTCATGTGATGTGAGAGTTCGGCTGGGGTCGAGGGCAGAGTTAGTTCTCTTCCTGAATTTATTTTTCTCTTGCACAGCTGCATGGAAAAACTTCTTCAAGGAAACAACCGTGGAAAGGAGGGCAGGTGGGCGGGAAGGGGGGTAAATATTTCAGGCAGCCTATTTAGAAGTTCATTCATTATTCATGGCTCAGGTGCAACCTTGCCTCGGCCTAAAAAAACAGAAAACAGCAACATGCTTTGGGATAAATAAACTACTTTCCAAAGTTTAAAAAAAAACAGAAACAAGCCCCTGAGGGAGTGCTGGTGCCTCACCTTGGTTCTTTAATGCGGAGAAATCACAGTGAAGTTTGGTCCTGTCATATTTTCTGCTTGCTGGTTAACTGCTGAGGCATTATGAACTATTTAGAGCTTCTTTCTCCTTCCTCAGGGGGTCAGACTGCTGAATATCCGTCCTTCTTTTATTCTGGTCTTTACTGCTCGTACTCACTGAAGGTCAGCACATGATAGGAGTGATATCTGCTGAAAGAAAAAGGCTTTTTTCTTTTCCTACCAAAGTAAAATTGTAAAGACTATAAAACGTGCTGAATGAAAGATCCACTGTTGTAACTGCAGGCGGAGCAAAGCATCAAGACCCATCCTCGTGAGAGACCCCATGGATATATTCACATATTAAAATAATGTTGCAGTTGGTGCGTTTGCAAAAGTCGATTTACTGCAATCGTCCAAACGAGACTGAACTTTTAAATGACATGCAAACACTTAAACCCACATCAGATATCTCACATTAGCACTAACATGCCAAAATAATGGATTTCCTCTTCTTTTCTTTTTCTTCTGCATGCTCTGCAGTTTGCAAATCGAATCTTAACCCAATAGTTCAACAGCATGAGCGTGTCAATACAGAGAGCATACTCACCTCCGCTGGTTGTATAACGCGCTGTGCAGCTGTTAGGGGGAGAAGAGAAGGAGAAATTGATGTATCAGGAAAACCTGCGTGGAACCAACAATAAAGACAGAACTGTGCCATGAGAAACTTTGTATAACTGTGTAGCATGAAGATAAGAAGTAAATATCAGCATGGCGACTCCAGGGCCAAATTAGCACTTCTCATTACAGAGATGCAGTTGCACAGGTATCAGCTGACAGTTGAGTTGCTATGACAGCAATAGCTTAGAGCTGCATATTTGGCGCTTTTCATCAATGATCGGCTCAAGTGAAGTTTTTGAGGTGTGTTTCCAGACTTAAAAGATCAAACTGTAAGTTTCCTTCACTTTTGCAGACACGCTGCAAAAACAGCCCCACTAGAAAGAAGCAAAATATTCTTATATTCAATCAAATAATCTTGTTTTAATCTTAATAATCTTGTTTTTTTTTTTTTTCAAATCTAATTTTTTCTACAGCAAGCGATGAAAAATGAAGATGAAGTTACTGAAAATTAGAATTTTAGTCTCTTGAATAAATGAACTTCAAGAAAATACACCTTAATCTAGGATTGCAAATGAGCATGACAGTAGTTCAAATAAGAGAAAATTTCTTAAAACAGCAAATATAAGTGATGTTGTCTTCAATCAAGATACCAAAACATTCTTATTAAATATATATTTTTTATTCCACAAGCAGGCATGTGGAAAGCAAACATGTTCTTTGTTGTTTTGCAGTTTTTATCTGATCATTGTATTCTGTTGTCTGTTGTACAGATAAGCCTACTGACATCTTTATATGTCTGAGGCAGCAGATTCTGTCAGGTTCGGATGACTTGCAATAGAAATCTTACTAAAAAAAATTAACTGTTTTTGTTTCATCGCGTTCATAAATTGAGAAGTTGTACGTATGTCTTACTCTTAAAATGAGACGAATGATCTTGTTGCTCCGCTGGATTTTATTGTAAAACATTTTCTACTTTATTTCTGGTTCATTCTGTCTCAAAATTAGCTGGAATGTCTGATCAAGAAAAAGTTAGCCATTCTCTCTTAAAATTAGATAATTTTTCTAATGCTAAACATGCTCGACAAGATTAATATTCTTTTTGTACAAATAAATAAGACTTAGTTCCTTAATACAAGGCTGTTTTCCTTTCTTGAAATTCCTTTTTTGTGGCGCACACGTGAGTTTAATGGGATCAGCTCCACTTTCCTTTGACGCAGACCTCTTGCAGAATAGAAATTGATTTATTTTCAGGTGTGATAAAATATTCTAATATCCTGCTTGTTTACCCCACTCTTACATTTGTATTCTTTAATATCTTCAGAGTAAACACACGACCTGCTTGTTTTGCGCTGCGGTAGAAACCTGATTAGATTTCTGCTGAGGGTGTTACGCTGAATGAGATCAGGCTTAAAGTGGGAACGAAGCGGTGGACTGAAAACCCTCCTGGAGTTATGACTCGCAATCATCATTCATATTCAGGTTTGAGGAGGGAGACTGGAGAAAAATATTCACTTTTATGGCACAGGTTTGAAAGTCAGGGGCAAACCTGCGACTGGATGTTGGTGGATCCAGTTTTCAAAATATAAAGAAGACCAAAGCGTAAAGTCGCATCACTTCACCAATCCTCCATCAAAAGAGAAAAACAGTCTTCAGGCTTCAAGTATTAGTTTTATTCATCATAATTACCTGATTAAATCACTGATACCCTAATAAGTTCCAGATGAAGAAAACGCAGCTTCTCGTCCCAGATTCTCTGCGGCGTTTTCCTTAAAATAGGCGGTTTGTTTCTGAGTTTCTGTGAGATGTTGAGGAGGAACACCAGAGGGATGAGAAAGAGAGAGAGAGCTGAGGAGCGTTTAGAGAGTATGCGTGATAACAATTTCTCTTTGTGACGCCGCTGAAAGCTGCACGCCTGACATGTGGTTTATCACTTTGGCGATGATGAGCTGCGCAGAGTTGACAAGAGTTTTCATTACGTGTAGTTAGAGAGCTGTTGGATCTTTCTTTAACGTGACAATCACAGGGCTGCCGCTTTTTCCCAGGGTGCTCTGGAGATTTAGGCTCGCTAAGCTGTTATCCAAAACTGAAAATGTTCAACGTGGAGTTTATGAACAGAGTAAATAAAAGGAAACAAAAAGCCGGTGGTTAATGAATTTGGCTCAGACACAGCTTCAATAAATATTTACGTTTTTTTTTTTCCATGGCTGTGTTATTTCCTGCAGAGCTGATCTGAATGGCAGCAACATTTCAGTGACCGCTGGGGAATTATGCAATCAAAAATTGTTTATTTGGAAAGAGAGCACAACCAGCTACAGCCAGTTTGAGCATCTACTTTTATACACTTGACTGCTTGAAAACAGAAATCCCCAAGACAGCGAACTCTACAAGTTCCCCTCAGCAGTGATTTCTCTGTAAACCTGCAGGATCTAAACGACGTCTCTGTCCCACACAGGACTGTTCCCAAACCTCCGAGGAAGACCAAAGTGCTGGAGCTGAAGGGCCGGCGGGTTTTCGGGGTGCCTTTACTCCACAGTGTCCAGCAGACTGGAGAGCCACTTCCTCCCAGCATCCTTAGAGCACTGGTCCATCTGAGGACGGAGTGTCTGGACCAGGTGAAGAGGGATTTTAGAAACACTAGGAGGCTTTCTGACATGTGGGAGCAGTTCTGAACTTTTACTATTGTCTTATTTGTTTACTTCTCAGGTGGGTCTTTTTCGAAAGTCAGGAGTGAAGTCTCGTATCCAGTATCTTCGTGAGTTGGTGGAGTCCGACCCAGACAGAGTTTCGTATGACGGTCAGTCTGCGTACGACGTAGCCGACATGGTGAAGCAGTACTTCAGAGACCTGCCTGAGCCCATCTTCACCAGCAGACTCTGCGAGTCCTTCCTCCACATATATCAGTGTGAGTATCTGACATGGTTTTAATGGGATAAATCAAATACACGTGGGATTGTTCAACACAGGTACCTTTACCCTCACATACTGTTCGGGTCAAATTTGAGCCGTTTTGACTTTTAACAGCAGTAAAAATACACTAAACGTCATTCTTTAAGCCTGAAACTTGATGACTTTTCCTGAAGTTGCCCAAAATACATGAAATTAATTTGAAAATATTCACATATATTTTTGTTTATGTGCTACACATTTTTCCCCTCTAAGGCTGTTACAGGTCAAATTTGACCCGTGTCTATTTAGATGGATTTTAGATCTTCTAGTGAGGGACAAATGACAAACAGTAACAACAGTGTTCAATATAAGGTTTGTTGTTCAAAAAGATATATTCAAATCATTATGACTTTTATATTTGTATGTCTTACATAACATTAGATGACATTATATTTACAACGTTGACGTTTATACTGATGATGTTTGTGCTGATTTTACACTTTTTTCTCCTTTTTCTCTATGCTATTTTAATTTTTGCTCAGCTGCTGCTTTTCAGTTGCCCCTAGGGGATGAATAAAGCTATAGTGAATTGAATTGAAATGAATTATCCCGTGTAATAGATGTTCTTCTCGAAAATATATATATTTCACCAAAAAACGAGTGGTGTTAAAACTGAAAAAATACACTTTCCCAGCTCTTTGAAACATTAATCCACCAATAACTTCTTATATCAAAGTATTTTTATAATCACTTGTTTGCTGGCAATGAGGACAAGAAAAAACATCTTTATCATTGCAAATATGAGTGTAAAGTCTGTGAGAATTGACCAGACTTTTCATTTACCAATTCATCATGCCATTTTTTTCACATTTTCTTCCAACACTGACGCCCAGATGAACATTTTCCAAACAGGAAATAATTTAAACTCATTATTTTAGTTCAAATTTGAGTTTGATGACATGGGGAAACAATTACTTAGTTCTGGCTTCTCTGAATTAATGAGAAGAAAATCTACAAAATACAAAACTTCGTCTGGTTCTCGATATTATTTGCCAAATTAAAGACACAATACAAACACACACTGATATATAAACAATGCAAATGTCAGGACTAAACTTAATAGTTCAGCAGTTGGTCTGAAAATAATTGTATAATCTAACCTGCATGAGTATACATGCATAAACAGATATTTAATCATTGACTAGCTGACATGCTAATGTTAGCCCACACATCATTTACATTCGACCTGAAGCCTGTAAAAAAACGTTTAAATGAAGTTTTGTTTGATAAAAAGTAAAAAATGGGTCGTCTACTATATTTTGCTTTTGTCCAACACCCCTCAACCTCCCCTCTGAACTGTTACCCGGCACTGAAACTTAATACTCAGCGTTGTGTTTGCAGATTTTCCAAAAGACCAGCAGCTGGTAGCGGCCCAGGCGGCCATATTGCTCCTTCCCGACCAGAACAGGGAGGCTCTCCGAACGCTGCTCTTCTTCCTGCGTGACGTGGTGGCCTGCGTGGACGAGAACCAAATGACTCCAACCAACATAGCTGTTTGTCTCGCCCCGTCGCTTTTCCATCTGAACAACCTGAAAAGAGACGCAAACACAAGCAGGTGAGCCGAGACTTCAGGTCATGAAAATAGAGATTTAGATGTAATTTTTGGCACAAATATGGTAAGATGTGGCGTCTGACTCTCATTGTCACAGTTATAGCAGTAACAAGGATGAACTTGAGGATGATCTGAGACCATCTCTGCTGAACTCTGTCCCATTTCTTACTCGTAAAGTAAAATAACAGTTCACATCCTACCTCCAGCCTTTATTTATGTGTTTATATATGCCTAAATTTATGTCCGTGTGTTTAGATACTGTACGCCATTTCTCTCTTCCTGCTTTTGTCGCCTCATTAAGACGTACAGTTTTCAAACTTCTCCACCCGCACAAGTTACATCATTTCTGGATCGGATCCAGCTGTAAAACACACACAAACACACACAAACACACACAAACACACATGAACACACATAAACACATGTCTCTTACCCTTCAGGACAGTATACACAGAGAGCACATTATGTAAGCCGGAACAATTTCCATCTGACCCCGGCTTCACTCCCTGATAAGAGAGATAATTTCTGCTGGACAGGAGGTCACATGTAGGATGGAGGAAGAGGAAGGAAAGGGAGAATTAAGAGAGGAGGCAGGGCGTGATGGTCCGGAATAATGATGATGGCTGTAAAGCTGAAGATGTCAGATAGCGTGTGCATGAGTATAATACTAACTCAGAGTTTGCTTTAGTCATTGGGACAGAAAATCGAAACGTTGTCCTGATTATAATAAGGAATTATTTGAGTAACTGGGTACTTCAGTATTGGAGTTAGGGTTTGATATACATTAAAATATACACTCCACAACAACTTTGACGACACTGTTTAAAGCAAAAAAGTTTAGACAGAGAAGGTAAATGCTGATAATCTCTGTGACCACCTGTATGTAAGTGCTGCTAAATGCAGATTAGGTGTTTAAGGCTATTCAGCGCTGATTTGTGATTTTTAATGATCAAGTAATTCGAGTTATTTGAGGAAGTGTTTCAGCCCGAAATTATTGAAAAAATCAAAGTGTAATGCCCTAATTCTGCAAACAAAAAGTAACTTCAAACAACTTATTTTAAAGGGTTATTTCAGTCATTTTGACGTGGGGGTTTGATGACGTGAAGCTGCTGGGGGCGCTGCTATGAAAGCTAGGCTACAGCTCCCTGCAGACACGACCGAGTCCACCACAGAAAAGCGACTCTGACCCAAGAACTCATCCTGGTTGCAGGAAACTTTGCCCTCACAAAGCCTGTTTAAGCTCCTGTAGACAGAAAATAGTCAAATCCATATGAGGAGTTTTCCTTTAGCACTGTTTAGTTGCTGCCACACCCTTTTTCATCTTCCTCTTCCTCTCTAAACATCTTCTTCAGTGTTTTCTCTTTCCTCCTGTCACTCTCCTGCCTCCGCCCTTTCATCATCTTTCTCTGCCACATTTTTCTTCTCCTCTGCTCATTTTCCTCCTGTCATACCTCCCATCCTCCTTGTTTTCTGTTCCCATACTTGTAATCACTTTCTCTCCCTCTTTATTTTCACTAGCTCCTCTTCCTAGTGTACTATCCTCCCTTCCTTTCACCCCCACCTCTTCCTCTTTGCACGTCAGCTCTTTTCCTCCCTTCAGGCGGACGGGACAGTGGATGGAAATGACATAACGACACAATCAGCACTTTGTACCTCCCGCCTGTCAGAAATCATGTCACACTGTGGCGGGAACAATAACTCGGAAAATTGACTCCAGCTCGCAGCTGTTCTCCCACAGATTTGTGCAATATCATCACGCCGCTTTTCTTGCTCGTGTATTTACAAAAACGTTTGTCCGTACTCGGTCATTTATTCTCTAATGGTCCAAAGCTACCGTTTGGCGCAGCTAAGCTCGTTTTAAGTGTCAATAACACTCGAATTGCTGCTCTGTGGTGTCTGATTTGTTCTTTTTTTTCTACTAAAGCAGCATGAAAGATAGAACTTTATATCAAATAAAATCAAGAAAAACAACTTCCTGGGAATCTGTCAGCTTTCAGTGATGAAACATGAAAGCTTTCCAGAATAACCTGAATCTGTCAGCAGCACTGATGGTGACGCGGTGCCGCTGTTTCCTTCCTTAGCTGACTGGCACAGATACGTGACGTCAACAAATCACAACAGCGTCTTTTATTTCCCACCAGTATCTCCAAACACATGAAACATTACAGTGGAAATAAATGCTCAGAGCTTTGTGTCTGTTCACAAGTTCTACACAAAATGTATCCGGGGGTCTGGGTTTGAGGAGGAAGTATTTTGGTTCCGGGTGCAGGTGCATCGGTCGTCCAGTTAGTACCAAATAGAATATAATAGAAATCTGGATGTAAATTATAAATCAAACTTTTATACTTGAACAACAGACCCACTTGAGGCTGGTCAGCTGGTCAGCGTTTCCTTTTCCTGACTCCCTTGAATGCATCAGAAATGACAGTTCTGACCTCCATTCAACTATTATTTCAAAAGTTTACGTCTCCTCTTGACGACGGACTGGAAAAAGCTTGAAATTGTACTCGGTGTTGTTTTATATCAGCAAACTTAAATGCAAACAAACGACAAACAAACACATTTTCTTAAAGGTTCATACCACTGAATTAAGCCAGAATGAGTCCAGAAAATGCTGTTTTTTTGTGTGCAGCTGTCAGTCATGTCTTACCCCAAATTTAGGGGTCTGAATGATCCAAACAGCGTGCCACAAGAATAATTCACTAAATAGTTTATGAAATCTTCTTTTAAATGCGTTATTATGACCTAAAGAGGCTGTTTTAAAACTAAAAATAAACTTCAGGACTCGTCTTCCTCACTAAGTATCCAGTATGCTTCGGCAGTAAAGAGATCTTCTTGCATCTTTGGGCTCCATCTTCTGGGTAAAAGAGTGTACTGCAATTAAAAAAGAAAAAAAAAAAACTTAGTATTTTCCACTTGTATGTTGGTTCTGCAGATGTAAAGGCCACCTTTTCCACAGCATAGTTGACTGGTTTTCTGGTGGGTTCTGTTTGCCAGGATTCAGTTTCCTTTTGGACTCTGTTTCAAAACATTCAATGTGATCTTGACCTTGTTTTTTCCATTGTTGCTGCAGGTCGAGTCACAGGAAGTACAGCTTGGGCCGCCCAGACCAGAGGGACCTAAGCGAGAACCTGGCTGCCACCCAAGGCCTCGCCAACATGATCACAGAGACCCAAAGACTCTTCCAGGTACAGAAACTGAACATCCAGAAACTTTACAAGTGACGATAAATACATCATGACATTTAAAACAACGATCAAATTCTCTCCGTAGCTTCCAGAGTTTTGGCCCGGTCAGTGTGTTAATGCTGCAGGACCCGCTGAGGACTCTCCATCTGAGGAGGGAGGAGGTCCAGGCTCCTCCTGTCAGAGCGGAGGTGAAGAAGATCAGGAGGAGAGGAGGAGAAAGCTGCAGCAGAGCACCGAGCTGCTTCTGAAGGAGGCCAGAGAGAAGAGCAGAGGCTGGGAGAGTCATCCAGCTCCTGAGCACGTGGATCTGGCCTTCAAGAAGGTACGCATAGAGAGGGAGGAGATGTAGACAATAAATTCAGTGTCATAGGGATGCGTTGAAATGAGAAACGTTACCAAAGATGGCTCCTTTAAATCTTCCTCTTCTCCTCTGCAGATGGATGACGCCTGTCCTCTCTGGATGTGGCGCGGTGTGGTGGAGGTTGACGCCCCCCAGATGGAGCTGCTCCACCGGCTGCTGAGAGAGCAGGCGCTGTGGGAGGGAAACCTGAGCCAGGCCGCCGTCATCCAAACTTTATCCAAGGACACGGAGGTCTACCACTACGTCCTCAAGAACCAGGGTCACAGCCTGGGCTCTCAATCCCCACAGGAGCATCTGCTGCTCAGGTAATGAGGCACGGCGAGCCCCAGGCTTCACAAGGCCTCCGGGTCTCGAACCTGCTGAGCTCCATGAGGCGGAGAGAACAGAGGAGTCAAACTGAAACCACTCTGAAAGTCTGAGACAGAAATCTGTTTTTGTGTAAGCTGATAAAAATTTAATCCCACCCTGAAGTCAGATGAGACATGACAGTATCTGTGTTTACAGCTGGATCACCTCACACCGTGTTACTCTGACATAACTCCTCGTTATTACAGCAAACATGAACTCAGAAGTACCCAAGAGTGAGGCGTTAAAATCAGTGCTGCTGCATAATGCAGACGATCGAGCAAACCACAGAGAAATGTTTTTTTATTGTCATGAAACTAAAGAGAAAAAAAGCAACAACATTCTGCTGCATCTCATGATACCGTCTCTCTGTTCCTGTTCGCCTGAGGCTCATTAGTTCCTGCTAAATACTTTAAAAACATGTCATGAAAATGAAGTTTTAAAAACAGGCTCGGAATCACAGGTTATTTATGATACAGGAAACAAAAAGACGTTCCTGTGTTGGGAGGGAACGGTGAATTTGGAGGTCATTTTTTGTGCGTTTAGTGCCCGGGTGAGTATTTAGGGCAGGATGACGCCGTTTGTTGGATTGGTATTTGATGTGTTTTTAATGGATAACAATTTAGGCACACGGCACAGAGGGAGAAGACACACCAGACTTCAGAGCAGAGATAATGTTTCTGTCTTTTCATTATGTCCAGGGGCATGTCCAGACTTTTTAGACAGGGGTGGCATGAAGTAAAATATCAATATAAATATGCCGATACCATTTTTTCTGCTGTGAGGGGGTCGGTGACAAACGACTAGGAAAGGAACTGCAGAGGTGGGGAGGGAAAACCAGGAAAGGGGCCACCTGTTTGAGGACTAGATCCTCTGACCTGTTATCTTCCTCGGCTGATTATTCGGGGTCTAAAAAAGTGTGCCATGATTCATTAACTGAAAAAATCTACAGCACTTATTGACAGATAAGTCTGACACGTTTTCATCCTTCTCAGGACCTGGCAGCCAGACCCGTCCTCCGGCCCCCTGTACCTCTCCTCTGTATCCATGGAGCACCCTGAGGTCCAATCAGAGGGAGTGAGAGCCCACGTCCACTCCTGTCTGTACCTGCTTGAGCCGACAGGAGCCTTGAAGACCAGACTGACACACCTCTGTCGAACGGACACCAGGTGAGGACACAGGGGGTGTCTTTTGCTCCTTCACTCAGTGTCTGAAAGTGAAAGGGCACAGTGAGCTGAGAGAGGATTTAAGATAAATATCTAGTGAGCTTTCAGTCCATCTCATCTGTCTTAATTGAGCCTGTTCTGTGTTCTGACCTCTGCAGCGTCTATCTGCAACACTATCACAGCCTCTCTGTAGGTGGGAGTGAGAAAGAGAGGAAGAAAGGCTTTCCTCCTCATGATTCACGCCTTTGGAAACTAGGTTGCTGAATCTTTTTGGCTGCTTACATGATCGGTTTGAGTCTCTGAAGACCCTGCAGCTCGATTTGTCTCCGCTGATTGAATGAAATAAACGCACCTGTGTGATGGAGAGCAGGTGGCAGCAGCAGCTCTTACAGAGGGTCCCTGTCATCAGGCTGCAGGACTGTGCAGATTCTGCTTCAGGGGGAAATTCACTAGAATGGATTCTCAGCAGGAATCTCTGTCATCATCCTATTCTTGTGATGTGCAAGTGCAAAAATGCCTGTAAAGTTTTGCAGCTCTGTGCAGTTTGCTCTTGTATTGCGTCTCACGATGAGATGAACCGTCAGCATCTCCAGTCTGCTCCTCGTGGAGCTGTGCATTCATCCTGAGGGGCTTCGATCTGTCCACAAACAGAGGATGAGCTGACCAAAGACCAAGGCACACTGTCATGAATAAAAATGACTTCAAATTTCTTAAAACAGCCGACCTTTGGTTACTTTTAGACATTTGCCATGGTAAAAACAGTCTTTGTCTCTCTCTGGTTGTCAGATAAGTGTGTTTTTTTTAAAGAAGGTGCTTGCTAAATTTACTCTTCCGCATTTTTGCAATAAAACAAAACAACTCAGAGCAGACAGGAGCAAATGCAGAAGAGAAATAAGCTTTAGGACCACTTTCCATAAACAGAGCGGCATCTTTCTGCTGTTACATAAGAGCGATCCTGTAAAAATAGAGGAGAAAACACCCAGAGGGATGGATGCTGTCTGTCTGTCTTTGTCACTTCCTCTCTTCTTTAATTTCCTCTCCTGACTGAGCTCAGGCTAAACGTCTTTGCAGCACCAGCCTGTCTTATTTCCTTCGACATTAATTTAAAGTGCTTGTTAGGTTTCAAGGCAAGACAACAGATCCAGAGTATCCAGGTCAGTGGAGCTTTTTACAGTCCAGGCCTGTGAAACCGATCCTATCTCCTGCAGAGGAAATGAAACACGTTATGGCCTCAGTGAGTCAGAAACATGAAGGTTGTTTTGTTTGGCCTGCAGACGCTGAAAAGTAAAGATCAGGCGCTCATAAAAGATACAAACAAATATAACTTTTATGGTAATGTGGTGGATAAATTGCTGTGAGATGTAAACACTGCAGTGCATAAAACAGAGTGAGTGATGCAGCTGAAGAGGAAACCAGAATGTGGAGGCCCCTCTCCTTAAAACAACCCTGAACAAATAAGACCACCAGACCCTGAAAGGTGTGCAGAGGTATCCTGCACCAAGTCCTGGAAGTTGTGGGAAAGTTTGATCGGATTGAAGAATTTTGAGGCAAGGGTTAGTATCCTGAACTCTTGGGTGTCTCTAGACCACTGTGGTCAATATCTGATACTTAGTGTAGCCTCTCTTAGGGGTAGACAGGGTCAGCTTAAAGGTGGGGTTGGCAGGATTTGAGGAAGTGCCAGTTTTGGGGAGAAATCTTAAATCCCAACCAGTTTTCCCCTCAGCTTCTCCTCTCCCCTCAAGCCCCGCCCACAAACAGACGCTCCTGCTCGCTCGTATTGTTCCAATTAAATTCAGATATAATGCAGATAAATACTTCAGATCATTACAAATGGGGCCCAGTCAAGGTGAAAGTCAACAGCATTGGTGCTACTGTAGATGCCAACAGACTACCAGCAAACACAATGTTTGCAGGACTTCTACAACGAGGATAAAGTGACATAGTCCAGGACCCGAGGGAGGACAGTTTAGCGATGGCGCTACAACACGCTACAGCAGGTCCATTTGACAAGAAACACTTCTGTTACAGACACTTGTCTTACTTTGTTAAAGCGGTTTACCTGTCCAGCAGAAAGGTTACAGGGTCACCAAGATCCCCAAGCGTCCCCCATCGTTTATGTTGACCCGGCTTTTTAGCTCTTGTCCGGTCTACCTCCGTTTTAAGCGCCCGTTATTCCTCCAGAGTCTCCGGTATTTACTTTGTTTTCTTGCTTGTGTCGGCAGTCGTGGCCAAAGGAGGATTCAGACAATTTTCCGAACTTTCTGGTTGGTTTCTACTGTCCGATATTGTAGCACGCTAACTTTGTTTGGGCTCCTGAACGACACGGGGGAGCAGCGTCTGCCTCACAACCAATCAGGATGTGAAACGTGGGGAATGAATTTTTAAAATGTTACTACACAGAAATAACAAAAACACAGCGATATCGTTATATTCCCAAATGTCATCAACAACTAATAACTATTGACTGATATTAAAAGCTTTTTTGTATAAACACCACAAAAAAAGAAGCATTTTTAACAGATTCCTGCCGACCCCACCTTTAAGCACTTCTCTTAGTGTTGGTAAGTCAAGCTCAATTCAATCATCTAAAATTTATGTGAACACAAAAATAAAATCTTTGTGAAGGTTGAAGATGAAAGCAAAACACAATTTAAACAGAGGACCGAAAACAGACCCCTGAGGAACGCCACGGCAGCTGTTTTTGAAACCTAAAAGTTTCTGATAAGTAGATTATTTGTTGTAGCTTTTGATGTTTTTTTTTATGAAGGATAGGATGGTGGGTGGAAACGGAAGAATAGGGGATAATATGCAGCAAAGGGCAGTGAACTAATGTACTCTCTTTTCGCATTAACTAAGAGACACATTTTTACTTTTCCAAACATTATCCATACTCGTGTTTTTATCATCTAAGGATGTGACATATTCACCAGAATCAGACACTCGACACAGATTCTTTCCCCTGCAGGGTTTTAAAGATGTATATGCAAAATGTTTATTCATGACTGAATGATGCTTTTATGCTCACTCCAAAAAGTCTTTAACCATTATATAATCATAAATCTGAAACCCAGTAGGCATGTGCTCTCTATCTTTATCTGTGTGGAAAAACAGCATCCTAAATAAGACCTGGAAAAGGCTGTTTGGGTGTTTTTCTCCCAAAGTTTTGAACAAAGTTTGCAGCATCGATTCTGAAGTGGAAATTAGGTCTTTAATGGAGATCTCTAGGAAACAAAACTGGAAAATATGCTCCTGACTTTTCTTTTTTTCTCGTCTGTAGCAGTTAAATTTAAAGCAGAGGAAGTCTACTGCTGTAGAGTTTTCTTGGCTGAAATGTCTCCTCTGTTTTTTTCTGTCAGGGGCCGGTCACAGGAGTGGCACAGCAAAGTGAGCGGACATCTTCTGGCATCTGGACTCCTCTCAATCAAGGACTTATTCAGACCGGAGCACAAAGAGACAAAGATATGAGGAACCAGATGAAGATGAGAAACCAATCTTGTCCGTTTGAACCGTGTGAAAGAAGTCTGGAGGAAAAGGAGACTGCGGCGTCATTTTCAGGAAACTTTCTCCAAGTTTTTAAAAGTAAAACTCGAGGCCCGGTGCACGGCGAGCGTCGAAGGTGACCCGCGATGGCTTCCCCTAAACCATTTGTCTCTCCTCCTTTTGTGTGCTCGCTCTTTTGTCAGTGACCTTGCAGTTTGCCAGCAGCACCTCTGCGCTCCCTGCTGTGCCGATACGCTTCACACTCAAATAAATGCAAACTATGGCGTGCTTCGACAGAGGACGTTTTGATGGGAGGATGAAAAGCCGAGGCCTGATTTGACTTCTAAAGGAGGGAAAAGGCCGAGACGGGAGCAAGTGGACAATGTAGTAAAAGTTTTATCATGAACCTACATGCTGCTCGCCCATTTCTTACCTAATATATGTTGAGGGAACTTAAGGTGAAAAAGTCATCCCCCTCAGTGGATTTCTTTTCCATATTACAAGAAATATTCTGGGGAAGCATACGGCAGCGGCAGGAAATAAGACCAGAAATCATCAGGAAACAGACTTTTAGCCACCAGGAATTTGGCCTGAGTTAAAACAGACAGAGGAAGAGGGGAGAGCAGGAACACAAAGGCAGAAACATCACAAAGAGACACTTAGTTCTGCTGCAGTTCTGCACCTTCGTCTTACACCGTACTGTCTGTGAATTTAGATTCATCAGTAATTAGCTTGGATAACTATGTGATACAAACAGAGCCGTTATAACTATTTTATAACTATAACTATTAAAACTGTTATTTAGGTCTGTAGCAACTCGGCTCACAGCTCCTTCGACTTTAAAGCCTCGGAGAAACAATGGCTTTTGTGATTTCAAGTTCACCAGTTAGTGTGTGGGTTTTAGCCTGCCGTGCTGTTGCTCCTGCTTTGTCATGTGAACAAAGATACACCAACAAACAAATGTGCAGATATTGAACTGAAACAATGCGAGTCACCTGGCTTCCTCCTTATCCAACATTGGAGTCTGTGACTTTCAGGGGAAAAGTCATGGACCACCGATGCAGCTCTGGACAAAATGAGGCTGTGAAACACAAAAGGACGGCTGCAGAAGAAGACGCTCGGTGTGGATTATTTTGGCTAATCCAAAGACATGTTTCTCTGTACCAAACCCAGAAAACCCTGTGGATGTCCTCCTCCTTTTTTGTAAATTTTAATGACTGATTTTCCTGTGACTCCAACCCTTTTTTTTTGAGTGTGTGGCATTTCAAGGACTAGCGATAACTACCTCGACACAGGACAACGCCACAGTGGTGCAGTCACGAAGCAAGACAAAGTTGTGAATCGACAGCAGGCGCCACAAAAGCTTTATGTGTTTTCCTGCCCTGTGACAAAAATCGAACCAGACACGAACTGTTCCTGAAAACGTTTGTATTTATTCTGAGAGCAGTTTTATTTCATGCGTTGTTTAAGTGTTCAAAGCCTGCTTGCCTTACATAGTCCATTATGCTATCATAAAGAAGCGTGTGCATGTACATTTTTACAGTCATCATTCACTATCACAGATTATTTAACAGAAAGTGTATCTTCAAATCTATATCTGTAAACAGATCTTTTATTTAATTTGAGCTCTTTGAATTTGTTATCTTGTTTTAGCGAGTGTGAAATCTAAACTTATCGGTGCCAAATACTTAATTAAAATGTTTATTTCTCATGTCTTCTGTTGTTTCTTCTCTCTCCTCTGTGATTTGAACGAGTGCCAAACAGATTACCGGCTGTAATTTCAGAGGAAGGTGGGGAAGAAGCGGGCAGTGTTAGAGATGAGGTGTCACACTGCGCCACTGAAGCACAAGAGATTAATAAAGCTGGCAGCACGATCGCTCTGCAGCCTTCCAAAACCTCCAGACTCTCTGCCTTTTCTCCTGCTCACAAAACCCCATCAAATCTAATTTACACAAGTCGTATTTACATATCATATTGATTCATCTGAGATCAGATATTTGATAAATGCTCAGAGCAGGAGACGGAAAAATGGGATGTAAAAATATTTCTTGTGGCGAGGACATCATGCTAAACAGGATTTTACGGGGAGAGGAATAATTTATGCTGATTAGAAATAACAATCTCTGAAGTGCCTGCAGGCTCCTCTAATTCCTGTACGAGTCTGTTTCTTTCACATGGAGCTCAAACGCAATGAAGTGAACTTAAGATGAACTTAAGTTTAAAAGTTTAAGGACAATTCAAGTACTTTTTTTAACCTGGGATTTTTCTTCTTTATGTTTTTAAGGACTAAGGAAGACCGAGCAAATTTACTTCAGTCTTTTCTTGCACCTGGTGTTTTATGCAACGTGATTTCTAATGTGTGTGTTCAGTCCAACTCGAAAAGTTTGGTGTCGACCATCCCAAACTGACAAACACATGCCAGGCCAGTTGTTGGCGCCAATGTGTGATTAATTTGTCAAAACAACGTACTAGAACATTGCCTTCATCTTCTGTAGACTGCATACAGAGTTAAAACTATTGGGCTTTACGTATTTAATCCTTTAAAGTTGCAGTAAAATGATGAAGAACAGACTGAACCTGCACAAATATGTCAGCCGTAATCTTTACCATCCACAGGAGATATCGTTGTTTGTGAGGATGTTTTTCTATAAACCCATTTTTCTGTGACCTTAATGAAGGGTGACAGTCCCCATTTTGGATGACTTGTTCCTGGCTAAAGCTGTCCCCTGAAAATGTCCCAGATTTTAGCATTTTATGGATGAGAAAAAAAAAACGTTGCATGTCGTGTAGACCAACGATTATAACCCTAACAGAACAATCACAACACCAAAACCTCAGACGAGCATCGTGGAAGCGTTTCAGAATTTACACCATAGATTGAAAATAAAAAAGATAGGGCTGTTTGTTGACTTTGTTGAAGCAACTGCATGACGACTTTTCCACTCACATGAATTGTGGATGAGAAGCACTAAAATTGTCATCGTAACATGACAGCCTTGTTCATCGCTGGCCCCTTGCAAGATGCTGGAAACAGGCTATCACTGGAAAGATTGCAAAATACCAACGAACAATTCAAAGTTGATTTTCTAAAACCTTTTCCCCACGACTGTTTCCCAGATTTTACCGTGGGCCTGTAATATACTATGTCTGTGAGTAGTTCCAGTTCTCTACACAGTTTTTCAACAGAGGCCAAACAAACCTGCATCCTGTGTCATAGATTAAGCTAATATCGATGATGGCCTCATGTACACTTACACCTAACTAGATCCATTTAGGTTAATTATACTTGAGTAATACAATGTACCTTGTAACAAAGTAAACATCCACGCCCTCCAGCTTCTACCTGCACCACCTGGATGTACAAGTCCTCCCTGAATTTAGAGTCTTCATTGTTTGAGATTTCATTCACTTCCGGTCTCTGTTGGCAGCTCCTCCAAACCTTTGGGGCCTTCACACAGACAACCTCCATGTCACCAGTCGGCCTCTTTAATCCTCCTGGAGACCTGAGAAAAAGGGAATAAATATCAGCTGAGGCTGCCGGGTGATGAGCTGGTCTCTCCCGTTGAGGAGCTGTAACGTTATTACCTCTGCAGGTGTCACTGAAGCGGCATGGCGGCGTTTTCTCCTCCTGGAGGGACTGTCAAAACACCTTTAACGCTGTCCTTCAACAGCAGCTCGGCACAAACTCTGCCAAAGCTTAATGAATCTTTCATGAAGTAGCTGCAGGAATTATTGTCGGAGAAGGAACTGAGCTGAGCCTCTAAGTCCGGAGGAGGGGAGAGTAGATACTTCATAAGTTTGGGTGATGATGGGTCACACGCACACGTCATCCCCTCAGCGTGGATTCAGAACTTCTCCAACAGCTATTCCTCTGCTCCAGCCCAATCCTGGAGTCATACAACTTTTATATCTATGGAAATGCACAACTGTCTGCTGGGTAAAGGCAGACTTCACGATTACAGGCTGCCTGGGAGAGTGTGTGATGTATAATTAACTCTGTCAAATGGGTTTGTTTGCCTTGCACTCAGAGCTTCTGCAAACAAAGCCCACTTACTCACGCATGTCATGGAGGGAAAAAGACTGTAATTGTCGTTATCTAAAAAGCAGCTCAAGTCTAATGTGGCTTTATGAATGTCAAAGTCCAGAAAAGTAATTGGAGCTGGAAAAAAGTGGAACTACTCTGTCTCTGAGCTTACAGCTGAAGATGTTTGTGGAAAAGGAAAGTGATTATGACAAACCCTGGTACTAAATACTAAACAATGATATTTTTATAATCCAATACCGTGATGTTTTAACCATGCTATACTATGATGTTTTTATCGTCTATACTGTGACATTTTTATCATACTATACTATGACATTTTTATCGTCTATAGTGTAGTATTTTATCATACTATACTATGACATTTTTTTCTTACTGTTCTTTGATATTTTTTTCACAATAATTATCATTGTATATCACATATTTCTAGCCATTTTTATCACAATATACTAAATTTTTATCATACAATAATAATTTTATCAAACTTTGACATTTTTATCATACTATACTATGATATTTTAATCATACTGTACTATTTTTTTTTCATTCTATACTTTGATTTTTTGTATCATACTTTACTTTTTTTCCCAATGTAATCTAATAAAAAAATTTCAAACTACAATAAGTTCTTTTGATCATACTTTAATATGATCTTTTAATCATAATTAACAGACTATTTCATCACACTATGCCTTGACAATTTTATCATACTGTACTATGGATATTCTTTCTTTTATCCTGTGATATTTTTATCAAATTTACTAATATTTTATCTTGAAATACAGTATAATTAATTGTTTATACTAAAATATGATCTTTTGATTATACTTTAATATGTTTTTTTGTACACTTTACTATGAGATTTATGATACTATACTATGATATTATTATCATACTAAATAATATTATTCATATTATACTATAATTTTTGTATTTAATTCTTGGAAAAAAATTTTTTTAATTCTATATTGTGAGATTTTATCATTCTACCCTAAATTTTTATCATACTATAATGTGATCTTTTAACCATGCTATACTATGACATTTTTGTCGTCTATACTGTGACATTTTATCATACTATACTATGACATTTTTCATAATAATTATCATAGTGTATCACATATTTCTTGCCATTTATATCACACTATACTCAATATTTATCATACAAAAATGATTTTATCTAACTTTACTTTGACATTTTTATCATACTATACTACAATATTATAATCATACTGTACTATGGATATTTTTTCATTCTATACTATGATTTTTGTATCATAATTTACTTTTTTTTAATAAAATCTAATGACATTTTTTTCATACTACAACAAGTTCTTTTGATCATACTTTAATATGATCTTTTTATCATACTTTACAGACTTTTTTTATCATACTATACTTTGACATTTTAATCATACTGTACTATGGATATTTTTTCTTACTATTTTATTCTATACTTTGTTTTTTTTTAAATCCATACTTTAACATTCATTCTTATATCATACTATACTATGACATTTTTAAAATGCTTTACTATGATGTTTTTACCATACAACAAATTTTAAACATAATAAACAATATTTTTATTATCCTATGATGTGATGTTTTAACCATGCTATACTATGACATTTCTTGTCGTCTATACTGTAGTATTTTATCATACTATACTATGACATTTTTTTCTTACTGTTCTTTGATAATTTTTTCATAATAAATTTCATAGTGTATCACATTTCTTGTCATTTTTATCACACTATACTTCATTTTTATATCATACAGTAATAATATTATCAAACTATACTTTACATTTTTATCATCCTATACTATGACATTTTTGTCATACTGTACTTTGGATATTTTTTCATTCTTTACTATGATTTTTTTTTTATCGAACTTAGAATAGAATCTTAGAAGAATCTAATGAGATTTTTTTCATTATTTAAAATGTTCTTTTGATTATACTTTAATATGATCTTTTTACCATACAATGCTATAATATTTTTGTCTTTCAATACTGTGACATTTTTATCATACTAAACTATGATTTTTTTCCATAATATACTAACATTTTTATTTTAGTTTTCTATTACCTTTCTATCATATTATACTATGACATACTACTTGTCATTTTTGTCACACAATACTAGATTTTATTATACTGTAATGACTTTATCAGACTATACTTCGACATTTTTATCATACTATACTATGACATTTTTATCGTACTATACTATGACATTTTTATCATACTATACTTCGACATTTTTATCATACTATACTTCGACATTTTGATCATACTACACTATGACATTTTTATCATACTATACTATCACATTTTTATCATACTATACTTCGACATTTTTAGCATACTATACTATGACATTTTTATAATACTATACCTCGACATTTTTATCATACTATACTATGACATTTTTATCATACTATACCTCGACATTTTTATCATGCTATACTATGACATTTTTATCATTCTATATTTCGACATTTTTATCATACTATACTATGACATTTTTATCATTCTATATTTCGACATTTTTATCATACTATACTATGACATTTTTATCATACTATACTATCACATTTTTATCATACTATACTTAGACATTTTTATCATACTATACTTCAACATTTTTATCATACTATACTATGACATTTTTATCATACTATATTTGGACATTTTTATTATACTATACTATGACATTTTTATCATACTATACCATCACATTTTTATCATACTATACTCGACATTTTTATCATACTATACTTCGACATTTTTATCGTACTGTACTATCACATTTTTATCATACTATACTTCGACATTTTATCATACTATACTATGACATTTTTATCGTACTATACTATTACATTTTTATCATACTATACTATACTATGACATTTTTATCATACTATACTATCACATTTTTATCATACTATACTATGACATTTTTATCATACCATATTTCGACATTTTTATCATACTATACTATGACATTTTTATCATACTATACTTCGACATTTTTATCATACTATACCATGACATTTTTATCATACTATACTTCGACATTTTTATCATACTATACTATGGCATTTTAATCGTACTATACTATGACATTTTTATCATACTATACTATGACATTTTTATCGTACTATACTATGACATTTTTATCATACTATACTATGACATTTTTATCGTACTATACTTAGACATTTTTATCATATTTTACTATGACATTTTTATCATACTATACTTCGACATTTTTATCATACTATAGTATGACATTTTTATCATACTATACTTCGACATTTTTATCATACTATAATATGACATTTTTATCATACCATATTTCGACATTTTTGTCATACTATACTATGACATTTTTATCATACTATACCTCAACATTTTAATCATACTATACTATGTGAATTTTATCATACTATACTATGACATTTTTATCATACTATACTTCGACATTTTCATCATACTACACTATGACATTTTTATCATACTATGCTATGACATTTTTATCATACTATACTATGCTATTTTTATCGTACTATACTATTACATTTTTATCATACTATACTTCGACATTTTTATCATACTATACTATGACATTTTTATCATACTATATTTGACATTTATATTATACTATACTATGACATTTTTATCATACTATACTATCACATTTTTATCATACTATACTCGACATTTTTATCATACTATACTTCGACATTTTTATCGTACTGTACTATCACATTTTTATCATACTATACTTAGACATTTTTATCAAACTTTACTTTGACATTTTTATCATACTATACTTCGACATTTTTATCATACTATACTATCACATTTTTATCATACTATACTATCACATTTTTATCATACTATACTTCGACATTTTTATCATACTATATTTCGACATTTTTATCATACTATACTATGACATTTTTATCATACTATACTTTGACATTTTTATCATACTTTTCTCTGGATATTTTTTTATTCTATACTATTAGATATTTACTTACTATTCTATTATATTCTGTTCATTGTATACTGACATTTTTTTTACTATACTGATATATTTACCGTATTTTACTATGACATACTTCTTGTCAACTTATCATACAATGACATTATTTATTCTATAATATTTTATCAAACTATACTGTGACATTTTTCTCTTACTATACTATGGCTTTTTTTTAAACCGAACTTTACCCTAGCATATAATTTTATCATACTACAATAATTTTATCAAACTATACAGTGACATTTTAAACATAGTATATTGTGACATTTTTATCATACTATACAATGAATTTTTTTTTGATCTACACTAAGATATTTTTATCATACTTTACTATTGTTTTTTTAATACAATCTAAAGACATTTTTCTATACTATAACAAGTTCTTTTTATCGTAATTTTATATTTTCTTTTTATCATACTTTACATTTTTATCATACTATACTATGACATTTTTTTATTAAACTAAACTGCCATTTTTTTAATCATACTTTATAATTCCTTATCACTCTATACTGATAATTTTCCTCAAACTATACTCAAATTTTTATTATACTATAGTAAGATAATCTTATTAAACTTTACTATTACATTTTTATTTTACTTCACTCTTCAGTTTATGAGTAAGATGAGTAAAAGAGTTACAATGACGAGTAGAAGATTAAAAATGACAGACAGCAGAAAGGGTGAAGTGACTTGATGCTTTAATAAAAATGATACTTTACATGAGAGATTAAAGCCATGGATCAAAATGAGATTTTAACTTTTAATACTTCAACTTCGTAGCAATGGCTTCTGAAAGTCAGGTGAGTTTTTGGCAACAATGCAAGTGAGACATCCACCCTCCAGTCCCTTTCTGGATTGAGGTGAGCCAGGAGTCAGAGGCTGGTCTGATCCCAAAGACTTTACATCCTCTGGACAGGGTTGATACCCAGGATGTCGAAACCTTTGGCCATGACCTTCGCCGTGGCCTCACAGAGCAGCATCCTCCACATGTTCACCTTCACTACTTCACCTGCAGAGAGAAGCAGATATTGGCAATTATTGATTGAGCTGAGGAAGAACACAAACCTCGTAAAGAGTACAAGTCACAGAAAAAGAAGAAAAAGTTGAAATTTGGAGGGAAAAGGTGAAGAGAAGGAACCAGAAAGAATAAGACAAACAAAAACAGACGGAGTGAGCTGTCATTCAGGTCAACGAGAGAGGAAACAGAGCCAGAGGTGAGCGGAGAACAACATTAACCAAGAGAAAGGTCAGAGGTCGTGTTTAATGGGCTACAATCACACAGCAGTGAGTGGAAATCAATGACCCTGACGTCTTATCTCCACTCATCAGCCAGACGAGTCCAAACCATCAGAACAAATCACCACATGGAGCAAAAATCCAATAAAATTAAGAGTAACGAGCAGCAGAGGGTGAATTAAACAGACAGATCATTACGTCCGTGCTCTCTGACAGACAGAAAAATTAGTTTGTAATTTTCACAAACAGTCAGACAGCACAGTGATGCTGATGAGAGAGAAGAGGGCTGGCCGCCTTAAAGAATTAGAAATGCCTGAGAGTTAAAACCCTTTAAACACTCTAGTTCGGGAACAGACACGCCCCTTTTTCCTCGCCTTAAAATACTCAACAAAACACTTGTTTGCTTATTATTGCTTATTGGTTATTATCAATCAAGCTCAAAGGACGAGAACCAAGACCCGAGAATGCAGCAGGAAAAAACAGCAGACTGAAGTCGTCGCAGCAGGTGCTCCAAACCTCCAGGGGGAGCTATTTTGAACCTGGCTGCAAGCGAAACTCATTCTTATTTCATGGAGAAGGTATTTCATGGATCTTTTTTCTGTACAGGAGCTTGGATAACCTGAGACTTTGGTGTTTACACCTGAGATCCGCCTGTTGAAAGGTCAAGGATTTAAAGCTTTGGGTGGAGGGGACTGAACGGGGAATAAAAGCGTGAAGTTGAGTCTTAATGGGCTCCAGGACTAGAGCCAGGACAGCCAGCCTCATAACAGGGCTCAGCAGCTGTGAGAACCCAGTCAGGCTGGGACCAAACACAACACCGGAGACAGGGAGTTAAACACAAAGGGGGATGTCTTTCCCGGTCTGGCTGACCACTCTGTAAACCCTGCATGAGTCTCTAAAGGAGGAGTCAACCAAGGCTGTTGAGTTTAATGTGATTTTTTAAAATTATTTACATTTTAAACTGTTTTATTGCCAAAGATTCTCAGCTGAGAGCAGGTGAAGCTACAGATCTCAGGATTTCAGAAACACACAAACAGACACACTCCATCAGTCAACAAAGTAAAATGATGTGAAAAAAAATCCCTCTGGCTGAGGTTACTGCCACAGCGCTAACTGAGAATTAGCATAATTAAACAGCTCTAAGCCTGAAGTGTTAGCACTTCAGCATACTGCAGGGATAAAATGCTAACAGGGACAAGTGGAGCGCTGAAAGAGTTCAGACTGCTTTTAGTTTAAAACCCTCTCAGAGTGAAACTCAGCCAGCTCCCCACGAGAGCAGAATATTGAGTCATTTCTGCCTTTATTTTCTTCACACACCACACCGTACCTGTCTGCCTGTCCTTCTCCACGCAGTAACAGCTGTCGTAGAACTCGGTGAAGGTGGTGGCGAGCTCGTAAAGGTAGTCGCAGAGCGTGTGCAGCAGCAGATCATCCAGGATCTTCTGCAGGATCTCGGGGAATCTGAGGAGGCACTTGCCCAGCTTCCACTCCTTCTCGTGATCCAGGAGGACTTCAGAGGTCTCTGCTGCTTGCTTCAGAGTCGCCTCGTCGATGTTAGCCAGACGAGCTATGGACCTACGAGCAAGACAATAAAACCATCAATAAAATATCAACGGCTTAGACGGCTCTTCATTTTATTCCATGTATGACTTAAACTGTCCACCAGAGGACTTTGAGAAGATTTTGAAAAGACTCCTGGAAAACTATCAGCTCATACCTGCTCACATCTACAGACAAGTGTTGAGAGTTTTGAGTCACAGACTGAGAATTTACAAAGACTGTGAATCCTGCAGGGTCACTATTTACAAGACTACAACTAGATTCTTTTAGCATTTTTGACAATTCGGTGTTTCTCACTGGTGGGACATCTATATGTGATTTTGGGGGGGCTCATGAATCAGCTGTGTGTTCGCATGTGACAATTTGATACAAATGCTAATACTCTGCAAGTACGTTTGGTGGCTAGTACTTCATGCTGTGACCCTATATGTCCTGTTGATGAAGTTAAGTGCTGTTCTGAGCATTATTTGTGGCTATAGAGTGGTGTTTTGGTTGTGTTTTGTGCGTGGAGACTTAGACCGCTGTGTATTGCTATCGTGCGGTCTTTGCTGAAGTTGGTGGAACTGGGAAGCGAGCTGTCGGCAACATTCATCTCTGGAGGGAGGGGGTTCTAACTCAGTGTTCTGTTGTGTTTAACAATGGCTCAAATTTACGCCGGAGTATCCCTTTAAGAAAGACAAACCACTAAAAAGAATCTGTGTGTTCATTCAATTTTCAAAATAAAACCAAAAATGAAAAAAAAACGAGAAAATGAATTTTCTAAATATTTGTCTTTAAAACGAAAATGAAAAAACAGATAACGCCTCATTTTCTGATTTTCTACAGCTCAAATGAAAATGGGATGAATGGACAACAATAGTTTTATCTGATTTAGACTTTTTTGTTTAGTGACCCAGGTGTGAACCTTCGGCGTCACTGGACCCGAGAATCATTCAGAGCAATGAAAAAGTCTAAATCAGATAAGACTGTCGTGATCCATTTATCCATTTATCCCATTTTCAACTGAGCTGAAGAAAAAAATTTGGAAAATAAGTCATAACCATTTTTCATTTTCATTTTCAACACTCTAAGTTTGTGCAGTTATTAAATAATTGTTGATGTTAATGCATCTTTTATTAGCTGAGCACCAGGTGAAAAACGGCGGCTGTCCTTGTCCTAAAAACTGATTTTGTGGGTTATTTTTACTGAACAGTCTCATGAGGTCCGTCTGTGCTCAGGTCTTTTTTTGTTGTTGTCTTCTGATACTTGAGTGGCTACCAGCCACCAGTGAGTCCTCTATCGACTGACTCCAGGAGCACTGAATCAGTTCAGGCGAGACGACCCCTCTCTGAAGAGGGACAGATCAATCTTTGCTGGACACTGCGCCACACTGACTCAAACCCTGAGGGAGGCTGGGGAGGAAAAGGATCAACGAGAGCTCTACAGCTGGGAGAGATTGGGTCCGGCCGAATAATGGAAATACCCCAAAGACTCGTTCTCTGCCGCGGGATCCCGGAGGAATCACCCAGGCTGATCTGATATGGCTAATGAAAGAGTTCTGGTCCTGTTAGGAGGTTCTCAAGCAGGACAGGGAAAAAGGGAAGCGTTAGAGGAACTTCACTTCACATTCAAGATGCTGTAAAATCTGAAAATAATACAGACAATGTCAGTACGTTCAGTTTACAACCTCGCTGTACGAGCTTTAATCCAAACTTGAGAAAATAAAGCCGTAAAAATTTAGTGAACTACTTGAGACTCCGTCTTTGTCGCAACAGCAGGGAGAAACTCTCCTTCAAGGACGATGAAAGCCGTGCTCTGAGATCTTTATTTCATCTGTTTCGAGAAAGTGAGTCAGAAATGGCTGAAAGCAACATTTTGGCACGATCCGTTAAAAACCGAATCAAACAAGTTCATCTTTTTGTTGCTCCTTTCAGGGACACTCCAACACAAACTTTGACTGTATTTTAGACGATGGTTTTCTTTCATGGACTCTTAAAAGCTTTCAAGGGTAACGACACTTGAACCTTCGCCTGAGAGACGCGCTTCGAGGAGAGGCTGAAAGTATTTACGAGAGGAATAAATCTGGTTTGCACTCAGTCGTACCTGATACGGGTGAAGGCGTAGAGGAGGTAGGCGGCTGTGTTACCGCGGTCGTCCAGCATCTTGTCGAAGGAGAAGACGTAATCGTTGATGCGGTTGTGGGAGAGGTCGGCGTATTTAATGCAGCCGAAAGCGACAGACCTCTGGGCTTTTATCAGCTCCTCGGGGGTCAGGACCTGCAGAAAGACAATTTCATTTTATAGAGGAGAGTTAACAATCTTCCCAGTCCCCAAACACTCTTTACATCATTAAATATTCGGATAACTCCTCAGCTTTTATCAGCTTGTAATTACTGCAGGCTGTACTCCATCTTACGCTTCTAACTGTTTAAGCAGTGAGTTGAATTTAATCCAAATAATGAATTTAATTTTCCAACCTCAGGCTAAGATTTAATTGACTTATTAAGTCTTAGCCTTTCCTTGAATCTGTATGTGACGCGTTTGATACCACAGGGAGTTAGCAGAGCGAGGAGGAGGAGGAGGAGGAGGAGGAGGAGGGTTAATGTCGAAGATTTGACTGAAAACAAAAACGCCACAGAGCGAAAAAATGACACGACAGGACACGGACTAATGGGACACAACATGACAGAGCGACAAAACGGAACACAACACGACATACAATAAAGGGACGAGTCGTAAAGTGACAGCGTCTTATTAAGAACGGAGCAAAACAGACAGAAGGAGAACAGCGACGGGTGGGACAGGACGGAGCTGAAAGAGAAGTGAGAAAAAAAGAGAGAAAGATGACAGAACCGAGAGGGAGGAACAACAGGAGGAACACGGTGAAAAGAAACACAACAGCTGATTAAACACAGCTCCCCAAATGTGAGGCCGAAACATTCAGAGGTCTTAAGGTCCACCCACTCCATGTAAACAGATGAGACATGGTTCAAACATTAAAACCAAGATTCACATTAGAAAACACAATCACAAGTGGTGTTTGGTTATTCACTTCAAAGTAAAATAATCAAATGTCTGGTGGTCTGTCACAAACATGTCAGGATATTAACAAACGAGGAGATCCTGCATCATGTTCAGAAAAGGTACGGTCTCTATAGACACTTTGGTTTATGGAATCATCATCTGCCAGACAACTGCATGTCACGGTCAGCAGATGGCAGACGGAACTGACCAAATGCAGGAGAAAAGGACTGATCCCCCCAGTCTGATCACTTTGAATTGAGGCTTCATATGGTAACATACATCGCATATTTGCACAGTCAAAATTTAATCGCATAAGGCCGCATGCACGGGTAATGGTGGTGACCATGACAACCTATGTCATTCAGTAGGGTGACAATACATCCTCTTTCACCGGGACATGTCCTCCTTTTCCAGGGCTGTCTGGATTTGTCCGACTTTGTCTGGGGAAGTTTATAAAATCCTTCAAATGTCCAGAGTTTTGTGTCAGGAGGACTTAATGAGTTAGAAGGACGTAAAAGACACTCGAATCAACACGAAAAAGACCTAAAATTAAGTTTGTGCGACTCTGTGACTCTGAAGTCAGAATATGGTCACCCTACATTCAGTTAACATGCAAAGCTGAGAGGAACTACAGTTACGACTCAATTAGGAGATTTAAGTGGACTTTTAATTTGGCAAAAAGCATGTCAGGTCTTCTCCCGGTTGATCAATCATGTATCAAATTAATTGACAAATCATTCTAGCGAGATGCTCATCAGTCAGATTGATGTATTTACATATTTTTCAGTCGTCCACCCGTTGTTGGTCTAACTCAAACATGTAAACGAACTTATTAAAAAAAAGCTTTAGATGTCTTTAGATTTGGAAACCTCCACAAAAACACGTCCACGGATTCATAAGCAGGGAAAAGCTCAGACATGCTGCACATCTACCAAAAGCACTGGTGCAGTCCAAAAACAAAACAAGAGGAGGAGGAGAACATAAGACCGAATAACAGAAGAGAAATAATCCGGCGCAACTGGAGAAAAGAGATCTTGCAGGCTGAGGTTCACGGAGGCCGGGGTCGGAGTTTGTTTTAATGAGGCAGCGTTAGCAGATGGTAGACGTGGGCACCGACCCAGACAGCGAGCAGAGCGCCGGGCCAGGAGGGCCTGCAGGGAAACCGTGCTGGCACTCCTTTCACAAAAACCTTCTCAGCATTAAAATCATAGCAGTTCAACCGGGAGTCAGCGAGTGTTTACGCCGCATCAAGCGCTTCAGATAATACTTAACCAGGTCAAGTTTGGTTGTTTGTACATACTCCGCGTCAACATTGAATTCCTTATGTCGAGCTCTCAAGCGTAGACCGCTCCGACACGTACACCCGGATTAAGCAGGTCAGGGCAGGTTTGGTGAAGTAAAGCAAAAATCTACAGCTAATGACGGCCTCCGGACAAAAGGGAACCGGTGTTGTCTGGACTGAATCTGAGGGGGAGCTGCAACAATTTAAAGGTCAGAAGGTGAAAAATCCTTTCCATTACTTTACAGCCAGTAAAGACTTCTTCTGACAAGGTCTGGTTGAGCGAGACATAAAGTGAGGGGAAGACTTAGAAAAGTATTATAACTGTTACGCGCGGTCGTTTCCTTATTCAGTCATTTTCACCGTATAATAAAACAATTTATTCCTAGCGCGCTCATAAATGTCTCTCTTTACAGAAGAAATAAACATTTTTAAAGTTTTAGAAGTAAAAGTCTCTAGTGCTCATTTAATAGGAGTGAATATTTCAAAGTTGGAGGTCTGAAGTTGCTTAAAATGGAAAAAAAAAAGACAGAATACTAATTCAAAGCTACAACAAGCAAGAGCGCACTGATGGTTCAGCCAGCGCTGCAGAAACACAGAAATAGATGTTTATTTTCTGACTATTTTACTGCAGTTTCACTCTTTAAAGGCAAACTAGTGTGGGAGGGTTTCACCATGGTTACCGCTGAGACAAAGGAGCTGCCTGAAAAAACTGAGTCTGAGTTGAGAGGTAAATATTAAAACGTGAAACCTGGTGCTCCGATTTTAAACACTAAAAGAAATTTCATCAAACATATTCAACTTTTGGCGACCAAAAACAACGAGAAAAGAGTCCGGAAAGGCGCCAGTGAGGCTGCGAACACAAGACGATAGACAAGGGTCAAAAAGAAGAAGAAGAAAGGCGACCGCACTCAGAGCTCAGCAGATGAGAGAGAAGATTTCCTGCTATCGTTGTTTCATATTTGAGTCTTGCTCGTAGCAGGGTGTGATTAGAAAGATCCAGGCTTTGGCTCGGATGGTGCAGGACGGGAAGACTTAATGGCTGCTGAAGAGTGAGGCGGTCATTACTGTAAAATAAGCCTCGTCGGTCAGGGTGAATCCAAAGCAGAAATAACGAGCTGCTCGCTGGACGTAACCTCTTACTAAACGGAGGCTTTTCAAACATTCAGCACCCGACATGAAACACAGGAATAAAACGACTTTAATACGAGCTAAACGAAGGAGCCAGAGACGGTTCCAGCAGGAAGGAACCGAGGAGGGTGCTGCCATTAAGTCTGAGCAATTATTCAGGAAGAAATTAGAGAATTTAAGCAGACTTCCTTCAGATGATTAAATATGAATCAGCTGCGAGCTGAGCAGGAATAAAACCAGGATTTTATTCCTCATGAGGATCCAGACTTGAATATATTCACCACGAGCATGTTAAAGCATCAATAAACAAACGTTCCCAGTTTGTTTGTTTCCTCTGTTGCCTTGGACCCAAATAAGACTTCTCCAGAAACAAAAACCAAAGTCCCTTTTGAATAATTCAAGTCTTTTCAGGACCAATTAAGATCCTCTGATAACATTTTAGAAGAGTTAAAAGATTTCATGTGCTCAAACTGATTTATTGTGAAGCCAACGGTGTAGTTTTTCATTGGGTGACTCACCTTGTCTCTCTCCTTCTCCTTCAGCTTGTCCATGGACCTCTTCAGTCCCTCCTCCAGCAGGTCCATCAGCCTCACCGTGTCTCCTGATCGAGTCTTGAACTTTTTCCTGAAGAAAAACATGACGGAAAATCTTCAGCGGGAGGAGCCGAGTCCGACTTTTATTCAGCAAAAACACATGAATCACATCAGTATCCCATCACAGGAAACAAAGGAGGTGATGGTGAGAGTTGTAAGAGTTTGTGTGCACAGTTGAAATCACACCAAACTACACGATTATCCTGTCAAGTTAAACAACAAACAAATAAGACGAATATAAAAGCCAAACATTTAGAATAATCAGAATAGTAACGCCGTTTTCTCTCCTCCTTGTTTACTTGCAGCTGTAGGAGCTCCCCCTACGGCCGCTTTGTGCCTCATTGTCTGGATAAGCAATCATTAAAACAGCATGAGACATTTCTAATGGAGTTTGGGGGAGTGCAGATTTCGTGAGGCCAATTTTCGCCCCCTCATGTAACCACGGGGCGTTTGGTTACAGCCTCTGCAGAGCATCAAGTCGACCTCCCACCTGGGATGAGTCGTAATCTTCTTCTCTGTACGACTGATCAACGCCGAACAACATCAGGACAGACGGAGCAGAAATTATGAACTTATTCAGAGCCTGATTCACTAAAGGTTTGTGTGAAAGAGGAGAAAAGAGAGAGGGAGGTCAAGGAGAAAGAAAGAGGAGGAGACATCAACAGACATGAGAGTAGAGAAGGCGTCTGCAGCGACAGGACTCACTTGTCCTCTCCCAGCACCACTCCAAATCCTGCGTGCTCCACCCGGGTCACCTTAGGGTCATACCAGCCAATCATCTGAGCAGCAGCAAACACCACCTGGAAGTGTGTGGCCTGGAAGAGAGCGCACATGTGTAAAAAAACACACATAGAAGTATCGTGTACAACGCCAGATTAAAAAAAAAAGGTTTAAATGTTTTTTCTTTGCCGTTTAAAATCCACACATTTGTTTTCCTCTCATCCATCAGCCCTCTGATCTCCTGCATCCTTCCTCTTCACCCACCTGTCCGCTGTCCGTGACGTAGATGATGATGTCGGCTTTCTCTTCAAAGATTCGCTGATGGATGGCTGCCAGGTCGGACGTGTCATAGGTGTAGCCGCCGTCAGACTTGACGATGGTGAGTGGGATGGACTGACCCGGGGCAAAGACAATCGTTCGGCCGTCATCCACCTGACTCAGACCTGAGAAAGGAGAAAGGAAGGAGGTGAATGAGAAAGGAAAGGAGAAAGGAAGGAGGTGAATGAGAAAGAAAAGGAAAGGAGAAAGGAAGGAAAGATGAAATAGAAAAGGAAAGGAGAAAGGAAGGAGAGATGAAATAGGAAAGGAGAAAGGAAGGAGAGATGAAAAAGAAGGTGAATGAAATAGGAAAGGAAAGGAAAAAGGAAGGAAAGAGAAAGGAAGAAGGTGAATGAAATAGGAAAGGAAAGGAGAAAGGAAGGAGAGATGAAATAGGAAAGGAGAAAGGAAGGAGAGAGAAAGAAAGAAGGTGAATGAAATAGGAAAGGAAAGAAGAAAAGAAGAAAAGATAAGATAGGAAAGGAAAGGAGAAAGGAAGGAAAGAGAAAGGAAGAAGGTGAATGAAATAGGAAAGGAAAGGAGAAAGGAAGAAAAGAAAGGACAGAGGGAAGAATGAGAAGAGGGAGGGGAGCAATCAAGGTGGAAGAAATAAAAGAGGGCAGAGGGATGGAAACAAGGAAGAAAGGAAGGATAAACAGAAAGAAGGAAGATGAGGAAGTGGAAAAGGAAGAAAGGAAAGGAGGAAAGGAAAAAGGAAGGAAGGAAGATGGGAGAGAGTGAAGAGAAAGAAGAAGTAAGAAAGAATGGATGAAGGGAAGAAGAAAGTAAGAATGAGGAGAGCATGAATAAGGGAGGACAACACCAAGGTAAGGAAGGAAGGAAAGAAAGAAAGAAGGAAAGAAAGAAAGAAAGAAAGAAAGAAAGAAAGAAAGAAAATGGATATCATTAAAAAATAAAGTTTAAAGAGAGAAAGGAAGAGAGGAATTGTGGGTAAGTTTGATTTGTGTGTGTGTTTGGGGGGGGGATAAAGGGTGGAAGAAAAAGATGATGAAGAAAATGAAATGAAGGTGGAAACTGGAGAAATTTCATGACAGACTGATATCTGAAGAACACAACCATGGGATAATACTGCTCTCTACTGTTCACACCAGGGAACTGCAGACTGATGATTCAGGGACTGATATCTGAGATGTTTTTAGTAAACATGTTTCTGGAATTAAAGAAGTAAATCTCAGACTTTAGAATTAAAAAGCTGAGTTTAAAAGTGATTCTGACCTTTCTCTTCGAACTCCTTCACCACCTGTTTCATCATGTCCTGGTAGTACGACTCTCCTCTCTCGATGATGGTGATGTCCAGGCAGTCATAAACCCTCTGAAACTCTGGAGAACAACACATTTGTTGTCTGAACTTAGAGATCAACCTAAAAAACTAATGCAATCAATTAAACAAGGAGCGATTTGTGATGTTAGAAATAAAAGAAAACTGAACAGTGACTGCAGAGCTCAGAAGAAAACTCTCTTTGTGTGTTTTATGGAGGATTATTATGACTCCAAAACTAACAGACTCATCAGAGGGGGGGTCTACCTTTCCTGGAAACATCACAGATCAGGTTCCAGGCTTTAATGAAGTCCGGCTCTTTGCTCTGCAGTCTGACGACGCACTGGTAGGCTCGCTTCTTAAATTCCTCCTCTTCGTCGAAACGCTTTTTGGACTCCTGATGAGAAGAAAGAGAAGAGGAAGGAAGGAGGAGAAATTACAGCGAGGAAAGAAAGAATTGAAGGGCGCACAAACAGCAGGGAGGATGATGTATATGGTTAATGAGGCGCGGAGAGAGAAATGAGGGAAAGCGAAAGCAAAAGAAAACAGATGATGTTCGCATTTAGGCACAACTTTAACATGCTAAGGCTGCTGCTGCTGCAGGAGTGCGATCTGAAACTCTGCTCCTACTACGTCTAAAGGTGGAGAGAGGAGAGCAGGGAGAGGAGCAGCTGAGGGGCAGGTGTGATACGACTCATTGGAGGTGTTTTAAGTTGCAGGTGGATTTCTCACTGACTTTGTAGAAGCCCTGCAGGTCACTGATGGGCGGCGAGACAGTCAAGTAGTCTGGAAACTTGTCCTGCAGGTGAGCGATCAGCATCCCAAACTGAGTCCCCCAGTCGCCCACGTGGTTCAGCCTGAGGAGGACACAAGCAGAGTCTGACACTTTGAGCAGGAGAGAAGAACAGAGGTGCTCAGAATGGTGTCTAAAAGTATCTCAATAACAGACTAGAGTATCATGAGCTATGTCCTGAGGACTGACCTGAGGACATCGTAGCCCAGAAACTCAAAGAGACGACACATGCTTTCCCCGATGATGGTGGAGCGAAGGTGACCCACGTGCATCTCTTTGGCGATGTTCGGAGATGAGAAATCCACCACCACCTGAACGTAAACACGTGGACAGCATTTATACAAAGTGAGCTAAAAACAAACCCTATGTTTGGATGCCGTCCCCCTCGGACAGTATCGAGAAGCGAGGATGTAAGTTTCCATAATCCATAATTAACTGCTGCGGACACATGTCAAACGTCGAGCCGGTTAAGCCTCTAAAAGTTGAGCGTTGGATTTCTTATTATAGGGAAGATGAACGTCACCTCCAAAAAAACGCATCAGCATAATGAAAGAGCGACCGTGACTCACCCGTTTCTTGGAGGCCAGCGGGGGCGGCTGCACTCCATTAACCAGCAGGTTACTCAACAGTTTGGACACAAACTTCCTCTCCAGGTGGACGTTAATGAAACCTGCGAACACAAAGACAGCAGGTCAAAAAACAGCCTGAGACCAGAGACAGTTTTCCTTAAATATATGAGAATTTTTCATTTTTAGTATCTATTAGTTTAACCATCAGTTTGCATATTTCAGCAAAGATTTCTCAGCAAGATATTAATGTTGTTGTTCAACCTGTAAAAGGCTGTTTCTTCTGCACCGATAAGACACATTATTACTAACCTGCTGCAAAATCAAACAACAGATTTAACATGTTTGATTATTTAATTTTATCTTTATTTTTTGCTATGAAAGAGTTTTAATTAATATTTAACCTGTTTTAAATAACTTTAGTTTAAGTCATGGTGGATGATAATGGAGCACATTGTATATATATATTACGTACCGAATGTTTCTGGAATATGTTTAAATTTTTTTTTCATTATTATCATGTAAAGAGGGGACAAAATATTAAAAAGTAGGAGAGAAGGGGGCAAGGGAAGGAAGGAAGAAGGAAAGATAGGAGGGAAGAAAAGGGAAGGAAAGGAAGACGGAAAGAAAGGAGGAAATTGGGGGAAAGGGGGCAATAAAAGGAAAAAGGAAAGAAAGAAGGAAAGGAGGGAAGGAGGAAAGAAAGGGAGAGGAAGGAAGGAAGGTCATCTAAAACCAACCCTATGACAGTTCAGTTTTTGGTCTGTTGTATTATCAGCTAAAACTCCTGATATGAGCTTTAAATTCAAGTGTGATTTCAGTCTACTGATGATTCATGATAAAATACCATACTGACATTGCTGTGTTTTATTTTGAAGGATAAAAAATCAAACTGGGTCTCTGTTCAGCTGAGCTGGAGGACAGCCGCCTCATAAAAAGGCTCCAGTCTTCATCGCACTCGTCCAAATATTGATTCTCAATCCTGGCAGGATTTGGTGAATGCCTCCCTCTCCATTCCTCCTGTCTCTCTTTAAAGCAGTCCCATCACATAAAAGCTACTAGCCCCAAAAGTTATTATTTGTGTGACCTTTTGGTTTTGGAGAGTATTCCACCCACAAGAAAGCCATCTGCTGTTCATCAGCTGGTTACATCTTCATGTCCTAAGTTCTCTGAGCTAGAACTGCATCTGTGACGTATCACTTAAATACAACACTCAAAAAAGTAATAACTGAGTTCAATTCCACACGGGAGTTTTACTCTACCTGGTCCTGCAATCTCAGTTTTCTGGATGAGATCGTTTTTGGGAAGGTTCTGGATGATCTTCTCTGCAATTTCCCTTGGGTTGGCTTTCACTCCCTTCGCCTTCAGCATCTGCAGGAGGACAAAATCAAAATCGGTTCATCCCCAAGTTCACCCCTGAAAAGAGAAACTTCCACACTTCTGAGAGTCTGAACACCCGGGCCGCTCATGACGTATCAAAACTGACAGATAACAAAGAGTTTAGTCCCAACAATAGAAAACTGCACTTCGACATGCAAAACCTGAGGGAAACAAGCAAAAGATCATTCAAGTTGGTGACGTTGTTTTATGTGCAGATCTGTATAAATCTGGACTCCGATTCTGGACACATTGTGGATCCCCTTACTCACTCAAATGGGTCATTTTCTGTGATTCACAGACAGACTTGGCTCCCTCACCTGGGCCATGGCCATGGCACTGTTGCACTGGTAGTCTCCAAACTTGGACTGCTGGTTGGGTGCGACGGCCAGCGGGGGGCTGTCCAGCTCGGGGCAGGACGCCCGGATGGCCTCGCCGAAAATCTCCTGGAGGTGCTGATTTATGTTCAACATGGCTTTACTGCAGTGAGCTTTCTCTTCCTGCGAACAAAGAGGTGAGTGGAGTTATAACACAGGGGGTAAATACAGAAACCACAGAGGGAACTCTGTTTGGACCATCTGACTCCTACAGCTCAATCAAGAAGATGACTTCTGACTAATACATGGATGACACTCGGAAACAAGTTTCTTCCACTGACTTAAACGTGTCAAGTAAACATCAGTTTTCTTCATGTCTTCAAAGTTAAGTCCAAACTGCTCAATTGGATGTAAAGATGCTCAAAAAGTGAAGATAGGGATATAAAAATTAGAAAATCAACACATGCAATGATGATTTTAAGATTAAAATGAAAGTTAGCACCCTCTTTGAACACTAGAGGGTGCTATCTGCCTTTAGCTGCTTCTCTCCTTTCATGTCATTATGTCTCCCATCTGCAGCATTTGAAGATTCAAGGTGAGGATGTGAAGGAAATCTGGGTGCTGCTGCTCTTACAGCTACTAAACAAACTTAAACTTCTCAACTTTGTACAACAACAAACTTTTACATCCGCACAGACTGAAATATTCTCCAGATGCCATGTTGTTATTTGTCTGCAATTGGCAAATGAAATGATCTTAGTCTGATAAAAAGCTGCCTTTCCACTTTGCGGTCTGGTTCGGTCAGTTGTTTGCATTCCCCTGTTCAAAGTTGAAAACGAAACCATCAACACCAGCAGCTGTTCAAGTGCAGAGAAGCAGCTAGGCACCATGCAATCCACAGATTGGTCGAAAGAATGACACTTCTCGTGAAGCGTGTGCATCTTTGTCTCTCTAAAAACTTAAAGATGCGTGTAGATCTCACACACCTGATGCCTCTGCACGTCATCACGAACATGGAGAATGGTCGAGTTTTTCCGATATCTAATCAAACTGTTGTTGACACCAAGATACACGATGGCTGCAGGATTCTTCCACGCAGGATCAAACTTTAACTGTAGCTCACATTTGGACTAAAATGACTTTTTTCTTGAGTTCAGGGCTGAAAGGGGACGTCCTTACTGTTATCTACTGCTCAAAGTCCACCTGTGACTAATGCGTGCCTTATAGGACCCCACCTAGAAAACCAAGAACTGCTCCTTTGAGAGTTTAATTGACGCCACACAGCATCATTTTTTTTATTACAGGTGATAATTATGATACTTTATACTAAGGTTGGTCCACTCTGTCTCTGTGTTTTATATATTTATAAGGCCCTGACATTTCCTAAACTGAAACCACTATTTCTAATCCCCTTTGTCAGGAGTTGTTCAGAGGATATTTTATAGATTTTAAAACCAGGTTGTTTATTCTCTTTTTTTGCTGTTACAAGTTTACAATCAGTTACTATGAGTTTGGAGAAAATGAAATTCAAAGAAAAATTATTTGAAAGGAAGTTCCAGTGAAAATGTTAAATTAAAACTGCATTAACTTTGACAAGATTCGGCATTTCTGGAAACACGAGTCATCTGGATTTTAAGAAATGAACTTGTGAGTGGCTGTTTCACAACGCTCCGGTATTTCAAGATCACTTTTTCTTGGTATTGAAACTTTGTCATGAAGATTTAACCAAAGCTAGCTCAGAGTAGAGAAACAAGTCTTTGTATCCCTTTTAAAAAAATGATAGCAGAATGGTCGGGGCACAGATGGCCGAGCAGGTTAACACGCCCCACGTATGGGGAGCACCGTCCCTGCAGTGGTCGCGTCCGGCCCTGACCATGTGCAGCAATAAAAGGCAAAAAAAAGGCAAATAAAAGGAAAAAAAACACCCAAAAAATACTAAAAAATAAAAATAAAAATAAATGGTTGAGTCAGATTTTGATGAAAAAAAGTCCAAAAGGCTGCGTAAAAGTTTGTAAAAAAGCAGACAGAGTTTAATGGTCACACCGCCCCAGTTCTTCGTGGATAATTTCAGCCACCAACCTTCACATGTAAGAACTGACTCAATAACAGGAAACTGGACTTAGAGCGTAGACTCCTGCTGTCTGTGTCACTCACCCTCTTTAAGATGTTGAGACGGTATTTGAGTTTGGCGTTTTCCTCCCTCAGCTCCTCTAACCGTGGAGATGGTCTCTGGTTTTGTGGGTTTTTAAGACTCTCGATCTCTGCAGAAAGACTCCGAATCTCCTGCTCCTGCGAACAAAAACACACACTCAATTTAGTCTCCTCCACAAACACTCTACTTTAGTGTATGACTGAGGCTAATCAAGTTTGTGCCATTCAATACTGTAATTATGTGCATCTACAAAAATGAATAGATGAGGCGCCACCCAGACGATCAAAGCCGCTGTTCTCAAAAACAAGAGGAAGTTCATAGTTTTACTTTTGTTTTCAGCTCTTTAAAAAAAAAAACTGAGAGGAATAAACAGCTCAGAGGCTCCAGCTCATGTCTGCACTCATAATGTCAGGAAGTACAGATAACAGATCTTGCCCTACATAGCAGGGGTGATGGTGAGTTAATTAAATCATTTAGTTGATTAAGTTTTTAAGCAACTTGGAAGTTTGCAGTTGTAGGACACCCCTCATACCCTTGGGTATTCTGAAATTTGTCAAACTATTAGCAAATATGACCTCAAGAATTAAAGGGACAAACCGTAATGACCTTTTCAGTCTGTCTAAGGGGGACTCACCTTGTCTGACACTGTTTCTTATCAGTTAATAACCAGCAATAATTTTGCTTAGATAACTGATAACAAACATGGGGGTGGGGATTACAATTGAGTAAAACTGAAACAGAAAGCAGTTCATGCATGATGCAACAAAATCCGTTATTACAAATTGAACTCTTAGATTTTCACAGAATCTGTTTGAAAGATCACGAAAACAAAATTAGGTTTTAATTTTACGATTTTAAAAGAAAATCATCCGACTTTTTGGTTGAAAGTTGAGCGCTGAAATTTTTTGAAAATGTCTAATCCAAAACATTTCATGATGACTCTGTTAATGGTCAGTCTTTTTTGTACCGCCAAATATAAAAATAAAAACATCTCTTTTCCCCATCCTCAAAAGTTGCAATTATTCTTCTTATTCTAATAAAGAAACAGGTTCTGATTAAGAATCCAAAAGAGAAAAGTTAAACACACTGTACTTCGATATTTTTCACAGGCCTTCAAAACAGAAAAGAAAAACATCATCTTACTTTTTTTGCTGTAACTTGTAGGCCGGTCTAAGAGCAGACACCCTTCATGAGTCAATCTCAGTCTAGAATAGTGAAAGCAGATCTGCTGCAGGCGGTGATAATCTTACAGGACAACCAACCAGCTTTCACTTCCTACTGATGCAAGCTCTTGGACTACAGCACCCTGCTACTCCACCTTTCATTTGTTTGCAAATGATGCTGCGCAGGACGGTTTCCTATCAATAAAGTTAGTCACTGATTTTACAGCAGCAGTAATTATGTTACTTGTCAACGCATTATCATCCTGCAAATGCATTGATCACTTAATTACAAGCATGTTGTCTTACAATTGTCGTGGACTGCGTGTTGGAAGAAGCGCAGGGGACAGAGCCTGACGCATTGTTGTGGATAGCCACAAAACTACGACTTTTTACGCTTGCAAGAAACTTTTTTAAGTAAACAAGATTCGGGGAAGCTGATCACTTTTAATGTCAGTTTTCTTGGAGCTGGTTAATCAACAACTGACTTGTCTTTAGGTTTGGTGAAAGGTCGAATTGAAGGAGGAGTGGCCATTCTGTGGCATGAGAAGCTGGACCCCTTCTTAAAGTATTAATTCATTTATCTATGATAATTATTGCAGATTGACAGATATTCAGAACTCCATATTAGGGCTGCTGACAAATCCCTTGCTTAGTTCCATTCGATACCAGTCACCCTGGTGGAGACAGTGGAATAAATGCCTATATAATGCGGATGTGACTTTTTTACTATTATTAAGTGTTGTGTTTTAAGAAACTTGCAAATTTGCTAAACGACAGTTTTCATGACTGTGGATTAACTTTCTGATAAAACTTTCAGATCTTAACGAACTTTCAGATCAGAACTTTTACAAAGGCTTTTTTATATACAGAGAAGTGGAGCTAATTTCCTGTAAGACGGTTCTCTGAAAATAAGGATGGGTGTGTCTGAGAGATTAAGAAATGAAAGTAAAAGATACTTTCTCTTTAGAGTATGATGCGACAAAAACTAATGTTTTAAACTGACCTCAAAAACATCCTGTATTTCATATGAACCTGACACCCCACCTGGAAATTCAGAGCTACGTTTGTTTTTTAACCATAAATCATGTTTGTTTGTTTTTTAAAGAGAATTTACGGATAAAATCTGGTTCTGGGTTTTCAAAAGTGATGCAAAAACTTAAATACACAAAAACTTATTTAACATTTTTGTCTTTTTACTATTAATTTGAATAACAAGAACATTTAGAGAACATGGAGCTTTTGGTGCTTTTTCTCTCGCTCAGAAACCCCCAAAATCTCAACAGGCACCACAAGAGGGCACCAAACACCACTTTAAGAACTTCACATCAGCTAGAAAGTTGAATTTATTCAAACAGATTTTTTCCAGCTCAGTCTGGCAGTTGATTGAACGTCAGATAGGTTGTTTTTGACTTAATATGGTTATTTCTTTCTCAATCATAAATTAATTCAAATGTCTGCTCAGTTTGTTTATTCTTCGTCAGGGTGACAATCAGACACACTGTTCAGACTTGGAGAGAAATCTGGGCTTTGCAATTACTTTCATAACAGATATCAGCACAATATAAATAAATATATGAGCAGAAGTTTGAAGTTTGTAAAATATGTAAAGAAAACATTCAAGTTTTAAACATGATGTTTTGTACATGAGTATTCACAGCCTTTGCTGCTCAGTATTCTGTAGACACACCTTTGGCAGCCATGACAGCCTCAAGTCTTTTTGAGGATGATGCTACAAGCTTTGCACACCTATCTTTGGGCAGGTTCTCCCATTCCTCTTTGCAGAACCTCTCAAGCTCCACCAAGTTAGATGGAGAACATCAGTGCACATCATTTTCAGATCTCTCCAGAGATGTTCAAGTGGGTTCGGGTCTGGGCTCTGGCTGTCAAGGACACTCACACAGTCGTCCTAAAGCCACCGCTTTGTTATCTTGGGTCAAAGACTCATACTTCGAGTTTATATCAACCACAACAGACAGAAAATTTAAGACCACATGACATGGTTGTCTCTCACATTCAGACTGTTTGCAGGGAGATTCACAATAACTGAATTAACACACAGAGATTGTGGATCAAATTAGTGAAGAATATTATAATAGTAACTAATTAGTTGAGTAATAATTTGACTAAGCTAGTTTCACTTGCATGGGAGTAATGTTTGACGAGGACTGTCCCTCCTTTGACTCAGCTGACCATGTTGTGTATTTAATCTTCAGCTGCTGATGACATAAAAGTTTACATTTCTACTGACATGACCATTTCTCAGTTTTTCACATCATCTACTGTATCAAAACAAATGTTGATACGGCTTTTTCCAACTTTTCGATCCAAGTAATATGTTAATTTAATTCCAGAAAATAAAGGATAAAAATCCTGTTTTTGTGGGCTTGCTGGTGTGTTTTGGAGCTGTCCCTAAACTCAATTATTTGTCAAGTCTTAATCAATCACATGTTGTTGATACCATCACAAATATGACTTTTGTATACAGATTTAGTGGTTGTTTTAATATTACATCTACAGCTAAGACTAAAAGAGAATATGACCATTTAATCATCGTCCCATCATCCATAGGAGTAAAGTAAAATATTTGTGAAAGTTTTTACAAGACTAAACTGTGTATCCTTTCATGACACTGAATCTTGTGTTTAACTCTTATTACCTTTAACTCTGGTCTTAGGTGTTAGTTCACAAATCCGTTACTCCGTATTATATGTCAGTGATTGCAAAATAAAGTTCCCAAACTGTGGTCTATTTATCAAAATGAGAGAGAACTTATTCTCCTCCAGGAATGCTCTTCTAATATTTTCATATGTTTTTTTCACATACTTAGTGACGGACACCGATTTAATTGAGGGTTTGTTGTAGGGAGTTTGGTCCAGTGTCGGAGAGTGTGCCTTTCTGTTTGACACATATGACAATAAACCACAGAAAACAATATTGAATTTCAACTTAAAAATGTGGTGTTTTGTGTCAATACTTTAAGCCGAATTTTAGAGTAGTGGCTACGTACAATGGTGGCATCCTTCAATTTCTTCTGTGATGTATCTGTTTTTTATTAAATGCAGATATGTAATGAACTGAATGATTTTTCAACAGTGTTTGGCTTGCGCCTCCCCATGCCGGTCTGAGTGTAGCTGATACCGGTGTACCGGCTGTCCCCACGCGCACATACAGCCCGCTCGCTAACGTTAACGTCTTTCCGTACAAAACAGGCCGCTTACCTGCTGCTGCAGCCGGGCTGTGTACGCGGTTAAAGGGTCCCCCATCTCTGTGAAACACCGGAGAGAAACTCTTATGGAAACTGGATATGAAATCTCGTGGCTGATGAAACACACTGAAGGGAGGAAGAAGTCCACCCCTATTCAGTGTGCTTCCGGTAATGGAAACGTCAGCGTGTATTTCTTCTTCGTGCGTGCGGACGGAAAATAAATCACCTTAAAAGGTAGACACTGCCACCTGCTGGATGTATGAGCAAACAAGGCTTTGAAAGTTAGAAGTTGCATAAATTCCAGCGTAAAATTAATTTAGGGTCAAACACACCGTAACACCAAGCTAGACACCCCCTCCAGAGATGAATGTTGTCGACCGTTTGCTTCTCTAGTTATACCAACTTTAGTAACGACCGCAGGATAGCAATAAACAGCGGTCTGAGGAGCCATAAACAAACCTCAAACAAAACACCACTCTATAGCCACAAATAATGCTCAGAACAGCACCTAACTTCATCAACAGGACATATAGGGTCACAGCCACCAAACATCTTTTTAGCTTTGCCTGAATTCTTAGGCAAAAAGACTAAACACAACTCACCTACTCTCTTCCAGCAGCCGCTTGTTTGTACAGAGACCTCAGGCCAGTCTATTACGGACTGCAGCGGGGTGACGCAGCTCAAGGAAGAACATTTATGATCATTTCTTCATGGAAATGCAATCAGACCAAGACGCTAAGACAGAAGAACTACCGCATCTGCAGTGTAAAATGATTAATACTGTGATTATTACTTCAAGGAAATTATAAAGAAATGATCATAAATTTAAGCTGTTTCATGTGGCAAAAAAATATAAATTAAAATAGAATTAAATAGATAAATAAAATTAAAACTAATGAAAAAAAATATATATATATATATATATATATATATATATATATATATATATATAATTTCTGGACTTTAAAAAGACACAAAGAGAATTACAAAGTTAGAAGAGAAGAACTTTTTTATTTATTGTGAAACTACAAAACATATTGTCTGTTTTTTGTGCTGGTGAAATATTTACAACTCTGGTTGACAGTACAGTGTCTGAGAATAAAATTCACAGCTTTTCGGGACTCTCGTGATAAAAATAAAAAAAATAAAATTAAAACAGGAAAAGCACACCCAAATCACAAAGTGCAATAAATACATGCTGTATGTTTTTCATAGCCGCCTCCATACACATCACCAGGTTCATCACCGGTCGTAATACAAACAGATTCATTGAAAACAATCAAATGAGGAGAAAAAAAAATGCACTTTTACCTCAAAAAAACAAGAATTACATCACAATCTACATAATTAAAAAAAAAAAGATTTGAGACTAACAGCATTTGTATTTTTCTCTGAATGATGGTGATTTATCGTAGCTCAAATCTACAATCCTTCATTCAGAACTTGATTTCGAGGTTAAACAACATTCAGCTGACTGTCTCCTCAGACTAACACACTTTTACTCTACAGTGGAGGAAAAGAACAAACACGTGTCTCCACTCAACAGTTTCCTTTCAGACCAGGCGACAGTGTCCAGGTTTGGACTGAAAAGAAAGACAGAAAATTCAATGTGTTTTTCTCCGAAGGCACGCTCTTTCTCTCTCACACACACCACTCTAAAGGCGTTTTTTTAATACACTTTGTTTAATGTTGCAGCTAAAGTCAAACCCTCAGTCCTGACCGAGCACACAGCTGCTCTCACACTGAAAGGGGATGCACAGACACGAGCTAGAGGTGGATTAAAAGTTCCTAGATGTGAAACTGTTTGACCTCCCAGATGGTCCATGTCTAAATCTACTTTAGGAGACATAATTTGGAAACAACATGGACTCTTAAAAAGTTGTGCCTTATTCTATTCACCTTAGCTACTCTACATCGCTCTACATCTACGGGCTGAAGATGATGAGCTAATCAATTCGGATGAGGGGGTGAAGTGAAACGCAATATTAATAAAGAGTTTATAACCTTTTATCTTCCTCTGCTGTTTCTTAATTTTATGATGTGAACTTTATATTTTTTCTTCATTTATCCAACCTGTTGCTTTGACTTTGGTACAGAGGCCCTGAGGGGACATGGAGAGAAAAAAAAAACCTTTTTAAAATACGAATGACCTTCTGCAGGATCCTGAGAAAACATCTCCCCTTCATTTCCTTTAAGGGTTGTGAACTTTTGAATGAATTTCCCCAACTGGAACCGAATTTGGACAATTATTCAGACTCTAAACAAACGGTCTGATTAAATCCTTCAATTTTCAAACTTTAAAAGTAGCCGAAATGCTTCCTGCCTTACTGGTTTAAAAATGGTCAAAAGGAGGAAGACCGTAACCCTAGTTTTGGGAAACTCTGAAATGAGATGGGTCTTTGAATACAAGAACAACTGTGTCAGAGTTTGTTGAATCATGTAGCACAGCTGACGCATCTAGTACTTTAGTTTTGGTTCAACGGCTAGTTTATTCTCAATAATAGAGAATTAACAGTTCATGTGGGAAATCAACGCTCTGATTTTAAAGCCCAGTGTGAGTACGGTCAGATTTTTCACCATCTTTTTTTGTGGACTTGAGGTCTTCATTGATGCAGATTTGAATCTGTATATTTATGAATTACTGAAATTTGTTTGTGATCACTGAGAGGACCTACTGATCTGTACAACATGTACATGTGCAGACAGCGACCTGACTGTTTCTGTGCTGATTTCACCTTTAGCTCCTGCAGTGTGGACACAGCATCAGGGTGAACATCCTCATTACCTTCCCATCAAGTTTCACCTTCTTAGTTTTCTCACTAAGTGTCACTGATATTTCTGCATTCATGGGATATTCATTATTCATAAAGACACTTTGTGCAAATTATACCTACTTCTACCTGAATGCATCGTGATTTTCTTCTTTTCTGTGGATTTTTACATTTACAGTATTTCAGCATCAGAGAACAAGGCTGGTTTTCAGTTTGGGGACTTTTAGAGAAGAGCTGGAAGGAGACACAGAAAAAAAAACCTCCTTCTGCTGGTCTTGTATGTACACATGAGAAAGGCAACAAATGAGTCATGCTCCTGAAAGGCCAAAAGTGAGTAGACAGTAAAACAGAAGCAGCTGCATTTTTGTGTTTACACCATGAGTGGAAACAGGATCATGTGAAGGGCCCGATCCACGTCAGTACTGAAAAAGAAGCATGGTGACCCAGCAAAGATTCAGACTCATGATGATGCTCCAGGCTCCAAATAGACGAACAGCTCACTGGATACTGTGTCAGTTTTTCTTATGAAGCAGCTTAAACCTCATCTGTCAGAGTCAGTATGAAACAAAGACTGTTTTCAAGAGTAATTTAAAGATTCGGTTGCTTCGTGTTTGGCGTTATAGCCCCTGTTTACGTGGCTCAGACTTCCCAATCAAAAGAAGATACCCCATAAATCACTATTTTTCCTTCAGTTTGACCATAATTTACAAAGAAGGACCTTGAAACAAACTGAAGACGGAGAGCGTTAAATTAATGAACCAAGAAGAAGAAACAGTTTTCAAAAACTTCTCAGCAATCTCCCCCTGCTGGTCGTGAACTCGCAGGGCTTACACGCAAACGTAACTCACCCTCCTGTACTTTTTCAACTTTCAAGTAAAAGCAACATGCCTGTTACAGTCACCCCCGTCTCTCTCACTCTCTCTCTCTCTTATCGTTGTTCTCCATGTTTCGAGTCTGAGCTCTCTTCTAGCTCCTTCTTTGTTAATTTTCTTCTCTCCTGTCAGAGGGCTTCTTCACAAAACTAAAACTAGTTTTTCATCTAAAAGTTCAAAACTTGAATCCTGTTATGTTTCCTAAAGTTATGGATGCGTGTTCCAGTTCTGCCATCCTGCAGACTTCTTTGTTTACTCCTCAGAGAAACATCAGCTTGATATTTTTAGGAGCAGCGGTTTCAAAATCTTCTTCTTTTGATATCCCTCTGACGTCATTCATTTCAGTCCAAGTATCACCACTTTGGTGCAACTTAAATATAAATTTTGTGAGTTTTTCTTGACTTCAGCTGCTGGATTCTTGTAGGAGTAGAGAGAAATGGTTCAAAAATGAATGAGGAGGTAAAGAAACCAGACAACTTAACCTTTACTGATTTGTATGAAACTTAAATTTACAAATGTGAAGTCTTCCTCTTGACTTCTCCACTTATTCGCGGGACTGTGTAGAATATTAACCCTACAAGTCTGAGGCATCTCACCGGAACAGCAGCGAGTTTCAGCGTGAAGCTTTTTGTTCTACATGAAGGTGAAATGTGGAGGATGACTTTAACAGCAGCTGCTTTACATCCAGTTACAAAAACACAAAGAGCCAGGTGAGAAAAAGATGGGCTCAGTCAAGGTCAGCTGTTAATTTCTGCAACAGCGTTTCCATGGAAACAAAGTCAGACGTCACTCAGTCTTTCATGAGCTGAGCATAAACCACAATACTCTGAATGACTTCTACAGGTCACATCTTCAGTGAAGGATCTTTCTGCTGTTTGCTGCTGAATCAAACTCTTTAGAACTTTTTCGCCTGAAGTTGCAAAATCAACACAATAAAATTGGTGAAAACTGAGTCCGCCCATCCCTCTCAAAAACTCTGATACTTGACTCAACGTAAATGTAATTGGAAAGACTTGACAAGGAGTGAAAGGGGCTGAGTAAAACTTTGCTGGGTCACTAAACATGAAGCTACAGATCCAGAGAGTCCAGTTCATGATGCACACTGATTTTAGATCAAACGCCCTTCGACACCATCCATGTAAAAAAGAATCCTGATGGACCAAAAGCCGACCAGTCAATCATCCTGAAACTCTTTACTCTCAAGATCAACAACATGTTTTTAAGAAACCCTGAGAGTCTGAAAACGACTGAGATACCAGTTAGATACCAGTCTGAACTTCAGTCCAAAAGACACGCAGCTAACATCCAAAAACATGCTCAGAACGTCATTTCCACATAAATCAACCCTAACTAGCATTAAGCGTTTCTGACGAGGCTCAGAGAACGGAAGTCAAAAAGTGTTTGGATTCACCCGTCCAAACACAGAAGAGGAGAAAGTCTTTGTATTGTGAGTGCCAGAATTTTTACTGACAGATGCTTTGATGGTTAAATTTGACTTATTGAGGCTCCTGCTTATCATCGTGACATTTCAACTCTGCCTCTCACAGAGCAGTATAATAGAAAACTACGACCTTGTGCCACTGAAACCATCACAACTACAGACAAACCCACCGACTAGAACATTTTTAAGACTCTCAGGGTTTCCAGGACGTTTTTTGGCTTCTGATGCATCGGGAAACTTTTCAAGACAAAGTGTTGTTGAAAAGAACGAGTCCCCGATTTGGGAGGTATGACAGTGACTCGGATATGTATTGAAAAGTTCCAGTTACTGAGCAGAAAGAGATGGTAAGGTTGAAAAATACAAAAAAAAAGAAAAGAAAAAAAACAAACAAACCTGGTGTCAACAGGCCAGAAAATATATCCACCACCTGGTCAATGGTGTGCTTTCTTCCTATTGGCTGTCAGCTGCTGGTCAGTTTTGAATGAGAGCTGGGATTAAGTCATACAATCAGTTCACAGTCAGGAAAAACACATTTTTTTCTTCAGTTCCTGTTTGTGTCTCAACAATCTTCATGTGCCTCAACAATCAACAATCATTCCAGCGTGAGGCAAAGTTCATTTATTCACTTTTTTTTTTTTTTTTAAACTTTTACCTCGAGTTTTTTAAAGTGCAGACTATCCGATATCTACCTGAGTGTTAGTGAGAGTTAGTGCTGTTTCTACATGTTGCTGATGATCTGTGTGTGTTTATCTGTGAGACGACTTTTGACTTTAAAAAAAAACAAACAAACAAAACAAACAAACAAAAAAAAAAAGTATTGTGACCTCTGACCGCTCTTCATTCGTCATTTCCAGTTCGTTTAGTGCTGTTTGTCTGAAAAGACTCCAGTTTTCCTCCTGTGTGGTTGCGAAGCTGAAACTGGAGGCATGCTGATGACGCTTTTGTGTGCTTCAGTTTTTCTGCGTATAAAGTTTTTAAAATGTTCTTAAAAAAAAAAAACACATCAACACTTAAATACCTCTTAACATCAGATATTTGTTTTTTGATGCTTATTTCGCTTCAGTACCATTGTTTGATGTCATTTTGTGCCATAGATATAGATATATATTTATATTTTTTTAGTTCAAACGTGTAATTTCAGTACAAAAAAAACAAAAAACAAAAAACGTATGCACATGTGTGACTTTGTGCTGGAATGATCTGAAACATCTAAGAGCCTATTAACAGCCTGTTAGTAACAGAAAGACAAAGCATCAACAGAAAAAGAAGAGTGAAATCATAAAAAAGAGAAGCTCTAGTAGTGCTATCACTAATTCACAAACACAGACTATCCACATTAGAAATGCTGCGCTCCTTAAAATGTGTTTCTTCATGGTTTTGAGTGTTTTTTTCTCTACTTAACATAACAGTATTCTTTTATATTCTTCATATCACCGCAGAGCGTTTTGCTTCATTTGTGTCTGAACAGCAGATTAAGACTCAGGAGGAGGAAATACTTTGAAATGATTCTTTACACGTCGTCAGCCGGCAGGTCGGGGATGCTGCTTTTGGCTCGTGTGAAGAATGCCATCTTCTCTCTGGAGGCGCGCGGGGGAAAAGACACAGCAGGCGGGTTAAGATCATCAAAATATCGACAGTTGATGATGGTGAAGATTTTAAACATAACCTGCTCAAGAAAACAGCTGATTCCACAAAACTGAGGCAGAGACATGCAGGAAAGACAACCCAATAATTCTGGTCTAAGGAAAAAACACATCGGGTTCAAACATGACTGGTGCTGAATACTTGATTCTGATTGGTCAGCTGTGATTACTTCTCAATAACAAAAGTAACACCATCTTGGATGAGAGGTTTTTATCTACAAGCACTAGCCAGCTGAGTCTCTTATTTCGGATTAAACCAGGCCTGTGTAGTCTCACCTGAAGGTCTGGACTTCAGGGACCTCTTTGCGGCTCTGGCCCCTGATCTTGTGGACGTCTTTTGCTGCTGCTCTCATCATCTTCTCCACCCGCTTCTCCTGCAGCTGCTCCTCCCGGGTCTGGACAGGAGACACAGGCGCTCAGATTAGCTCGGTTTTAATTGCTCTCTGGAGGTTTGAAGCTCACGAGCTCAGCACTGAAACACCTGAATGAAGTCGTAATCAGGTCTGAGCACCTTCGTTTTAACACTCGGATGTTCACTCACCTGTTTTTCAGCCTGCTTCAGCAATAAGCGGAAGCGTTCATCTTCTTGGACCCAGGTTGGCAGCTCTCTCTGGCCCTGCTGCCTCGCCTTCTCCAGCTGTGTCTTCAGCTCCCTCAGCACCTTCAGCTCCTGATCCAGCCGGGCCTGTCGCGTCCGAGACACCTGCAGGTCCAGCTCTAGGTCCAAGGAGGTCCGCAGCAGACCATCCAGACCTTTGACCTGCAAGGGAGGCTGAGGGAGGACAGGGATTGTGATCAGGATTAGTTTTTTGATTTATAAACACGAGTAAGACTCTGCTTCCTTTCATCCATTTAATATTTCATATCAAATTTTTTTTTTTCATATCAATTCTTATCCTACTCTTATTCTGTTATATATTTTTTTCAGACTTTCTTTTATTCTCCTCCTGGTATTTGGTATGTTTTTAGTGTTCATGTAGGTTTTAGCGTTTTATTATTGTATTTATTATGATATTTTATTTATCTATTTTCTTAATCCTCTATTCTGAATTTTAACATTTTAATCTTACCTCTGGTCTTTCCGCATGATGATCTTAGGATAGTGTTACCTAACTTCCTCAGGTCATTTTGTGCTGTTGAAATTTCATTCATTTAGTTATTTGTACTTTGCGTATACACACACATCTATATGTGGATGTATTATTATTATTTTTTATAATACTACTACTACTACTACTACTATTATTATAATTACTATATTTTTTTATTTTTTTATTTTTCATTATTATTATTATTATCATTATTATTATGATCATCATCATTATTATTATTTGCTTCTTTATTTTTAACTTGTTTATTTTTTATAAACACCATGTTTTTTTTTATGATTTTAATGATTTTCTGTGAAGCACTTTCCGCAACGTCTTACTGTATGGAAAGTGCTATACTAATAAAGTCTGATTGATTGATTGATTGATTGATCCATATTTCTATCTTAAGATGAAAAGCTGTTTGTTCCATCAGCAGAGTGTACATGATGGCTGAGTTGCACCTGTTTTTAAGGTAGAGTAATCTCTCTCTCTGGTGTTTACGAACGTCATTCGAGTATCACTAAGCACACAATCAAACATGACAGTTGCTTTATGCGCACTTTTCAGTTCATGCAGGGGTTGTTTTCCGAGCTTTACGACTACCGACAGTTTCTGAGTCAGAATATTTTCTCGCCTGTTATTAAATGCAAGAGTTAACGCCGTAAATCCATCAACACACATTAAATGTCAATATGACAACCGAGGACATTCCAGTTGTTTTACTGTCTCTCTTGCGTAACAGCATATCAACCTGATTATGTGATCAGCAGGTCTATTTTCCTGACTTATAAACTTCACTCTGTTATCTAAGTTCAGCGTGACACGTAAGAGAGAGCTGATACTGAGAAGATGTGGACTCAGTGGGTGTCATTGTGTCTGTGATATCTGTAGATCATTTTGAAGATTCAGAACAACTTTCCCGTGGTCCTGCATTAGCATGTTTTGAAGCGACTGCCACAGCTGTCATTCAAACAGAAATTTAAACTCCCATAAGCCGACCAGTCTTGCAAGTCTACAATAATGCAAATATTAACTTGTTAACAGTCTACTAATTCTGGCGCCGACTTAGAGGGTGATGAGGTTTAATCCTTTAATTGACTGAACACATACATTCCCACTCCTGAGTGATGTTTTGTAACATTACCTCCAAAAGTAAATCTACAGTACACCTGACAGAACTCTTTCTCTCAGACAGCAACCTTCAGTGTTCGACTATGAGGCAAAAGCAGAAATGTTCCCTCAGTGTGCTTTAGACAATCCTGTTTCACCTCAGCCCATCCTAAACAGGACCCAGTCCAAAAATATAGCTAGAGTTCTGGATGTTTTTTTCTCATCACAAACTCAGATGGATTTTATTCATGGTCAGGAGTAAAAGTTGCTACTGCAATATAACTTTAAAAAACTATCTCTGCGACTCTGAGAGCTCATCCTCATTATTTTCCTCCCAGATTCAACTTTACAAGAAAGAAGATGCTGAAACTGTGTGAAAGTGAAGCTCTTCCCAAAATAGCATTTCATGTTCGAAGACATTGACTGGCACGTCACAAAGACGCGTTGTCAAAATCAGGTTTGTTGTCTTCAAAGGAGCTCAAATAAAGAGATTTTGTTTAAATGTGTTTACTGGAGTACGAAACTGATGACTCTTAAGTATTAAATAAGCAGATGTGTGTCAGTCTACTGGTGTCTGAGATACAGACTATCTTTGTACGCTTTAAGAGTTTCAGCCTCATTTATTCTGACATCTCTGCCTCCATAATCGCTGCAGAGAATATGTCATCTCTCCACTTCTTGGCATCTTGACAATTTACAACAGATAAGTGAAACCTGCTCATTTCACCGTCGTCTCCTTCCTCCGGAGACGCAGACGGAGAGCCTGTTTGCATTTGATTGAGTCTTAAAGCTGCCCGACAACTCCCAGTGAAGTGACTCTTAATATTTAATAAGCATCTGAATCTTTAATGCAGCTCTGACATTTCCCACTATCTATTAATTTACAGACCGGCAGTAAAATCTGCCACAGAGTCTCTACTGCAGAGGGGAAGTCACGCTAAACTCTTTTCATCCTCTGCTTTGTTTTTACCCTTTCCTTTTTTGTATCTGGATTTATTCTGAAAAGTCAAGTCACTTTGTGGGTTGTTCCCTTTTAATGACTGCAGTGTGTTCTGCACATACAGTCGATGATACTGTACCGACAGGCTGCAGGTGATCAGAGAGATTAGAAAGAGAGACACACAGAGAGAATGAGTAAGAGAGTTCTTTTTTCTGCTATCACAGGTTAAATACGGCTTCTTTCATGCTGCTGTTTTAAAATGTATGCGCAGCTGCTTTCTTACTATTGGACTGGTGTGAAATGCTGCATCATTAATGAGTCCTGGGGGCAGCGTAATCAGACATACAGAGAACCAAGACGCAGGAAAGGTGAAGAAGGACACACTGCTGTGTGTATAAAGTGAGTCAATCAGAGTGAAAACTGCATCTCTAAAAGGTTGAGTTGAGTGGGTGACAGTTCTATACTTCTATATGTGAGTATTAATAATAATTATAATGCATCAGATTTTATAAAGCGCTTTACATTGGAACTACCTCAGAAGTCACAGCTGCCCTGGGGCAGACTGACGGAAACTCGGCTGCCAATTATTTTAGTTTGTAACACCCCTGCTGCTTTAATGCCAGGAGAGTTCATCTTGTTTTTGTACACACTCACTTCTGAGCCCGATCTGTAACGGTGAAAATGTTAACAACACTAAATATGTGTCAGCTTTCACAGGAGTGACAGGACAGAGACAGGAGTGTTACCTTCTTCATGCGCATGCTGCGTCTTTCCGAGGCGTTCCTGACAAACGGAGACTTCTTGGAGAGCGTGGAGCTGTCGCTGTCACTGCGGTTTATCTAGAAAAACAGAAACAGAACAGAAAGTTATGCGGGATCTGTCGACAAGAGACGAGACATCTCTTCTCTTCGTGTGTTTTCAGTTGGTGTTGGTTACCCTGCAGATGTACTGGCTCTGAGGTCCAGGGGAGAAGGTCTTGGAGCGGATGATGGTGTTCCCTCTCATGAACGGGTTCTGCTGCCGAACGTCCGGGCGGCGTTCCTTCGGCCGGACCACCGAGTGGTGGTGGGACGACGAGGAGCTGTCCGTGCTCGTCTCCTTGTTCACCTGGATAGAAAACAAAGAACAGTAATCACCTAAAAATTTCATGGTTAAAGTCGAGAGGTTTTTTTAAATTAGGGAAAGTTACATCAACATATGAGAGAGAGAAAGACTGAAGTAAAGATTTTAAATTCCTAAAACTAGCTTATGACACAAAAATAACCTTATCTCAAACAAAGGTGATTCTACAGTCACAAATAAAGACGTTTTTTCCTTCTCAAGCTGCTGTTGAAGTTTGTCTCTTTGCCGCCTGTATCATCTCTGTCATGGATATTTTTCTGAGTTGCAGCTTTTTGAGAAAACAAGATTTCTTTTCTCCACATTTCTTTCTGATTCCTTTAGAGAGAGAAACAAGCCCAATATCGACATTACCTTTTCTGTGATTGTTGCTGTTGAAGCTGCTGGTGCCAGATGAGGAGGTTTCGTCATCTTCTCCTCCTCCTCATCCTCTTCCTCCCACTGGCTGCCATCCGGATAAAATCCCTCTTCCTCCTCCTCCAGACCGCCCTCACCTTCCTCACCATTTCCTTCTTCATCATCAAATATGTCTCCCTCCAAAAGTTCGCCGTGCCTGAAGAGTGAACACAGAGATGACGTACTTTGAGTGCCTGTTCCGGTTCACAATGACACCAGAACAACTTGACTCAGCAGTAATAATACTTGGACTTGAGCTTAGGACTCACAGGATGGAAAGGAGGATTGAATGTTTTTATTGACAAAGATTATGAATGTTTATGTTGGTTTTTCCCTTATAACGTATATGAGGTCTAGATCATTGATTCTGTTCAGAGAGAGGGCCAGTATGTGTTTAAACATGCAGTTCTGTTCAGCGAACAGAAGAGACGCCACAAATCCTGCATTTTGCCATAAAAAAACATAAATAAATAAATAAATTTAAAAAATCACAGAAACTGCAGTGAGAAGCTGTGCAAACATTGTGGATATGTTTAAGAACTATTGATGAACACAAGGGATCTGACCAGGCTCACCCAGAAAAGTTAGTGAGATGTAAGCCTAAGTTACCAGGAGTGTTGGTTAAATCACTGTTAGCAATGTTTGCCTCTGGTTACCTATAATTCTGATAAATTCAAATTTTTTTTTTTTTGTTATTTTCCTTTTTTAAATCACACATATAAAAAAAAAGAAATGAAGTTGTTCTCTCAGCCCACAGCTGAGCAAAATATCTAGAGCAACCTCCCTGAAGACAAAAGGTTCGGTGATTTGACAACAACGCTGTATTGTAAAGATGATCCTAATTCCCTGCAAAGCAAACTATCGCACTATGTTTATTTTCTTCTTCAGAAGTTTCAAACCTGAGAGTTTAGACTTGATCATCTGAAACGGCTCTGAAAGTGGACTTAAGGCATTGAGTAAATCCAACAATACGTAGTTCAAACAGTTTGTCTTCTGTTATTGATGGAAAAGTTTGGGAAGCAGAATCACTCACCACTCGTTGTCTTCAGGAACTCTGCCTCCAGAAACACCAGAAATCACCGGAGTCTGAAACAAACAAGATGGACACCTTTTAATTCAAAACTGTTATAACATGACTTTTTTTTCCACGTGTTCAACTGTTTGGTCTCCTCCTTCTCTCCATATAAATCATACCACATGGTTCAAATATACACCAAAAGAATCTGATACTTCTAGACCTGTGAAAGCATTAACCTGTGGATGTGTTTTCTACTACAAACCTAATACATTCAACCCATTAACCGAGTAAAGGTTGAAACTCAACAGGCTTTTATCACCTAATAATTTTCAGTTAAGCAAAAAATCTTTTGAACTTTAATTTTTCCAAAAATGAAGAAACCACACTCTTTAAAAAAGCAGCTGCAGCCTCTCGGCGTTCCTTTTTTCAACAGTGAAGAAATCAGACTATCCCTCTGTACCCTGTCAGAGCTGCCGGCTGCTCGTCTCTCTTTGTCCTTGTTCGAGATTTCAGGCATGTAGGCTCGACTCAGCAGGTTGTACCACTTGGTGCATCTCTCTTCTGAGCAGCTGACGTCAGCCAGGCTGATCTGAGAGCCCGCCTGGGAGAAGGAGAGGATTCAGGGATGTTAGCAGATTTAAACAGAGGGAATACCTGGAATACAGCGGAAATCACTTTTCAAGAAGCAGTCTTGGAAATCATTTTAGTTTCCCATGATGCTTTGTGTTCCCATGTTTCTGTTGTTTTAAATATAGGAACTCTACAACCAGGATAAATAACCATGATCAGGATGTGATGTTTATTTGAGAGCCTCTTTGACCCCTCAAGAGTTAAACTGAGCAGATTTACGTCATTCAGACATTCAGCGGGGCGCCACTGAAGAGCACAAATCACGACGTCGGGCTGTGACAGGTAACGTTTAACCGGTACATCTAGTCACCTTTTATAAGTTAACTAAGAGTAATAAACACAGAGTTCACAGAGTTTAGTCGTAGTTATGTCACAGTTTATAATAACACATATTGACTAATCAGTATGACTCCATCGCTTATCTTAGTGTTGGATTCAATACGACACATCTTTGCAGTCAAATATTTGCTCCTTTAAATTTCATGGTTTAGAAAAATCGTTTAAAGACTTAATTTGTCAAGAAAATGTGACACAGACGACAAACAAAGTGTTGAAGCTGAAAATATTTCTGAAACGTGAACGTTCTCATTCAAAATGTGACACAAGCTCCAGATTTTTAGAAAGTTGGGGCCGGTGGTCTGTGTACGATCATGTGGTGGCATGTTTTCTTCTGTCAATGTTCAGGAACCAAGTGGACCAGTTTCAGGAGGCGTAAAAGCGAGATGTTGTATCATTCTTGTCTGGCGAGGGATTTCAGGTACTGAACATTTCAGAGTCCCCATCATATGTGTTCATGTCAAATATCTTTAATGGGTCAGGAAGGCCACTGTAGCACCCGGACTCTCTGACGAGTGTTTTATTGTCCCTATTTTGAACTTTTTGAAACATGTCGCTGGCATCAACTTTACATTTTCCACAAATCGATGACATTTTGCGGTTGAAACATTCGGCATATTGTCTACGCAGTGATTTCAATCAAAAATAGACTTTAAACGATTTACAAACCATTACAATCTGTTTCCTTAACCTTTCGGCATCATTTTTATCCAATCTGGAATTTAGTCTGCAGAGTAAGAGGGGTTTATTCAGCGAGTTTCTCACAGACATATAGGTTTTTGTGTTTATATCACACTGCTGTCACAACAGAAACAGAGAGTGCCTTTGAGATGTCCTCTGATTCAATCTCCTCTCAGTGTGGGATTTATGCTTTATGTTTATCACCAATAAATGTGCGGGCCCTCTTCCAAAAGCTTCTGGAAGCTAATCTGAGGGGGTCATTTTTAAGGGTCTGTTTTATTCTACTCCCCTCGCTGGACCACTATGAGTTTTTGTGACGCATGAAAATAAATCAACAGATTTTACTCAAATTAGGAAATAAACTCAAAAGTTATCGAGGTTTGTTTTTTATGCAAAACATTTGCATGTTATTTTGAAGGACTTGCGATCCTCTCACCATAAAACATGAATAAAATCAGATTTTGGATTTACACAGTTTGAAAAAAGCAAAGATTAATCCCTGCACCACGGTTGTAAAAGAAGAAATTAGACTTCCGCTCACCAAACAGTCCTCATGGCCGGACTTGCTGGTGTTGCAGACATCGACCCTCAGCGTCTTCTGCCGCAATGCACTGTGGGATATCTGCATGCCGAACACTTCGTTTATCTCCACGACTTCCTGAGGCAAAGAGCTGCGTGTTCGGAAGAGGCAGCATGTCGTCTCCACGCAGGGTAGCACCGCTACACGCACATACCTGCGGGACACACGAGTAAAAGCTTCGGTCACATGATGCAGGTTTTCAACACGTCTGCTTTGAATGCAACTTTAATGTCGCTTTAAACAAGGATGCTGACACCAAAGGTGCATGCAAATGCATCCACACTCCCGTACAGTTCAATTTCCAAACAGGGACTCGGGTAAATGTCATTATTCACACTTTTTTTGAGCAGCACAGAGCACCACTTCTTGTAAACACACAGAGAGCACTTGATAAAACATCCTCCCTCAGAGTCACATCTACATGAGCAAACAGTGACTGCAGAGTCACAAACAAGACACGCCTGAGGACAAAGTAAACTCTTCAGGAGGCTTTGCTCTGTTACCCAAACACGAGGACAAAGTGATAAATAGTCTCCGTATAGTCTGAGTGTTTACTGCCACTGTGTTTTCTCGTCTGTCATTAGAATACATACTAAACTACTTGTTAATAGTAGCTTTGTGAGCCTTTTTACAAGCTTGTTTTCCTCTAATTACTCGATAAACATCTGAGAAACAAAAGAAAACCAAAGGAGACTGACATTTTCTGGTCAGCTGGCAGACAGAGGGTGCTGCAGTTCGACAGCTGCATGACGTAGACGGTGAAGCGTTGGTCTCTGGACTCGTAGCGGAAACCGAGCTGAACCTGAGAGCAGCAGAGTGCCAGCCGCTCCTCATAGGAGCCCAAGAGGAGGTCTGCAGGGAGGCCCTGCCTGGAGAAGACACACACACACGAGAGGCAATTACTACTGAGTGGGATACAAAGATGAATGCTAAGAGGACCACATGTTTATTTTAGATATTTAAGACTGAGAAAAGCATCATAAGACCTCTATTAAAACAGACACAGATATAACAGATTAGCCCACTCCTTGTAATTTACCTTGTCATATTTTGTTTATTTATATATATATATATATATATATATATTTTTTTTTTTTTTTTGTTTGTTTTGTATTATTTTTTTAACTCTATTGCTCTTATCTCGTTGTTTTACGCTACTGTTCTTACTCTGTAAAGTGACCTTGAGTGTCCATAAAGGCGCTTATAAATAAGATGTATTATTATTATTTTAAGTCATGCAGAGTTCAATCCGATGTTATTTCTCATAGGTTATAAGACTCTTAGATACCGGCGCTCTGAGGGCTCGTACACGCCGCTGTCACCAGCCACTGACTCGTCAGAAACCGCTGAGGTCACGCCGATCTTCTTTGGCCCCGCCCCTGTTCCTCGCAGCTGTGGGGCTGAGTCTGAGGAAAAGAGAAGAAGGCTAAAATCTTTAGTATAAATAATTCTTCACTGTTGATCATATCTGTTTATGATATTATACAAAAAGGGGAAAAAGGAGAGGCAGTAAAGGGACCAAAAGCAGCTGTGAATATAGAGACCAGTATGTATTCATCCACCACTGAAAATAGAACTCACTCGGCTTCAACAGTATTCTCTCAAACCTTCAACCGCAGTTATTCTACTTCAGGAGTTCATGAAACTAAAACATCCGTCAATTTGATTCAGCATCTTCATGGCATTTGAACATCACAGAAACATGAAATGAGCCCTTTATTATCTCATAATTACAAAAATCAGACATGGCAGAAAGAGTCAGTGAGATCAGAGGATTTAAACAGATCAAATAAGCTGGAAAATCAGATTATGTGAGCCACGGTTAAAATCATATGTACGGTTTGTGTGGGAGTGTGGCTTTTTGTCAACGTGCGTCAAAACTGCTCCACATCTTACACGCTCGGAGAAAACCTTGAGCTGCTCTGGTGCTTGAAAAACGAGCGAAAGAAAATAAACACCTTGAAGAGAAGAGAAGAGAAGAGAAGAGAAGAGAAGAGAAGAGTGCCTGATTCTGGTTTTAATTACCCAAGAGTCAAATCAAAGCAGTCAAAACATGTCAAATATCATCACATTGAAGGAACACTTAGTATCTGACCTCTTCAATGGAAGACACTGAAGTATCACACACATAACATTTTTTTTTGTGTGTGAATGTTTTTGATTCTCGGCCTTTTGAAAGAGTTTCACGGGTTATAGCAGAACGACCTTGAGCTGAAGAATGAAGAGAGGAAATGGAGTATAGAAATAAAAGCTGAGGACAGCAGAGGAGATTAAATCAAATAGATTTGCACAAAAACAGAGAGCACCTTTGAGTCTCTGCTGAGACGTGCTTGTGGCTCTTAAAAGCCTCCAAAAGTATTATGGGAGGGGGAGCCTTCAGATCTCAACCCCCTCTCTTCTGAAATCACCTACCAGCCAGGGTCCAGGAGGTGGACACCCCCTTTCTAAAAGTGCCTTAATTATGCTGCTTGGAGCCGGGCACATTGGGCTATCCTCTCCCTCTTTCTCTAAACTCATTCTTCACCTTGAAGAAATGTCTCTGCAAAGATTTGACTAAACTCACCGGTCTAAGTCACAGAATGTGGGCTGGAGAGCTGAAATAGCATGCAGGCCTACATACTGCAAACTTTGACTGGATGTGGGTAGACATACAGCAGCACGTCATCCATGTTCCCTTTTTTTGGCATACTGCTACTGACAAACATGTATATATAAATCTTATTCAAACATTCATTTCCCCTGTTGGCTCATACATGCCAGGATTCTGTGTTGATCCAAATTCTGCCTTTCTTGTCTATAGGAGGGCTGTCTGCTCCCACAGGCAGCAGACAGCCCTGCAGAGAGTCTGTAACACGTCCAGCTCTGGCAGCAGGGATGGAGAGTGAACAAGAAACCAGACACCGAGTCGTCCACCTTTCACCTGAAGCTGCAACCTGAGTCCGGTTCAGCTCCAGTGAGCTCAAAAGCTGCTTCAGACTGCTGCTGACACTTACTACGATTGGGTCTCAATTTCAGGCCTGATAGAAATAATAATCTGCAAACTTCCTCTGTATCATCCTATCAGAATCAAGTATTCAAAAACAGCCGAGTGACTCGTAAGGAAACTGGCATTGATGCTTCTTTAAGTCTCTGCTGCACTAGAATCTTCCTGTTACTCTTATTGTGAAAGAGAATTCGTTTTAGAAACAGACATAAAAAAAGAAAAACCACATTAAATCTACCGTAAATTTTAAATGAACAGGTTTTTTCCTAACTTTTCAAAGTTTTTTGATTCATCTTTAGATGCACAATTTAATCTGTAGTCTCAAGGAAGTGTTGTTTTGCTCATCCTTACGTGAATTGTGCTTCACAAGCATTACAAGTAACTATTTTGCTGTCTGTGTCTGACACTTAAAATACTTAAAATGGGCTTAATAATTGATGCATTAACCCACCGGCTATACATACTGGCAGAACTGGAGCTTTAATTAGCTGATACTGACACCATACCAACAATATTCTGCATAAATCCAGGATGAGAAAACGTGTGTATATGTTAAGATAAATTTTTGAGGGGCTCTTTGCTTTTATTTTGATAGGACAGGAAATATAAACTTGTGTTCATGCACGGGTTTGGGTTCACTGCAGGAAAGAAATTCACCCATACTTCAGCACACTTTAATAATTCTTTCTGTCATACTTACAGTGATAATAAACCCAATACATCACTAATAAATGATTTGGATAACTACATTTTAATTTATTATATATTAATAAATCTGTTTCCTTTAAGAGAACGGACCAAACTGGAACAATGACCAGCCCATTACTGTCTGAATTGTCATAGAAATGCATTTAAACAGTTCAAACAGCACACAGATGACCTAGCGTCTGTAATCCAACACCATCCTCTTTCTTCACCTCCCCTCTCCTCATCACCTTCAACAGCAATCAGGTTTCACACACAGTATATCATCTCTCACACACACACAGAGCGAGGGGGCTGGGTAGGGTGGGGGGTTCCTGCTTTCCAATAAAGCTGAAGTGTATCGTACGCTGTCTAGAGTAACACAGACAGAGGTGTTACATCAGCACTGACTCTGTTGTTGCTGTTCATTAAACTGCTGGTTGTACATCATGATTATCGTGTTATTTATGAGAATTATCATACGAGTCATTAACCTGCAGCCCTCCTCAGTCATTATGCAAACACAGTTTTACTGCTGCAGAGATGAGACTTGATTCACTGTCGTAATGCAGTCAAACGTTTGAGCGTTTTGAACTTCTGTCTGCGACACGACAATGTTAGCTGCTCAATAATGCACACTCAAATTTTGATTATTTATATCTGCAGCTTTCTTCAGCAGTGGCATTTCAACATGACTTTATCATTTATCAGTGTGGGCCACTTTGTTGTGGAGTTTGTCTGAAGAACCCAAAAATAAATAACACCCCCACAGCTTTTCCACATTCTTTTGAGTGCATGTGGTTTGGGACTTTCTCTGTTTCCAGTCAGGGGTTTTCCACCGTTTCATCACACAATCACATTTTTTCATCTTTGAAAATTGGAGCAGCAGTTTTGTGTTTGTCCCTGCGCTGCTTTTAACATGAAAATGCCCCTGTGCGCAATTCCAGTCTCATGATCAAAGTATCTCCTCCTTTTATGATTATAATCATTACCCCACGTCTCTTTCTGCCTTGAGTGTTATTTGTCTGAAATAATTTGTTTTTCTTCTGAGTGAAAAAAGACATACAATAAAAAGAATAACAGCGCCATATTTACCTTTGACCTCTTCACCCAGCGTCATGTTGTGGTTCTGCTTCTCCTCCAGCCCCCTGTGACCCCTGTGCTCCCCCTGGCGCACATCCTGAGAGTCCAGGCTGAGCTCCAGCTCTGCTAGCCTGCTGTGGAGCTCCAAGTCTAGGCTCAACCCTCCAGGTCCAGTCTGACCTGCGAATGTTTCTCCCGACAGGAAACTAGTGTCTGTGACGAGTGGCGAGCAGGGCGGGGACAGCGAGGACAGAGAGGAGCGTGGGGAAAGGGAGCTCATGGAGCGAGGGGTCTCTGACAGTCTAAGGGCTTGGATCCTGGATGACCCCGACTCCACTCCAACACCTCCTCCCCCTGCACCTCCTCCAGCAGTATCACCCGCTCTCCCCTCAGGCCTCCCAGAGTCTCTCCCCCTGCTGCCCGTCACCACCTCGTGTTCGTGGATGGTGGTGATGGAGCTGGAGGGTCGGTAGCCTCCTTGGCCTCCCTCCTGCAGGAGGCTGTCCAGCTTGTTCTGGAAGTCCGGGTCGGCCAGCTCGGGCTGCTCCAGGTAGAGGTCTGTGAAGCTGAGCGAGGAGGTGGAGCCCAGGCTAGAGGTGGTGGCCAGAGAGCCGCGGCTTGAGGTCAGAGATCCTCGACTGCTGCCAGATGAACAGGACAGAGTGCTGGCAGACAGGCTGATGATGAGAGAGACACAAAAAGAAAGACAAGTATGATTTTGATTTCAGGACAGTCTTCATAAAACTCAGAATTAGCATTCATCAAAGTGCGTTTGTGTCCTCAGCCTGTTTACACTTCAGCTGTTCAGCACTATGTCACATGCTGCATCAATCTGATTGGTTGTCTGTACAATCAGCTCCAGTTAGCTGTGGATGCCAACCTTCTCTGGAGAAAATGAATTAAAAAGTTCCAGATGTCAAGCCAGCTCAAACCGGCTCTTTAGAATATTTTACAAGCTATAAAATATTTTAATTTATGAATCTCAGGGGTGGGAGAAAAATCGATACAGCATAGTATTGCGATATTTTGTCTGGTGATATATCATTTTCTCCCATTTTCTAAGTATCGATTTTTCAAATTAATTGCTTCCATTAAGTCAAATCTATGATAATGGAAAAATAAAATCAACTGTTTGTCCAGTGAGGTTGGCAGAGGTGACATCATAGAGCAGGAGAAAGTTAGTGCAGCGAATATATATATATAGATGTGCTACATGAAAATAAAATACAGTGTAAATAAGACAAACATAAAGGGAAGAAAAATGCTAAATCAGCTGAACAGTTGAAAAATTGTATAAATCTCAATATATTGTATCACAGTACTCACTGTATCGCAAAATGTTCAAAATCGTGATAATTTCATATCGTGGCCCAAGTACGGTGATCATATCTTATTGTGATGATTCCCACCCCTAATGAATCTAATATGCTATTTGTAACATAACACCAGCCTTGACTTGACTTTTAACTGAAAACAAGCCCTGCTGATCTCATTGTCTATCCAAGCTCCTTCTTTCGTTTTTATTATTCCACTCCTGCTTGTTTGCACATGAGGCAATTTAGCTTTTTCCAACGAGTAAACAATCTGCTTCAGTTTGAATCCTGAATGGATTTCTGGTTTCTAGCTTCTATAAGGTGTTTAAATGGACTCTTATGGTGTTAAGAGGCTCTCTGGATGGGAATTTATTTTGCAGTGAAGCTATAAAGTACCCTGTAGACCTTGAGTAAAAACAAGCTCCGATTTGTTGTCTTTATTTGAGGTCCTTATTGAGGTTGTTTCAGAGGTTCAACGAAGCATAAAAACCTGTAACAAAATGTTCAAACTCTGCGAACAGTAGCTTGAGGAGTTTTGCAGCTCTTTTGTTACATAGATTTATTGCAGCAGGCGAAATGTATCCTAAACATCGATCAAATTTATAACCAATTAAAAGTTTCCAACAACAGTGAGAACAGAACTACATATTGGAGCTGAGGGACTACTTTCAGAACTTTCAGGCGGAGGTCGAGTCATTTATTTGTCCCTTCGGTGTGTCCTCCTCTGTCTACAGCCCTGCCTCTGTGTGAACATGTCTCTAATTAAAGCAGGAGGACTCGTTAGGACAGACAGACAGAGAGGAGATCCTATCCACCAGGGAGACATTTGATTTTCGAAAGAATGGAGGACAGACGGGGTGACGAGACAACTGAGAGAGAGAGGAAGAGAGAGGAACAGAGAGCAGCCGGAGGAGACAGAGACAAAGACAGAGAGCACTGACAGCTCATAAGACCGTTGACTCCTCACATTATCACTGTTGAACTTACAAAAACACCACTGTCAAACATTAAAGGACTCGGTAACATGTGCAGCTCTTACAGGCGCGTTGCATCACCTCATGAAAATGTTATTCTCAGAGCTGTCCTGAAATCTGGGCTGAGAATTTTCCCTGTTCTATCTCATGACCGGATTAAAGAGACAGGCAGAACAAAACGTCTTCAAACTAAAGCAAATGTTTCAATTCTTTGACGTCGAGTTTTCTGTTTCTCCTTTTTCCCATCAGAACCTTGCTGCCGGCTGAATCTGCAAACTGAAGGCGAGCCTTTTTGCAGTGAGTCATCAACAACTTAGTCAGAAATCAGTTTGACTGTTTTTTAAAACACAATCAGAGCCGCTGAATATCAACTGGAAACACAATACAGTCGCTGTAATTGGGGGAAAAAACACTCTATTATCAAGAGAAGACAAAAACATCATTGTGTGACATTATGACAGCTTGCAAACAGAAGAATATTGTTACACTAAGAAAACTCAGACTGTGTCTGTGTGTCTGTCTACACAGCTGGAAACAACAAACGCTTAGAGGCGGGTTTCTGTCCACTTCAGTTGGGGTGTTGAATAGTTAATGTAAAGTTCAGACCCTCTTGAAGGATTCTGGGGTGTTCCCAGGCCGGACTGGGTATGAACTCCGGATGTACCCTCCAAGGTGGACTCTGAAGAGAGGTGTTCAAGGGGGCATCCAAAACATGTCAGGACCACCTTGACAAGCTTCTTTTGATGAGAAGGAGAAGCCTGAGCTCCTGACCTCGTCTCTAAGGCCGTGTTGGCCACTCCTCATTCTTTTGATCACTGACGAGGGTTTGAACACAGATCCACTAATAAATCAGATGCTTTGCCTTCAGGCTCAGGCTGTAAGATAGTTCAACTCCTTCACTTGGAGAGAAGACTTTTTAGGGAGGTGAAAATGAAGAGCACCAACGGCTGGACAGTTCAGGTAAAGGACAATTCCATAATAAGTTTGCCTTATATGGAGTATTTTAGTGCTCTTAAACGATATACTATGTTACTGTAAGTTATGTTGTAGTAAGGTACTCTGTGTTATAATAAGATATACACAATACACTATAGGCCTGAACGATATATCGTTTGACTATCGTCATCGCGATGTACGTGTGTGCGATAGTCACATCGCAGAGCCTGCGATATTGGAGGTGAATGAACTCATTTAATTTCAAGGGTAACCGACTGAGATACACCCCATGTGACTCTGCATGTGCTGTGCAACAATCCACCAATCGCCTTCGTCCTTAACTCAGTTGCCAATCAGACTCACTTCTCAGTTGCCAATCAGACTACCCTGCCAGCTGTCAATCAAAATCAGGGAGGAGAAAACCCACCCCTGCACATGTTCTGCACATGGAGGGAGACGTGTGTCCGCTGAGAATTACTTTCGGAACTTTACTCATGACTATTAAGCCCAACAAATAAGAACTGTATGGGTTTTAAATTGTACATTTCCGTGGACCACTCTACTATAAGCAGTGCGCGTTTTGCGAGGTGCATGCAATTTTCGGAGGACATGCGTTTCTCGGCACAACACCGCTAACAACAACAACAACAACGATCGCAAAATGAACAACGAACAAGCGAAAACCACCGAAAATGAAGATTTGTTGCCAAAAAGAAAAGGAAAGTCAGTTATCTGGAATTATTTCGGTTAAAAGAAGGATGATGTCGACCAAAACACGTCTTCTGTGTTCATCTGTTGCCACAATAACGTCCCAGCACAATAAAAGCTAAAAATATCTCTAAGACAGACAGAAGCCGTTCTACTAACATTCACAAAAAGAGGTAAGATCAGAGCAGATTAACTGTCCTCAAGATTTCAGCAGTGCAGCATAACATTAAGTGCTATTCAGGTCATCTGGTGAAAATACTGTATTTTTAATATCGCAATATATATCGCAGGGTTGAAAAAATCGCAATATTATTTTTTTCCAATATCGTGCAGCCTTAATACACTACCATCAAACATAGAACAGATAGGATACAACGCTATAGGACAGTCTGGACAGTCCTTCACGACATGACCAGCAAACTGAAGTTGTACCAACCTTTTCAGTTGAGTGTGTAGTGACGTGGCGAGTCGGACCATCTCCTCCAGCTCTCTGACCAGTTTATTCCTCTTACAATGAAGTCGCAGCCTGAAACCACAAACACAAACTTCATCTGCAACAAATCGAGAACAGTTTGAGATCTTTTCAGTCAGTTCAGGACCTCGAGGCGTAAAGCGATATCTTTGAAAAACATCAGCTCAGTCCTTTATCTTCGCAAACAGTAGAGAGGAGACGTTTGCACTTGAAAAAGAGTTGACTAATCTGACATTAAGGCTGGGATGTTTTCAGCTATTATTAACGGCCGCTTTGTATTCAGGTGACAGCGGTGTCATTTGTAGGTACGAGCTTTGTTGGAGAGGAAACTGGTCCATTAAGAGCTGTTACTGGGAGCTATGGTTTGAATGGAAACAGGCCAAGGAGGAGGAAGACTGTGATCAGATTGCAGACAGCTGCTGGCATCAAAGGTGCGCTCAGATTCATCTTGTCTTGTTTCTTTTTCTCTGTAGAGAAGTTCCCAGTTCAGGGAGAAAACTGTTTCCTCAATTAACAGGTTTTATTTTTGCAATAACATCATGATGCAGATCTGGGAAATGAAAAAAGTCTGGCTTGTCATTGTTTGGATTATTTTCCCGCATTCTCCTAAGACCACTAAAAGGTAATTGGTTGGACTGCAAACATACTACCTACCGGCAAAGACTAGAACGCTGCAAAGGTGATCATGCACACTCGAGAGTATGAAATCTACATTTTTATGCAGAATCTGTAGAGATTACAACCCACGATTAAAGCTTTACACTTTAAGAGAAGTTTTAACTGAACCTCTGATAATAACCTGTGTGGGTGTGAAGAATCTTTACAACCCTTTAAAATTAATGAAATCGCCAACCAAGGACTCTGATTCAGAGAGTGCTTTAACATCGTAACACTGATATTAAAGAGTGTGTGCATATTTCTCCTCTCTGAGTGTTTAAGAGTGTGTGTGTGTGTGTGTGTGTGTGTGTGTGTGTGTGTGTGTGTGTGTGTGTGTGTGTGTGTGTGTGTGTGTGTGTGTGTGTGTGTGTACAGGAGCGCAGAAGGACTACAAGAGGTCTCTTTTGTGAACAGGCTCTGCAGCTGCTCAGGTTTCAGGAACAAGAGATGAGACACAAAGAGAGAGACTGAGCTCAGGTAGAGTCTGACCTAAACACCAAACAACGAGAGTCCTGTTAGAGAGGGAGAGATTAGAGGGGGGGGTTGTTGTAGGATCCTTGTTGCTCTTGGTTTGGCGACTATTTGCTAGAGGAAACTAAACTTAAAGGAAATATGTCACAAATAATACATAAGAAAGCACAAACTGAGGTATAAAATTTAAATTTTGTTTATAGAGGAGGGAGTAAAGTAGAGGAACAAGGGCGATGGCTGTCGTGTTCGTCTTTCACTGTTAATAATCTTCAGAGGGTTTGACGTCTGTAAAGGTCAAAAGTGTCAGACAGCAGCAGAAGAAGGTCAGCCGTTTCACCAGGAGAAGACACAATAAGGACCTCAGTTACACACATCATGCTGCTGTCATCAGCTGTGTGACCTTCTTAATGACTCTGCTCTTCACTCCGACTTTATGCGAGAACTCAAAGGGGGAATGGTTTGGCTCAACCATCCTCTACTTGTGCAGTTTTCAGAGTATCACTGAAGTTTTAAATCACTGCTGGTGAAGCAGCATCAGGACATTTCTGCAGGAAGTTTCAGACATAATCCTGAATGTCTCAGAGATAGAAAGCTCTGTCTGAACACCGGCTGAATGCTGTTACAGCTTCATCACAGACAGATAGTTCACAGTTTATAAGACAAACTTAGGTATTTGATGTTGAGTAATAATGTCTGCTCCCACCTCTCGGTCAAAGCTTTGCTCTGGTTGTCTCTGGCAGCCTGCAGGTCTCTCTCCAGTCGTTTCTTCTCAGACTCCAGCTTCTCGGCGTCGTTGGGCTCCAGACGTTGGCGTGGGCTGACGTATTGCAGCTCTTTCAGAAGCTCCTCCTTCTCGTTGATCAGGATCAGGCGGTCTCGCTCCGGGTCCAGCAGCCCCGGCCACGCCTCGCTGTCCAGTTTGGCGATCTGAACCTCAATGGTGGCGATCCTAAGGGGACAGAAGAGAAGAATGACAAAAATGGTAATGTAAACTGGAACCAAAGTCAACAGATCCAGCTAAAATTCACACTTTGATCCATCTCTCTTAACAATAAAGGGAATCAAACCTCCATCTTTACTAGATAACAACTTTAATCTAAAAATACACGAAAAAGCCACTTTTTTTTAATCAAATTTTTCTCTGGAAGGGTCTAAGGATCCTACTCTAGGAAATTTGGAGCATCAAACACCCGATGTTTACATTTTGGTGCATTTCAACTCGTCAACTTATGAAACTCATGAATTTGTCTTTCAATTGACATAAATTTCGTGTCTTTCCTGAAAGTTTACCTCTCTCTCTCTCTCTTGAATTGTGCTCGCTCACCTTGCAGGACTATCAATGATCTGATTCACTTTCTATATTTGTTTCACAGTTGGAAACTTTTTGGACTTGTTTACGCACCCCAGATGTCTGCCTCTTTCAATGTCACCCGCAGGCCTGAATACTAACCGGTCAGGCTGTTTACATGACTTGACTGTAGCTTTCTGTACCCCTAGCCCTCTAACTAAGTGTTCATCAATGGTAGTAACCCATTTCGGCCTTATTATTAACATTTCTTCTACAATACTTTTGCATGTCCGAGCTTTTTAATGAGACGCTTGCATGCTGCGGCTAAAATGTGAGGGCGCACAGTACAATTTAATGATCACACTCGCTGAGTCTGCACAGCTCCTGCAGAAACAAGGTTCAAAACAAACCCAGCAAGGAGTCGAATGATATAACATTGAAACACGGATTAAAAGAAAGTTGTACCTCCTCTTTGCCTCCTCGTACTTCAGACTCAGACGAACTTTCTCGGCCAGTTTGTTGGTGCTCGTCATGAACTGAGGACAAACACAGAAAAACAATCATCAGTCAGAATCCTACATAAACTAAAGAACAGTAAAATTAGTCAAGAATACAAATGACAGTACTTGTTCTGTAGGCTTTATTCTCTGTCTGTCAACACAAGATTTTATTGTTGGGACCAAGGGTCACGTATATCTAAGGTGTTGTCATTCAAAAATACATGTTCATCTTTAAATACTCTGTATAATAGATCACCAAAACTTAAGGCTCAAACAGTTGTTGAAAAAAAAAAATATATATATATATTTTTTCTATTTTTCTAGTGACTACAGCTATCATGTTTTGTCACTTTAATTTGACCTTGTTGGCTTTATTCAAGTTTGTGATCATTTGGAGAAGATAATAAGACCCTGCCGTGGACCCACCTCAGCAGGGATATCAGTCTGGGAGCCGGCGTCTGAGTAGAGTCGAGGGATGGACAGCTCAGAGTTCGCAAGGGAGGGACTGCTGCCCCAAAGCTCCTGCTGGGAGCCCGAGTCCAGCTGGAAACCGTCCTTCAGCACGGCCAGTTTCTGCACAGACAGCAGAGATAAACATGAACAAACTGCAGAGTAGAAAGTGGGACACTGCAGCAGGAATAAAAACCACAGAGCGTAAAAATAGGATGTGATTAAGGACACACAGAAACAATAAATCGCCGTCTTACACCGGGGAATAAAAAATATGGTTTTCAACAAGATTTGGATTAAATACGGCGGGACTTTTTAGCATCAGCTTTTGTGGACGAGATTCAGAGAAAGTCATTTTGTGGAAATCGCATGTACAAAAGATGAGAGAGTGAAAATTAAACTTGTGTTTCCTACAGTGATGCAGCAGCAGTGTAGCCCTCATCGGTGATTTAGACATGATGAAAATCGCACACATGACTATGCAGATCATTTTGGAGCCTGCTGAGGAATCCAGCTTATCTCTGCTCTTCAGAGTGAGCAGAAGAATAACATCTCATCCTGATGACAACTGCAGTATTTCAATCAGATTTTGCATCTAAACTGACTCCTGAGATTATTTTCGTCCTGTTCACCTTGGGAGGTTTGAATTTTTATTACTCAAATTTCTTGTCAGTAAAGACTTATTTTCACTTAATGAGGCACCTGCTGGACTACTTCACACACATGCACACACCCAACATCATATCAGCATCATATCAGCACTGCACTGAGTTACCCTGATTGGTTTGAGAGCTAGTTCTATTAACAGGCCTTTGCTCAGTGTTAATTATGACAACATACTCTACCACTGTATATCTAGACTGAAGTTCATAACAAGCTTTGTGGTTTTTTTTAAATAAAACACACAATATTTTAGTAACTCCAACACACTATTTTACTCTACTATACTGGTTTACTTCCTCCCACTTCATCTCTGATGTGCATACTGAACTTGGCGTCGTCTTTGTCTACTTATAAATGTGATTATGGTATATTTATTCTGTCTGCCTGCTTGTTGGTAGTTTCATTTCTCCTTTGCACATGTTCAAAATAAAAAATCTGCAGCAGTTCATTTTAAAAACCTTGTACTTGCACACTCAGAACCTCAGATTTTTGGATTATCCCCACAGACAGTTTAAGAAAAGCTTAGAATCCTTACAGCAAGATGCCAGAACTACAGATTTAAGATTCAATACCTTTGCTTTAAAGTGTTGTGTTTCTGTTGATTCATCAATCAATTAAGTTATTGTCTGCTTTAGCTTTAAGCTGCTGCTGTTTCTCAGATCTATTTGTAACATCACTGCACCTTTCTTTACTTTCCTAGTTGTCTTCCTCTGTGACATTAAGCTGTTAAGCTTGAAGAAATATACCATATAATTCAAAATGCAAATAGACAACAAGGACACACACGCTGTATATACAGAATGTGGCGCTGACAATCAGGCTGAGCTGTCAGCTGCAGATGGTAATAAAGAGGAGAGGTGGGAGAAAGGCAGGAAGAGAAAGAGAGAGAAAGAGAGAGACAGAGAGAGAGAGAGAGAGATGGGGGATGTCCTCAGAGTAGATTATGTATTATTAAACACACTTGTCTCGCTCTACCTGCAAACCAAAACCAGCCCAAACAAATCTACAGCCAGACATGTTCTGTATGAACTGAGGGATTAAATCTTTCATCGGGTCTGTGATGCAGAATATTGTTCACACTGAATGATTCATAAGCAGAAGTTTTAAATGCTAAGGTTCTTCAGATAGAGTTGCTTTACATTTTTCTGTTGTTAGAAGCTCCGTTCATCAATGATCAGCGCTGTAGAAACAATGCTGACACAGTCAAATAACAACCTGCAGTCTTAAGAAAGGAAGCTGAAGCAGTACTGCAAACAATGTACCACAAACCACATACACACTGAGCCAAAAAAGACCATTTTAGAACAAAACTAACATCTACAGCAGCTTGTTCTGGATGGCTCCCCACTGTACTGGTGAGTGGATTTTCATGGCAACACGTTCATCATTAAGGTTACAGTGCTGGTGAATCACAGACACAGGCGACTTGACTGACAGGTGGCCACACTGTAGCTGACCAAAACTAGGTTGAATTGGCATTACCAATATGGCGGCCACTGCCAATCGGCTTCAAAACTTTGCTTCATAAGAAATGGGACACTATGTCCAGTTTTTAATACAGTCTATGGACCTAACACAACACTAGTGTGATATAGTATGATGTGGTTAGATACCTCTCATCCAGTTTGCTGTGGCACACCAGAACACAATATAATTTGGTATTGTACAATATGTAATGATCTGACATACGCTTCAGTGAAATACACTGAGGTGAAATACCATAAATGTATACAGTGGGATATGATACCCTTGATGCAGTGGGGTACTACATAACATGATTACACATAATGATAATAATGACTCATTACGAAACAGTACAACATGCAACACAACAAATACCATAGGTTAGGATACAATATGACGAGACACCACAAGAGACAGTCCAGTACATATGATGCAGTAAAATATGATACTCTTATTATCTTGGCATCATCAAGGAAGTGATGAAACCCTTTAGAGTGTAGTTAACGACGACACTGTAGCTGATCTGCTGCAACATTAAAAGCAGTGATGGCGTCACAGGCGGTATCATGTCAAATATTATACGATACATACAAAGTCCATGAAAGCAGGTTTAAAATCCTCCACTTACCCAGTTATAATCTACAAAGGACATAAAAACCCCTCAGCTGAAAGGAAGAATACTCCCATCATAGAAAGTGTTTCCAGAAAATTCACCATAAACTGATGCTTACACAAGCCTCGTCGCAGTCTGAGCGAACATGACAGCTTGTCGTCTCATTGGCGGCGGCTCGGCACTAAAACGCCACCTGCCTCCCTGCAGCATCAGCTCCTCGGGGTCACCTCAACCTCTTTCAGTACAGCTAGCTCCTTTTTTTTATTACAGTAATAAATACTATAAAGTGTTTTTACATCCACACAGACTCTCCTGAGAGTCATCTGATGCCCTCATCTGCCTGCCTCACAGTCTGTCCTGTCCTTTCTGCCTCATGTCCTTGTTTTACTCCGACTTTATCTTCTTCTACTCCTAAATTTCTCTTTTTTTATCCTCATCCCTTCCTATCACAGGCCTATAAGGAAACTTTTAACCTTTTGCTTGCTGCAAAATCAGGACAGCTTTTGTAATTCTTGTTCTGTTTATAGATATTTACTTTAATGATAGATTCAAGTTTTATATGATTAATGTGCAGCAGTAATGAGTATAAGTACATAAAGAACGTTTTTCCAAGCTTCATTTCTTCATAAAATCATGAGATCCTGTCGCACAGAAGGCCCTCTCTGTGAGGCCCTTCACTTGATTACAGAAGTGTTTCTACCTGCATGAGCTCCTGTTTCTCCTTTTCCCCAGAGCTGATGGCATCTCGGATGGAGCGGACCTCATTGAGGATGGCCTGCGCCTCCTGCAGCTTGTATCCATACGGGCTGTTGGACACCTTCTGGTCAATTCTGGAGAACAAGAGACGGGGGGAAGAGAGAGACAAAAGATAATGGAGGTCAGTGGATGATGATTCACGGTGGTAGAATTTACAGCAGAGTTTCTGCAGCATACATTCAGCCTGTTAAAATGTCCCCGGATCACCTCAGTCATTGTTCCATCAGCTCCTTTCTTAAAATGTTTGCACAGAGAACTGGGTCAGACGAGCATGAATGCATTACAGAAACACTCTGACTCATTATCATACAGTTACACTTAGAGTGGAGCGAAGCTGCCAACTGTGACCACAGGTTTTTACTAGCAGTCACTCAGCTGGCTTTAATGCAAACGTACGAAGAGAGAAGGGCAAACAGCATTACTCATTCATTCTCCTCCCACATTTCAACTCTGATACAGCGCTGAGTTAGAACGGTGGTGCTGCCGGTAAAACAATACTGTGTTAAAGCCGTACTTTCAATGAACAGGGCTGCACAATCAATTTTATCTGGACTTTTTCATACAAGCAATGTTTTCACACCAGTTTATGATGTCAGATGAAGTGATGCTAAGAATCACAAAGCAGATTCTTAAAGAAAAATTCTACTCTTTCTAGGGGTGTCCCAAAACGATATTGATATTGGATATTGGTCCGATATCAGCAAAAAAAAATTGAAGATCAGATTAAATCGGCCTGAAATCTAAAATCTCTGATATCAGCACTCCGATACAAGCAGTCTATTCCAGACTCCGCTCAAGCACCTTTATCTAGCAGCGTCCTGATCCAGCATGCAGAGCCCACTTCATTTCAACAACAGTGTGTACTAAGGTACAAACAAAGAAGCAAGGAGTAGGAGTGTGTGGCGGTATTTTTCGTTGAAGTCCGGACAAGACATTGCAGCTGAGTGCAAAACGTGCAATTTTGTGCCAATATCGGATTAATATCGGTATCGGCCAATATTGAAGGCTACAATATCGGTATCGTGTCATAAGTAAAAAAGTTGTATCAGGACAGCCCTAGCTATTTCATTGCACAGTGCACATTTTTCTGACATCATGCAGCTCTACAAGAAAGATAGCGGGGTTCACACAGTGAGATAACTGGACTAATTCTGAGTCTGTTCTCTGCTTCCACGCTCTGTAGATTAACAGCTTCACAGACGCAGTAATGACAATGATAGTGAGTGCAGAGCATATGATCAGCAGAATGTTCAAAACTGAGGACCAACCATAGACTGTATTTACATTGGACAACTTGGTTTCGCCTTCTGCCAGTATACAGATTTGAAGCCAAAAAGCTCTCGGTAATTCCACGCTTTTTCTCCATTTCCTGAAACCATCATTGCGCAGTACTATTGTACGCGATCTTCGTACGCCCATAGGCTGTATCAAGTGTCAATCATAGCAAACATGAACCCCCTAATAACTTTTAAAAACGGAGCTGCACAGAAAAAAGAGGACTTGAGCACAAACCAGTCTGACAATAACTACATGTCAACATCGCAAGCAGAGGGGAGAAAAATTTATGTTCTGTGCAATAAATTTCTAAAGTTTGACCACAGCTCCATAAGCTTTGCTGGCGGAGGCGGGATTTACGACCTAAACTGTAGCCCATCACCAGAGTGTGCTGTTCCCGGAGTGGCTTCACCCAGCGAGGAGACAGACAGCATCCGTGCTATATACAGTCTATGGGACCAACTGGTCTATTTGTAGGAACAGTATGGGTCACCATATAATGCGTCCTGAAAAAAAAAAACCTTTTTGTTGACTAGAAAGTCACAATGAACAGAGTCATTTCAGCAGATCTCCAGTTTTGAGACAGTGGACAAAAGCACCCTAAATTACTGGATTTACACAGACATAGAGCTTTTCTACTCCTCTGTCTTATCATCTAGAATTTTGCAATTAGTGTTTTGACCAGACTAGACGAGAGCTATTGATTATTTATCATATTCTTTTTGCTTTCGAGCTCTGTTAAAAAACAGCAGCTACAAAGTGAGACTAGTTGCCTGGGAGACAGAGTTTGCTGCAGGTCTGCCAATGCTGCACAAACTTCATATAAGTAAACAGCCTTCTACTGCAACTATCTGCATAGGCATCAACAATCCCTGTTGTGTGTATAATCTTCCAACATCCTGTTAGAAGTGAAAAAAGAAAAATGTCAAAGCAGCACTACCACAACAAAAATGTTGAAAAGCTGAAGTAAATAAATTGAAGGCCTTTTCAAGTAAATAAAAAAAAAAGAAAATCCTTGATTTTTGTCCCACTCACTAGAATAAAAGAAAGACATGATGAGTAGGATCTAATCCTCCACAGGCTGTAGTGTAGAAAATAAATGTTAATGAGAATGACTGAACAGAGAGTTTTAGAGAATAAAAACATCTTTTATGTGCATGTGGATTTCTCAAAAGAGAAATCAGGACTTTTATTTTTTTACTCCTCTCCTGTAAACATCAGACAACCATTTACCAAAATATGTCAAAAATATGTTTGTTTGTTTTTTCATCAAACTTTTCATGAAAAAAACACAAAGAGCTCAATAAAGTAACTTTACTCTAACAATAGTTTGTTTTGTACCAAGTACTGTCTGCACAACTTGTAACTTGGAGGTAGCAAACATGAGATCTTGTTTTTTGGAACATTTCGCTGCGGGGAGAGGAGACACTGCAGGAACCAGCCATGAGAGGCAGCAAGCAGCCATGTAAAGTCTGTCATCAGCAAGTCATGCATGCATCTGAACAACAGGTCCTTCCACATTCTTTAGAGAGGGACGAGGGGGAGGGAGGGAGAGAGAGAGAGAGAGGGAGAGAGGGAGAGAACAAGGTGCAGAGGGAATGAGGAAGTGAGGGAGCGAGGGAGGGAGGAAGGTAGAGAGGCACTTGTCTGTAAAAGGGAGAGAGAACAAGTAATCTGAAGTCTTTTTAAACAGAGAAAAAAAAACATTGTGATGAACCTGTTTCTGTTAAATTACAATAACTGCCTCACAATGACACAGACATAAAGAGAGACGGTTCGGAGACACTGACTGCACTGAAGCGGTTCACAAAGAGACTCTAATTCATCTTCATAATTTACATTCCTCGGAAGTGCTCCCCTTGAAGTACAAGGTATAATCCTAGTCATTACTAACAAGAGGAAAATATGTGATTTTGGGTAAATTTCTGTTATTTTCTGAAGGGTCTTTACCCAAACATAGCATCACTCCTTGGGCTAATGATGAGTGTGACCTCTGACCTTCGACAGTTTTAACCTTAAGAAGCATCCTCCCGTTCAAGTCAAATATGACACATTCCATGATCACATAAATATAACACCACGAAAGGTTGTCTTCTTTCAATGCGCTTCATGTGAATCACTTACTACATACTGCTCAATATATCGTTATCAAACGCTTTGTATCAAACATGTAAACTAAACAGATCGACTGTCATGTTTTGTTTTCAGTGAAAAGCAAATACTGATGAAGCACAGTTCTGAAGCAGCACATCGTTATCACTGGTCACACTCTGAAGAACTTGAAAACCTCCACACCTCCGCACAAACGTGCAGGAAGGTGCTGCATTTGGTTTGCTCTCAGTTTTAGCTGCGCTTCCTCCTACCCTGTAGAATTTCTGAAGAATTCCTCCGCCCTTGGTCACATCTGCTACACCTTTAACTGTTCGCATTTTCATGTTGGGAAAAGGACTCCACACGTGCAAAATGACTAAGCCCCTAAAATCTTTAAATTATGCAAATCAAGCACTCCTGGATTATTCTGGACTGCAAATAAGTGAACTTCTTTGCCATGGAGTTGAAATATGTATCAATATCATTTGATTTTACAGGATGAGAAGTTCAAAACTCAATGAATGTGATAATGGTACTATAAATATCTGGCACTTGTTATGCATTTTGAAGCCAACACCAGAATCAACACTGCAGACTAAGCTTTCCTCGATGTCGACAACAGCGTGTGTCAACATGCAACAAAGGTAATTTAAAATCCGGTGAGCTGCTGCAGAGTCTAAAAACAAATGTCTGCACTTTTACAGAGGGTGCAGACTTGCATGTTGACTTTTCAATTCATAAAATAAACAGAACGGAGTGTTTATATCTCCACTGCACGTGCATCTAAAGGGAATAAAACTGCAGTTCCTCGAGGGTCCACTTGTGCTTGCCTCTAAAAGTCAAGGGACCCCCGTTAGAACAGCAGAAATAAGACTCTTTACAGCCTGGTTAAAATAATGGTCTTATTATATAGACTATTATTATTTTAACATGTGTGTGTGTGTGTGTGTGTGTGTGTGTGTGTGTGTGTGTGTGTGTGTGTGTGTGTGTACATAAATTGTTTTGCACATAACAACTTCACCATTTTGTCTGCAACCACGGTGCAATCCCTTCACCGCCTTTATCAAACATTTATCTAACCATACAAACACTCACATGATTTGGAATGAAGCCATGTCAGAACTCATTGGCTGACCAGTAACTTCAGGAACGAGCCAAAGTTGAGAAACGACTTTCACAGAGTGGGTTAACTGCGCTCGTGTGGGAATGTCTGTTAGAAAACATTAATTCAAGCCGAAACATCGATGACTTCTGGGTTTGCGTTGCTGTCTCTATTCGTATGTTTTCCAGCAAACACCCAAGGCTCACTGGAAAGCTATTATGGACTAAATGTGATCTGATACACGTCCGAATCAAGGACCTGAAGATCCGAGGAAATCCCCCGATTTGTAGGTGACCCATACTCCATCATGAGACACTGCTGCCCCAGAGCTGTTATAATGTTCAACAAACCAGTGTGAGCTGCTTGGTGTCAACGCTGCTGAGATCCAGTGTTTGTAACCAGTCAAACCATGTAAGTAGTTTAGTAAAAATACACAACGGAATAACTTTTTTTTTCCAAATATAACCTCTACTAACCATAACAAGACGGCACAACACGACTTTAAATGTAAGGAAATTTGTTCAGGTGAATGATGGGACACTGCAGAAGCCTAAATACACTCAACTTGGAATGACCCATCTGTTTGTTCATGGAACTGATGTGACAGTTACTCAATAAATGAGAGAGACTTTACATTTTACTTCCTTAATTCTTGGTCTTGGTTTTCATAATTGTAATTAAATTGTAATCCAAATGTTAATTTGATGTAGTTTCATGCAGTTGTGTGTAATTCTGCCCGTGTTTCAAAACCATTTTTAAAAAATCGTGCCAGTATTTATTTCATTCTTTTGTTTATATTAAGTTCTGAACTGAGCAGTGCAATGTGAGCAAAAAAAGCCCAAAAAGTTGGAGGAAGAGGAAAAAAATGGAACATATTTTTTTCAGTGTCTCTGTGCTGTTAATCATCTCGTGACCTCTGTGAAACATCACATGACCTTCATATTGGGAACAATTGGTGCGAATATGACTGTGTGCTGTGGCATGAATAGCTCAGTTTACTAGAACAAAGGGACAAAGAAAACAGACGCAGGCAGCAGCACAGTGAAGTTTGAAGGACTGTCTGCATACTTTTGTACTTTTCTTATTTAAGGACTTCTTTCGTGTGGCAGTACTTAGTGAAATCTTATCAAGATCCGAGGGTTCAGCGGCATTCTACCCAAAGCCTATCCCTATATCTGCACACACTGATTGGTTGTTGAACGCAGTCTGATGACTGTAACAGGAGAGGAAAGTCAGAGAGGAATGCCGTCCGACCGCTCTGCCTCAGCTACTCTTTAATCCTCTGACACTCTCTCTCTCTTTCTGCGCCGCAGGAGGCAAGACAAACAGACCGGACATTCCTGTTCAATTCCACATCCAGCGGCAGCCGAGCGGCATGACGGAGGGTGCAGTGTGGTGAATTTAAAAAAAAAAAGGAAAGAAAAGAAAAATCACAGAGAAGTGTCAAAGATAAAGAACAACAACATTCCTGTGGTGTACACCTTCACTTCTCCCTCCGAGGAATCAAAGTAGGTCAGAAAGGAGTGTTTCCCTCCACATCCACATTCTTCCTCTTTGTTTCTTTTATTGTGCATCCGCTGAGGTGTTTGTGTTTAATGACCCGCCGGAATGTGCAGTAAGGCCGCTGAGGCAATCGCTCAGGTGATAAGGACATTCTCACCGACCTGCACGGGTTCGACTAACTTTTGCCGTTCACACGCTGTTTGAAAGACCAAATTCCAGCTGCAAGAAGAGGAAGAAGTCTGCACTGTTTCATCTCTACTGCATGACATATCATCCTCTGGTGTCACTCTTGAATGTAGATAAGACAGACAAAAGTGAGGCAGTTAACAGCTCTGTACAAAACAGAGAACCTTTCATGAAGAACACGCCGGCTTTAATAGAAGAATAAACCTGATATCCCAGACTGTGCGGAGTCAGCCCAATTATTTCACTACCTGCCCGTCGACATGTGCACCTGTGCTTGAACAAAAACAGATTTGAAGTCGGAGTGTGCATGAGGCTGACTCTTCTTTCTTTAGTTAGATACTTCAAACATTTTACCCGCTCTTACCAAACAGTTTTTCTATTTTCACAGCTATTTGTCTTTGTCTTTTTGTCTCATTTTGGACTGAATCTCTGAATTTTTAAGCTGGTGTTCATCAGGGATGGGCGATAAATTATCGTTCACGATAAATCATCAGCAAAATCCTCCATGATAAATGTTTGCCATCTCATGATAAAAATGATAAATCCAAGTAGAGCGATGAACTCGCAGCCGTAGCCCACACAGAGCAGAATAACGAACAAACATGGCCGAAGGTGATGAAGAGGATGTTTCTGAGCAGTTTGTTACTGAATAAGAGATTTCCTTCAAGATTGGGGCTTAGATGAGCGCGATCAGGTCTGCCTTTCATCGGAGAGTGGATCTGCTTCTGTTCACTCTGTGCGATAAGAGTTTGAGACTTATTTGATGTCATTAGTTTTCTCCATAACCATTAAAACTTGTGGAAAAGTATCTTATTCGATGACTCCAATCGGTGTTCTCTCGACAAAATGAGTCAAAAACATAGATTGAAATTATAATATTTTTTATCGAGACTTCTATTATTATCACCAGATTGTCAAATCTTATCGTGATCCATTTTTTAGCCCATATCGTCCATCCCTAATGTTCATCAGATGACATTCACTCATGTAAGCTTGGGTCTCCTTGAAGATCCTGAGTCACGGTTTTGAAAACTTCAAGTTCTGGTTCAGCTATATTAATCCAAAGATTTCATCAACGTCTTAAAAAAGGCTAGAACTGACAATATAAAACTCCATTAACCTTCAGGGGGATGGCCCGGTGCACTAAAACTCTCTTCACAGTAAACAGGAGCAGAAGGAGAGAGAGCGCAGACTGAGGGAAGGTCACACATTTGTTATTCACGTCAGATTCTCACTGTCCTGCTCTGCTCGTCACATTAAATTAGGAGGCTGGTGGCTGCAAAAAGCCTGAGGATCTGCTCGCAGAGTCAACAAATATTCCGGTCATAGTGCCCTTCAGAGAGGGTTTAAGATGAAGGAGGAGGAGGAAAGAGAGGAGGAAGAGTTTGAGGATGCAACACTCACTCTTTGAGGGTCTCGAAGCCTTGTTCTTTGTAGAGCAGCTCCTGTTTCATACAGGCCAGATCCCGCTTTAGTTTGTTCACCTGAGACAAGAAAGGTGAGAGAAAAAAACGTTGGTCTAACCAGTCGAGGGTTGTGATCTTTGTAAAAGTCTTCATGTTCAGTAGATGTCCTGGAATCCATCAGACGCCAAAAAGAGCGGAAACTCTTACCCGACTTTTTGCCGTGGCGATTTCTGCTTTCAGGATGTCGGGGTCATACTTGCTGGATGAGGACGATCTGGAATTCACTGGAGGAAAGATAAGACAAGAAGAAGAGAGGACAGAAGAGTTAAAAGACATCCTTTCTCTGTTCATTCATGTTTAATACCTGTCAGGGATGACAGGAGACAGAGAAAGTACCAGGAGCCGAGGCCACTGCAGGGAAATGTTTTGTTTCAGATTAGTTCTGAGTTTAGTTCTTGAGCTGTGACAAACCAACTTCTTTTGTTGATTTTACTCCACAAAATTTTTCCTCATAATTCCTAAATGTGGAAAAACTTGCTGCATCATGTCAGAGTTTGGTTCTCAGCACTCACAGCTGGTCTGAGACGTGGACTTGTCCCTCCATGCATCATTGAGCTGCCGGTACTCCTGCTGCGCAAGGCGGAGCCTCTGCTCCTTCACCTGGTAGATCTCCTTCTGGGCGCTGAGGGCATCGCTGGCCACGGCCAGGTAGTCCCGCAGCATGGCCTCCTGCTCCCGCTGCCACTGGGCCCGCGGGTCCTCCAGCTGGGTCCTCTCTGAATGAGGAGAAAATATGCTGAAATGTAGCCCTTTCAACACTTCAGATACTAAAGAATCCCCTCCCCTAAAAAATCTTCTTATTCATACCCAATTTAGTGCAACCAGTGGACTTTTTAGAAATTCTTGAAGCTATCAAGTTAACAGCTCCATGTTTAGACACCCCCACTTTGCATAAATCTGCTCCTTAAATTACCAAGTATCCCAATTTCCTCAGCACATAAACTACTTCCATCTTATTTATGTTTCAGTGGGAAATTTAGTAGGAAATACATAAGCAAGGAACCAAAATGGAAGTGCTTAAACACGGTGGATGAGTTGAAAATTCAAGATAGACGGACGCTGGACTTACTAGTGTTGTGGTCGACATAGTATGCTCCGACCACGGGGTCATACGCCTCCTCCCAGCCGACCGGCAGCTCATCCCCGATACAGTCAGCAAACGTCAAAGGCTTCGTCTGCCTGCAGAAACAGAGTCAGGAGACACAGTTAGACAAAGAATTGTTTAATCAACAGGAAACCTCATCAGTCACATACACAAAAGACAAATATCAGCCACCACAACCACAACATCCAACCTCATACCTAAAAACATAAGAATAAAACATGGAAGTAGAGAGTTATATCAGAAGAATCCAAACAGATTTAATGTGGGACATTCTGTACTTAAACTGACTGATGTTAGCATCTAATGGAGTTTTTGAGTCCCTCTATTCGGGACCGTTTTGGGGTAGCATGTGCTCACTTATGAAATTTCATTCATGGTGATCGACTCGTCAGGGCTCCCCCACAAACAAACGGCTGCTTGAGGAGAGTGGGTGAGCTGTGTTTGGTCTCTTTGCTAAAGAAACCAGGTACTAGTACTATGGCTGGGACCCTATTTGTCCTGTTGATGAAGTTAGGGGCCGTCTGAGCATTATTTGTGGTTATAGAGTGGTGTTTTGGTTGAGGTTTGCACTTGGAGACGTAGACCGCTGTATATTGCTATCGTGCGGTCTTTGCTGAAGTTGGTGTAACTACAAAAGCAAGCGGTCAGCAACATTTATTTCTCGAGGGGTGTCTCACTCAGTGCTAGGGTGTGTTTTAACATTATTAAGTGACATATTCTGTAATAAGTCTAGAGTTTTGTTCTGAACATTAAATAAAGCCACAATACGGTTAATATAAAAGAAAACTAACAGTGTGTAAAACAGATTTATCTCAGCTGAATGTGTATGTCTGAAAGCTGATTCAGAGGAAGGTTGGGGTTGGTGTGTGAGTGTGTGAGGAGGGAATGGGGGGTGGGTTGTCTGGAGTTTCTGAGTCCTCTATTCACCTCTGAGGGGGGAAAAGGAGAAAAGTGTGGGGAGGGAGGAGAGGGGAGGGGGTCCCTGAAGCCGGTCACAATAGGAGGAAACCGGCCCGTAACATTCCAGAAGCAGCGCTGACGCATCGCCTAGAGGTTTCTGGGGCAACCCTCGGCCTGCAGCGGCTGCACAACCAGCTCATTACAGACTAGATAGTGCTAATGTTCTTCTATTAATGTCAAAACAGAGCAGAGAGGCATCACCCAAAGCTGGTTCATATTCACAGAGGTGTGCAGTGACACTTTCTTTAAAAATGGGGATATATGTGTGTCTGCTCTCCAAAAACAAGTGTGTTAAAAGTTTTCTACCATTACCCGACAGTTTCAGTGCTCAAAGTTTAAGATTCTGTTTTAACTGATGACTGGATGTTGCTGCTATCATCTAAAAATGAGCAGCCTGCAAACTATTGGTCGTGCTGTTGGACTATTGATCGAGAAAGATGGGCTCCTTGTCAAACCCTAAAATTAAACTTGCATGCACCAACACAAAATTTATAAAGCAACCTTCAGTCTATACTTAAGTTATGAACATGTTTACTCAAGGCTGTGACCAAATTCCCATTAACAGTCTGTGGAAAGTGTAAAGAAAACCCCGTCATTGATTTTTGTTTCATCACAGACAATATGAATACTGAGAAGAGACTCTTGTTCCTGTCTTTCCTCCTCTACATCTCTTGTGGGTTATGACTGCAGACAAACACAAACAGAGCTGCTGCTCGCTGCTGAAGGGAAAAACTGAACTGGGTCCTTTTTCAGCTAATGAATAATGAAAGGGGCCCAGAAGAGACCCCCTCAGCGTCGCTCTAAATTTAGCTCAGGAAGACAGGGAGGCTTCTGCCAAACAGTGATGGCAGAGAAAGCAGGCTGGTTGGCTGGCTGGGTATCCACATCCCATTATTTGATTCCTCTCAGCTCCCCGCTCACTAAATCCCGTCCTCTAATCGCTGAGCTGAGAGGAGCCGCTGACCTAAACTCCTTGCTCTGCTGTCAACGTTTCCCTCAGAGCGGAGGACCAGCTGGCAGCGGCGGCCCGGCCTCCATTTCACTGTCAGTCATTCAATAGCCACTTGTAGAGCTTCTCACATGCCTCACTGCTTCAGAGCTCCAACTGCCGCAGGCTGAGGGGGGATAGACTGGGGACAGGTAGTACAAACAAAAACTGGCACATAGTGTCTCTGCACATTAAAAAACCATTCACCACGTCGGGACGATAATATTTTATAAACTGGTGGCTGTGCAATGTGAGATAATAAATCCTTCACTCATTCTGATGCTTGTTTTGTCCACTGAGTGTAAAAAACGCAGGAACTGGTGAACTTTTGTAAAAAATAAATAAATATAAAAGTAAACTTTTAATGACCTCTAAAGCTAGCAGAGAAACTTGCAATTATAAAATAACTTTACAAACTTTTCAGATTTCTTCTACAACTGCTCGACTTGCACAGCCTACACAGACTGCACATGTGCAACTATTTGATCTAGAGTTGTTCCGATTCCGAAACCAGTGTCAGAAATTGCTCCGATACAACCAAAAATGCTTGATTCCGATCCGATACCACGTAATTTATCAAATTAGTAATTTATTTACTGGTTAGCTCCATTAGCTCTGTTCTTTTCCAATTCCCTTTTTATTTAAAAACATTGTGGCTGCACTTTATTTTTTAAAAATAATTATTGCTTCTGCTAATTTTTATCCAGTTCTATTTAAAAATAAATGGCTTAAAATTTGCTGTATTTATTTGTGTTTTACAAAGGGTTTAACCTGAGCCAGACCTTACCACAATGATAATCATATTACAGTCATGCAGGCCTGGTATGTTATTTCTTTTGATAACATACTAGTATCGGATCGGTAAGCGGTATCAGCCGATACCCACAGCACAAGTATCGGAATCAGTATCGGGAGGGAGAACATACGTACTGAACTTTGCAGTCTTGAAAAGTGGTTATTGCATGTGTGCTCACCAGAATGTTAATGTTGAAATTGTATACTGTAAACTTCAGAGTTTGCACCTAACTGTGTTCAGCAAATTTTTTTAGTACCATCGCAATCAAGGTACCCAGAGCTTATTGGGGGAATTTTAAACCCTATCTGGTCTGGGTACTAAAAACCCACGACAGGAGCTGGGAAAGTGGAGTCTGGGTCAATTTACCAAGTCTTTTACCACTAATACCTGGTCTACGATCAGCAGAGAGAATAAATGTTTGGGTGGCTGCACGGATGGATAGATGGATGGAGGAATAAATGATAGGATGGAGAGAAGCATGGATGGACTGATAAATGGATGCATAAAGGGTGGAAGGATGCATGGATAGATAGGTGCTTGAATGGATAGATGAATGGATGCATGGGTAAATAAATTAATGTTTGGATGGCTGCATGGATGGCTATACGAATGCATGGGTGGATGCATGGAATCATAAATGACTAAATGAAAAGAAGCATGGGTGGCTGCAGTGACAGACGCATGGCTGGACTGATGGATGGATGGATGAATGAATTGATTCATAGATGGAAAAATTCTTCCATAAATGACATGGATTGATTCACATAAAAAGTCGCAAACATGAATCTCAAAAATCCAAAAGAAACTTCTCTCTAACCTGATTAAACTGTGAAACGGTGAATTAACGAGGATTGTTGAGTTTGAATGCCTCCACTGAACATTTGAACTCTGATGTTTCTGGACTTTTATCAGATTGCTCTGATCAAACAGCTTGCTGTCTCATGGATCACTTTCAGCTCTGTCAGACATCCATGTGGACTGACAGCTTGCTGCTTGTGGATGAGTCCAAGCACTGGAAAGTCACCTCTAGGGGTTTTTAAAAGCACAGTTACAACACTGAGATCTGCCTGTTATTTGGCTGTATAAAAGCAGCCACACATTTACAGTGGTAGTCTATTGACGAATCAGTAAGCCCCATGTTAACAAAGTGTATTTAGAGATATTTGATTCCATAATCCTGTCCAAGATTATCAAAAATTAACACAAGCTAGAGTAAGAATCGGTCTGGCTAACACTTTTCTCCACTTCCTTTATCGGGTTATATGTTTGTTGATGATGCTGTTAAATAATGCTATCAAGGTAAATTAATGCTAATGATGCAACTCATGTTTAAGACAGCAGGGGCTGACTGTTTCATGATCAAAGCGGACTGTTTTTGGATAATTCTGTTTGAATTGATCTAAAACACAAACCATGACAGCAAGAGAACCCAACTCACATTGGGTATGTGATGAGAGGCATTTAATGCTAATGAAGTCAGTCATCATGCTATTTCATTTGAAACTGTGTAACACCTTTGAACTTTGTTTCTTTAAAACGGGTAAATGTGCAGAGTTTGAATAATTCTGCAGTGCCCCAAAAAAACTCCAATGAAGTTTTTATATCCAAAATAGTTTTAAGTCAGTGTTTGTGTTTTTATTCAGCCAAATTTTGTAAAAAAGTCCTAGTTTAGTGCATACATCACTGATTTATGTTTATTATATCATGAAAACTTTGGCTTGTCTACATATGCAAGAATAAGACACATTTGAAAACATTTAAAACTGCATCAAATGGGTCAATGTAGACAAAATACCAAAGACAATTTTTACAGAAGAGTTTGAAGACCTTACATTGTCTGCTGAGTAAGTGTGAGACAAGATCTGGCGCTACAAGGTTTAAGTGTGATGAGATTTCTTGTCAAGGTGATGAGTTGTCCTGATGAGATCAGCACGCCATTTTGCACTCTCCTTTTTCTGACACACCGAGTGTTAAACAGTATGTTTAATCATTATTTTGATAAATGTTTAGCGCCTTTACATCTTTGTTCAATGTGATATGAAAAGGTTCTGACATGCACAAGTATTTATATTGATAAGTTACAGAAGAAAACATTGTGAAAAGTCATCATTGTCACTGAAATTCATGAAGGCAGAGAGGTCATGTAAACAGCTTGATATATTAACAACTGTAATCTAAATCTGGGAATTTAAAAAAGGCATCTATTTATAGCTGAAAAACTCACGAAACATGTTTCCAACTACAGATGACAGCCTTTGCCCCTATTATGTGAAAATCCGATATCTTATAACGATCTAAGATAAGAGTACTGCTTTGGTGAACATGTAAACTTCCCTCTGCCTTTCATAAACCTCATCAAACTAACCAGTAAATGATGACATTTACAATGCTAATAGTCTTTTACAGCACTGGTTAATTCATAGTCAAAGGAGCTGGAGTGGCAGGCGAGATTACTAAGAGAATAAAGGTCCATATGGTTGTTTTACATTCTGACTTCCATTTGATAAACGTATTTTTCAGTCAGATTTCATCTACAGCTGCAACGATTAGTAGACGTTGACAAAAATCGATAATGAAAAAAGTCGACAATGAATTCCATTGTCAACTTTTGTCACCAGACGTGTTTTTTTCCAATGGAGTGAAGCATCTTACTTCATCACGATCTCTGCCTAGAGTCACACATATGCAATAGCATCTCTGCCCAAGCGGTATGGTATTCAAACATGGCGGCAATGGCGTATCATACAGCAGCTACGAGTAAATACGAACATTTGAGGAGAGGGCACGTAGTTATCCGATTAGTCGACTAATGGTTTCAATAGTTGGTGACTAGTCGCGTGTTAAAATAGTCGTTTTTTGTAGCCCTAGTTTCATCGCTGATGTTGTCTTTAAATGGGGTAAAATCCCATCTTGTCTCATTCCTCTGAACCCAGCCTCTTGTCTTGTCTCGCCTCGTCAGCTAAGTGTGTCATCACACCCCCACTTCTGCTGAGAGTCAAATTTAACAACAAATAGGATGAGTAACCGTGCTAAAAACACCTGCGGCAAAGTTTTACGTTCTCTGAGTATCTGTTTGTGTTCAGCAAACCCGCCACCTTTATGAGCTAATTATTGATTCAAACGAAGTAATGTTGATCCTTATCCTCCTACTTACGCTCAGAGTGGGTTACTCTCTTATATAACTTCTAACCTCACAAGTTAATAAGTATGACTTTCAGTGGGGAGGGTCACATGATGATCTGCATGTTTTTTAAGAAGCTTATGGGACTAAAACTCTAGGAGGAAAACACAAACTGCATTCCTCTGATGTTTCTGCTATCAAAGTGGTCAAAAATTAATTTGCTGGACTGCTGCCATTCCTACCTGTAAGACACGATAGCAGCCAAAGCCGAGAGTATTCACACACACAAACACACACACACTCATAAGCACACAGACTCCCTCAGGTTTCACATACCGAGGTAAACAGCCAGGCCAGGCCCACTGCACTAATGCAAACTGACAAAGCGTGCGGCAGAGTGCGAATGCGCTGGGAGGCGGGCTGCATATCTGAACGATGAGTCAGAAATGTTCATTCAGAGCGGCGTATAAATTCCTCAAGAGGAGTTATGAGGCTCCAAACTACATTTCATTGCAGCTCAAGGTCCAACAGTAAAACAATCGCGCGCACAAACACACATACACACACACACACACACACTTCTGTAATCTCTTTTCACACTTGCAATATAGTCTTTTATGCCCAAGTGACAAAGCATAAAAATAGAAGCATGCTTTTTATGATAAGAAAAAATGCATCATAAAGAAGATAAATGACTACGACAATCTTTTTGCACATTACCCTCCTCATCCTGTCCCTTTATCTTACAGATAACATTCCTTTCACCTGACGGCATGTACACAGTGCGTCACTGAAAGGGTGGATGGATGATAACGCGCTCAAAAGAATTTATAAGGGTTACACAGGACGTCCTTGTGGAGACTTTTTGTTCAAAACATCCTTTTATTTTCCCTCTTTTTTTCATTTCATTTATTTACATTTTGCTCATGTACATCCCCTCAAGGTTCTGCAGGATCCTTAATTTGCTAAGTAAGACTCAGCAGAATTTTTTTGTTATAATGTCTAATATAAGGCTTTGACTGTTGGTTGCTTTCCCTTTGGTTCAGCTACACATTAAACTATGTTATCAGCTTATAAGAGGCTCACCATTAGCCTGAGTGGAACATATCATTAGACTACATGTCAACAGATAAAAAATATCTCCAGTCAAACTGTTCTGAACATAACAGAGCCCCCGCTATCTAACCTCAGATTTCTTCGTTTGGTCTCTTTATTGTTTGAATCACTGCGTTTACGTAGTTTTGAGGAAACCAGACCACTAAAGATAAGTCTGCTGCCTGGAAAAAACAAACAAAAAAAAGAACTTGTGAACAATTTGTACTGCTGCAATTTCAAACATCAAACAAGCAAGCAGCAGCTCGGCTAGCAGCCCCTATATTACCCCTGGTCAGCTGCGCAGCAATGGCGAAACACAATATCTTCATTTTACTGCTTTTTGTTTTTAAACCATTGAGTTACTTTCCTATAACAAGAGTCATATGCATTGAGTCTATGTTGTGTGTAAGCTACAGCACAGCTGCTGTTATTAGCCAGGCTATAACTCACTATTATCAGGATGTAGGTAATCCTGCAATGAGATGCCGTCTGTCATCTCACCATGTGGCGCAGTTTGGCAGTACTCATCTTAAAAACAGAGATAAAGTTCTGGGGATGGGCGATAAATTATCGTTCCCGATTTATCGTCAGAAAATTCCTCCACGATAAATCTTTGCCATCTCACGATAAATGCGATACATGCAATTTGATGACGTAAGCACAAACGACAGACTCTCACCACTTAAACTTGTAGGTATCTTTTAGGACTATGCCAACTGGTTTCCTCCAGACAGAGTGAGTCAAAAACATAGAAAGGATTTTTAATATTTTTTATTGGGAATTTTATAGTAATCGCCAGAATGGCAAAACTTGTCATGATAAATTTTGTAGCCCATATCGCCCATCCCTACTAGATACTCTGATATCGACTGGTATAATGCATGACAAGGCAAGATACCTGAAAATCATTAAAACTTTAGATTTTTTAGATAGTTTGCAGCCTGACATGCTGAAACCTCAGCTAATCTTTGTTTCGAATGATGCTGCTGTAGCCTGACAAACAGGCTGAACTCTCTGTAATCAAAGTGAAGTGGTGAAAAATGTAACAGTAGTAATCAGCTGTATCAGGACAAAAGTAAACTACAGTCAACCAACACAAAAGAACATGCAGCAGATAAAAACCAGTGCTACAATCTTATCTTGTTTGGGTGCTTAAACATGAGATATTCAATCAAGATCAGATGTGTGTGGGTCTCGATAGTCTTGATGTGAAGGTTTCAGGCAGGAGCAGTTTAAAGAAGAGCTTACACAGAGCTGTTCGGTGTCAAAATAAGACTCACTGTCTTTCTTCATTCCTAAACCAAAGGCTGTAATGGAAAGATTTCCACATGACTGCAGCAGATTGTTCGGAGCTGACTGGTCCTTGAATTTCCTTTCTGTGTCTGTCTCTTCTTCCTTTTCTCTATAATAACTTCATTCATCACCATCAAAGAAATATTTCTTTAGACTGAAGCCGCTGGGTCACCATTCAACCGCTTATTTCAATGCTTATGAGTGCAGACTTTATGTGGGCAACAGGATTATGTAAATATAAGACTCAAAAGCAAACAGCAATATGTCCATTCTAATTTATCCCCTGCTTTTTTTTCTAAAATTATCAATAAATAAATAATAAACATATTTAAAGGGTAATTCCGGAGAAAGTTTAAGTCATGGTCAAACGCACCATAACACTGAGTTAGAAACCCCCTCGAGAGATGAATTTTGCAGACCGCTTGCTTCTCCAGTTACGCCAACTTCAGCAAAGACCGCTCCACAGCAATACACAGCAGTCTATGTCTCCGTACGCAGACAGCAAACAAAAAGCCCCTTTATAGCCACAAATAACGCTCAGAACTTCATCAACAGTACATATAGGGTCCCAGCCACAGCACTAGCCACCAAACATCTTTATAGCTTTGCCTGGTTTCTTTAGCAAAGAGACCAAACACAACTCACCCACTGTCCTCCAGCAGCCGCTTGTTTGTGGGGAAGCCCTAACAAGTCGATCACCAAGTGCAGCAGAGTTCTGCTCAGGCTCAAGGAAGAAAATTTATGATTACTTCATGGAAATACAATAATTTCCATGAAGTAATAATTATCATAATAATCATTTTGCACTGTAGACGCTGTAGTTCTGCACTCGGTGGTCGACTCATCAGGGCTTCTCCACAAACAAGCGGCTGCTGAGTCCTAAGTCATAAAAAGTGCTGATTCATCCTGTTGAATACGATTGTAAATTGCAGTGATTTTTCACTGAATATAGTTTTTGAGAACAAAGTTTGTGATGCAGAATGTCAAATGAATGAGATCAGTTATTGTGGTTATGATTTAATGACAGCCAAGCTTCTCTATTAAAACATTGAATGAAGTCACCCTTTAGAGCTTTTATCCCTGACTAGACTGACAATTAAGACACAGATGCAGCTCCTTCACACAAAATGATCAGAGTTCAAAGAATGAGACATGCTGCATCTCAGAAAGCTCGAGCTCAAACCATGAGACTACACAGACTGTCAAGAGTAAAAACTGAAGTCAGAGCTGACCTGAATAAAAGAATAGACGGATGTGAATCTGCTGCAGAGCTTCTGTTTTTTCATACAAAAACAAGAGTGCTGCAAAGATGTGTTGTTGTTGTTGTTGTTTGGTTGAGAAGACCTGTGAGGAAATGCTCTGACTGTAAGGTATCACTCTCCTGTCAGTATAAGAGCTGTGTTCCAGCTGTTGTTGCTGTGAGCTTTCACATATTACTAACCTTTAACCTGATTGGTTACGTATTAAAATAAAAGACGACGCTGCAGCAGTGGGCTTTAGTCCAGATCTCAGTGCACACTACACTACTTTCACTTCCAAATAGCATTATGATGAGAACGATTTTATCTCCTCTAATGATTAAGCTACAATTGCTGTATTTCTCAGAGCTGTCTACAACAGCTTTGACTTTATTTTGCAGCTCTAATAAGTATGGATATTTATGCTAGATGACTAAACTCTTATGACTAAACTTGTCAGCACTAGAATTAAATCACTTCAACAAATTAATGAATATTTTCATCACCAAAGACTAGGGCTGCAAAATACATCAGTTTTATTGTTATTTTTTAATCGTTTATTATTTTTTGACAGAACATCAGGCATTGTTGCATCTAATCAAAGAGCAACTGATGCTGTGTATGCAGGACTTCTAGCCGTGGCTAATTTGTGACCTGGTTGGACTGCAACCAGAAACAAGGACAGAATATCACAAAAGTTGCGTTTTATCACTCAAAGTAAAAAAAGAACTATGGCTTTGTTCATCTTCCAGGTCAATCCCAATTTTTTAACCATATGTGACACATATCAGATTTTTTCATGTAAGTGTGAACAGTGCAATTCTGATTTTGTCAAATCCGACCCAGGCCTCTTTTGTACGTGGATATAAATTTGATATGTATCCGATGTGACTGCAGTGTGGACGCTCAGGCACGTTCATCCGACCTATACGTCATCAATATGCGACAAACGTCACTATTGTTCGACAACACAAACAGGCGCAGAAAGCAATTTGTGCTTTGTGCACATGTGGGTCACTTCACATTAGATGCCCCATTCGTTGTTGTAATGTGAACGACCACAAATCCAAAATCCAAATTGTGCATCATAACCTGCAGTGTGAACGTAGCCTTAGTTAACAATAAAGGCTTTCTCTCTCAGACTGTCGACAATTTGAGCCATTAGCTTTGCTGTCAGATCTGTTTGGTGCAGTTCAATGAAGCTCAAGCTAGCTACCAGCGTCTGAGCCACAGCGTAGCCACTTGTCAGACTGTAGCTCTGCAGTTTCATAGTGGATACGATCTACTAGCAGCATGTAGGAAGCAAATATGACAGATGGCATCTTGTAATGCAACTTGGTTTGTCAGTATTTTGATCTGGATATGAATATAAGGTAATATGTGTGTTTTGGTTTTGGCTGTGTGTGGTCAAACTAGCATAGTTATGACCACTTGGCCAGATGTGGATGCTGATCTCCAAATAGGACTGGTGCCAGCACTGCTGATGTTAGCCACACTCAATAAACCAATCTGACGTTGTTATTATAATTTATACACAAACAAACTGTGCTTGGTTTTTAAGTGTTAGCTGACCTTTAGATTTGTCATTTAATAGGAACTGTAATTTCTGTAATAACAATGAGGTAATTTGGTGCTCCAAATAATCACGACCAACTACTACCAAGATTGAAAGAAGAAGCTTCATCAAAAACCAGTTTGATAGTCAGATGAACCTTTTGAGTCAGTTCATAAAAACTAGTAGGTCTACAGTATTAGTTGTTAAAAAAAAAAAAAAAAAAAAGCTCACTACTGTCTGCTGGTTGGGCTATTGGCAGATTACTCAAAACAAATATTTACAGATTAACTGACATACAAATGTCTGTAGTGTGAGAATTCAAACAATGTCAGGACAGCTATCCAATTAAGCTAAAGTCTGTTTTAACAACAAGACATTTCCTCAAGGGGAAGTCGTACACAGCTGTGCAACAAGTTGGTTGTAAGATTCTAACTTAATTTTTAAAAAAGTGTAAAATCAAAGAAGACTTTACCAGCCAACTAAAAAGGGATATAATGTGAAAATGTCCTTTCGGTGACATAATTATTTAGAGATAACTTGACATGACAACACAAGTGAAGTCAGAGTTACATTGTGTAATGACTTTGGCTTTGATTCTTGCATTCCACTGTATTGCATGTTTGTTGTAATGTTGATCACTGAAGGGCTGAAGCTTATGGTACAGTTGATTCATTGTCCCTGGATTAAGGTATCAGCCACATACATAAACATGTGTAAAATGCAGATAAAGGTCCACCTAATGCAGTAAGAATGTGTGTTCTCTCACACGAAATCTAAAAAACAAGCTCTAAGCCCCCAGAATTCCAGACATAAGCCATTAAAGGGATTTGGTGTCAAAGTCCGCAGGGTCTTAAGTAACTGGTAAAGATGAAAAACGAGTCCCCCCGTGAAAACCTGCCCTCCCCTCCACATCTCTGTTTTTGTACTGTGTCATGTAGCGCTGCATGCTTTGTACTCTAAGCCTATTACACTGATGGATTTCTATAAGAGAGAGGAGGGGAAACAGTAACACACACCTTAGAAAATCAAATCTGGTTTTTAAATACAAGATTGTAAGTGAACAGAATGTACCGGGAGAAATACAAAAAATACAAAACTAGATCCGGTGTTCACAGATTCTATCTGATTCTACCAAACAAATAATACATTGGTTTAATAATATTCACCTCAGTTCTATGATCATATTAGTATTTCTAATTCTAAAAATTCCCACACTTTATTATTCCAAATCGTTCAAAGATAAAAGCTCTTAACCTGAGAAGCTGGCACCAAATTCCACACAAACAGAGAAATACACGTCTGATGGAATGAATAACTTTCTCACTTTCATCATTTTTGCTGCAGAGTGCACACTCAGCATGATTATACTAACAGACTTTAGAATTAGTTCACCTCATTTCACTGAATATTAAAAGAATGAAAGGGATTTTGCAGGTCTGATATACTCAGTCCTGGCTAAAGGATGCAGGCGGCCTGTTACAATAGTATTTTATGTGGAAATCATTTCACATTGAAAGCCCAGTATTTGTTTTAAAGATTATTAATGCGACTGAAAAGACAAAGAAAATCACTAAAACTCTAAATGTAACGTATCAGGGAACATCAGAGGCTTTTGTTGAGTTGAATATTTAGAATTTTTAATGTAACCCTCAGTTCTCATTGACTTCCACTCATTTTAGCATTTATAAATGTGCTACCATAGGGCTGCACAGTCAATCCAATTTCAATCCCCATCATGATTTTGACTTTACCATAACCAAAGAATCATAATTAACGGTAAATATTGTCATTTGAAGTGTGGGCTTCTTCTGTAGAAACACCATGATGTCTGTGACTGAAGATACTTTTTTATAAAATGTGTTTTTATTGGCTTTAGTTGGGTTTGATTTATTATTTTGTCTTTGTTAATCTTTGTTCACAAACGTCATCCTTCTTCCCTACAGTTTCTTCTCTACACACACTGACACACAAACACGCTCAGCTTGCATCTGTCTCTCAGCAGTTTCTCCTGCTCGGCAGTTTCTCCTTTGTCTCTGTCATCATTTGTCAGCTCTACTGACAATATTCATGAGCACAACTTTTTTTATGAGTCACCCAAAGAACACAGCTCACATTTTAACAAGTTTCACTACTGCTTGCATTGTGACAGTAGACAATAACGAGGCTTGCTATTAATGACACTGTGCATTTTAATGACCCAAAAACTGAGAGTGCAGGAAATCACCTGCTGCACAGCAGGTTAAGAGCAGAAGGATCAGGTGTGTGTTATTAAGGCAGAGGGACAGAGTGAGCACTGAGAACACAGACACAATAACCGCTTTCATTTGACTTTCATGAAACTGAGTGGTCTCCATTTAGACCTTTATTCTGCATACCCTGGCTATAAGAGGAGTTAAATAACATTTAAGTAAATTCATATCTTGTTCAGGTTTTTTGACAAGGAGGTCTTACAAAAATATGCACACGAACTGACAACCATCATTAGCATTTCCAACCCGAGGTCTGATTTTTCAGTCTCCGTCTCACTCTTGCTGTTAAGACGGCTGCAGCCTGAGCTGATGAAAGATTGTGCCAAATTTATCAGAAAAATTTCACCGCTCTGGGCCCATTTGGGGTGGTTATGAGGGCGCAAGATTAGTGCAAAACATTGGCTTAGATTCTAGGGGGGTGGGGAGTAGACAGGGTTTTCTGTTATTGATCTAACCTTTGCCGTTAATGTGTTCAGGGATTTAATTTACACCAATAACAAGAAAAGCCCAACGTAATTTCCAGGGAGAATAGTTTTTCCTGCAGAAAAGGGCTCTCTGGATGTGTCTTTTGCCACTGAAGCTCCTTATTAATGGTCACAGGCTCCTTTCAGACATTATGCAAGACATGCTTTAATTTGATCAAAAGAGTTTTAAATGTGAGATGACTCTTCAGGTATTTATTGAATATGATCCAATGTTTGCAACCTTGCACAAATATGAGTCAGAAGCACCTCTTGCAAAAAATATCTTCTGCTAGAGAAAAAAAAAATACTATGCAGGGAAAGAAAATTTTCTAATTCTGAAACCTGTTTTAAGAGTCAGCACAATCTTTTATGTAAGCAAAGACTAAACAAAAATTTGATACTCCAGGACAAAGATGGGTGAACAACTATTTATAAACCAAATATTTAGAATATTATTCAAAAATAAAACTGAAAACTATTTACTCGACCTGCATTACATTACAACACGCATGACTGTGCAAATATTTGTGCCACATCACTCATGGCTTCAACACATACATCCTACGCCTATATCTTGTGTAAACACCTCGACACGGGGACGTCACGGGTTATCAGGTACACTGACAGACGCAATAGTTTCAGTGCTGAGTGGGGATAAACCAGCCAAACAACCGATCGCCAGAGGTTGGAACAAATGAGTGTCTTCAACATACTTTCATTGTCATTGTGCATCTCTACATGTAATTCATTGATGATCGCAGAATTCTTGTATTGAAATGTCACCATTAGTGTGGGCTATATTTCAGACACTATATTCAGTCCTGAGTTACTGTCCACCCCTACAATATATATTTGATTCATCTTTATTCTCATGTCGCCTTGTCTTGTTGAACATTAGCTGTACGTGCAAACTAAAGTTTCAAATCACAAGGTTAACAAATATGTGTTGTAATAATCCCAGAAAATCAATGGAAACTGCTAAAAACATTTGTTGGGAGATCGCTCAAGATCTTTTCAAGACTCACTAAACTAATGACGGAACAGTGGAACTGCCTGCCACCAACAGCGTTTGAGGTGATACCCACAGCGGAATGGGGTAATGCCGCTCCACTACTGGATTGATTAACATGACAACAATAAAGGGGGTGGGGCCAAAACATTCAGCTCTGCCCTCAGCCGAACTCAGGAGAGGCGGCCAATCAGAGGAAAGTAGGCTCATGGAGGGATTTGGCTTAAAGAGACAGTATCTAGAATGAAGCGTTTCGGATGAAGGCTCAATTAATGGTCTTTTAATAAACCAGAGTGAGAAACACAAGGTTTTTTTGGATATGAAAATCACGTAAAGCTTTTAAAGAGGTACCAGAAAGGAAGAACGGAGTCTGAAAAATTGTTAATACCCCCTGATGGGGAACTAACAACAGGTGGAACCCGTCTAGAGAAAGTAAAATAATACCCACTACAGCTGCAATAGTGGGTTGTGATTTAGTTGAAAAGTTACACAGACACATTTAATCAGTTTATGTCCCTCAAAGCACCTACGAAAATCTTTCAATTTCTGTAAATTTTGGCACCCACTGTGGACAACTGTCTTTAAAAACCTTTCCTTCTATATGCTTCAGATCATTTTTGACTGTCTTACGTATCATTTGTTCTGAATGTGTTATGACTAACATGTTAAGACGGTTGTTTGTTCAGTTACTAAGCTGACACCTCCCCCTCGCACCAGTTTCAGACATTCAAAATTACTATAGAAAATCAACAATCTTGTCACTGGTGGTCTTGTTTGCTTTTGTATGTCATAAAATGGTTTAAACATGAACTTTTTTCTACTTCATAAATGTGAAAATACTCCGCAGGAGCTTTAAAAACAGTGAGACTGCAGTGTGTGTTTCTAACTCTTAACTATGATTACTATCACCTTTATTCCTTCTTTGTTACAATCGTCACAATATACTGGAGTTGTAGAGAAAAGGTAGATTTGAAGTCATTAGCTTTATGACTGAAGAAGGCAAATATTGGGCTCTTTTAAATGCAAAGTGATTATCGTTTGATGACGCCCCCATTTTTTGTTTAATTTATTTACGACACAATGTTTAGGTAGAATATCTGGGGAGTGTAGTTGTACAAACTTTGCGGCTGGCGAAAGACATTCAAGTCAAAACTGTGCCAAACCATCACTGTGTCAGTATTCAGCGAGAGCAATACGCATTAAGGGGTAGTTGTCGGTTGGTTGCAGTCTATTTTCCCGTAATATTAGGGGAACCAAACACTTCTTTTTCTGCTTTCTGGTAATTAAACTTCAACATGAGCGTTCACTGCACCATCATACAACTATGATCTAGACTAGTGTTCTCTTTTGTGCTTTCAGTGAATGTCCATGTGCTACCTGTTCAGATAAGTCACACATATTCTTTAAAAGGAATAAAGTAAAAGAATGAATCTGATATCATGATACAATAGTGCAAGCTTGCATAAATTTACTGCATTTGCAAAGCAACAAGAGCACTTTATGACTTTGCATCGAGGTAAAGTTCCCAAAGCTTGAGTCATGCTGTTCATCTGCGGGTCAAAGGTCATCCACCTGCTATGTTAGTGCAACAACACTCTGAGTAACACACACAAACACACATTCCTACCTGTCTCTGGGGTCGATCCAGCTCGTGCACTGGTTAATGTGGTCAATGTAGTAGACTTTGCCATCAAAGTCTCTGGCTTCCTCCCAGCCTTCAGGTAGTGGCAACTCCGTCCTTGGCATGTCAGGCGAGTCTCCATGTAATTAACTCCTCTCTACTCAAAATCACAACGAAGGGAAACCATCGCTTTTTCTTCTCCTCATCGATGCCAGCTCTTATTTCCAGGCGTGTAACAGTTTGGATTAGGCCATCGTAATAAATTAAGGGTTGTGGAAAAAATAACTGAAGGATGCAATGTAACTATTGCATCGCTGGAGGCACGTCTGGATGATTTAACTTAAAATAAAATAAAACCTCGAACAGATTTCCCCCTCAGATTTGTCTCACAGGGTCACATTAACTTTGCACTGAAGCTCACAGGGAGATGTTGTGTTCTCTGGTGAATCAGAGGTCATAATAAAAGAAATTTCGAGATATTGTTATTATCATATCAGCAGTTAACCCCCTGAAATCCCCTCCCCTGTCAGTGTTAATCCATAATAATCCTCAAATTAACAATGAATCGGATGTCAAAGAGGAGGACAGAGTCAACAGAAACTGTCTAGGAGGGTAAAGTAGTTCCACTGAGCTGCACTTGTGCCCCAATTCATTTCAGTGTGAAGTCATCCGTAATATAAACACATTACTGTGTTGCTATTTTTCCACTTGTGAGCGCTGTTTTTACAACTTTTCCCCGAGGTAAAACTTCAACGAGGCCTTGTGTTCAATTGTAAAGTTAATTATAATTATCCAGAGTCCACAAAAGTGCCGTTTAAATCCGCTGAAATCTCCAAACTGTGGTGGTTTCTTCTCCGTCTCCTTGCCTACAGGCCACCATGTTGAGCAGCAGTAACCGATGCTAACCGCCAGCAGTGGGGGGAATGAACAGTCTGAACAACCGCTGAGAGGAGAAAGTAACGGCTGGGTCCACAGTCGTTAAAATCCAGTAAATCCGCCACAAACTTGCGTGTAATTTCGTTGAATTATCCTCATAAAACCGGACGGGAAGGTAACAGCAGCGGCGGCGGTAAAGTCTTTCCCCAGTCCCGATGACTTCGGCCGGGTCGAGCGTTGTCAAGCAACGTACGTTGATTGCAGCTTCCGGTTGGGTTTTCAAAATAAGAGTTGGAAATACAGACGGCAAAAACGACATCTCCGGTTGGGAACGTACTAAACGTTGAAGCATGTTGAAAAAAAAAACAGCCCCTTTATCTTGTATTAATGTAGTTATCTTTCTAATTATGAAAACATGGCAAAAATGTTTCTACCTTTGAATTTTATCCACGATGCGAAAATAATTCGTTAATTCGGAAAGAAAATGTTGAATGACTACATGAATAGATAGAGAGAAATAGATATAAATGTAAATAGACATTTCTATTTGGGTTATCAAGTAAAGATAAGTGATTAAAATAATCTCTTATTGAAATGGCTGCAAATGAATTTATAGTTTTTCAACATTTTAATGAAGTGTCTGTGTAAGAGCTACAGCTGGTGCTATTATTGTTCAATTGTCATAACATGACTGCATTATTTTGACCCTTAATGACCAAAGACTGTATACAGTCTATCGCCATGACCCACACAAGGTCATCAATTTTCTACAACTATTTCCTCAGTAATAGCTTTAAGCCCATACACAGTTTTTGTTGTGGTTGTTGTTTTTTTGCCATTTTTTTTTGTTCTACTAATCAAAAATATTTGTCATTAACTTCATCAGTTTGTTGTTGTTGTTGTTGTTTTTTCTGGCTATGGCTGTTTTCTCTTTTTGTCCACTATATGTTTAGTTCTCTTCCAGTATCTTTTTTCCTCATATAAAAATGTTGTATTATAGTTTGGATCACGGTATTTCACACACTGGTAAGCCCACAGCGCACTCTGCAGGCCGACAGCTTTAACTGCCAAAAAGGCCTTTATGCTGATTGTTGATTCAGGTCACTTTTACAGGTGGTGTTTCAAGTGTATCTGGTCTGATTTGTGTGAAAATCACAACTTTGAATCCTGACAACCTTGTACTCATGCACTACTATGTCAAACTATTGTTATCTTGTTAATTTTAAATGGATTAACACTTTTCTTCACTTGTCTAAATGCTGATTACCATAGGAATCCTAGGAATGATTAACTCAAAGTTGGATGTGAAGTGGTTTGCAGACACAACAGATCTGTTTCACACAAAGTCATGCACGGCGCTCTAACTCCAAACCAAAGTGCTGCTGCATACTGAACTGTTTGATGGCCCTTCACTCCGTTGTTATCAGATATATAACCACACTTTGCATGCTTGAAACACCGCATGTCATATACCTGTGAGTTAATAACAAAACCAAAGACACAGTTCATATTTGGACAGCCTCTGTTGATCATACTTTTGATGTATTTACTTTACAATCTTTATGTGTCTTTATTTTAGTAACTGTATATTCCAGTGCATAAATGCTTAATCTGAGCATAATCAAAATGTTTTTTTTTTTCTCTCTCTTTTCTGTAGAAACTTTCATTATTGCTTGCAGATTGTCTCTCTTGCAGAAGCTGCTGATTGTTTTGTTTCAGTGTAGCAGTGTTCAGGACGGAGAGTAGGCTTCGTTTAATCATCTTGGTGTATTCTGTGAGATTTTAATCAAGATCAATTCAGTTCACAGTGCAAAGCAAATTTCCTCTGAACGAGATCACGTCCTGTGTTGTATTAAAGGCCTTCTGCTGATCCTTAACCACCAGTTTGAGCAGTCTTTCAGCAGGTCTTTCTTCTGAATGTGTGAAGTTTCTCCACTTTTCCAATAGAAGTAAGGGCTTCTTGCAATAACATGTTATTCAGCAAACCTTATTTTTATTCATTCATTTGAAAATGTATCCAACCAGAAAAGCCTCTCAAATCAAAATCTCTTTTGCAGGAGTGTCCTTCCCAATATCAGCATCAGCATATTTGATATAAAACACATATTGATGTATCTGGGGTCACTTAATATAAAGTAACCAGTCAAAGCATCTACAGCCTGATGCATTCATCTATTGCCTCAAACTGACACAAATCCTCCTGCAGCAGATTCCAGGCTGCGCAGCCACTATACCTAAAACTCCTTTTTCCCATTTCAAAACACACGCTGAGTTCAAATGGCAAAATAAAGTATTGGGACTTGATCAGAAAGAGAAGATAGCTTACAGCATTTTCAACTGTAGAATTGCATACATAACGGGGAGAAAGTTAAGAACTGTCTCATGAATACAGACGTGTTCGTGATTTAGTCTGAAGACAAACAATTCAAACCAGCCAACTTCACCAATCAGCGAGCAGGGATGATTTACTGTGTCAGATAGCAAAGTAACAAACCTCTAAAGCCAGATAGTTTTCAGTAACCACGCAGTAATGGCACTGAGATGATGCATGCGTTCATTTGTACCTATCTACAGTAACAATGACTTTGTGTACTTAACATGGGTCATCCTTTTGCCCCAGTAAGCTGACGTTACTTTACCCTTTCCCATTAGGTTTTGCAATGGACAAAAAATGTATTCAAATATCACAGAATTATATACAGCGGTGTCACAATCGAATGAGGAGTAAGCTGGAGAAAAGTAAGTCGTTTTCCAACATCTACGTCACTTCAACAGTGCACGGTAACACCACAGCCTATGATAAAGTTACTAAGCAGGTACATGACTGAATAATCAGAGCCATATCAACAACACAGACACATGCAAGACTAAGACGTGACTCTAGATGGAGCACTTCACCTCGGTTTGTGCTCTGTCAGGCTTTCTGTGATACTAACAACTCCCTCATCTTTGTACCTCATGCTACACTTATACACCTGCAAGTTATTTTATTGGGAGGCAATTGTATTTTATGGGGGAAGTTTTGAAATATTGTCAAAGGTTTTGGTTGGCAAGAGGCATTTGATTCAGCCTCATGTGTCTTTTATAGAATATTTATAATGTTTTTGACTCTATTATGCATGTGTAGGTATCTTACATCTTATTTTTAGGCCTCTGCTTGGCTTGTTTTGTTCATATTATTGATAGTTTGTGCTGTTCTGTCTTTGTTTCAATATTACATCAACTTGCACAACCAAAACTGAGTCTGATTTATTCATTTTTGGTTAACAATTGGTGTTTTTGTTAAAGGATTTAGTAGTTATAGGCTATATTAAGATTCCGGACTTCAGCCCTGTCCGAAATGCAACATGCCAGAACATGCCCTATTTTTCAGTGGCTTTATCTAAAAGGGAACCAAATAAATATATGTAAAAATTTCAGTACAATATAAAGATCTCTGCATATATTTATTTTCTTTCCACGTCGAAGTGCAAAAACGGAGAACTTCAGTTGTAGTAGAGTTTACAAGCCGACCATGAACGCACCATTTTCTCCTCATGGGCGTCTGACAACAAAAACAAGCTGAGAGAGAGAGAGAGAGAGAGAGAGAGAGAGAGAGAGAGAGAGAGAGAGAGAGAGAGAGAGAGAGAGAGAGAGAGAGAGAGAGAGAGAGAGAGAGAGAGAGAGAGAGAGAGAGAGAGAGAGAGAGAGAGAGAGAGAGAGAGAGAGAGAGAGAGAGAGAGATCACATGTCAGAGCGTACACCGGCATTCAGAGAGGAAGTGGCAGCGAGTCTCCGCACTGTCCGTGTCCGGGAAGCAGTGAGTGTCCGCCGGATTCAGCCGCCGGGTCCAGCCGCCGGTCCTATGGTTCTGCTCCGGCACATCTCCATCGCCCTGACCGCCGCCGTGGCTGCCCTGGGCTCCGCGCTCTTCATCGCCCTGAACTTCTTCTACAAGAGGAGGGTATGGTCCCCGCAGGCGGAGTACTGCACGATCAAAGAGGTGAGAGCAGGAGACTGATAGGCTACAGGACTCCATTTTTATTTGATTGTTTTATGGTTTCAGTCTTAACTGCTCAACTTAGAGAGGAGGTGGAGAAGAGGAGATGTTTCACCTGGAGGAATGACTTTGAGGGAATGACGGCAGGTTCTTTATGCACATACAACTGACATGAAGATGATGATGATGATCACAAAATCAGGCGAAGATTGGAGTTGTTTGATGAATATTTTGTTGGATCTGATCATATCTTTTATTTTTTTTAAATAAGATGAAAAGTGATGATGATGATGATGATGATGATGATGATGATGATGATGATGAAATATAGCACGAGTGATTAGAAACTGAGAAGGCCACAGTGGAATTGTAAATCACTGGTGATGAAAACTGTGGTGGTGGTGATGATGATGATGGTCTTAGTGTTGAGAATGATCAAACAAATTTCATCATGATGATGATGAAGATGAGGGGGATTATACTTCTGATTCCTGATGAAGATATTGACCTCGAAACATGTAAATAATGAGAATAGCGATGAAGATGCAGGACATGATAATGATGTTGGAGATGAAAAAAAGAGATTCCAACTGGGCATGAGTTAGTCCAGGCTGATGAAGATCAAAGTGAAGATTGGATGGTAATAATGATGCTTTTGTTATTGAAATTTAAAGCTATGGTGAGGAATTTTCTTTGTTGATGTTGGTGCCCCCTGGGGACAAAGTGGTAACCCCAGTGTTTTATTCTCATCTTCATTTCGTGGAGTTGACACTCGCTGCGAATGTTTGCTGTCATAGTTGTAACTTCCTCAGCCTCCTCACAGCAGTTACAGACATTTAGAAAATGACAATATAGAAATTGTCAATGATTGTTGACGGGCTGTTTGCTTTTGATCATCACTGTTCTTTTCCAGCTGTTTCATAACGCACCAAAGACTCCAGTAAGTAAAGACTCCACTTTACAATAACCATAATTTATAAATGGAAAAGAGATAGTTTATTAATGTTTAATCATCATTTAAAAACAGCATATTGACCAATTATAAATGGCAAATAGATAGTTTATCAATTAAGTTAATAGTTACTTTACCATTAACAAGCAATGACATTATGATTATTAATGGACTATTTATTAAAGGTTTATATAGGGTTTAAATGTTGGTGGTAAAACATCTAGATTTAAATGTATGTCAGTAGAACTTTGTAAATGGTTAATATTTGGTTTTTAAACCATCTATAAACATTACTTGGATGGTTATTGTAAAGTTAGGGTCAGAGTCAGGTTTTTGAAATTATAAAATTTACAATTTATCAGTGGTCTCAATGCTATTTATAAATGATGATTAAACATGATTAAACTACCTGCTTACCATTTATAAATGATCGATTTACCATTTATAAGTTATGGTTATTGTAAAGTGTTACCAAAACTCCTTAAAGGAGCTTGAAAAAAAATAGAGAATGGAAACAAAAGCACTTGGAGTTTGGAGTTGGAGTTTGCAGAATGGGCTCAAGTTTGCTGAATGAAACAACACAGTGCTGCAGATCCACATGGAGTAAAAAGTCAGGGGAGAGTGAAAACAACTTTCAACTCTTTTTTTCTTGTTGTTGTTGTTGAAGAGAAACTTCCCCCCCAAAACTGGCCCCTCTTTGCACAGAAAAATCTGCCCTCAAGTGATACAGCTGGTCCACAAAATGCCCAAAAAACACAGAAGAGTGATTTGTAGTTAGAAGTATAACTTTGCAATAACTAGGAGATCCTATCTGGTATTGTTCGATGATGATACTCCTAGGCTAAAATCAATGGCCACTTATTCTGCATTTCTGTATTTTTTGTTTATCCAGAGGTTAGCTACCTTCCTTTTCCATTGCATCTGCAAAACAGACTTTGTCATTTCTCATTTCGTCATATCCCAGTTGACATGAAGTAGTTTTCCTTTATCAGTTTCTGGTGACTCTTAGTTTTACTGTAAATAAGGTGCAGGGTTTTAAGTTCTTCAGACTGAACCATCTGTAGGAACCTGAAGAAAATTAAAGGCATCAGTTCAGTCTTCCAGGTATGTCTGTTAAAAAAAAGGTGTCACTTTTAAGTCAATGCATCTGCTTCTGGTAAGTCTCAGTTTCTCTGTAAACATGAGGCCTCACTCAGGCGTACTTCAGCAGGATGAACCTGAAAAACAAACCAATCAATCTCTGTGATTTCTTTGCCATTATCAGTCTTAATTTTGTCATTTGTGTCTCAAATTGGTGAAGAATGGATTGTCAGGACAGCGTATGGTATGTCTCAGGCTGTTTTTTATTTAGCTGACTTGGACACTGAGCCTTTTAATGAACGAATCTTCCGTGGTGGAGTCTCCAGCTGCAGCCTGAATCTCTTAATAAAATCTATTTGCATGTCTCTAATCTTGTTTCTTGAATTCAGGCAACAGCAGCAACCTGTAATAAGCTTATCCTGTGTCATCTGTCTCAGTGCGTCTGTGAGGATCGTGTTTTAATATTATAAAGATGTCAGTGTGCATGGTGCTCGCTGCAGAGGGGGCATTAGTGATTCTGTTCCTGAGGCCAAATTGTACCGAGCTGTGTTGTAATCACGTCTCCGGCCTCTGAGAGAGGGGGAGTTGACTTAATAGGTGTTTGTGACCTCTGGGAGTTTGTGCAGGTGGGAGGGCCGCACACGCTGGCATACACGGAGCGGAGGAGAAGAAACTGCTTCAGCAGGAGAGCGGAGAATAGTAGGACAAACTATAAAGATTGATCTTTGTTATGAGGATCAGTTTAGATTTGTCTGAAATGCGGTTATTCCTGCAGAAGCTCATGCAAATGTTGGCAATAAAGGAATTGATCCATTCAGTGGATTTTGACTGATTCTTTTTACCAGGACGATCTGCATAAAAGTCAATTTTTCCTTTACATTTCCAACACATGTAGTGATAAATTCGACTGTCAATAGACAACAGGAGGAGAAATATGTCAAAAAACCTCACAGAGTTATCAGATCAAATAGAAAAATTGAGAACTCTTAACTTGACTCAAGATGCAAACAAAGGCTGATTGTTGGACGTGATGCTACTTACTTCATCAGACACCAACCCAGCAGCAACGGATACAAGCAGTAAAACCAGTCACCAGAAGAAGACAGCTTCATACAGAGGCATCAGCTCTCGTTTTAGCCTGTTTTATAACGAGGTATAAACTCTCAACAGCACATTTGAAGCCTCCTGCTAAATGAAACGAGTTTGTGTTGTTGTCAGGGGAAGTTTTGAATGATGTATAATTCAGTAACTGACGAGCGAGTTGTAAAAGAAAGTAGAAAATGTGAACACGAAGGACTCCAGAAGCGCTGAACATGAATGATAGTTAGTGACGGAGTAAGAGGATCAGAGTTTCCATCACATCTCTGCATTTGGGATTCAGAGCTGCAGGCGAGTGGACTTTTCTGCTTCCATAAGATAAAGTCAGAGTGTTTTAGACGTGCTGGAGCGTCCTTCAGCGAGAAGCTAAATCCTCCTCAGATCTGCAGCTGAGCAGGGAGTTTCTGCTCTTCCCTTTGGAGCAGAAAAACAAAGGAAATCAATACAGAAACGCTACTTTTTATGAGAAATGGAAATGTCTGCGGAGTTCTTGGAGCTTACAGAGAGCAGCAGAGATGAATGGTTTGAAAACATCGGATTTGACGGCGTATGACGAATATTGTAGGATAAAAACAGTATGGAGATAAAGAAGGAAATTGAGTTTGTTGATATTTCTTTCTGTCTTGGATTTAGGTTTCCATTTTCCCCACATGGTAAAAGTATGCTTTTATTTTGAAGTATGAACTGCTTCCTGTAGATTGTGAGTTTAGGATCTGAATAAAAATCAAACGATTAGAAAGTATGAATGTTTGATTGACTAGTAACTTATGGGGATACAGACTTTAGTGTTTGTTTTGATTGAATGTCAGCTTTATAAAAGTGTCCAAACATCTTTAATTTGTCTTGACCATCTGTATCACAGTATTGACACAGTTTAAAGCTCCAGTGAACAAACTTTCGGTGTTGATTTTGGCGCCAATTCCACCTTGTCCTTGTAAACGCGGTGTTAATGGACAAAAAGTCTGCCGTGGTGAAATTTGTCATTCGCTGTTGGAAAAATAACAGAGGCCGTTTATTTTAGTCTGTTTCATAATTTTAATTTCAAAAGGTCCTCCTCATAATGAAGCCCATTTGTCCAAATATGTTTTTTAATCCAGATTATTTGCTCCCTAAATCTTCAAAAAACTGGAATTTTTTTCTCATGATTTGCCACTTTCTAAATTTTCCCCCCCTCATACCGATATTACTTAAATCTTACAGAAAACTGAAACTAACTAAAACTGAAAGAATTTGGCAAGTTAATATTAGTCAGGGCAGAGAATTTAAAGGGATATTTCACTGTTTTTGCAGTGGCGTTGTTTGAGAGCAGCTAATTTGGGAAGAAAGCATGCATCTCAGTTGAAGTGTACACTCCTCTGAGGGTCCCTCCGGTTGTTAACTTTGCCTTCAGAAAATTTCATTCCTTTTTGCACAACATCAGGACTCGACACATAATGCCCCTCAGCCTACAGTGTACTATGGATTTCATGTTTTGATGGTTAAAAGCTTTAAAATCTCTGACAGGATCTTGGAAAGTGCACGTTTACAAACATTGACCACTTTGCACAAAGTCCGTGCTGACATACTTCAAACTGAGAGATAACACCAAAAGTTCTGCAGCCTCAGCAGACTTTGAGCGGCTCAGGGCTGTCACAGTTTGAAGTGTGTCTCCCTGCTGATTCCAACGATGCAAATACACAGAGACAGGAGGCTGCAGATCTGTGCAGCATCCCTGTTTATCTGAGGCTAATGTTTACCCTGCAACACCAGGGCGTGATTACAGGCTGGAACACGCCAGATGAAACTTAATTCATCGACAAATACGTCTTTCTGACACATGACATGATATTTGCTGCTTCATATATGAAGTAATCTGAGGCTGAAATCACCTTAAGTGGTGATTTGAGCATTCATGCACGAGGTGAAATTAAAAGTGAAATTTCCAAAGTGGTGCAGCTCAGCTCTGAAGGGGCTGATATGAATTGCTAATTAACCACCGCACAGATCATGAATAAAGACAAACCTGGGACTCCTGTGCAGGATCTCAGAGGGTTTGTGAGTCTCAGATGTAAAAGAGAGAGAGCGTGGAGGTTGAAATCCTGCTGCTAACCTTTACAGAACGTCTTTGAATAGATAACTCCCTGTGTCCTCGCTCTGATCTGACCTAAATATGCAGAAATAAAGGGCAGGTATCAGCTCACATGCTGCTGCTCTGTCATGTCTTTTATTAAAGTTTAATATCAGGACTTTCACCTCTGGAGGTTTGCAGAGCAGATTCATTTTCCAGAAAGCATCAAGGAGTATTTTTTTTTCGCTCTCAAAGTCCAAACTGTCCAAAATACTCAGTTTGACACATAACAGTAATCCATAACTGGTCTGAACTTATCTGAAAAAGAAAGTGTTTGGTATAATGCAATCAGAGCTGCAGAGAACGATGATATTCATTATCATATAATCCATAAATCATCAAAGATGAAAGGAGAGGAGTGCACTCTGGACTCAGAATGAAGTGGTTGGAGCAGCTCTTTGGATACGGATGAATACAGTGGAGGTGCTCCGTTTGTTTGTCCGATGAATTATTTGCTTGTAATGGAAGTATTTGATGATCATTCTGTTGAGAAAATGTTATCCAGGAAGACAAAATAATAGTGTGTGGAGGGAGCCAACACTGAGAGAGGAGAAAGAGCAGCTGCAACAAAGCGACCAGAGTAAAAATAACATCACCTGGGTGGATGATTTTACTGTTTTAGAGGAGGATGACACAAGTGCACTCTGAAAAACAAGAGGAGTAAAAGAAAAGCTCTCACATTTTAAAACAAGTCACCCAAAAAAGATGTCATAAAAAAAGCACAAGTAGGTGTCATTTGAATGGTTCTATGAGGGGACTTTATGTAAACAAAGCGTCCTCTGGTTGTCTTTTCAGTGAAAAGTTGTTAAAATGCTCTTTGTTAATCCTTAGAGTGTAAAGAATATCAACGAAGTTCCCTCTGGATTGATGAATGTCCCATCTGTATGCTCTCTCAGTCTAGAAATTGTAAACAAAGTGCACTTATTTACTTTTATTGGGGAAAAAGTCAACAAAGTGCCTTTTAAATTCCAGTTCAGTATGTGAAATGTTAACTAAGTGTCCTCTTGATCCCCTTTTAGAGTAAAAAATATACTAAAATATACTAATACTTTTTATGCATCAAATACAATGTAAACAAAGTGCCCCTGGGTGCTCTTTAAGTTGATAAAATGTAAATGAAGTTCCCTCAGGATGTCCTTTCAGAAGATGAAATGCTACTTAAGTGCCTTCTTGATACCCTTACAGTGTACTGAATATAAATAAAGTGCCCTGCATTTGCCGTTTCATTGTATAAAATGCAAACAAAATGCCTGTATGTCTTTCAGTGTATTGTGAACAAAGTGCCTGTAATACATTATTAGCTGTTGTTGGTATTGAAGCTTACATATGTAGCTGTGGCTTGAGGCTGCATAAGTTATGGCAACAACAGCCCCATTTTCCACAATTAATTTACAAATGTGGTTATAATTTTGTCGTTCTTGTAACCCTGATAGTGATGGTTTTTAGCTTTTCTGAACATCTCTGTCCTCTGCTCTCTGCTGCAGGAGGAGGAGGAGCGTGGGAAGCGGCAGGTACTGGTCCTCGGTCTGGACGGGGCCGGGAAGAGCAGCATGTTGCAGGGTTTGACCCCCGGGGAGTCAACGGCTAAAAGAGGCCGCTGCCGACCCACCCGTGGCTTCAACTTCATGAGCATGAACGCCCCTGCCTGTCAGCTGGACTTCCTGGAGAGTAAGAGTCCTTTTTACCCCTCAAAATCAAACACTGTGGGCTGCATGGCTTCTAGACTGAATTTATGTTTTATGAGGCGGCATGAAGCGGAGCAATGAAAAGACATTTTAAGTCTCTGTTCAGCACAGATGGCTTTTTGTTTCATTAAACTTACAGAGTACCAGACAACTCCACTGAGCAGACCGAAGTGCAGACTCAAACGCCTGAAAATGAGCCTCTATCTAACCAACAGAGGATAGAAAAGCTGGAGATATGATTGCAGTTTATAACACAGGATGGCTGCCACACATCTCCAGTGTTGCTTTGGTGGATCGGCTCATTCTGATCAAGTTTAAGCTATGTTACTCGTATCCCTTTTGTATCGTAATTGTGGGTTGCAAGTATATCTTTGGTCTAAGAGTTATATAAAGAATAAAAGAAATAAAATTAAAAAAAGCCATAATAATGTAAATTTACAAGATTAAAGGTACAAAAAAGTTGAAAATTTTAGGGAAAAAGTTGTTAATATATGGGGGAAAAAGTGTTGGGCTTTTTTCCATCACTTTTTTTTCTACCAACGTTATCTGAAATTTACAAAAATAAAAATAAACCTGCTCTTTTTTTCTTTTGGAAAGTGTCTTGGGATAACGACTCTTGTGATTTGGCACTAAATAAATAAAATTTGATTGATTGATTGAGGACAAAAGTGTAAATTCATAAAAATAAACTCATCTTTGTTATTGTCAAATAATTGTCAAGTTATTTGTCAAGAATAGTCTGGCAAATTTACAAAAAAAGCGTGGTAGATTCATGAGGAAAAAGTGATTTACAAGATAAGAACATGAAACTATAATCCATAAACATAAGGTAACAACCGAGACCTAATGGTGCTGTGACAGCAACGTGATTGAGTTTGACACAGTGAAAATACATATGGTATGTTGTATCTGAATAGGTTAGCTTATGAGCTAAAGTTACTTAGCACAGATGAAAGTTAAAACAAAGACGTTTATCAAACTGTTAAAGCACACAAACCATCGTCATATGAGAAATCCGACGCTCTGACTCTCCACAAGTCGTCCTTCAGATCGTTATCTTTGTAATGTTTGTGTCTTTTATCAAAAATCACTCTTTTCTCCGACACGTAAACAATCAGCCGGTCGGCCATGTTGGATATACCGGTGAATCTGACGTCACAACAAGACACAATCTGATTGGTTAGAAGTGGACACACAGTGTGCGAAACTTTTAAAAAATTGACCGTGATACAAAAAAATAAATGCTGCAATATTGCAGGACAGGAAAACGTCGCTGATGTGAACGCTTGTATTGACAGGATACAGGTTCAAAAACAATATATTGATGTCCGAAATAATTGCACGAAAAAAACGCTCCCAGTGTGTAAGGACCTTAAGGCTTGAAATTTCCTCTTTTAATCTATTGTTTGTCTTCAAATTGTGGCCCAGAATGTAATACCGTAATGATAATAGCTTCTGTATGTTAGTATGCTAAGCCAGAATCTTCCAGCCTCCTTTTTTCCTCTCCATACTAACAATTTCAGATCACTGAGATGATTTAAACTCTGAGGTTGATAAACAGTCAGCTCAAACTCAACATATAGCTCAGTAAAAAGCTAAAAATCCATGAATTAGTTATCCGTAGCGTCATCAATAGTTCCTTTTCTTGTCATGTAATACACAAGGGCTAGAAGATATCAATCAAAGCAGATTTAGGCGTCGGCAAACAGCACTACTGGTTGTATGTGATCCTAGCTGTAGTTCAGAACTTGTTCCATATTTCACTTGTTTTTCTCCAGCTCTGCTCTGGTGCCCTCGGCATCCATCACTGCCAGCACAGAGGCAATCTCTGCTTTTTCTATTTTCTCCTGATCTGTTCACTGACTGAGAGAAACTTCCAGCAGGTTTTGTTTAGCACCGAGGCAAAACGAAAGGAACAGTAAAAGCCTCCAGAAACTCAAATCCACGAGAGCTCCTTTTTAACTCAGGGAGCCGAAATCTTTAAGATTAGAGTCAATATAAATTTAAAATGTGAGTTATTATTATTACTTAAGCCTTTCCACCAATGGGGTTTGGATTTTTTAAACTGTCTGGCTTGGACACATCAAATGGACACTGTTTACTCCTTCTGTTGGCAAATTAATTCAGTGATTTATGGCTGCGAGCATTGCATGTTGACTGGTGCTGTCTATATTTAGCTGCAGGAGTTCAATCCGCTAATGATCTGTTTTTGGAACATACACCTAGAGGCTGGCTCCAGAAGCACCAGAAGTTACATACACACCTGTTCTAAAATTAAACATGTTTACAGGCTGGTACATAAACAGTTTTGATCTAAATAGAGGATTTCACTATGCACACTGAATAACGGGTGATATTTATTTATAACTCAATCGCTCTGAAGAGAAAAAGGATTGCATGATTAATGGCGTTGATTGCCTGACAGGAGGGCACAAAGGTAGTTGTTTATGGAGAAGGTGGATCGACTGAGAGTTAAGTTGAAGTATGGTTTCTGCCAGTGGATTAGCTTTTAAACGCCACTCCAGAAGCTAATGGGGGACATCAACAAGTCTATGTCTAAGTTTGAGACAGTCTATGGTTAAATATCCAGCAGAAAGCATCTTTGGGATCCGTAACACAACTTCTCAGAAACCACATCACTGAGACTACATCCATGTTTGACACAGTCCACGGCTCTTCTTCTGACATTCCAAACCTCAGACAGAAAACCCTCCAAACTACTCTCTGCCCGTGCTGCTGCAGATATAATTGACTATCTCTCAAATGCAGATGAGGCTGTTAAAATCGTGTGCGTCTAAAAAAAGGAGAGCAAAGTTTATTTACAGGCAAACAAACATTGCAAATTAGCATTCCACTGAAACTCTCCACACTGTTCCAAAAATAAACCAACATGACTTTGCTTTACATTCAGTCTGACTGGCTGTGGTCGGCCTCAGATTGAGTTTCTGCGGGTGTATTCGGAGAGATGTGTCATGCTCTGCGGCTGATTTATTCATGATCTGAACACAAGGATCGGTGGGCGCCTTCAATCTTTCTCTCATCGCTGAAAGTAAGAGCAGCACATGTCACCGCCCACTCAGTCAGAAGGCTTCGACATCTCTGTGCGGTGAAAGTCGGAGTCTTTGTCTGGGTGACGTTGATGCAGAGGCATGTTGACAGCTCAGGAGTGGTACGCAGCTCAGGGATGGACGAGCTCTCTTTGAGGAGTACATCAGGGAAATCCAGCTAAAAGCCTTTAAACTCTGAATGAAACGATTCGGATCAGATCAGGGAGGGAAGTTGGCACGAGCTTTGAGCTGCTGAGATTTGAGTTTGTGCTAAAAGGAAGTGAAAAGCAACATCTGGGGGGAAGTTCCTGTTATTTTCTGCATGTTGTGTGTGTATATGATTGGACTCATAAGTGTGGGTTTCCTCTTTAACATGTATTCTGGTGTTGGTACAGTATGTTCTAGTCTGTCTTCATCTTGATTTGAGGAACTACCTCCACGCAAACTTACAAAAAAATATGGATACCGTCAATAAACACACCTATTTCTCTCTGCATGTCAGCACTTTAAACATAGCCTCACTCTTCTCACGTGCAATCATCTGCAAACAGCCTAAAGTTGTATTCAAACATAAAACTCTAAACTCCAAAAATTCATCAAATTTTCAAGGCAAGTTAAAAGTTTAGATAAACTAAATTCACAAAGGATGATTTGGGGAGACAAATGATCTGGTATCACTTTTAAAAGGCACAAGCTAACATATACCGTACCCTATTGTATCATATTGCATCGTGTCACATCATATCGTATTGCATGGTATCAAATCACATTGTATCATATTAAATAATATATAATCGTATCATATCACATCATACCAAATTCTATTGAATCAAATTGTATTGCATTGTATCATTTCCAATTATATTGTATGTAATCATATCAAATAATATCAGATTGTATCGTTTCACAATGTAGCGAATCAGATCATATTATATCCAACACTGTATCCAATGATATCGAATCATAATGAATGGTATTATTTTGTATCATATCAAATAGTACTATATCGTATCAAAATATCAAACCCAAGCGGTAACTGCAGCTCCTGACACCACATACACACAGTTTTAGTCTGAATTGTTGTGATCCCACTGTGGATTTTTCGCTATTGGATTTGCTCCAAAGTTATTAAGGTCACCAGATTGGGCACGGAGTATTTGATTGGTTCGCAGGCACATTGTAGCTATAGGGAACCGAAGCCACGCCCACTTCCGCGTTAGCGCTATAGGTCCTATTGGGATAATAGGAGTGAATGGACAGGTCTATGGTATTTTCTGGTCCGCTTTGTTTTACACCCTGAGTCACAAATATGTTGTATTTTAACTTAAATGATAACCATTAAGGTAAGTAAAGGCTATGTTTGTTGTGTAATTGTTGATCTATTTGTCTTTGAAAACACGTAAATGGAGAGACTACAGACCTCAAGAAGTCGCGTAAATGACGTCACGTCAGTATTTCTACTTCTAGCTAGCTGACAACTCCTGTCAACTCGTTATCATTGCCAAAATGCCTGTGTACTGTAGTGGTTTTCACCACGTTTAATACTCTTTCCTTCATCCTGGAAGAAGGACGTGAAACTTGCCAAAGTCACCGCCATCGTCGTCTGTCAAAGCTTAGACAGTGACGCAAAAATAGTGCGACGAGCGGTGTAGTTCATTACGTGGTCTCACTCTAAATTAAACTGTAGTTATAGCAACATGTCTAAAATCACGGCTTTTTCGAGGTTAAAATGTAAATTTAAACATGATAAACATTATATGTGAAATGTGTAGGGGCTTCGGTTCCCTATACCAAAGCGGACCAGTAGTTATATATATCTGTCCATTCATTTTGATGGGCTCCATAGGACCGTATGCTAACCCGGAAGTTAGCATGACTTCGGTTCCCTATTTGTGACGAGGCGAGAGGCCTGCCTCTGGTAGGTTGACCGAAGTTTAGGTTGATTCAGCAATTCTAATATGGCAACTGCTGCTGAAAGGCTTCAGAACGCTGCTTGTCAAACAAATGTCACCGATAGGTCCTGTTATTATTAAACAGTCTAAAATTATACTGAATTATATCGTATGGTTTAGTGTATTTTACTATTGTACCATACTATATTATTTCCTATCTTGCTGTACCATAATAGAAGATGAAGTATTGTGTTGTTGAATTTCATATCATGTATCCTGTTGAATCTTATTTTATTGGAAGGTATCATACTGGATCCTTGTTGACTACTAGGACTCTACTTGTCCTACTCAAATTGCTAATATATGCTAACATAAGCTTCTATTTTACCACAGTGTCCACAAGCAGAAATGAAATTGGATTGTTTTGAGTTTACATGGACATTCACTTTATGGCTGAGGATTAATTACCATTAATTACCAATTGAAATAATTTAATTTAAGTCTCAGTGCACTTAGTGGAACTCATCTTGTCCAATCAGATGCTTTTGTTGAAACAAACCGTTTATTTGACGCAAAAATTGTGTAATTGTGAACTTTTTTTTTTTGCTTCAGTCTTCATTAAAAATAGTGAGGAACTATTTCCCCTCTGAAGATCACAACTTAATTCAGTAACACACATCATTCACACCTCTGCAGAGCATTAGGACAAACCTCCCTCTGAGCACCGTCTGACCGTAAACCAGCAGCTGCTGTCTCTGCTGAGCGTCAGGGCCACCATCAGATAAACAGGCATTCATTTCTGCCACCCCACATCAGCTGAAACTACATCCCTGCCCTGTTACCTAGCAACATCCTACATTAAGTCCAGCGCTAATGAATTCCTGCTGAGCGTCCCTGTGCTGCACTTGGAGGCGTTGACGACCTGAAGTCAAACCCGCCCGAGTGTGTGAGCTATGATTGGTTTCAGTCTCTGATGGTCATTCAAGCTGTGGGTCAGTTCTCCTGTGCAGTGGGACTGTTGGAGGTTAAAGCCCATCAAACCCTCCCTGCTATCAAAGATAAAAATGATTTAGAGGAATGGGTCCGATGTTACATGGAGGGCTGCAGAATGCTTGAACAAGCTTCCTCTTCATACTTAAAACTACAAATATCAAAAAATACTCAAAAACTCTTGTGTATTTTGGGCTGGAGTTTAGCATTGGAAAGTATCCTGGTTTCTATTTTGGTCGTCAGAGCATTTTTGACCAATTATGAATTGGAAAGTTTTGATGTCTGCAGGAAAAGTTGTCTGTTGGGCTGCTCAGAGGCTCAGAGGGCGAGTGGTTTGAATCCCTGTGTGTAGAGTTTGCTTGTTCCCATCTGTGCAGGTTTGATGTGTTTTCTCAGTACTTAAGCTTCCCCCCCACAGTCCAGTGATATGCTCATCAGGTAAGCTGCTCCCTTCATAGGTGTGAGTGTGTGCATGAATGATTGTCTCTATGTGTAAGCCTTGTAAGAAACAGACAATGTAGGGTGACTTCCCAAAAAGAGGACATGACTACATGGGGGTGGAGTCACGGAGTTGCACGACGTTAATTTTAAGAGTTTTTCGGGTCGGATCGGGTGTCTTTTATGTGCTTCTAACTCAGTAAGTCCAAACTTAGGTACAAAATCGCTGACATGTGAAGGGTTAAACTTCCCCGGACAAAACTGGACAAGCCCGGACAGCCCAGACAGACGCGGACATGTCCGGACAGAGGACATATGGTCAGCCTAGATAATGGATAGAGGAAGGGAAAACCGCAGAAACAGTCCACTGCAATGATGTCCAAGCTAAGCTGTGATCTGATTTATTCATCACTATGTGCAGGTATCTGCATGCAGGTGCAGCTCACAGTCTATCATAGAGACAATATCAGCCTGAGCATGAAATCAGCTTCATCCCTGCAAAAGCTAATCAAGGTTGAGCTCCCGTTTTCGCAAAACTCATCACGAATAATTGATTTAAGTGCCGTTAACAACCACACACATTTAAAAAGTTGTTTTCTTCTCCTCTTGAGGACGGATCTGACAAAGTTTGACTTTGTACTTGATGCTGCTCGATATTGCAAACCTGTGACCCCCTTATTTCAAGAAAATTACGAGAAAATTGGTTTCTCTTTAAAGGGAGAAAGGCTATGTTTTTGCTCAATTATAGTCAATCAGTCAAATGTCCGTGGAGCGGGAAAGATTGTAATCTTCGTAAACAAGTTACACAACCTCCCATCGCCCACCAGCTTTCACATCTGCTTGAAAAGTATGACTGAGAAGCTGCAAAGTTAATTTCAAGATGGTAAACGTCCACAATCAGTCTGAGATGAGATTCATCCTCGGTTATAAGTTGAATGAAGAACAACCAGGTTCCTCAAAGAATCAAGAATAACACTCCTGGACTAGAAGAAAAGGCAATAATGAAAGCAAAATGAAAACAGTTTTCATAGGAGGAAATCAAAGAGTTTCTGAAGCATTGAAAACACTAAGAATAAAATGGCTGCACTGCTCTGTGTTGCTGCAAGCCTTGCTGACATATCATTTCTGGAGGCAACAAGGCAGAATAAATGAATCAGACCAATTTCCCCAGCAGGCAAATATGGATATGAATAATAGCTGAGAGCCGTCCGAGCCCATTCTATCTCCCAGCAGAAACAAGATTCATGATTTTATTCGATACGGTGCGCATTTAAAACTGATCTGTGGACAATTTGTCTAAGGAAGGGATTCAAACTGCTTATGTAATCCTGCCAAATGTTAGAAAGCTGTTTCATTGAACGGAAAACATCTGCCACACTGAAAAATGGAGGCTATCAAGTCAGTCTGAGATGCTTTTTCCTTTGCCTGGATCACTGAAAATGTCACATCAGATCCTGTTTATCTCTCAATGCACTGCTACGCCTGTCCTGGTGTGGGGAAAATGGATGTTACTGGCAAACATTTGACTTCTTAAAAATGTTGAAACCCCAACTGAGGAAAATTGCTGCATCACATTTGAGTCGGGGCTGGATTTGAGCTGATAAAATGCCGAAATACTGGCTGTTGAGCCTTAATCAGGGAGTCAAGTTGCAAAATTTTCTCGTGAGAAGACTTGGAAACATGTTTGTAAGCCACTAGGCGGGGCTTTATTTCCAGGTGACGGTGATGCTTTTATGCTCGATCACCTGGATGTAAACAATCACAGATGACAGATGTAGTGGTGCAGCATGGTTCAGCTGAGGTTTGATATGGAAAATGGAGACAAGTTCGATGAAGGCTGTGTCTGGTTAAACTTGTTCATGTGTAAAGAGGACTTAGGACTGGTGGTACTAGCTCTGCTAATGTTAGTCCCACTTAGTGATTCAGTTCAACATATTTGCAGATAGTGTGTTCCTGTTTTTGGCCGTGATTAATAATCTTTGGTCTGGGGGACAAAATGGTGAGTCACTAAGTTCAGCCCCTACAGTTTCGCCAATAGATATGAAGTTTGGAGATCTAAACAGTATTTCAATACGGGCTTTGATAACATTTCCTTGACATTTGAGCCAGCCCCTAGAGGACACACACATAACTGCGCCCACAGCGTTGCAAATTTAATGGTCAGGGCAAAAGAAACCCGCCTCAGCATCAAAATAAAAATTGTGTGTTTGAAGTCTAGTAGAGTTTATGTTTTATAAAACGTGAGAATTTGTGTTTTTGCTGTTGTAGTCGGTGGTGGAGAGGACCTGAGGCGATACTGGTCGGACTACTTGAGTAGGACTCACGTTCTGGTGTACGTGGTGGACTCATCAGACAGAAGTCGCCTCCCGTTGGCCAAGACTGAGCTGCACCGCCTCTTGATGGTGGAGCCTCAGCTGCCCGTGGTCATCCTCGGAAACAAGCAGGTAAAGCAAATGTGAATCCATCAGAGGTTCCTGTCCGGACACAACTCAAAAGCATCAGGTGACTTTTTCACCACCCTATGAAGCTTTGCCTTATTTTACTCAGATCCTTTACACAGAAATTAGAAACACTATATTTCTTTTTGAAGGACCGTACCTGTGAATTTTTTAAATTTTAGCTCATAAATGCCACATGTGCAAAAGTGCAAAAGGAAAAGGACCCTGATGCAGATGATCAGAGATTTGAAGAATGGGGAAAAAAAGGGAAATCAACAAAAACTTACTTTGAAAAAGTCCAAAAAGAATCACAAGGACACAGTGAGGGTTTAACGATGATCTGATCCAGAAGGGAGGAAACACAGAGACTGAAAACAGAACGGGTAACAAGCAGTGAGACAGGTGAGACAACAAGGCGCAGGTGCAGACAATGAGGGCACACAATCACAAGGGAGGGAGAACACAGGAAGTGAATCTACACTGTAAACACGAGAAAAAAAAGAACAAAAATATAAAACAGGAAAGTCTGAAACACACACACACACACACACACAAAAACAGGAACATCTGGGGACAAATGTACAAAAAAATGACACAAAACTAGAAAAAAACATCACAAGAACTCCTCATGTAGTCCTCAGGTGCTGCCCACAAAAGGACCCAAATGCAGACTTCACAAACTAGAGAGTCACACACTTGTTTAGGACATGAAAGTTCACCCAAACGCAGGTCGCACAACCAGAACAACCTATGAAACCTACAGGGAGGGCGGGGCACAGGTAGCTGCAGATGAATGAGAAGGTAGACCAAAGGCGAGACCACCTCAAAGCAGACCAGGGACAAAGCAAAGCCACCACAGACTGAAGGAGAACGTTTTAGGGCTCTTTGCTTCATGCATTTCAAATGTCATTTTTACTTTCCACTCAGTGCACTTGTCATTTTTATGCCCGGCTCACATATTGTATTGGTTTTGAAAAATAGTGTCATGAGGATGCAGAGAACTCCTCAGACCAACAAAAACCCAGCTCCAAGTCTGAAGCCCATGGAGCAGTAGTGCTTTCCTGCTATTTGGAGTTTGCATGAGCATGACAGTAAGACGGCGGTAAGAACTCATAATACCTGTTACTCTCGTTTTTACCCACAAATAGAGTCAAACAGCAGTATCCCTTTTTCTAATACAGTTATATTGAGCGTTTATCTGGACATGCAGACGCAAACAAATGTCAATCCATACAGTTCCCTGCCTCGTACCTACCTCGACCTTTGAGTGTTTTCTTGCTCTTAAACAGCAGAGTAGAAGGAGTCAAATGCGCTGATTTTAGCCTGCTGTATTGAGGTATAAAGGTTTGAACATGCCGTGCCAAAAGTAATGCGTCTACTCGAGGCACAGCAGAGTCCCAAGGGAAAGGAAAGCCAATGCATCCAAACAACATCAACCTTGCTGCACCCTGCGCCCCACTTAGCACCCAGATTTTGCACTAATTAACCACCAGACACACCCTGATTCACATTCCACCATGCACATTAGTCCACATGTTTATGATTATTGCAACTATCCAGCAGTTTCTCTTTTATTTTTGTGCCCCAACACCAGACAACACGGTCGAAATCAATCATAATGAACTCTTTGTCTGCATCATTTATGACAGTAACATAAGCATTGGTGGCAATTAGTTAAATCAAGCTCAATAATGAGTAATAGATAATTAATAGATAATTTGGCAAAGTACATTTTATACCCTGTAGACACTGATGGAAACCGAGAATAGTCCCAAAATGGAACAGCGTGCATTAAAACATTTAAAGCTGTAGTGTTTTATTTATACGTCAATTTGAAAGCACATCAAGAACACCAGAAGAGCTCTTTGGCTATTCAGCGAAATGACGCATCCACTTCTACAATCTATGTAAGAGCACTGCACTAAACACTCTGAGTTTCAGTTGCATCCCTTTTAAAGGCCGTTACATTCAGGAGGATCTTAGTCCGATGAAACCTCTGAGGAAAAAAACCTCAAGTCAAAATACTTATAAAATAGTATCACATGGGGTTAAAGCTTTCAAGTTAAGTGCAGAAAGAAGAGCTGAAGATGTGTTGAGGGGGCGAGTTCACACTGTTCTCTCTTCATTAACCAGGAGAAATGATCCGTCAGACTCCTGAAATAAACATTTCTACATTTCCTCCTCAGCCCATATTTCTTCGCCCCACGCGGCACTTCTCGAATTATTCATGACCCTCCGAGGGGACTAGGAGTAATTGTCACATCTAAAGTCGGAGCGCCGCAGCTCTCAGAAACCTGTGCTTCTCGCATTTACAGCGAGAAAGAAATCTGACTTAAATGTCGGCGCACTTATCATCCGGTCGTTTCCAGGAAACTAAATGTCATGTGTCGAGAAGGCTTCTGCAAAAGCTCAAAGCAGGAAAAACAAGATATGTTTTTAACCAATCAGGTTTTTAATTTTATCTCTAATGAAAAAAATAACCTTTAATGAAAAAAAAAAGACTTTAAAAAGAAATGTTAAGCTGCAAAGAGACAGATCTATTGAGTGTGTTTTTCTTTCAATATTAGACCAGTAGGCAAAGTTATTTTGACATATTGGTCAAATATCATCATGCATTACAGAGTCAGAGAGTTGGCTAAGTTGAGGTTAAACAGTTAGTGGTTATTATGAGTCCATGTCACTTTCAAGCAAGGCTTTTCAGTAGGTTTAACTGCTTATTAATTAGATATAATCAAATAAATAACCCTGAAAAAGACTGTGAGTACAGTCCATTTACAGCTGCTTCAGACTCGGGGCCTGAATGATTAGACACCAGGGTTTTGGAGGGCAGGTTTTACATCAGAGGATCGGAACATTTCACACAACAGGTGCGCAGATAAAAACCTGATTTGTCAGAGACAATTATACAATCAATATACAATCAATTAAAATGGACGGTTATCAGATTTAAAAGACAGGTACAAATGAATGTCATCTGCAGTCTTTATAAGATAAGCCAGTCTAAGCATATATAGAGAAAATCCCAGAGGGCCCAGGACAGGACCCTGAGGGACTCCAGAAGACGGGGTCCCAACTGAAAAGACTCATTTACCAAACGCACCTGCAAAAGATCTACCTGTCTGCAACAGCCTGGAGAAGAGCAGTCTCCAGTTGGAATTAGTCTAAAACATCCAGAGCAGATGTGATCTGCTTAGCAACAGCTTGTTTTAGGTCTTGAGTGGCTGAGCAACATTATGTTTGTAATAGGATGGGATGAGGCCGGTTGTTAAAGAATTATTGATCGTAGGCATAAGAGATGGAAACAAATACTTCTTTAAGTAGAGGAGTTGGAATGACGTGTAATGAACTGGATGATGTTTTCACACCACCAAGTAAGGTAAGCTATACGCATAAAGGAGCAATACTATGAACTCGTGGTCTTACTCAATGCTTATTTTTAGCACAAAAGAAAACGATATCCCATATTCCATTGTTTTTCTTAATACTTGACCAAATTCAGCTTGCACATGTACACAAGACAAAAGAGTAATTACGTCACTCGCTAAAGCATATTAGCCGTATATCATCTGGAGGAGTGTGTTTATTCATCGAGGCGGTTGAAGCATCTGCTGATAAATCACTGCTCTCCATTCTGCTTTAAATAAGAGAATAACTTCAGAAGAGAAGGACGGCTCTCCAATTTGGGCGTTCGAGCAGAAAGTCAGTTCATGAATAAATCACTTGAGTGAAGTGCTGTCCTTGTTCTGATGTTTTCTCCACATCATACAATAGATTTGGTTTACGTCAGCTGTGCAGGACAGATAAAAGAAGACAAGCTGTTCGCTGAAATGGATGATAAATTTCAGTTAGAGTTCAGGTCTTTGAATGGATGGTAATGGCTGCTTGTATGAAGGGAAGCCTTGAAGTTAGAAAAGACGTGTTTCTTTGGGACATAGTTGGATTCAAACGTCTCATAAATCACCAGAGTATCTCCTAACATCTTCCTTTTGTGAAAGCCTAGATCTTTGACATGCTGTGCAGGATGTAGGCAAAGTGAAAGAACTCATGTCTTTGGTAGAAGGAGGAGTTTTTAACTCTGATACTGATTCTCACCCACCATCGCTACTTTATTCTTTCCCTTGACGCTCGCTCTTTTTAAACAGCACAAAAGACCCGAGCTGCCGAAACTTTGGGTTGAGAGAGACGAGGCGGACTTCTATAGATTCAGGTCTGCAGTGAACAGTTTGTGTAGGAGGCTGGTGTTATATTCAGTTGTCACGTTCACGGGGTTTCAGTGAAGCGTTATGTAAGTTAATGGTAGTTTTAATATGGAGTCACGTCAGGTTTTTAGAGTGGAATACATTTACTAACATCGTGTGTGATATCAAAGACATTTCTGAGGATAATAAATAACATGTTTCTCCTGCAGTTTCACTGATTCGACATTGTTAGTACCTTCATTTAGTTGTTGTTTTTGCAGATTTGTGCAGGAGTCTCCCTCATTTTAACCTGCTGTACTCCTGATATTTTGACCTCATTCTAATGTTGAAATAGTCTCCTATTGTCCTCATCTTTGGCCCTTATATTTCCCTGAGGAGTGCCTGCTCATCTGTTTTCAGAGAGTCTCAGTTTCACTGTAGATAGAGACTCACACAGAGGCTTCACTCTGGCTCATGTTAGAAATATGACCCAAAACAAAACGGATTATCTTGTAGTTTGCTTACATTTTAGGAGCTTAAATTCAACAACCTAACCACACATTAATGCATATTTGTAATGTGGGTGCAAAGAAAATTGTCACCTTGCTTTATTCACGTGTCTGAACACCTGAATTTTGTGCACACGGTTGAATCCCGTGACTAATTTGTTCCATTCGCACGCCACATTTGCTAAAAGATGCTAATTTGTCCAAGAGTAGAAGATGTTTCTATCACGCCATCAATTCTGTTTTTATCAAACACGGTCGAGGTTCATGACGTAGCATAGACTTGTTACCACATAATTCGACCTCCTCACTGACTTAACCACGAGTGAACTCCATGTTATTCATGTAAGAAAAATGTAAGCTGCATAGTTGAGGTGAGGTTAGTTTTCAGTTTGTCCTCCATATTCCTGATAAATGTACTTCAACCATCCTGTTCTTGACAGATTTGCTTCAGTTTGTAAAAAAGCGATTTACTCAAGTACTATGTTGAAATGTTGTGAATTTGTCACTTGCAAACAAGTCCTTTAATTCTCGCTGTTCACTCTGCACACTTTGTTCAATAAGAATTTGCATCTAACCACATCTCTGCATCAACTTTACATGTAATTCACTCAATGGAAAGGGTAAACTGTGAGTTGAAACCACCAACTGAAGCTATCCCAGGCTCTGCCAGCGCAGCAGCTACATTTTGTGGGTTTTACCCATAGACTGTATATACTATGGACACCATGGTTCCGCCTTCCGCCTGTATACGGATTTGAAGCCAAAAAGCTCTCGGTAATTCCGGGGTTTTCTCCACTTCCTTGAAACCAGTGGCGTTGCGCACATTCGGCCGCGCAGAGAGTCGCTGTGACGACGCTCGGCTCAAACAGCGTATCCCCCCGGGTGAGCTACACAATCCCTGAACGCCCATAGGCTGAATCAGGTGTCAATCATAGAAAACATGAACCCCCTAATAACTTTTAAAAACGGAGCTCAACAGAAGAAAAAGGACTTGAGCACAAACCAGTCTGACAGTAACTACATGTCAACATCACAACCAGGGGGGAGAAACATTTATATTCTGTGTGATAAATTTCTAAAGTTTGTCCACAGTCCCATAAGCTTTGCTGGCGGAGGCGGGATTTATGACCTATACTGCAGCCCACCATCAGAGGGTGCTGTTCTTGGAGTGGCTTCACCCAGCGAGGAGACAGACTCTGTCCATTCTTTATACAGTCTATGATTTTATCTCTCAACATTAAGATTCCCAAAGTTTATATCTTCATTTCACATCAGCTGAAGAACTACACCACCCGCAGAGACTGAAAAAACATACTTAAGCCCAAAGTCTGGACAGAATCAGCTCCTGACCAGGTTTCCACAGCTTTCTGCTGTTCAGGTATAACTGCGGTGACTCCCTCCAACCATTATCTGCATACTAACTATCCCCACAGCCTGACAGTGTATAACTGCAGCCACACAGTATGTCTCTTTAAACAACACAACGCAAGACTAATTTACCTGTATGGTTTCTTTAAAGAGAAATGCATGCCTTTACTTTTAAGTGCAAATAGATTATGGGATTAAAATGGACAAACAGCTCAGTCCTTCGCCAGCAGAGTTTAGAGATGAGAACTTTGTGTTGTCCTTGAAAAGAAATGAAAGTTTTTTTCATGTCAAACTGACTGAAACTGTTTTCTGAACTCTTCACAGGATAAGCCGAACGCTGTGAGCGTGTCGGAGCTGCATGAAGCCTTGTCCCTCGGCTCCATAACGGAGGAGAGAAAGCTGTTCCTCTTGGCTGCCCAGCTGGGCTCTGACGGGGCCCTGAGGAACTCCTGCCGAGGCCTGGACACCTTCCAGGACCTCCTGCTCCAGCTCGTCTGATCTCCACCCCGCTCACAGAGGAAGAGAGGAGGAGACGAGGGCTGAAAATAACGGGATGGCTTACAGGAATCCTCCTCCTCCTCCTCCTCTTCCTCTTATTTATTAAAGCTCTGGTTTTATGTGAGGCAGAGGAGGAGGAGGTGAAGAAAGCAGCCGGATTTGAGGCAGAGAATTATTAAAGAAGAGATTTAGAGGATGCCAAACGGGGAGCAAAGCCGCGCAGTACCTCCTCGTCTTCCTCCTCATCGTTTTTGAACCACGTCTTTTTGAAAATAGCAGCTCTTGAATCGTCTTACTCACCAACGAAGAGGAGGTGCAGAGCGAGGAGGAAGAGGACAGCAGCTGGGACAGACAGCTGACAGATTGATCATAAAGTCGTGACTCAGAAACACAAAGTTCACCGCCTAACAGTGACTCAGACTTTGGACTAGACTTAATGTCAACCTGTGACAAGCATGTAGATAATTCTGTATATAAACCAGAACATACTGAGTCTTTAGATTCATACAGGTTTTGTTTTGTTTTTAGAAAAGTCAGGGTTGCCAGGTTGGAGCCCCATGAGACAGAAACCTGCACCACCTCTGTGAATTCACGGTTCATGTGTTTGGAGGAAACTCGCTGAACGGAGGCTTTCCTGAGATTTTGGGGGGATTTTCAGGAGGGAATTTAAAGGGACCTCATAACTTCATAAAAAGCAGTATTTTATTTTGTACCGTCATGACTCAAACGCTAAGCTGCGTGAGAAAGTTCCTACGCTTCGTGACTTTCTTCTCAGCAGTTTTGGAAAGTATTTTAGGCTTCATTGTTCGGAACAAGTTGGTGTTTGGTCTTGTGTGTAGCTCTGACAATAATCGAGTGACTCCCAATAATCACACACAGTCTTTCCCTACAATCAGCCAGTTCACAGTGAAAACAGAGTTATTCGATCAGAATTAGGAGTCACGAAGAAACAGAAAGCATATAAAGACTGAAGTCGACTCTCTGACCGTTAGATCAACATGCTAATGCAGTTAAACTCTTGGACATTTGACCAACCCTCTTCTTGGCGACTTTAATTTGAATTAACAGAGAAACCAGATAATAATTAAGATGCTTCTTTTTAACCAATCTAGGAATATGTTTCTAGGAAGGGTAGCCAATTTATTGATATTTCCGATTAGGAGGAGAAGCGGTTGAATTAAGGGCCATCAACTAAATTGAAGAAAACAATCACAAACAGAATTTCAGGACTGGTGAGTGAAAAGAAAAGTTACAGGGAAGAGAACCTTTGTGCAAGTAGACTTTTGTGAACACTGTTACCATGGAAACGCTAATAAGAGGGGTGCCTCCACTTAGTGTTTATCCTAAGATGAGGGGAGCGTTTGTTCAGGGTTATTTGTTTACCTCCAGATATTTATTTGACTGCAGGATCGTTCATTTTATTCCGATTGGTTGGACACAGACCCACAAAAATTTGCCCTTTCAGCTCCATCAGACAAACAATGTTGTGTCTCGGTTCTGATTATTACCCAGAGGCAATTACAGCTTGGTTGATTTCATTGCTGTTTCTAAGAAATGTGTCTGGGTTTCCTCAATTGGACTAGAAATGTTTTTTTCCCGAATCAAGCGAGAAAGAAAACAAAGACAGGAGGCAGGGTGTCTGATGAAGATGTACGGGTATTTATCTCTCTGTTCGCAGTAAATATGCTAAGTAGTTTCAGCCCAGTTTATATTAATCCTCCTTTAAAACTCACAAACACTAAAATCACAGTTTATGAAACACCGAAAAACACAAATTTCTGAATGTGTAGATGCTACTAGATCCTGATTGTCAGTGTGAATTCTGTGCAGCCATGTTTGCTCATTTGTTCTTAATGAATGTAATTAATTTGCTTCTGATGTTTTAATTCTGCAGAAATGTTTTCACAGTTTGTGGATTGTGTTAATGTACTCTGTCCTTTATAAGTGAAAGCATCTGTTGTTTTCATGTGTTATGTACAAAAGCTGATGGATGTAAATTCATGCATGTCTTTATGTTTTGGCGCTCGCCTCTAAAACATTAAAAATATGAGCAAAAGTTTTATAAACAAGTTGTGTCCATCAAAATTTGTGTATTATGTGGTTGTGTCAGCTTTGACTGAACTTTGTGAGTGTCCTAAGAAGTTTTTACTTCAATTAGATTTGGTTTTGGCTTGTTGGATAACAGTTTATGATATAAAACTAAAATTAATCAGTTTTAGGCAAGCATCAGCCTCTGGTGTTCAAAAATGAAGCTAAAATGGTCGTGCTGAAAAACGCTGCAGTTCCTCAACTGTCAACTAGAGGCTGGCTGCAAAGACTATGACTGTCCAGTCTTACAGCAGAATTAAACACATTTGCATCCAGGTACAATCTCTGTTTTAGTTTCAATATCTAAGTCTTCTGCATATGGGGGTGAATTATTTTGTATATCTGATTTTACAATTTGAGAGCCAACAATTAAACCCAAATTTATTAAAGCAGTGACTTATTCAACTGAGAGGTGGTTGCATTTAGCTCCTGCTCCTGGTGCACCTCTTTGCCTGTTTCAAGAATAAGTGGGAAACACAACAAACCGATTGTCAGGCCCAGTTTACACACAACAGACATCTGTTAAAGCATACAGTCCAACACAGCTTCATACCGTTAGAGCTGTGCTACAAACCAGGACATTGGACTGTTAGAAAAGTATTTTTTCAGCACATGGGACAACTACTCGAAGTGAAAACTTGCGCTTTCTCAACAGCTCAAAAAAAGTTTCCTTGGACTGAAACTCTTAAAATTGGGCACCTTTCCAGCATTTGGACCACAGAAGAAGTGGGAATCAGTCATTCTTATGTAGTAGAACAGGTTGGGTAATCTCCCTGCACAAATCAGTCTGGATGGATCCATATGTTGATCCCAGAGGTCAATAACCAGCATGGGGCTGAAAAACAAGTTGAGTGTTCCTCTCTCTCTCTCTCTCTCTCTCTGCTGACTAAACTATTGAATGAATGCAAACACAGATAGAATCTAAAAGGTCCCTCCAGCAGCTCGTCCTTACTCTGTCGACCAAAGTTCCTCAACTGGTCTGACAAGAAGTTGTTTTTAGGAGACACGAAGTTCATGTTTGTACGGCACTGACAGCTCTGAAGGTTACTACAACACACACAAACTTTCAGCCTGTTTACTGAACCTCTTTATCTGTAATAACTACAGAATCCACTCAGAAGGAAAATAGAAAAACAGCTTCACACTGACGTTAATTTCAAGCCGTTTCAATCGTCAGCATTTTTAAAGTTCTTCGGTTCCTCAGACTTAAAGCCAAATATTTAAAACATTTTTTATTGTTTATTTATTAAGGCTGTGGCAGAAAAATTCCACTGCAGATAGTTAAGTGCATCTTACCATTCCATGTCATACTGTTTTGTATCGTAATGTATCATATTGTATCGTAAAATATTCTATCGAATTAAATTGAAACTTACTGACTCATAACATAGCTTATCATAATGTATCGTTTTTGCATCACTTCACATTGTTACCTATCAAATTGTATCATATTACACCATATCTCACTGTATCATATATAATTTTGTATTCTAACATTGTATCAAATTCTAATTCTAATGTATCATATAATAAAAAGTATCATTTAGTATCACAACGTAACATATCTTATTAAATTGTATCGTAATGTACTATAATCTTAACATTGTATCATACTGTATATCATACTGTATCATATAACACTGGATTGGATGGTTTGGTATTGTATCATATTATATTGTATCATACCATATCTTGCCGTCCATTCAAGTCTTCATTACGGAAAAAAAACACCTGTTGAAAGATTTTATCGCCTGAAGGGTCAGCACTAGAACTCAACTGATCCTGAGGCTGAATGAGAGGAGCGCACCGTGTCAGAAATTAATATAGTGGCTGTAATTAGCTTTTGCATTGCTTGTAGTTTAATGAAGGCTGAATGGGACAGCAAAGTAAGGAATGAAGTGTAATGAGCAGCTATAGGTACCCACTGTAGGTTGGAAACCCTTTACATAACTAGTTTGGGTTTAGTTCCCAGCTTTGTTTACCTCAGTAGAGTTAACTTAGCTTATGTTACTCATATTGAACTGAACACAGTCAGAGTCTGAGACCTTCCCTCCCTATCTATCCCCCTAACCACCATTTTAACCCCATACTTTGTCTGGTGTGGTGTTAACTTGATCTTGAATTTTGCAGATTTCTTTGTCTTAAGCTCTCCCTGACGCTCTCCGGCCCCACGTTATCTTTCCTCCTTCAGACTGCAAACAAACTGACGTCAAACTTCTCTCAGCCCATTGATATGATTGCAGTAGGTCTGCCGGGGTCTGTGATTGGAGCTGTATCCATAGCAACACTGCCCTTTAAGAAATAATTAATTGGGCCCTTTTCAGAAACCAAGATGCAAAGTGCTTCACAAAAGGCAGCAAAATAAAACAGGCAGGTTGTTATATGAAAGCAAAGATCATGAAATTGAGACTAACATCACAGACAGAATTAAATCAAATCACTTTAAAAAACTGAAATGAAAATCGGGAAACGGCTCTCAGATAAAATTACATTTCCAGAGGGGGCTTGAGGAGAGCTCCACTCGGCTGACCTGATTGCCTCGGAGAACAAACATTTTGTCAGCGTTAAGAGGTTAGATCGACTCCTTACATCCTCTATACCCTAATCCTTTTCAGGGTTAAAAACCCTCTCATATTTCCTCCAACAGGAGAAGAGAGCGAGATGATCTAACAAGACATATTTCTGATCTTCAGCTGAACATCAAAGACTCTGTAGTCAGCTGGAGTTCAGACGTCAACAGTCTTTTTCTCTGAACTGCAGGGAAGATGTGTACATTTTCCCCGTTTTCTTATTCACAGAAACATCCATTCATCACTGCTTTAACCTATTAATACACTTAATGTAGATGGATTTTCCACAGATGCTTTAGAATTACATGGTTTATGTCATTTACTGAGAAAATATATCAGAAAAACAACTTGTTTGACCTACTGAGACACAGAATTACAGTATAGAAACAGACTTTTCATATTTTGCTGCAATAAAAAAACTGTTAACCAGTTTTCTTGCATCAAAATGATGCAGATTCCTCAGAATCTTAGAAACAGAATTTCTGATAATCATCTCAGCTCCACTTTTATACCTTGTTTTTTTATATCGTCTTAAAGATGATGCAAGAGTGCTGCTTGATTGACAGAGCAGAGACGCATCGCTGACGGAACACGCTCGACACCGTTTTGGTTTTGTATGTTTTCGGCTTTAGAGGTTTAAACCAGCAGATAGGACCTAAACGCAGACTGTAGTCACTAAACCTGAACTGTAGTTGAGTCTAAAGTTGTTTTCTGTATTCGTCACAAATCAAAGAGTTTATTTTCTCCTTTCGACAAAAATGTAGAAACTGCACAAGCAAGGAGTTACTGAGCTGAAGAATTAAAAAACACAGCTGTTCAGTGAGGGTCAACTTGTTTTTATGATACATTAAAACTACATTTGGGATCCTTACATTCAACATTTGTAAAGAAGATGAGATCAGGATAAAACCGGACAGGAGAGTAAACTTTTGAAAACCACCTTAACAAGACTCAGACGTTGTCTGGATGTCTCCACTTCCTGTCCCTGGTGGTTCCTCTGATAACAGGTGATGTGAAGTCGCTGTCACAGCTTGACAGTCTCTTTTGTTTGGGGTCCATCTGTTCCTGACACACACACACACACACACACACACACACACACACACACACACACACACACACACACACACACACACACACACACACACACACACACACACACACACACACAGAAAGTAGTCTCTTTACTGGTCCATGGGCTGAGGAGCAGCCAGCGAGCTGATGAAAGCGTCATAGTGCTGCGGATGGCAGCGTTTGTACTCGTTTATTTTCCTCTTTATCTGTTTGGGTGTGTCCTGGTAGTAATTCTTCTCGTCTCTGGCCATGGCCTGCAGAAGGAGGAGAAAAAGTTTGGTTACAGGCAGAGAAATAATAAGTTGCTTATACTATAGTGTAGAAGAAATACAGAGGAGTCTATCGTACAGGAACATAACAGAAAAGGGTAAATCCTCTGCCACACATGCACTCCTGAAAATTTTCAGAAGTTTCCAGAAGCTCCGTCCTCAAAATTTCCTAAAGCTGATTGTGTGCTTTGTGGACTGTGCATGTGATGGTGAAAACACATGTCGCTTTTCTGTAAATGTTGCCTGCAAACACAGATGTACTTGGCCCAGGGTTCACACTGGGTTTTTTTATTCCTCCTGTCATGTGTCACTGAAAGTAACCTGATAATAGAATATAGAGAAGAGTAGATCATTTCACAGACAGGTCTAACATCATTCTCTGAGAAGTGATTAAACAATTCAATAAATTGCTTAATGAATACTATAATTTATCTGATTTAAGCGTGTGATTGGTCAGTGAATTTAAGAATATTACAGAAAAAACAAAAACAAAGTCGAAATGTTGTCCTGGCATCTTGGAGGGGTTAACACCCTCGTTTAAAAGCAGAATGTGAAATATCGATCGCCTGCATGAGCAGAAACAACATTTGTTCTGCTTTGAGGCTTTGTCCTTGTCAGATCTGAACTTTCGTGACAAAAGAAAACTTTATCACCGCGCAGAGAGGGAACATATTGACTCAACTCCAAGCGTGATGCTGCGCTGAAACGTCACACTTATAAATGCATCGACAGAGTCACTGGTTATATAACTCATCGCTGCAGTCAATCACAGCAGACTGACTCAGCTTCTCACAATGAAGCCGAGGTCGGAGTATTTTCTATTGAAAGCTTATATATGAAAAACACTCACGATATCCTGTTATTGACAGACTCTGACCTGGCAGTGCTCCCACAGATGACTCAGTCACATTTTAATGAGGAAACAAACAGATGAAAACTACAGACAAATGAACCTCTCAGACGTGTGCGTGATGTTGGGTTTCTCAGCGATAAGTTATAGGAGAAACTGAAATCAGCTGCTGTGAAGGAAGAAGCTGGAACTATTTTGGTCCTTCGCTCAAAACTTTTCAAACAGAGGAAGAGTTTGTTTTTGTTTTCGCTGAATGCACCAAGATAAAAATATTCAAGTGGCAAATGAGGTTTCCTCCACACTTGAAAAGAAAAACGTCTCAGACCTTGGCAGCCGGCCCTGAACCCCAGGATGTCAGGGCGTCCTTGAATGAACCATCACGGACACTGAGAGTGAATGTCTTATCTCAAAGCTCGTGTAAAATTACATTCCAGAAGCTCCTGACTTTATCTGAGTGACGGTGCTGTCCTGTTTAACCTTAGCTGACTGAGAGGCTTCCATCATGTCAAGCTCCATAATAAAAAACACTTTTCCTAACCTTTCAAAATGCCGACTTGTTAATAAATGTGAAACGAAGGGATGATATGAGGGCTTGAATCATGAATCTACTGCGCCAAATTTCAAAGAAGTCACTAAACGAATGTGAAGATATGATGATTTTCTCTCAAAGATGTGTGAAGATACTCAACCTTATCATGTAAAGCTACACTTGAAAATGTTCAGCTTGGCAAAAGACTGAAAAAGCAGAAACCACCCGTCTAGTGCTCTGGAAATTACAGACAGATTTTTAACACAAGCGTCTGATTCCAGAGAGTTTCGCCGATATCTGATGCTCATGAGTTTAAATAACTGCATGAATATGATGATATATTCATGAACATAGAGGCACCGTGTTCATAAATAAAAACCTCCATGTTTTATTGACAAAAAGCACAGAAACAGCTCATCAAATGTTAAAACTGGGGAAAGTCATTGGTTCACAATTAAGATAGAAAACAGCAGGAAAGGCGGAAAACCAGGACCAGACTGAACTACAATCAGACATCTCTGTAGTGGGAATCACAGCATGGGCTCAAATCACATCTGATAACATAATTCAAACGCACATTGAAATTTAGCATACATGAAATACAGGAGGGCAAAAGGAGGAAACAGCCTGATCAAAACCATGGATGCTGCAGGCTCACGATGGAGAGCAAACATGCGGATTGTTCAAAAGCAACCGTCCATGGTGGTACGGGGATGTCCTAACGCCAATGGCATGTGTGGCTTAGACATCTGGGAAGGATCCATTAATGCTGAACTCTATATCGGTCTTGAAGCAACATACTCTTGAAATTAGACATAGTCATCATTTAAGGAAAGGACTTGCTTGTTACAGCATGGCTCCACAAAAGAAGGCTCCAGGTGCTGAACCTGCAGCCCTGGTTAAAAGTGTGAAGAAGAAAGTATCAGAACGAGGACCATGAACTGTTGGAGAGGTTTTTGCCGACATTTACAGGTCAGCCAATGGCAAATGTGTGATAATGATATCATGTTCTGGTTGTTTTTTTTTATTTAATAAAATAGAGGGCTTATTTTAGCCAGAAACATCTTCTAAGATATCGTCTAATGCTATCTGTTTCAAAATGTTAGAAATCAGCCCAATTAATTCATCAGCCCATCTGTACCACCCAGTCACGTGGCTAACATCACAGCAGGAAACCTCACCCGCATCATGCTGTTTATGAGGTGATATTTACCGTACTATATAAGGTAATGTGAAGCTGTGCCCTCCCCTCTTTTTCTTTTATTCAAACCACTTTGGATGTGCATTCCTTCAGGGGCTCATTAAAGATTTAGCTGAGTGACAAAATACATCTAAACCAGAAGCTATAAAAAGAGATCATTTAAAAGCTTCAGTAAATACTGAACTGAGTCAAACAAAGCCATCAGTGTGCTTCATAAATCTTCAAGCTTGAACAGAGTCTGCTTCCTGCTTTTACCTTGAAGTTGTCCTTGTGTTCTCGGATCATGTACTGAGCGTACTCGATCAGGTCGGAGGATAACGTCTTTGTGTCCTTCTCTGGCCGGGCGGCCTCTTCCTCCAGCTCTGATCAGAAAAACACAAAGCAGATAAGGGTTTTAAATGTTCTCAAAGCTTTATCTTCTCTCCTCAGCAGCCAGATTTAGTCCAATTTTGAAACGCACACAAACACATAAAAATGAGCCCACTGTGTCGGTCTATCTGTGAAATACAATATTCCACGCATCGTTAATGGACAGCGAACAGCGTGATGTAGCTGGAGGAAACAGAGTCATTCAGAGCTGAGATTCACAGCAGCAGTAGCAGCTGAAGGCCGGCTGTTCTCAGCTTCTGTGCACAGTAATAAAAAAGAAAATGCTGTAACAGCAAAGGTCTGCTTTCATTCAACTTGGTCCCTGGAGGCTGAAATCACAGGCTGAGGCTTTGGCACACAAAACATCTCCAAGACTCTCGGTACATTTCGGCACTTGAGGCATGTTTCTGAAAGCGGGACAGCAGCAGCAGCAGCAGCAGCGGCGGCACACTAAGGCGTTTACTGTTTCAGCTGACAAAAATACTTTAATCCTCATAAAGTGAAAAAGTCTTTGCAGATTTAAAATTTGTAAATTCTGGCTCAGCTTTTGCACAATAAAATGCAACACATCCTGGAAAGTGATGGGCAGCAGAATGTGTAAAATACGTCAGAGAGAGCAGGTTGTATGAGCAGATTGGAAACCTGGCAGTGTGGGCAGGACCCGACTCACTTCATGACCATTTTTAGTAACTTTTATTGTGCAAGAAAGCCAAAAGAAAACACTTTAAATCGCTGTTATCTGCAGTGATTTCAGATTAACTCAGATTAAAATGCAAACTACCAGAAGCTGCAGAGAGAAAATCTGTGCGCACAATTTAACAAGTTGGGCTTCTTCAAAGAAAATGTGTGCTTACGGTTGAGAACGTAGGGTTTGGTCACAATCCTGGCAGGAGCTGAAGTCTCTTTGCTGTTACCAAGGAGCTAGAAGAGTGAGAAGAAACACACGGTGAGAATAACGATGGAAGTAATGTGCAGATGTGATGCATTCTGGGTAAACTTTTTAAAAGACATGTCATGTCTCCCGCTGATCATCAGTCCTCTTGTCTAATGTGGTGAGAGAGATTTGAAAAGTGGCTCTTTTGTATCTGTCATGACATGATAAGAAAACAGAGTCCTTCCCATTGAGGCAGGCTAATTTATTTATGGCTCTTTCGGTGACGTAACTGAATAAAATGAAGTACAAACTTTGTCTCATGCAGCAGCTAAAAGGTCAAGATCGACTGTGACTGATATCAGAGCAGGACCGTGGGTAAAACAGTCAACAACAACATAATCAATTAAGCTTCAAAAGTCAAAAATGTGAATGAGTTAAAGAAAAATAAATAAATAAATGTTCTTATTCGATCAAATTTAGGAGGCTTGTTTCAGGATGCTCAAATGTGACACTGTGCTGCCCCCTTCTGGATTTATCTGGACAAGACAGTTCCAACGCTGCCAAAAGTGGGCAAACTTTTTGACTTGCAGGCAACAACCGAGCTTTGTTGGTGGTCATGGCGCTGAATGTCTGCATGTCATGCCAAACAACGGCAGTATCTTCTGCGCCGTCCCGCGGAGGTCTGGAACCGTGACTTTGTTAAACGAAGCAAGTCATTCAGCTTATGAGAGTTGAATTTTAGGATGGAGTGTGCCTGAAGATTGATCAGCTCCAGCTCCAACTGCAGCTCCTGTGGTGCTGTTTCGGGGTCATGTCACCAGCTGAAGTGATTTATCAAATTATTTTAAAATCACAGAACTCCATGCAGGTCATCCAGTGATTTCTTGTACTTCTTTACATTTCAGGTGGCCTTTTTCTGCATGGCTAGTGTGGGAAAATGAGCAAAAGATTTGCCTGAAATTTGTCAGGAGAATAAAGTCAGCTTGAATTTGAAGGCTCCCACATTTGTAATCATGTCATGCACAAACTGATCTTTCCCTACCAGCTTCACTGGTAAAGTAAGTCCTGGTGATCCGCATCAGTTTCCTCAAGGAATATAATGACGGTGCAGAAGTCCTTAGAAATGTACACAGAGATTCCTGATGAATGATGTAATGAAGGAAAACAATTTCCTGATCAGGGTTTTCCTCTTTCACTTTATCCCGGATCTTTTTCAGTGGTCTATTGTTTTTTTCCAGTTAGATTTGGCGACTCAAAGTTTACTCCAAGGTGGCTTCATTCCCTCGATGACAGCAGACACCCAGTCACATGTCCTGACCCTGCGTTTTCCCTTACAGGGACTCCATGGTCAAAAACTCCTCTAACTGCTTTGGATAAAAATGGAGAGCTGAGCAGGGTCTTTTTCGCCACCTTCTTTTGAACTCACCATTCAGTTCCCCACGGCGAGTCACTCTTCTGCGTGATAAACTTATTATTGCGTTTGACCTACAGACACAACAGACCTGCTGTTTCTAACATGCGTTCTTCCAAAAGCTCACCTTCATTACTTGACTCTTGAATTGAGTTTGTAAAAAAAGAGCTGAGTCTGTAAAGTTCTTGGACAACTTATAACGTATGAGGATGATCAGATTGTGTCGTTTTAATTCCTGTAATCACTGCAAAGGGGGGCAGGTGTCCGACCAGACGAATGAAGATCAGTTTGTCTTCCCTCTGCTAATATTCACAGTTCATCATCTAGTATCTGCACCGTTTCCTCTCCGGGCTGCACAGGTCTGAATACAGTTTGCCTCGTACCTTAGAGGGATATATACATTCCCTATATGTCCTGTTGATGAAGTTAGGTGCTGTTTTGAGCATTATTTGTGGCTATAGAGTGGCGTTTTGGTCGAAGTTTGTTTATGGCTCCTCAGACCGCTGTGTATTGCTATCATGTGGTCGTTACTAAAGTTGGTAAAACTAGAGAACAAGCGGTCAGCAACATTCATCTCTCGAGGGGGGGTCTAACTCGAAGTTACGGTGTGTTTGACCCTAAATTAATTTCACGCCGGAATATCCCTTTAACCTCTTTTGAAGCTCTTTATTAGTTCTGGTTTTAATTTTATTTGCTTTTACATGCTGTGTTTTTCTGTCAGATTGACCGTTTTGATCATATGTCATGTTTTATAATGAAAAAGAATAAGGAGAAATTACTCACTTTCTGTTTCTTGATGGGCAGACTCCTGTTGGGATCAAAACTCAAACCCATCTCCTGAAGGTTCCTGGCTGTGGATTTCTTGTCGTCCCACGCGTGTCTGATCTGAGCACTGAGACAGACACACATAAAACAAGTTAATCAAAACCCACACAGCCCTGCAGAGCTGTACTGAAGCTACAGTGAAGCTCTCACATGGTCTCATCATGCTCAGCGTTTGTTAGCACACATTAGCTAACGCGCTAACTCACTTCTCGATCCTCGGGTTACATTTCTTTAAGAACTTTTTCTTCAGCTTCTTCCGGTCCTGGTTGTAGTCAAACTTGCCCCTTCTTTTAGACTGCTTTGTTTTCGGCATTTTGAGTGTTTTTTCTCTGGTTCCTCTGCGAGCAAGAGGAAATCTGCTGGCTACGGGAAGAAAGCAACGTGCAGCACAGGGGAATGACTTTGTTTTGTTCCGGTCATGTGACCATAAACGACGCCGCGTTTTTTCCTTTAACCTTTTCGGTTTGACTTTTATTTCTAAATAACAGATTTTTTTAAAAACACTAAAAAACACTTGTCGGGCTAATAGCGTAACTTTTTATAATTTTGTACACTGTTTTTTCCCCCTTATTAAATAATAAAATTAAATAATAATTTTTCAGCATCGTATTATATTTGCTTGCATTTATTAAATTGCATTTTACTTTTAATTCAAATTTTTAAATAATTTTATTTGTTACATTTTTAATTCTATTAAAATTCTATATAATTATATACTCCACGCATCATTATATATTCTTATAATTCTATTTTATTGCAATTATTCCAACTTCACAAATTATTTCTATGACAATTTAATCACATTTAACTAAATCAATTATTTTTCTCTTGCTTGTATCATGCTGGTCCACTGTTTTTAGTCACTAAAATCATATGGTCATGTGAAGAAAAAAAAAAAAAAGCTTGAGTTTCTTTATCGAAGAATGTATCCAAACGAAGAAAAATACAACTTTTGTGCATACAATGTAAACTTTGATTTCAGATATTTCAACATATCAACATGTCTTTGATAGAAACAGTCCTTTACAAGTACTCATAAGTTTTGGTAACAGGACAGTTAAAAATTCAATAATCTTCTGCTTTAGACCTTGATTAAAAATGGAACAAAGTCTCCTCAGATAGACAAGTACATTTGAACACTGTTTATTATAGAAACTGCACATATATTTGTCTTGTCTTAACAGTTTGTGGTTAGTGAAAATAACTAGCTATGTGTCGTGAAAGCTGCCCAGCAATGTCAGGAAGTCCAGTAATAGTTTCTATTTTTAGATACTTTTGATGAAGCAGATTTTTCTGAACATTGCAGCTTCCTGGGTATGGAGTATTTATGGGTACAAAATCTCACCCTTTCACCAGAAAAAGCAAATTTACCAAAGGCAATCTTTCTAAATACCATTAACTTTGGTTAAAGACCCTCCAGTCTGAGGTGAAACATCCGCAGTTCATTCTCTATCCAGTAGAGGTCAGTCTGGTAAAAATATCTCCCAAGCTGCAGACTCATGCTGTCAGCACAGGTGAATGCAAAGGCCCAGAAATATCCCAGCTACAGTTTAGATAAAACTGACAGAAACATGCACATGTTTTTTAGGATGTCCCTAATAATGACAACCTATGACCACCATATCCGCATTTCATGTTGTCTTTACTGCAGACTTTGTAGAAATGGAATATAAATGGAATTTTTATATGCTCTGAATTGCTTCACAAAATGCATGGGTTGGAAAACTACAAGTAAGAAGATAGTTGTAATTGTGCGCGAAAGAATTTGTATTGGTGGCAATTTCAATGGTAAAAATGTCAAACAGTGGATTATATTTTCATGCATCGAAGGTGTGTCTTGTCTTTGAAAGCCAATGATGATTAACCAGTGAGAGGGGTGAGCAAGAGAGTGTTTAAGTGTAAAATCTGACCAGGAGACATTGCTGAATATTCCCGGTTATTAACACTGGACCTTTAAGAACAGGAAAATTATGCAATTACATTGGATTTTTCTTGGTTTAACACAAGAAGTTACAAACCTCAGAACTGGGTAAATATGACAGAGATGAGAACAGTTAAACAATATAAAATCCAATTAATATCATGTATAGTAAGCAGGTTGTTATGCAAATTAGAATCCTGACATGGTGAGCAGCACATGAGGCTTTTATTACCTGCCTACTAACCCAGACTGCTGTGGGAAGGAACGGCAAGTGATTCACGCAACAGGATGGCCCAGCCAGGCTAGTCCAATATCAGATCAAAAAACACGTTTATGTGCTGCCCTATACTTACAAGATCATGTACACTCTCAAGCTGCAAAAGAATACACTGTTAAGTAAGGGTATTTACTTTTATCCTGGTAGCAAGTTGTAAAAGTTGTAAAAAAGAAGATGCATTCAATTTTGAAAATATCTTTAAAATGCTGGGAATGGTGTCTTTGTTAGGTGACACAAGCTACGTAGCCTTGTTAACCTGTTGCTAAAAAACAGAAGCGGCGCCACATGTTGCCGGTAACAAGGCAGTACAGTAAGCTTGCAATCCTCCAATGGGTGGGCTGTAGATTTCAGTTTAATTTTGCCTGATGGTCCACATAGTCACAAAGGCTGGGTCCTTTGAGGGCTGCAACCCCAGCACTGAGACACAGCATAGGTTTAGATTGCTGGTGGGATCTTACATTTAGTGTCATAGTGTCAACACAAAGAATTACAATGTGCCTAACTCCAGTATTGTTCTGTGGGTTGGTTTGATGTGATGCTTGTTCTCCGGTTGTCTCAGGTGTTCTTTTTGCTGTTGAGAATTAATCACCATTATTGTGTGGTTTTAAGTATCGAACACAATCAGCTAATTGGGTAGATAGCTGGGTATTAAGTCACATGAACAAGACTGGCCTGTTATGAGTTTTTAAGACACTAAAGCCAAGTCAATCATACATAACCAAGAGTTAAAGATACCAGTAACTAACCATCCATTGTTTGCACATCTGGGTTATCTTTGGCCAGTAAAGTGGTGTAAATTGGAAATCTTTTTCTTTTTTTGTCTTTAACAGCATTTCAAACCTCCGTCAGCAGAGCTCAGGTCAGGATGTCATGTAAGGTGCTGTTTATCTGCTCTCATAATACTCATTTGTTGAATTTTCTCCTCCAGTTTGTGTAAGAGGTCTTTTTGTATCTGAGTAGGTCAGGTCACTCTGCCCTCCTCATCAGTGAGCAGGCGAAGACTCTGCTGGAGGATGATCGTCTCTGAATTTAAGTTTAGTCCATAATGTGAGCTTCCTGGAGCAACAATCTCTGAGTGACTGATGCAGATCAATAACTATCAACCTGATATGAGCTACTGTCGTCATTCTGCATGCGGAAAACAGCCCAAGTCTTTCTTAATGCACCTTAATGCATCGCAGTGCATTCATTGATCCATGCAGAGAGGGATGAGTCACAAAGAGCGGAGTCACTTATCAATCGATCACTGGATTTGTTACAATGAATCGATTCTGAGGAACTGGATTTCATTTATAGTGTATTGATCTAAATATTGAAACGTATGTCAATTTGGAGCACAAATGGAGTCATTAAGAATGTTTCTATTTTTCTGACATATCTCATATTGCTGACTGCAGTTATCCATGAATGGCTTTCAGAGCAGCCTCAGCTCAGCAAGAGCTTCACCAACAACTATATGACTCTGAAACCAGACAGAGCCTTTTTTTTAAATGGAGAATGTGTGGAATAATGTTGCATTAAGACCATGGAAAAAAAAGCTAATACTTACATTCTGGAGGTCAAAGTCGGTCTTGACTTGTCTGTCGTTATTGGCTCCACAAAATTAGGGACTTAAATGAACACAAATCTATTTATTTTATCAATTAAATGATCCATGTCCACGCTATTTGAAGAAAAATTAAAAGTTTTGAAAATGTTGCATTGATAAAAACACACCAAAAACTCATATTTACTAAAAAAAGTCAACTTTTAGTTATACTAGAATACAGCACAGAGCCTGTTCATCCCACTGTTAAGTCTTGTAAGCACTATAAGACTTAAAGTAAAGCTGAGGCTCCATTCTGGACGGAGTATAATGAGCAAGTAGTTATGAAAATTAGAATCCTGACAGGGTAGGCTGGACTGTTTAGGGTTTGTAGCTCCATCGGCTGCTCTAATCTGTGCCTAACTACAAGTCCTAGGAGTAGGAAATTCCATTGTGAGGGTTGATTAATATGAAAGTAATTTACAAACTACAGCCTGTCTCAGATGTTTTTTTTGTTTTTTTACCAAACCTGAAAATTTTTATTATCCATTTATTTTGTCTTTATATGCTGGAGGAAACTTTGTCACATGTATCAATACTGTGTTCCAAATTGTAAGTCATATAAACATAGATAACTGAACAGTTTGTGGTCATTTCACGGCTCCCAGATTGACAAGACTATAGAGGGAAATTCATTACAAATCAAATGGAGATCAGGCCATGTTTTAAGTTAGAAAAACATGTTTGAGAGCGCATTGGTAATCACCTGAACATAGTTCATATCATTTGGCCAATTTAGTTAGCTAGCCAACAATACATCATTCAGGCCTATTCTATCGGCAGACGCCAGTGTTATAATTTAATTAGTGACCCTTATTAATGGCTGTCTTTCAGCCCGCTGTGATTTTGTTAAAAAGTAACAGGTTAGAGGGGTTGCATAAAACCTGTGGGCTTATCTTCATTATATTTGCCCCAATCCAGGTGTAATTTTCTTTTTACAAGCAATTTCCTTTTAACGAATCAACTTGGCAATTTGTGGTGATTTCACAGCTCCCAGATTGACAAGACAAGAGAGGGAAACTCATCACAAATCAGGTAGTGATTAGGCCATGTTTTAAGTTAGAAAAACATATTTGAGAGCCCATTAGTAAACACCTGAACACAGTTTATATTATTTGACCAATTCAGTTCACAATCAGGCTAAAAGATCACATACGCCTACAATGGAAAAAAGATCATTCAAGCCTATTCTATGGGCAGACGCCAGTGTTACTATATAATTAGTGACCCTTATTAACTGCTTTCTCTCAGCCTGCTGTGATTTCGTTGAAAAGTAACAGATTAGTGGGGCTGCATAAAACCTGTGGGCTTATCTACATTATATTTGCCCCAATCTAGACGCAATTTTCTTTTTACAAGCAATTTCCTCTCAACAAATGACAGATTAATTTACCAAGAGTCATATGGAAATGATTGGAAATACACTGAGGCTAATAACCCTGCAGTTGAAAGCAAGGCCCTTATACAGAATGTAAACATTGTATAGTCATTAGTAACTGAGATGTGAAAATGAATACTGACATTAACATCATTTTGCCAGTGCACACATTTCCAATATAGGTGATTTTGTTACATATTGTTAACCAAAAAGTGATGAACATTCGCAGTCTTCTACTATTAGCTAAAATGCTATCAAAAATGCTTTCTTCTGATTGTTACTATTTCCATACCATAGCTAAAAAGCGAGCTGTAAAGCCCACAATTTGTCAGTTTATCAAACTTAATGTGAATTTAAACTTGTTTAGCAGTAATGTGTAGAGTTTTGAGTTCCAAAATTAAGAGATTCGGATAAAAAGAAAAGAATAAGAAGATCTGATTTTAGCCCTTAGCAAAGTAAAGGGAAGGAGCTGGTTTAAAAGGGGCGGGAAAATAAGCGGAGTGAGGGGTCTGCTTGTGTTATTCATCTCATGTTTAGTGGTTTATTAACCTACAATTTCATAACAGAGTGAAAAGTCTGTTTTATTCCTCCTCTCTGACAGCAGCTTCGGGGCGGAGAGATTGGAGGAGGAGAAAGAGGAGGAGAAAGAGGAAAGGAGGGGTGCGGACTGATACCGGACAGGACTATTCGAAAGCAGAAACGGAGTGTTGAATTTTTCCTCCTTGGCAGGGCGGTGGGAGGAGGTGGTTGACGGTGTTAAAGGAGGATAAACTGTGATTGAAGCTGCCGGGGGTGGGGGGGAACTCCGTCTGCTGCTTACACTGTAACCCCTGACAGCATAAACATGGAGCTGGAGAACATCGTAGCCAACACGGTGCTGCTGAAAGCTCGGGAAGGTAAGGATGGAGATGGCGGTTTGACAGCTCCTCTCTGCCGGTACCAGCACCGGGGATGCCCCGCTTAGAGGCTACTATTTACTGTTACCGCACTTCCTCTTGGCCGGTGATCAAATCTTTTGATGATGCTCTTCATTACGTACAGGACTGTACGCGCCATTCTGTCGGTTTGACAGCGCGGTACACCAAACTCCTCCAATAACTTTTGAATTTTAAAGCTTCTTGATCCACATTTATATATACCGAAGTATTTTAGCGAATCCAAAGATTATGGCAAAATTACAATGGAATATTTCGCTATTCGGCATTAAAATGGTCACCATAAATAGCTCTGTTACACAAGAATCTCTGTCTTCCTAGTTGACGTTGCTTACTACTAACTGTCACTAACAGTTTCAACGGCCAACATGATTCGCAGCAAGGCTCGATTAAACAAGTTGGCAATCTAGCCAGATATAGTTGAATATGTATTGAAGTGAGGCATCGGTGTTGGATGCCGAATTACAGAAGGGACTCGATAGATTTGTGAACAGGTGTCAATACTACTGTGTGCATTGTTCTAAGCCGTCGAACCTCGTTGTGAAAAAAATATCAGATTTCTTAATAAGGTTTGGTTGAGCTACGCGGAACGTAAAGCCTAAGGGGTCCGGAAGGGGTTGCAACTGTGAAATGTGTCTGCAGCGACACATCGGGTTTCCCTTGCTGATGTTGCAGCATCGTCCTGACATTTGCGAAACAGGATGTTGATGCACAGCTGCTCTGTTGTAGCCTAATGGGGTTTGAACACTGTGAACTGTATTGTAATTGTGCTGTTTTGTTTTAAGCCTGTCTGTGAACGATCCAGGGAGTTTTGTTTTACGGGCTCTTCAGATCTTGTTAAGTCACTCCAGGTTTATAGGTCAGTTAAATGTCAAAAGTACAAATGCTGCAGAGCAAACGTAGCAGTTTTCAAACACTGGCATAATATATAGGCTATGTGCATGATAGCACTTAAGAGTTATTGCAGTATTAATCATACATAAACAGGTCTTATTATGGATAATGGCAGCATCACCAGATCCCCCTGTTATTGTTTTTGCAACAGGGCAGAAGGTTGTCAACATAATCCTAACGCCATGTGCAGAGGGACAATGAGTAAGATGAGTGTCATGATCCCTCACTGTTGAGAGCTTATCTACTCATTTCAGCTTATGCTGTGCCTATAGTCAGGACTCAATCCTATGTTTGCACCCATCTGTCCCAGCTGAAGAGCCCCCGAGCAAGGCACACCAGTCAGATCTTGACCTCTGACCTCTCTGGGGTACGGACAAGTTGTTCTTTTATTATTGCCTTTATTACCTTTACCTCCAGACATACTGACTAGAAGCTTTATTTGATTAAGCAATAAAAGGCAAATTTGTTTATGCAAACTAAGCTTTATTCAGAACTTTTATACAAACATGCTGCCAATGGTGCTTTTACTACCAAAAGATGCAAAGATGAAGAAGTTGGAGGAAGTTACACAGCATGGTGATCAAGTGCAAATATCCAGCAGGAGTTTGCAAAAGATGAGCAGGTTCTAAGGCTGCTTAACTATATAACCGAAATAATAACCACAATTATATTGATCAGTCATATTTTAAGAACAGCTTTGTTTAGCTGTTTGTTATGTATTTTAAAACAGTATCCTACGTGCCACCTTTGGCCAGGGCTGGACTGAGACAAAAGAATTGGCTGTGGAATTTTTGACCCACACGAGCCCCAAAATTTGGTCAAATATAGAATCAAAGCTTTACTCTGTAAAATAACTTCTACATTGATAGATATGCAGTTAAAAATAAGGCTCTCTAATGTTACGGAGATGTATCAAAAATAAATTATCTTAACCTGCATGTATTTTATCACAGTACATTGCAGGACAATTTAAGCATATAATTTTGTGTTTAATCCTGGCAGTCATGAGCTTTTAAACGGTGTAAATCTTTCTACATGCTCACTCTGTCTCTCTGCTTTACTAACACACACCTGATTTTCCTCCACTGGAGCTGGTTTTGCTGCACTTCACCGTTTGTTTTGGAACATTAGTGCAGCATGCATTAAAAATATCGATTAACTTTGTCAGTCACGTCATCTTGATCGTTGAAAGCTCAAATTAGAAATCACTGTTTAAGTTAAATTAATTTCAAAGATACTGTTTGGGTATTTAATTGAATACCAATTGAAGAATTTTAGTGTTTCAGTTTATTTGCAAAAAACTGCACTTTTTGAGGGATGGCGTGCTCAACTTTCCATCAGTGATGACAATTTCATCCCTGGATGACTTGAAAATAAAATATCTATAGAGTATGTTGTTGACATTACTATTGTTGGTATTATGATAAGCTAAACCAGCCTGAGGATATTCATGACTTAACTCTGGCACATCCACACACTTAGTCCACATGCATGGAGAAGATCTGGAGTCATTACACATTCATTTAATCTAAATTTACATGAGCTGCTCCTGGTGGCTCACTTGATTACAAATTGTGACATCTGCATCACATGATATCTGTCATCCACTACCAGCCAGAAATGCCCCATCCAACCCATCATCTGTATGTAGACGGTTAAGCTCCTGGAGAGCCAAACAGGAGGCGCATATGCTGATGGTTTATCTTCCCAATCAGACGCAAAACAAGAGCAAAGTGCAAAACTTCATGGGCTTGTCTGTGCTTGAACATTGTTAGTGATACACTTTGGGAATTAGATCTCTGCTTGTGCTCAAAGACACCATTTGATGTGTAATCGGTACCTCCTGTTGCCTTAAGCTTCACCGTTTTGTTTTAATCTGTCTTATAAATTGTTTAACTTTGCTTGATTTAACTCTAATTTGTTTGTAGTTCACATAAACACCCAGTATTTTCATAAGTACAATCAGTAACAACAGTTCATTTTAGTTCGACATGGAAATCAAACTGCAGAGGTCTAAAATTTGCCTAAAGACATCTGCAGAGGACCATCATGGTTTGATAAATCACTATCATTTTCAAAATACCTTTCCTACAGCTGTCTTAGATCCAAAATGAAGGCCTACTCTGTCACTTTCTCTCCCTGCGATTGTTAATTCTTGGTGCAAACTGCTTCTTTTAAAGGAGACTTTAAAAGTTTACTGTTTCACAGTTTAACTCAGACAATGATGAGAAAAAAAGAGGTCTATAAAAAAGAAAAGACGGCCCTGAATATGAATAATAACATGTTAGATAACGTGTCAAAGTCTTGAGGTGGAGTTTTCTATTAAAACCATTAAGAAACTTCCTGTTTGTTGGTTGAGATTCAGACAGAGAGGAAAAAAAATTGAGGTTTATTTAATTAAATTTCAGTTCTGTGTAAAACCACTATTGAACACTCCCATTCAGAAAAAAATGATTCAGACCAATAGATTTGACTTTTGAAGGTCCGTATTTCTTTAGTAAGAGCGCTCACTCAGCTCTTTTAATGAGCGTCATTTTCCGTTTACAGGGACGTGTTCATTCATGTTTTAAACACTGATGGTTTCAGTTTGATTCCCACTTTCAAGTCAGCAAAAGAAAAGAGAAGCTGGTCAACCTAGGTGGCTTTCAGTGCCTGTCTGTGTCCTGGTGGTTGTCTGTCAGGCTGGGGCTTGGGAGGCGTGGGTGTTGCTCCAGCCTGAAAGTTAAATTCATTTTTATGGCAGATTTGAGGCAGTCGGTTTATTCAGTGAGTACAAAGAAATACGGAACCAAAAAGACATAAAGAGAGCAATACACCACATTTAAGAGATGATGATATGTATCATGTATCAAAATGTAAGGTGCCTTGATGAGGGAACACTGTTCTTAGCTCAGCTGGATGTGAATGTAATTATAAACCTGCTACATTATTTTAACGCCTGAATATTTTGATTTTACCTTCTTAATTATTGCGAATGAATTTCTCCATTAAAGTGCCAATTTGGGACTACAGGAGTGCCCAAACACAGGAATTTATGCAAGAGAGGTGGGGTTTCCACGGCAACTCCTTACTGGCGGCCTCCCTGCACATACCTCTGTAACCCTGTCCAATCTGCAGAGTCAAAGTTTTAGCTCTTTTGTGAACACCTCATCTCTTAATAATATTGATGCGAGTGATGATGATAATACTGAGGATGTGTCTGATGTTAATTAGGACTTTATTGATATTAAATGGACTGAACTGATGCACTATGTTATAGTGCTCTCTTTAGTCTTCTGATGATGTGACATCTGCTTTTACATCATATCTCACATTTGCCTGTTCACACAATGACAGCAGAGGCTGCTGTATGAAGAGCCTGTCAGTATTAACTAATCTTATTAACACACTGTAAGGTGCAGCTTGCAGGGGTACGTTGGGGTTAAGTTTCTTGCCCTATAGGACATTTTGGTATGTGGACAGCCGGACCTGCAAAACTTGAGTCCCTTAACGACTTGCATTAAGTTGGGGTCATCCAGGAGCCACTTCTGTGTGCTAATTACTACAGATAACCAGATAAACAGCATTGGACTACCAGCTGACGTTACTTGTGACCAGTAAACACAGGACACTGTTTGTGAACATAATAGTAGTTTGTTGTTGTTGGTTTGTTCCAGAAATGCTTAAGAGGAATTAGCCTGTGAGGTTTGTCCTTTTTGGAAGCACTGAGGAGGGGCCGTGTATAATACCTGGAAGATATGCAGAGACCAGCAAACTTGGACTTGGACTTGCCAAGTAATTCCAAAGTGTTGAAAATATCATCAATTAACTTTAAAATCCAAAGGTGACCAGCCTGTTCAAGTATCGCTGTGATACTAAATTTTATATCAGCATCCGAGTCAAATTTGGACTTTGTGAAAACACTACGCTTGGGTCAGTGACTTATATGGCTTTGTATGCAAAAGAAAGAGCAGCAGTAAAGCTTGTAAATGTAAATGAAATGCTCTGATGTTTGGTCCAAAGGGACAGTACTTTTAACCCTTACAGGACCAACCCTTTACTCATACAGTCATTATTAGATTTTCTACACTGAGCAACTTGGAATTATCTGATTATAAAACTACTGATTACTACTCTAGATTAAAAGCCTTATTTTACATGTTTATACCCTTCAAAGTGTGAGTGTATCAGAAGCCTCTTGTTCTTTTGGGTTATTTTTAGCCTGTTTTTGTTCAAGGGTGAAAAAGACAGCCAGGTGTGTTTTTACTCACATTTGGAGGAGGTGGACCTATCAGGGGCCACAGAAATAGAGCCGTTGAGACGTCATGAACAGACACTTGAATGGAGACAAGCGCCATCTGGTTTTTTAGCTGCCGGTGAGAAACTGTTAAATGTGAAGGAGGAGGTGTTTTATTTAATGTGCACGATGGCAGTAGGTCCAAAACATCCCTGAATACAAAATATGTATCCCTGAATACTATGCTTTATTTGCTTTAAAAGCAGCTGTACTTAATCAAATTGGGTATTGTGTCAGCGTATAATCACGCCGAGCAATCACATCGGCGTGATTGCTCGACGTCACTTTGGAGATACCCACACCACTGCCACACATCCAACGTGGAATAACTTTTCTTCTCAACAATGGTATCTTCGGAGGATGACGCAAAGTCATGACGTGTAGCTCCATGTCTGGTCACTCTGTTTACTTCCTGTTTACTTCTCCGGCAACTTGCAGAAGCGAGCAGGGAAAGCTCGACTCTGATTGGCTGTTGTCACGCACATTTCCGCCATGTTTGATCGAGTAGATATGCTCACAACTGATCAACGCGATTGAAGTGAAATTTATCACGATCATATAATTGCCCAGTCCTAATTGTGTTTCAGGTTTTCGAATTTTGTTCTCAAGGTTTTTCTTTCTTTTTCTTTCTTTTTGTGCCGAGTTTGATGTTTTCCTCCTTAAACTGATAAAAGACAAACCGTACAGCTTTCAGTCTGATTATATTCTGTTCTTTTCTGCAGAACCAGAGCTTTACTGTCCCTCTCTCTTTCTGAATCTCCTCTCAGCCATTAGAGATCTTGTTTTCTCCCTTATCAGTCAGCTTCTTGGTAATTTCTGCAGCTGATATTATCATCTGTTTCCTGGACACAAACAAAACATCTTGTTTGCATTGTATCTGAGACATTAATTCATTGTTATTCTGAGGTCTGAGCAGCAGTTGCTCGGTTTATTTGAATACCAAATCCTGAAGCCTAATATTGACCTTCTCCTCCACAGAGACAGTGCTGTGTTATCAACAACAACTCTGTTATCAGTTCATACATCAGCTGCTTCTACGCTGAGAGGACGACTGTGCGTTTGATCCCGAAGCAAAATTAAACTCTGACAAGTTCTGCATTTATGAAAATGTTTATGTTCTCATTTGAGTTGGTTTTGGCGATCATTTCACTCTCCCCCTGCTCTTCCAGGAAAAGCATGTGCACTTAAGACTTTGTGTGCCCTGAGTTTTGTCTTTAAGGCACATAAAAGCTTCACTCAGGATCACTAAAACTAAAGTAGCGTGCTGGCAGTTCTTGTTGTGTTGTGTTTGTTGCAGTGAGGTGAATGAACCTGCGCTGAGAGCCATCTCTCACACTCAGCAGCTCTTGTAGCAGACAGGAACTTCCTGTGGTTTCCCTGTGCTTTGATTGCATTAAGTGACTCTTTGTTTTCAAGGTAAACATTATAACATGAAGTGAGCACAATGTAAAAGTTCACCACTCGACTGGATGGTAACCGGTTCTCAACAATCAGCTTGTTCAGATGTGGTCAGTGACCAGCGGGTCTTTGTAAATATGACCAATGATGTGCCAATCTCATATTGACACACACGAGCTGCAAACACTGATGCAACAGCTACACATACAGTTCAAGCTAACAGAACAACACACTGACCTGCAGGAGGAGTTATCAAGTGTGCGTCACAGGAACCAATCTGGACTTCTTCAGAGTCTGTTGTAATGTGTTCGTGGTTGAGGGAGCAGAAGAAGAAGCTCGGTATGAACTGAGGAAACAGTAAAGGTCATGAAGTCCCAGGATCATAGTCTATGGCTATTATACACTGCTTAGGTAACAGAGGGAGTAAGTGAGTGAGTGAGCAGAGCCATTCATACAAGTAATATCTTCCCTTGGAGTCAAGAAGAAAGTGGTGTCAACAAGTTGTTTCCTTGCCTTGAAGGAGAAAAAATATATATTTCTAAAGATAATTTCCTTTTTTTACAAGATTCTCGTTGTGGAGTTTGAAAGAAAGGCTTTGATACCATGTTTTTTTATAGCAGGTTATCAACTCAGTACAAGTACCATCTGCAGATGTAAGACAGAGAAGAACTGCTGGCACTGTCCAAGTAGAGTAAAACAAGATAGCTTTGGTTTTCTCAGCATTTAGCACGAGACTGAGGTGCAACCGAGTATTAAGAGTATCAAATGCTGACTGCAAATGATTCAATGCCAGGGCTGCAGTTTTTGCTTAACAATAAACAGTGGTATCATCTGCATAGAGATGTACAGAACCATCTATATGTTTGGCCAACATGATTGACATATTGTGAAGAGAGTGGGACCCAAGACTGAACCTTGTGGCACACCCCGTGTAAATTTTCTCAAACAGTCTAAATGCCTGTTTGAGAAAAGAGAGCTCTCATCCGTCTGCGGTTTTTATTCTAGTAATTTTAGGGCTCAATGAGTCCAGTAAACAGGATACATACATTTCACTTGTAGTCTTGCAACAACCTGTATTCAAAGACAGTGATTTTTGGAGGTGGTTTTAAGCCTGCGCAGTGACTTCCACTACAGACCCACTCTTGTTTTGTTGTCCTTGCCCCAACTTTTGAAACATATTTCTGTGATCAAGTTTAAGATGAGCATATACTTTTCATGAAACAACAAAATTTGAGTTTTAATATGCCGTCTCTGTCTCTGTGTCATTTTTGAATTAAATTTAGGCTTTGAATGACCTGTAAACTTCCTCCGTCTGTTTGTCCTTTACCAGCTGTATCCCAAATATGTTAGAATTGTCACTGCATGTGTCTAACATCTTACTTCTGTCTTAAACATTCATAAATGAAAAATATTAAAAAACCTAAAGAACATCCTTTTTTTTCTGTCACAGGAGGTGGAGGGAACAGAAAAGGAAAGAGTAAGAAATGGAAGCAGTTGCTGCAGTTCCCCCACGTCAGTTTGTGTGAGGAGTTGCGACAAACCACAGGTAAGTTAGCCCTGTTCCCACGTGCTGTGTTAGACTGAGGGGTTTCAACCTCACATGAGTATAAGTCTGTCTGTGTCTTAAAGCAGCAGTGACCTGCTTTTGGCTTTAGTTGTGCACCCCTTCAGCTAAACAAATCTAGTTCATTCATCACCAGAAGAACTCAGATAGTGAGATCCTCGGAAATCCAGTGACAGACCTTTCTTGACCTTAGCCTTGGAACTGCACCCCCCCGGAAATATGTGATAGCCGTTAGGCACTTTTTGAGATATCTCCACAATCTGAACTCATGCGGTTAGATTTTAGGCAAGAGATTAGAAAACAAACTCAACTGTTGTAGCGTTTTCACAGAATTAAGTTTCCAATTTTCTAATTTTTCCTTTTTCGCGTTCTTGACTACTCATGGAAATCTGCACTTTAAAGGCAAACCTAATGCATTCAAGGGAGATTTTACCTTTATTTTTGTTTTGCATCCTTGCACACTGCACACTTGAAGTGTCAAGATCAAGTCCATCTAACAGGTACAGTGTGTTGCCCATGTTGAGTCTGAGGCCAGCCATAGTCATTATTGAATCAGAGTTTAATATATTGTAAAAAAAAAAAAAATCTTTCTGCATTTTATTCTGTTGTGATTGGCGCATTGGTATGGACTTATGATCCAAACTTAACTGAACAGAACTCGGCGTGGGTGGACCATTTTGCATTTTGTTTTCATCTAATTAAGATCATGAGTTTACTTCAGCATATTACTACATTTAATGTCATTTTCGCAGATGAAAGTAGATGACGAGACATCATTAGAGGGATTTTCCTGTTCAAAGAGAGGCTAGCAATCCCACTAATAAAAGCTCAACGTGACATTAGTAAGGACAGATGTGAATTGTGTTTTGAGATAAGATCCCTTTGCATGGCGGCAGCTGACTCTCCTTCCTCTTTATTAGTCCTGACATAGCCTCCAGATGGGGAGATGAATGTTGAGCGACTTCACAGGACATGTTGGAGTCTTTTTATAGCTGTGTTGAAGCTTTCATTTAATCATGTTTAACCCTCTTTCACTGTGTTTTTTCTGGTGTCTTTGCACACAGCTGCCTCTGTGGTCCTAAAGAGTAAATCAGCTGTCAGTGTCAGGATGTGTTTCCCTGAGGCTCCTGAGATTCAAACAAGTCAAGTACACAATAAGCTGTAAACACTTAAGTCATAATACTGCTCTATTTTTAAACACGATTCAGTCAAACTGGGAGATTGGAGGTTTTATAAATGTATCAGGTTACTCAGTGTTTGTTTTATCAGTGTTGATTTTTCATTTCCTCTGTGTCAAGGGTTGTCTATTAATAAACCAAAAAAAGATTGACTGTTGGTGTAGGAGGTTGAATTGAAAAAGGAGGAACAAAAGGAGTTCATCAAATATTTCCCACTGTTATCCTGCTCTTCTACAATATAAGACTGTAACATTGGGAAGTTCCCATGCTGGAACATTGTCAGTGTCTCCGCTGTATTTTTGAATGGACTCACTTATCTTCAATAGAAAAAATCAGACTGAAGCAGAAAATCTGCGGGGCGAAAAGTTGAGTACATGAAATTCTAAATCTGCTGCCCAGTGGATCTAAATTTACAGGACAAACTTGCGGACAAAGAGATTGTTTCGGTGAATTAAATTCAGATTTAATTTCACATAAAATCATGTGTGTCGGACAATTTCATACTCGTTTATTTTTTCACTTCAACCATGAAAAGTGCCCTACACACCCGTGCAACCGATGCTTTTATGACCTTTATGCAAGCACTTAGCTGCTTAAGCATGCTGTGTAAACAGTGAAGAAGAGGAGTCTAACAGCACCGCTTTGCTACAGTATCTCTCTCATTAACACGAAATCATGCATTCATAAAATGAGGTGGATAAAGATTGATTACGGCTCTCCTTTTACTATTACCTGCTAATATTGTTCCTCTTTAAGTCTCGATTTTACTGTGATTTCAAGTTTTAGAAAGTATTAACAGACACTTTTCCACTTCTGACACGTACATTATATCCAATCAAACATTGTTCAAACTTTTCTTTAGACTTGAAATACTACTCCATTATGTGATCTTTCTTCTACTACATTTCATCGTTGTATTTACCAGTCATTTTTAATTGGTCAAAGATATGGTTACATTTAAATTACAGCTACCTGAGAAGTTACGTGACGCGTTACTGTTAGATGTTTAAAAAAAAACATATCTAGAAAATTTTGCTCACGGCACTGGCACCCATTTTTGTGAATTATATATAAAAACACTTTTAACATGCAGGTATGAACTGAATATACTATATATGTGCAATGAATATGCTAAAATTGTGTACAGTGTTGGTTACTGCTGGTATGAATAGGCTATACAACAAAAAAACAAATATGTATATTATCTATACATACAGTATACTGATTAGTGCAGGTGTGAAAAGGAGAAAATTCTTCTTTGTACTTCTTTAAAGTAAAACCAGCATCAGGGGAACTTTTTAAAATAGTTCAGCTGATTCACTGTGATCTCTGAGGAAAACTATTTTTGATTCTTTGAGCCGTCACTTCCAGTGTAATTCCTCAGTATCATTATGTGGTATGTAGAGTGACCTGTGATACACCATTTTGTCACTGTCATTGAATTGAATGGTGTGTTGTGCAATCTTGCGTGCTGCTGCTTCCTGCCCAACGCATGGATGGAAAGGAGAAAGAGCTGTTGCAACTTCACTTTTCTTTTGTTTGATTCCAGACTTTTCGCCCCCAAAGTTACTCTCGGCTGCTCCGCTATAAACTTACTGACAACTTTACTCTTTAAACACCAAACTCAACGTGGATCCAGTTTAGAAATGCCAAAGGAGCAAAGGTGAACTCTGAATGTTTAAGGGCTGAATAAGAAAAAAGCGTCTTGCTTAAGTAGTTCAGAGGAAACAGGTCGGTGCAGAAAGAGGAAGCAGCAGTATAGTTACTTTCATTTACAGAGCACGTGACAGATTGGAGACACAAACATTTCTGCAACCCTGAAAATTTTTGAGGCGCTCCAGCACAAGAGTCACACAAGAGTCGGACACCACAAAACAGAAATTGCTTAGGGAAACCAGTGAGGCATCAAGTTCAGCTTGTTATTCTTCAAAGTATACATCCCGGTCATGCAGAGAAACACTCGATCTGTGTATCCTCAAACCTAGAGGTGTGGCTGTCTGACTGAAGAAAAAGGGTTCAAAAGAAAGTGTTGAATTTGTTTCCTGCTGCCTGCAGGTGTCAAATTTCTATTCCAAACTTATCAGAAAAACTGCCTCGACTTGCCCAAACCCCGAGGACAGTTTTTCAGTCAACTTCTCTTTTGGTGTTTTCTCCCTTTTATTTTTGTTCATGGGTGTCGACCACGTGACAGATTTTGATGTGGCTGCCATCTTTCGGACTGTTACGCCATCAACCAGCTCCAATGAAGAATGGCTAGTCAGGAGAAAATCACCCACCTACTTATAGTCTGGCTATTTATAAGACTCTACTGCATTTTATTGTTCATCTGCCTGGTCCACAGTTCCTTTCCTGTAACTGGCATGGACATTAAAGTGGACAGAAGCTTACTGCTACTTTGTTTCAGGATAGGTTATTCATCCTGAAGTCCATCATGTGGAGATGAAGAAACATCTCTTGAACAAATGGAAGCTATGTCACGGAGTGTTGGCTAACAATATCATCGACATGCTAGGTGGTTAGACTAATGACAAGGATCAGCAAACTTAAAGTTAGTACTAACGTCAGGCATGAAGGGTCAGCTTTGTTGATTAATGTCACGTGTTGATTTTAAGCTACAGACGACAGGCTTATCTTGCTAGCTTCCTTAACTCGTGTTGTTAACTGCAGGTGGAGCATATAACCCGAATGCAACTCCAGTCACAGTACAGGAGAAGCTGTAAGGCAGACTTACTGGGAAGTCTTTGTGGTGTTTACACATGTATGAATAAAGGATCATTTCTGTATATTTAGGGTTTACTGCCACCACAGCACAGCAGGTATCAGGTGTGTTGATCGTTTACACGTGGTTGCACATTTTAGAGCTGTCTTTGTGACAATGGGATACAATGAAGTTTTGCTTAAGTTTATCATACAATCGTATGAATATATGATCTCATATTACAGCTGGGTGATAAAATTATAACGATATATATCAAAATATTAATTTCCCTCAATATCAATATAAAACATGGTCAATATGCTTTTTCGACAGTCGGCACTCTGCCATGTTCTGGTCGATTACATACGAATAGCTAATGAAAATGGGAGTTTCACGCTGAACCAATCATGTACTGAATTAGTGCCAAGTAGCAAACAACTGCATAGTAGCAGGCTACACGCAACCAAAGCACTTTAACACCGAAAACAGCCTACCGTTCAGTCCGCTTTCTCTAGCGCAATGCCTTCTGACACGAAGACCTCACAGATGCAGTAGTTTATTGTATTGCAAAAGACATGCACATATATCGTGTTAAACTTTTTCCCATATCGCCCAGCCCTATCTCATACCAACCCATGCCTCTGTATGATAGAAACATCAAAATCTGCAGCCACATTGCTTCCGTTAAAGCAGCGAGTTTGTCATTCTTAGCCACCATACAATCCTGACCCTGGATGAATCCCGTCTTTTTATAACGGGCTGTGCTACCTTCTCAACATTCACCTGAATTTGACAAGAATACTCGCTTTATTACTCAATTGCAGGAACTTGGGAAATGCGTTAACTCATTGGAGAGTCTCTCAGTTTTTCCCTCTCCTTGTTAGTGTCAGTTAATGTTTTCCCTTAAGTGTTTTAAACTCCTCTGGGGGTTAACTGCAGCAGCGTGTAAAGTCAGTATGATGTGAAAAATTCCCTCTTTTATCACACGTTTGTGTTTGGAGGCTGTTTCTGCTCATGGTACACATCCATACAAGGCACGGCGGCGGCGGTCAGAGTAAACACACAGGACACATTGTTAGCAGGAGGACGTCCATTAGAGAGGACGCTCTGATGTCGACCTCTGATAACTCTGTAACTGCCTCAAGGTGCAGCAAGGCGACACACAGGCTGGATGAGATCTAAACCCGGAGGACAGTCAGGGAAACAAAGATGGAAGATGTGTTTCTCAGGGCTTTTGTTTCAATTAGTTACGGGACGTAAAACAGGAAGTGAATCAAAGAGCTTATAATCTTTTCAACACCTTAGGAACTTATCGAGGAACAGAAGAGCCTTTCATAAAATCTTTTTAAGACTGGAACAAAAACAGGTGAATTTGTTTGGACTTGATGTAACAGTAACACAAACTCTCCAACTGATTTATGATAATGAGATTAAAATGAAAATAAGCTCAGTGTATATTTATGACCCCGAACTGTGAAAGGTTTGGGGGCAAAAAAACACACATCATGTGTTAGAAATGAAAGGTTTTATTGTTCTTCGAGAATTATCTCTGTTTTTTTCTCATTTTTTTAAAACATGACATGATCAGTTTGTTCTTGAGTCATATGTGTAACATAACAACTTGATTTTGGTCAGTGATAGACTTCATCCTCGTAATGACTTTATTTAAACATTTTCTCGAGAACAACAACTTAGTTCTCGTAATCTGATTTTCTTTTTATAAACTTAGTGCTCTCTTTATATTGTCTGTTTATACTTTATACTGTTAAACTCCAAATAGAGGAACGTCTAACCTGTTAAGTATCAAACATCTGTCAAAGTTTGGAGATTTTTTTTTAACTGATTTTTACAGTGTTTTGTTTTCCCGACTGTTTTAAGACGCGTCGCAGGAATCATTATTTTAAAACAAGCCAATTGCTTCATAACATTTACAAACAGCAAGGAGTTTTTTTTTTTATACCAGATAGTAGTAACTTTTAATATCATTCCGTACAAAAAAAACAGCTGCTGTGTTTGTCTTCTTCAGTAAACATACATAATAACTTTGGCTCTTTCCTGAAAGGTGAGGTGGGAATAGGCTGAGATTTGAATGAGTTCAGACAAACACACTGTTTGACAGACTGAGTGACACACAGACAGGAAGTTCAACATGTAGCTGCACAAAAAAAAAAAAGCACGCACCAAAAACTCTGCAAACTGATGTCTGTGGGAGGAGGCAGAGAAAAGGGCTGCAAGTGCGAAGCAAAGACTGTAAATAGTGGTTAGAAAGTGTGAGATGGAGGAATGTGAGTAAGATAAGACAATGAAAGAAACAGTTTTTTTCTGTTCGACCGTTTTTATAACGCAGATGAAGAAAGACGTGAGTGGGTAGGAGTCTTGAGAAAGACTTCAGGAAACTGTCAACTTCCTTGTTTTTTGAAAACAAGTTGTTCTCTTCTCTTCTCTCTTTTACTCTTGACTTACTTCACCTCCACTCTCCTGTCGCTTAAACTACACATTACAACAACCTGTGCAGGCGGTGTGCAACGTCTCTGACGTTAACAACGTCTGACGTTTCTCAATATTGTTTAATCATAAGTGGGTTTGTGTTTCTACACACATTATATCTGTTTTTTGTTTTGTCTCATAGTAGAGATGCAGTGACCTTTGAGTTCACTTAATCCTTTAATGGTTACGGTTTTTACTGTAGATGCACAGTGCTGTTTACTCTTTTCTTATCTTGGACAGAAAAAAACAGAGTTTGCAAACATCGAATATAAGAGTAGATTCCTAATCTTAATCACTTTAAAAATCACTAAAACCTCTTAATCGGCTCTCTCTGTTTACTGTCTGAACCAACTGAGTTTGTTAGATGTAAAGGAGGATATACAGTGAGCGAGCTGTTGAACAAAATAGACCGTTTCTGCTTCTTTTACGGACAACAAGTGGAAGTGTTTGTCACGTGTTACAAGTTAACATGACGGATGAGATTTATGGTGAGGCTGACTGATTTCTACTGTTTATCATGTCAGTCTGTGACACCTTAAAGGGATATTTCGGTATAAAATTAATTTAACACAGTTAGACACCCCCTCGAGAGATGAATGTTGCCGACCACTTTAGTAACGACCACAGGATAGCAGTTCACAAGCGGTCTGAGGAGCCATAAACAAACCTCAACCAAAACGCCACTCTATAGCCACAAATGATGCTCAGAACAGCACCTAACTTCAGCAGCCGCTTGTTCATAGCGAGATCTCAGACCAGTCCATTACGGACTACAGTGGGGTGACGCAGCTCAAGGAAGAACATTTATGATCATTTCTTTATCATCTCCTTAACGTAATAATCATCATATTAATCATTTTGCACTGCAGACGCGGTAGTTCTTCTGCCTTAGCATCTCGGTCCGAGTGCATTTCCATGAAGAAATGATCATAAATGTTCTGTAATGGACTGGCCTGAGGTCTCGCTACAAATAAGCGGTTGCTGGAAGAGAGTAGGTAAGTCATGTTTAGTCTCTTTGCTTAAGAAATTAGGCAAAGTAGTACGAGAAGCTTTTCATTTTTGAACCAAAAAAATTCCTTATTCATCTTAAACGTTGGCTGCTCTTCCACCACATAGAGATAAACACAACTCGTGGGTGTTACTTTTTACACAGCTGTGTAGTCATGTGACAACCTTAAAGCTATACACTTGTAGAAAAGGTTTGAAAACAGCCCGAAGTGCACACGCCAACATTGTAACACGATCTGTTTGCATTTAAATAAGGATCATCATAAAAGTCGCATTCAAGCTGCAGTCTCCATGGCACTCACACTACGAGGTCGTCACTACAACATTGTGCAGGTTTGATATGGTCTACGATTGTGTGTAGTGTATCTCTATAGTATTGGTATATGGTATTATATCCATCCCCTTATGACAGCATATTCTGGCTCAATCCCAAGTCTCATTTTGACCCCAGCCCTGCGTCCTCCAGCCCAGCATCGCTTTTCTGCCAACATTTGAATTAAAGGGCTAACGGCGAGCTCTGTCAACATTTGTGAGTTTAATTAATGCTGGAATAACCCGTTATTGATATGACATAGATGACATCGATTCTCTTGGTTCGATTCAAACAGCGAGTAAAGCTTGAGAAAAGTAACCGCAGTGAGCAGGATCTACTTTCTGTATTGATGGGACCATGAATCCTTCAGAGGCCTGACAGAGTCCTCTTTGTATAGGTCTGTGTTCAGTCATGTACAGCATGTTCTGTGCAGCTCTGCAGCCCCTTTCATCCACATCACACCTCCAGTCATGTTCACTGATCCACCAACATGGCATGAAGATTTCCCAGAACTCTGTGATGAATTGTTTCCTGCATGAGTGAGATCAGTCAAGTGGTTATGTGGACTGCAATGAAGCTACACTGTGATATACATTATATAGCACTGGTATTTAGATAGGGGCTGCTCACTAGTGGGCTGACATGCTTTATGATGACAGGCATGGTCAAACATGTAACCTGCCCGAGGGGAGAGTCATCATTTAGAAACATCACTCAACTACAACCACAGGAGATAAGTTAAAGTGTGAAGGAAATTCATTAACACAAGTTAGTGACCTTTATGAATGCAGCTGGGAGGATGATTCCACATGCCATTATATGAAGTTTTGACAGTGTGAATACCCTCTATTGTATATGTTTTATAAAGGTTGTAATGGGCCTGGTATTTTGCATGTAACATGAGCAAAGTTGGGAAAGTCAAAACACATCTTTTACTCGCTGTAAATGTGCCGTTTGTGAGCTGTAGGTGGGTTAGTCACGTGTTGTTCTCGGGTCGTTAGCAGGTAATTAGCATAGAAGTTTACGGCTTATTTGTCTTTCTCTGATCCACATGTCCTCCATGCCAAGTCAAGCTGTCAAATTTTGCCATATATGATGAAAATACACAGAAATCAAAAAGCATGTTTCTGTCCAGTCAAAAAAAAAAAGATTAAGTCATACAAATCTACAAAAAAAGGAGTGCATACAGCTGGTGGGTGCAATTAGCAGAATTGAATTCATGTAAACAGTATGTTAACTAGGGGTGGGAATCACTGGTGGCCCCATGATACAATATTATCATGATACTTGGGCCACGATTCAATGTTATTGCGAAATTATTGCGATTTTTGACATTTTGCAATACAGTGAGTATTTCGATGTCTAATTTATGCTGTATGTATATATATATATATATATTTGTTGTACTAACTCTTTCCTGCTCTATAATGTCATCTCTGCCAACCTCACTGGAAAAACAATTGATTTTATTTTCCCATTATCATAGATTTGACTTAAAATTAGCCATTAATTTGAAAAATAGATACTTAGTAAATGAGACAATATGATATATCACCAGACAAAATATCGTGATACTACGTTGTATCAATTTTTTCTCCCACCCCTGATGTGAACAGTATTATACTGTAATCAAGGTTTTTACTGTACACTTAATAGTGCAAAGTGCAGCTGGTGGGTGAAGTTAGCAGCATTGTGTTGTAATGTAAATAGTGTGAATAGAGAGCATTAATAAAATCAATAGCTGAATGTGCAAAATACAGAGTAAGGTCATTTATAACCTCTACAATTGCTAAGAGTCATCTCACATGGTCAGGAGGCGAGTTATGAAACACAAAAACTTTACTCCAAAGGTATCAGAGAGTAAAATCTGAAAGATGATGCTACAAAATTGGAAGTGGAACGGTAAGAAAACCACGTGACTCCTGAGTTAATAGAGTCTCCCTAAAGCTCCCCAAAACAGTGACTTAAAGGTCCTGTAAGGAGTTTTTTAACGTGTCTAAAGTTGACAGAAATTTCAATTTATGTCTTATTCATAATGGTGGAAAAAAGCAGCAAAGACCATTAGTGACAAGCTAAACCCTTATGTTTAACATACCTGACCACCCAAAAGTCCACGCCCCAGTTTGGCCTCCCCAGTCTAAACAGTCTTACCCTGCTGCTGCTTTTAAAAGGTCAAGATTACGACTTGTGCACACAAGGTTAAAACTTATGCACACAGGATTATGACTCGAGCACACGATAGGACGCAAGTTGCTGTCTTGTTTGCACAAAGTAGATCAGACTTGTACAAGATGATGGATGATTTTTGTCCTTACTTTTTGGCTTTAATTTACTGCCTTAGTGCAGAGTAGAGATACAAAGTGATGATTGGAGTTTAACAGAAGGATGTAGCAGTGTAACAAAGTCACACAGCTGAGATGTTGAAAGAGCAGAAAAACTCAAAGTGAGGTGAAACAAAGCAGAACTTGACCAAGTGAGTCCACAGCTTTGATTAGTCTCCTTTTTAATGGATGGGAAATGACTCATTAAAGGGATGAGAAAATGCTAATTTGACGCAGTTGCATCACCACTCCACCCAAGTCGTGCTCATGTAATGTACAAGGTAGGGAGGGGCTGAAAACAAGGTGTTACCTACCAGTTATCCTGGTTCCCTGAAAAAAAAGAAATTAAATCAAACTGCTGTTTTAAATCTGCATTTAGGTCCTACCTCCTGTTCTCACTTTCCTGCACACAAAGTAACAGTAAAAGGCTTTCATGCAACTGCTGAAAGATTAAAAAAAAGAGCAAATACAACCTTGAGTTTCGCAGACTATGCATGACAGTGATGACAGGGAGTGCAAAACTTTACAGTAAGAGGGCTGGCTGGTATCTGGACTCAGGTGAAATGAGAACAGCTTCAGGGCAACAGAAATTCGACAGCGAAAGTTTCAGGCCCCTAAACAGCTGTAAAGGATTTGAATTTTAGTATTTTTAAAAGTGAAACAGAGAATTCAAAGCCTCAGCAGATGTAACCTGCTCTGGCAAAAACAGACGGACAGCGAGTGCAACATATTCAAAACTAATTGTAAATGCAAATCTCAATGTTGCAAATTTTTTCAGAGGCAGTAAAGAGGGAGAGGGTGATATTCGTCCTGAAGATAAGAGAGTTACAAACAGAAGAAGCAAAGGAAACTTTCATCCACAAAATTCATCCATGCAGGAAGGGTTTGTTATCCTTGATTTATCGGTCTGTCACATTCAGTCATACGGATCTCATAGATTGGATTGGACTCTTGGTTTTGCAGATCTTTGCGCCCTGATCACTCTGACCCCTTGACTCCTCCTTGAATCAGATCCATTTGTCTTCCTGACTCACTTTCCATCCACGTGAGTCACACATGCAAATCAGTGTTTCCTTGGAGTTTTTTTTTTCTTTTTGTCCTGAAGCACAATCAGACTCATAAACTGGAATAACCACAGATAGAGATTTCTAAAACCTCCCACACAGGCTGTGAGTATGGTTCATGTGTCTGTAGGCCAAGGCTATTTAGAGCCATTCAGCACATTCAAACAGCCAGTCTGCATGAGCTGCATATTGAAGTCATCGTCAAAGTCTGTTTCTACAGTCTGTTTCCCTGTAGCTATGATTTCTTTCTTTGACTTGTTCTGAAATTTACAAGTTTAATAACTTTACCTTCACGCTCTGTGTGCCTTCACTATTTTTTTAAAGATTCAATGAGTGTTTTTTAAGTGATAACTCAATCTGGGAGCCCTACATGAATATAAATCCCTTCTTCTTTCTCACATTGACACACAGACAAAGAAATCACCATTAAAACTATAAAAAAAGATATATATATTTTTTTCATTTTGTAAAATATTTCAAATTTTATGTAACATTTTTTAAATAGTATAATTTTGGGGAAATTTTTTGAAATATTTTTCCATTTCTTGAATCTTTTTAACAATTTGGGAAGTACTTTAAAAAGTTTTGAAATATTTAAAACTTTGGTGTAAACAACATCAAAACATTTTAACAGTTTCTAACATTTTGTGAAACATTTTGAAAATTTTTCAAAAGGGGTTACACTTTTGTAGACAATTTCTATTTGTGAATTTTTTCAAATTTTTTTTGCAACATTTTACATTTTGTGTCATGTTGACAATTTGAAGTTTAAATGTACATTTTGTGGAAATTTTGAAGTAGTAGAGGTATTTTTTTATGAATAAAATTTTATGCATTGTCACTTTTTTTTTTCCAAAAAGCTTTTTTTTCTGTTCTTTCAACAGCTGTTTCATATTAGATAAGAAATTATTATGTTTTTTTTACTTTTCTGGGGAGTTGGTTGGTTTCCTGTAAAATTATGAGTTTGCTGAGTCTGGTAGAGTCCCTGACTTCACTCAGAGGCTTTGCAGGAAAAAACAAAACAAAAGAGAGATTCATTCATTTGGGATAAATTTGGGAAAAAGTTGGGATATCTTTCAGTTAAATTCAAACCCTGACTTTAAGTTAAACATTATTGTGTCTTTGTGTGTTTGTGTGTAGAAAAAGAGTACAGCAGCCTGTGCGAGCGGCAGCCAATCGGGCGATTACTCTTCAGACAATTCTGCGAGACACAACCTGAACTGAGACGCTGCGTCAAGTTCCTGGATGCTGTGGTAAGAACCGTGTGTGTGTGTGGGAGTGTGTGTTTGGATGTTTTGTGGCGTTCCTGGAAAGAGAGGGTATGTTGTGTCGGAGACATGTCCCTTCTTCTACGAACACTTGAAGAAAGACAAAAGGATCCAAGTGTGTGTGTGCGTGTGTGTGTGCATTTCTGTGTGCGTTTCTAAATGTGGGAACGAAGGCTGGGGGCAGAAGTCTCAAGGACTTCTGTTTCTTCCTGGAAGTGCTGCATGATTCCTGGTACAGAGGGCCAAAAAGGGCCATGAGTGAAGACAGGAAAGTTTGTTTTCTGGTTTGTTCCTACTCTGAAATCATCGGCTCAGTTTGTTGTGATGAAACAAAGAGATGCAGGTGCATAAAAAGAAAGTTTGATGAGCAACAAGATCTGAAATTCCTTTAACAGCTGAAGAAAGAAGAAGACAGAAAACATGACCAAGGTAACAACCTGTTAACCTGGTAGATAATTGAGGAGGTGGAGGAACAGAAAAAGAGGGAGGGGGAAAAAGAAGGAGGAGTAGAAGGAGGGGAACAGGAAGGAACATAGGACGGAAAAAGGAAGAAGAGGAGACAGGAGTTAAGGAGAAGGAACGGAGGAAAACAAGAGGGCAGAGGGAGACAGGGGGACAGAGAGAAGAAGTTTAGGAGGACAAGGAGGAGGATTCGAAGGTGAAGGAGCTGGTGATGGACACCGAGTCTTTCAGGAGTCATCAGGACAGACAAAAGACCTGATTTGAGTCCACTGAGCAAACAGGACTGCATAACTGAAGTCATGAAACGTCAGAGTCAAAACTGACCTCAGGGCTGTGGCCTCTTTACTAACATTCCCATCCCTACTCTGCCTCCGTTTCTAAAGAATTTGCCGACCTTTTAGCCTCTTTGTTCAAGAGGATCGCTGTCTCCGATTCCCTTTACTCTGTTGGTGTGAGCAACAGCTGGCCTCAGTCATGAAGGCTTAAGACCCAAAATATAAACTGAGCCCACTTTTGTGACGTACTTTAAGTCTTTCATTCTCCATCCTCTCTCACCGTCTCTCACTTTCTTGCCCAGCAGTTGTTCGATTGGTCGTGTTTGTGTTACAGCCTCATGATCTCCTTTCTTGTTGTGCCTCGCTCCATCCCTCGGCTTTTCAGACACACATGGACCCACACTGTCCCCCTCCTGCTCCTCTCCCCGCTCTCCTCTCTCCACCTGTGGCTGCCTGATAGTTCGTACCGCTGTTACGCAACATGTTAGAGATTCTGGGGAGAGCTTCAAACACACTGATCTGAGCTGCATATGACAAGAAAAAGTCAAGACATCACCACATAGCGATCATTTGTTGTGCTTTAACACACGGCACAGTTTCTTAGAAGATACAATCATCAATTTGCTTTGGTGGACAATAATAACGCTGCACCAGAGGGGGATTTTTGGAATTTAAATCAGTGTATCTGTGCAATAAATGGATTGTTACAGCTCTATGAATGGCCAGTTATAGATGCACACTGTGATCTTTGCTTCTTGTATGTTTCAGGTTTTAATACAGTCACATATTTACATTCACGTCAATCTTTAGTTCATCGAAAAGTTCAACTTCTTTACCTACTTTTTAAACATTTTTCGTGACTGAATGTCAGGTAATCCTCTGCTTTCAGAGGTATTCAGTGGGCAAAGAGAGGTCAGTGAAGGCATCATCCATCCGTCTATCTGTCTGTAAACACAGTGTGGCTCCACTCTGACTGACCAGCGTTACAGCTCTCACTCCTCCGGCGGATACAACTCTCATACGAGGCAATTATCTGCATTTTACCCCCGCAGCCGCTTCCCGTCTCCTCCCCGAGAACTCGACAAGAGAGCGAGAATGAGATTTGACCCGTCTCCGCTGTCACTTAGCGTTAGTTTACGCCGTGAGAGGGAGAGAGGAAGCACTCTGGAGTTTTCCAGTCGGCTCAGTTTACTGTCGAGTCCCTCCGAGGAGGTTTGATGTGGAGAGGAGGAGGAGGAGGAAAAACGATCAGGCCGTGTGCTGCAGGGTGTGGGGCAGGACTCGCAAACCAGACGATTACAACACAAACGAGGTTTTCTGTCAAATCAGCAGACACACTCAGAGTTAGTGTTACAGCTGAGCAATCCCTCACTGGCTGCTACAGGCTTTCGATGCAGTCATCATGGTGTTGTGACAAGTTGATCAGAATATTGCAAAAGTTCAGGATAGTTCGAGCTTAAAAAACACCAACAGAACAAACTTTCAAAGTTATCGTTTTGGGCCTTAATTTGATTTAATCCTAATTGTGTATGTGTCTGTTTCAATAAAATATAACAGCTTCTTCACTATGTTAAATACTCAATCCTGATTGGTCAAGACTTGCCAACAACAATTCTAACTTTCCAATCCTTATCAAATCAATCCTCAAATTTGATGGATGGAGGATATTTTTTTAACTGGGAACTTTGTATTGATGGTTAAAAGCTGACAGTCACCCTCAGAGGAAAAAAGTCAATAGATGGGAAAACTGAGCAGAAAACGATAAGGGAGAAAAGAAAGAAGAAAAAAACAGAAGTAGCCGAGTGAGAGAGACATCGACTGAATCGAAGAAAACAGAAAACATGTCATTTCTGTCTTGGATGGATGAGGTGTTTGTAAATGCATCTCAAAATACAGTTTTTTCTGCCCCTTCGAGTCCTTTCTGTGTGTTTCTCTCAGTCATTTGTCTCCATGTTTGTTTGTTTTTTCTTCAGGCGGAATACGAGGTGACTCCTGACGAGAAGAGGAAGGAGTGCGGTCTGGAAATCATCGACGTATACTTAAATCCAAAGGTGAGCGCTGCTTTACCTGACCTCTTTAAAACAGCAAAAACCCACAAGAACACTGCAAGAACTTGGTTTATCTCTGAAGGGAAATTTATTCCACTTTCCTGCCAATTTAGAGAAGTTTCTTTGTTGGAAATAGGAAGTTCACTGCTAGACAAACTGAATCACAGCCTTTAAGAAAAATCTGCAACAATTCTCTGTTCAATGACAAGAGGAATACAGAAGACCTCAGGATTTATAATAAAAGTAAATTTAATCATTTGCAAGAATTGATAGGGTCTCCAATTGGGGCAGAACAATCGCAGAGTCACCACTGTGCTAGTTCTGAAAGAATATTGTCATTAATATGTCAAATTAAACAGCAGAAGCTGGCCTGCTGGTAAAAACCATGTGACCAAAACACCGCCCGAACACTACTCAAATAAACCACTAAACATCAAACTTTATAAAGCGCCGCTGTGTGGACCCAGTCGCCACATTTCATTATCGTACGTTATCCAAAACACATCGGCTCCTGCTCGTTTGAAAGAGCACACCACCAAGATACACAGAAGCATGGCAGAGAAAGAAGCCAAAAACCACCAAAGTCCAGTAAACACAGACACTGCCTGGCCAAAACATGGTTGTGAATTTCCTCTTAGTATTCAAATAGGCCTCGTAGTTACATAGAAATGCTCATTTTTTTATGAACCTACAAAAACAGGCTTGGTTTTTAGAAGGTTGAGTAGATACACAGAAATGTTCCCCGACTGAGGGGTGTCAGAGTCTTAGATCGTCTCTTTCTCAGTTTTCAGGTTACAGACGACTCTAAAATCAAGTCACACCTGCCCTTGGATTCACCCTGTTCATTATGCTTCTGCTGCCCTTGCATCATTTCAGTATCACAGCTTATCCTCTAAGTGAACCCTCACCCTGAAATTATACAACTGAAGGAGTATTCTTCCAGTTTACACGTACATCCAATCTCATTGCTCGTTTAAAATCGGACAAAACCTCCGTAAATTGTCTAAATATGCTCTGATATTCATGATCAGTGCGTCACTAACATGACCCCATCTCAGGACACAAAGCTGACAGACTGGTTTAGAGTCGATGCAGAGAGACGGGCACAGCTGGCGCACATGTGAATACCAGCTTCACTGGTTCCTTTTCAGCCACCAGATTGATTGTGACCCGATACCTGACACTTGGTTATCAACATTTCTAAAGATTGATCGATCATGGTGAATACTTGGTCACAACATCCCCAGTCCGAGCAACTGGACAGGTTTTTATTTGACTTAGTTTGATGTGAAGCTCTACCATGTTGCTTTTTTGTCGCAAGACTAGGTGGAGTCACATGACAACACTGTGGTTTGTTTTTAAAGAGACAGTGCACAAACACGCGACAGAATTAAAAGATATGTTACATTTTTTTCACCTGTGAGAACCATTATCAACCAAAAACAAACAAAAAACGGTCTTTATATGAAACTGCCAGGGTCTTTTTTCTGTTCCGGATGTGCACCTGATGTGTTGCTATTCCTATAAAGTGAACATGTTTAAAATAAAATCGTTAAAAAGTCACAGTCAGGTGAACGTTTCCGCTCTGTTCCGCGTAAATCTGTCTCTCTCTTACTCTGGGCTTCAGTGTTTGACATCTCTGTGTGTCTATCCGTGCACGTACGTGTCTGAACATGCAAAAGTCTGCAGAGCGTAAAACAATCAGCACCCAGTCTGTCCAGCTTTCCTGTCACAGCTGAGTCACCCTTGTTTTCTTTCTGTGTTTCAGTCAGAGGAGCACGTGCCTGAGGTGGAGGAGGCCATGTTGGCTCAGTGCACCGAGAGGCTGCAGCAGGAGGCCTGCAAGGAGCTTTTCAAGGACTGTACCAAGTGAGACCAGGAGCAGGATTAAGCCGTGCATGTTTACACTTAATTATCAGGGTTAGGTAGGAGGGTCAACAATATCAGAATATTGCAAAAAATGTGTGTAATTCAGCACATTTTTGTCATCAAGAGATCCAGAGAAGCACAAGAAATAAGAGAGTAAGCTAAGATGGACTTGACAAAGTTTGACTTTTGCCAAAGTCTGCTCTAAAGAAGGGCAGGTACCACTTTGTAAGGAGATGCTTTATTAGTGGAGAGTTAGGGAGACACATTTGTTCTGAACAGTGTGCACAAAGGGTGTCTGTGGGGTCTTGAAAAGTATTCATTGATGCTGCATTTAGGTTTTGCCTCGAGCGGTTGGCCTGGGCCGGCCTCCAGCCTGTGGCTCCTTTACCCCCATTTAGGTCCCTGCACTTTCTCCCTGTTTCCTTCACTGCCCATTGTCTACTCTTAATAAAGGGGAAAAAAAATAAAATAATGGAATCAGATAGCCAAATTTAAAGCCATTAAAAAGTATTAATTAACACTTTTAATTTATGAGAATTTGTTATGTTGATAAAGTCTTTAAAAAGTTCTTTAAAAGTCTAAAATTGAACAAAACTCCTGTAAGATATATTCTAATCCCTTATCCCTAATAGACAAAGCAGTTTAATTATGTGTCTCAGCCTCACATCTGTACTAGGGCCCGATCGATTTATCAACGGGCCGACTTAATCGGCCAATTTTAGCCAGTTTGAGACTAATCGGTAATCGGCCAAAACTCGCTGATTTTCGCCAATATTTTCAGAAAAAAAAATGCGGAGAATAAGATTCGGTTTCATTTCGAAAATGTTCCGCCATTTGAAAAGATCCCCTGACATATCCTGTAGATGGTGCAGCGACCTCATGACAGTCTGAAAACGCTGAGTTGAAATCGCTTTTCTGGTCCAAACTGATCAGTCGGTCTTCTTGTTGACGTGAAGAGCAGTAGCCTACAGTACATCTACAGTATATATATATATATCTACAGTATATCTACAGTATATATATCTACATTATATCTACAGTATCTACAGTATATATATATATATCTACAGTATATCTACAGTATATATATCTACAGTATATCTACAGTATATATATATATATATATATATATCTACAGTATATATATACAGTAAATCTACAGTATATATATATATATCTACAGTATATCTACAGTATATATACAGTATCTACAGTATATATATATATTATATCTACAGTATACAGGGTTTTTCCTGCGTTCAAAATTGCGTGGCGGCCGCCTCCACCTAATTTTGTGCCGCCCCCAGCCAGAGCGATTGATTTCGCTCAACACAGCGTAAAGCTCCAGCTGTGTTGATTGAGTGTATGATGTCCCTCTGCAGCAGCAACGTATTTTAACTGCAGTTGCAGCGTTGCGCCACTATAAAGGCGCTATATCAACAGCAGTGCACCGGAAAGACCTGAAGCATCTACCGAAGAAGAAACGGATCGAATCATGTTTTTTCAAGTTTTTTTCCCGCTAGTTGGTGCTATCGGCGACCTGATTTTCCCCGGCGGCTGGTACAAACAGGTAAATACTGCTTGTCTTTTTTGCATCCAAGCATGACGTGTTTATTAAAAAAAAAGTTTCCTCCGTTTTTTTAGCGTTGCAGATATGACAGGCAAAATCAGCCAGTACTTTAAAAAGCGACCTCGCAAGGAGGAAAGTCAAGAGTCCAGGTGAAACACAGCAGAGAAAAAACGTAACAGGCAGTTAAAATGCTATAACTCATGGTGGGGACAACGTGGAAATTTGTGTCAGGTCTGAAAGTACTTCACAAGGGACTGGTGATCGCGAGGGTCAGAATGCAGGACAGGACGAGTCGGCGAGGTGAGGGTAATTAATTAATTAGTTTCCAATTAGGAGCATAACAACGCAAAACCAACGTGTACGTGGTTTTTATTTCTCTTTCTAGATCTTCTCAAAAACACAGAGCCAGTGGCTTTGACAAGCAGTGGCTTTGACAAGCAGTGGCTCAATCAATTTACCTGGCTCAGGCATACTGAGGAAGGCATGCACTGCTATTTATGCCAAAAGCACTGTGCCCCAACACAGCAGGCAATTGCTGCCTCCTTAGTGAGACAGCCATCAACCAACTACAGGCTGGACACATTAAAAAGACATGAGGTGACAGCCGTTCACAAAGCAGCAGAAGAGAAGGAGAAGTATATTAAAGATTGTAGTACCTAAAAACACTCAACTAATAAAGTTACAAAAACTAAAATAACATAGTTTAGATAGTTTAAGAAATAATTGGTTGTCGTTTTTTTAGGGAGGACACTGCAACGTATACATATATATAATATATGATTAAAACACTATCACTCTTCATGTCTGTATCAGAATAAAAACAAAAATACTTAATGCATGATGGATTGTTTTGTTTAAGGTGAAGACACCTCTGTGGAACAGACTGAAGGAAAGGCACTTGGATGTCTGTTGTAAGGTGGCCGTTGATGGACCAGACCAGGAGGCCTTGGACTACAAGGAGTGCATGAGGAGGTTCTACAGAATGAAAAAGAGGAGGCTGAAATGTTCTGTCTGGTTGTGAGATGTGTGGATGAAGTGTACTTTCAATTTAAAGTTGCCAGCTGATTTGTGTATGTATATAGTTTTAATAAATGAATGCTTTAACATGATAATGGTCACACTCTTTTTTGAACTCTTAACTTAAAGTATGTTGCCTGTAAAAGAAAATGAGTCAGTTGAATTTACAAATACATGCACGTCATGGCGCATGGTCAGGATGGTGCCACCTCTGCCTCAATTTGAGCCAGGAAAAACCCTGGTATATCTACAGTATATATATATATCTACAGTATATCTACAGTATATATATCTACAGTATATCTACAGTATATATATATATATATATCTACAGTATATCTACAGTATATATATACAGTAAATCTACAGTATATATATATATATACAGTATATCTACAGTATATATATATATCTACAGTATATATATCTACAGTATATATACAGTAAATCTACAGTATATATATCTACAGTATATCTACAGTATATATGTATATCTACAGTATATATATCTACAGTATATATACAGTAAATCTACAGTATATATATCTACAGTATATCTACAGTATATATATCTACATTATATCTACAGTATCTACAGTATATCTACAGTAAATATATCTACAGTATATCTACAGTATATATATATCTACAGTATATCTACAGTATATATATCTACAGTATATATATATATATATATATCTACAGTATATCTACAGTATATATATATATATATATATATATCTACAGTATATCTACAGTATATATATACAGTAAATCTACAGTATATATATATATACAGTATATCTACAGTATATATATATATCTACAGTATATATATCTACAGTATATCTACAGTATATCTACAGTATATATATCTACAGTATATCTTCAGTATATCTACAGTATATCTACAGTATATATGTATTTTGTAGAACTTCATAAAAAGTTTAAAAACCGGCAGATTAATCTGTAATCAGATTTTTTTCCCCCTTAATAATCGGTATCGGCCCGAAAAAATCCATATCCGTTGGGCCCTAATCTGTACATCATCAAACATGTGGCTGATGGTCTCGTTTGCTTTTGTTTATCATAAAAGGCATCAACATGAATTTTAGTGAGATTTTAAACTTTAAATCAATGATCCTAAAACTTATTTGTAACTTTACAAATTTAAACCCCCCTAAAGTAACAAAGTAGGGCCCTGAATTTGACGTTCTTGTTCTGTGAATAACCTGCAGATGCTGTTTGTTGTTTGTCCCAGATTGATCCACGACTTCCTTAGCATGGCGCCGTTTGCAGACTACCTCGACAGCATGTACTACAACAGGTTCCTCCAGTGGAAGTGGCTGGAGAGGTAAAGTGAACCCTCCTTTCTCGTCTTAACTTCCTGCAGCCGCCTTCTTCCTCTTGCAGAGCACTCAGAGCTCATTTAGACTCCACATCAGCTTTAAAATCTTCCTTAGTGCCCGTCAGGACACGCTCAGAGTTGCCTCACTCCCTTCTCTCCTGGTGTCCTCATGTCCTCGGGTTAGTGGGAGCTAAACTACGCAATCCCTGAACTTCTGTGTGATATCAGTGTTACATATGTCATCATTATTTTTTGATATTGCACAATGGGAAAGTTTGACGCTGAGATGACTCTCAGAACAGGTTTTTGTTTTGCAGCCTGAAAAGTTAGACGGGAGTGATTCTGACTGAATTCATCGTCGCAGGAGGAATAAATCTCACCTCACAGGAAAGGAGTGTTTGGAGATTTTTCAGGTTTATTTACAGACAGAGACAGTTCTGGTGGGTCTGCGTCTTGTCACAGATCTCTGACAGCCCCCAGACTTGGCTGTAAAAACCTTAGAGCCTATGTAAACACGCCGTCTATCCCATCCTTCACACTCTCGCTCTCTACAAAACAGCTGATCCAGCCCATGTTTTGTGACGTGAATGCAAATACAAATCTGTGAGGTGAGAAAAGCAAGATAAACTTCTTCCCTGGAAGGCACCTGCGTGGTTTTGTTAGCTTAAGAAGATAAAGAAACACACTGAATGATGGGAAAACACACCTGCTTTACCACCTTTAACTTCCTCTCTCTCATTCTAAGAAAAAGTCGACCATTTTAGATCATCGTTGAGCATAAAAAATGGTCGTTTTGGGAGTTTTTCCAACCATGTAAAACTTTTCACACTCACGCAGAGATAATAAGCGCTCAAACTTTTTCAAAATAAGTTTCTTTTTGTGTCCAACAGGCAACCGGTGACGAAAAATACGTTCCGGCAGTACAGAGTTTTAGGAAAAGGAGGCTTTGGAGAGGTGAGTGCTTCATTTCCCATCAACAGAACAAAGAGACGATCTGAGAGGGAAGAAAATCAACTTAGAAGATTAAAAGGATATTTCAGTCTGCCAACATCAGACTTTCTAGGTTTATACTTATGGGAATTTGTAAAAATCAATTAAGATTTCAACAACAAGAAAAACCACAACAAAGTATTACAGGAGATAAAAGTCAGTATCTTAAAAAATGACTGTGAAGTTGTTATAGTTTACGAATAAGGTTGTATATTTATAAGAACATATTCATGATTGTAGGCTGTCAAGAGCATCATGGATATACTGAGGGATACGGAGCATCTTATGAAGTAAAACTGTGAACTTAATTTCTCAGTGTAACAACACCACAGTGTCATCAGACTCAGGATTGTGAATGCGTTGTGCAAGAAACTGAGTTCGTTATGACAACAGGCAGCCTGTCCTCACTTCTGCAATCGCTGTTTGACCTCAGCTGTGGAGTTGAACCTCACAGATGATCCTTGTTTTAATACTAACAACTGGCTCCTTCTCTCATATCCACCTTTATGTTACTTTAGCCTGTAAAGAGATTAAATACAGCCTTTAATTAGTCCTTGTAATACTACAACTTTATTTTCTTACGACTTCATCCTGATATTCCTTCTTGATTTTCTTGTTTTATTTATGACTTTTTTTTACATACAAAAAATTAGTTTTCACTTCTTATGATAACTTAACTTTTAACCCTACATTTTCCCCTCCTGTGGCCCTATCCTCTGTCTCTGTCCATGGGCGCCCTTAAACCTCGAGGTCAACAGCTCCCTCAATGCCGTGTTGAATTCTGATAACTCTGAACAGATCGTTTCATCTTCATCACCTCCTCACAGTTTTCTGTTTTCCCTGCAGGTGTGCGCGTGTCAGGTACGAGCCACAGGGAAGATGTACGCTTGTAAGAAACTGGAGAAGAAGAGGATAAAGAAGAGGAAAGGCGAGTCCATGGCGCTGAATGAGAAACAGATCCTGGAGAAAGTCAACAGCAGATTTGTCGTAAGAATTCCACCCAGAAGAATTTATTTTCACTTTTCTTTGTGAAGTATAAAGCGGCTGACCCTCCCGTGTCTGCAGGTCAGCTTAGCGTACGCTTATGAGACGAAGGATGCTCTGTGTCTGGTGTTGACGCTGATGAACGGAGGAGACCTGAAGTTTCACATCTATCACATGGGAGAGGCGGGTTTCAACGAGACCAGAGCCGTGTTTTACTCTGCAGAGATCTGCTGCGGGCTGGAAGACCTGCACCGAGAACGCATCGTCTACAGGTCAGAAACTTCAAAGAAAACTTTGTATTGTGTTTTTTTTTAAATTTTATTTTTAATTTATCAAATTGACTTTTTAATGTCTTCTTCTGCCTCACAGGGACCTGAAACCTGAAAACATCCTGCTGGATGACCACGGTGAGCAGAGCTTTGTGTTTGACAGCTTTCTCTGCCAGTAGTTTCTGTTTTCAACCACCAGAGGGCGCTCCAACTCTGACTTTGACACTACAGTACGACAGAGAATAGAAATAAACTTGAACATTGGAATGAATTGCTTCATTTAAAGAAAGATATGTGAGACAGCATAACTTGAGCATGATCTAACAGACATTCATGTATATTTACTCAGCTTTGTTTAAACCTGGACCCATTTCTCCATATTTATGAAAAGCAGAATAACCCTTTAAACTTCCTATTCAAAGATTTCTTAAATTTGTCTTTTTTTGTCTCCAGGCCACATCAGGATATCAGATCTGGGTTTAGCGGTTCATGTTCCAGAGGGACAGACTATCAAGGGACGGGTGGGAACTGTGGGATACATGGGTAAGTGACCTCTGACCCCTCTGTGTACTTTTACTGGGAAAATCCAGATACTTTTACTTCTTTCTGAGGAACTGGGATATGTCTGTGGTGACATCATTTGGGAATTCCTGATGGTAGTTTGATTGTTTGATTCTACTGCTGATGCCGCTTTCATTTCATCGTCTTTCGTTTTCGCAGCTCCAGAGGTGGTACAGAACGAGCGGTACACATTCAGCCCAGATTGGTGGGCTCTGGGCTGCCTGCTGTACGAGATGATCGAGGGTCAGTCGCCTTTCCAGCAGAGGAAGAAGAAGATCAAGAGGGAGGAGGTGGAGCGGCTGGTGAAGGAAGTGCAGGAGGAATATTCCAGCAAGTTCTCTGAGGACGCCAAGTCTATCTGTAAAATGGTGAGTGGATGATTAAGACGCTGGACCTGAAGTCCTTCTGACCTGCTGATTCTCAAGACTGAGCTTGTTGTTTCTGTTTTCTCACTCTGCAGCTTTTGGCCAAAGACCCCTCTGAGCGTCTGGGCTGCCTGGGTGAAGGAGCCTCAGAGGTCAAAGCTCATCCCATCTTCAAATGCATCAACTTCAAACGACTGGAGGCAGGCATGCTGCAGGCGCCTTTCATTCCTGATGTAATTGAATCTCATGCATCGCACCCTTCATGAAAGTCATCTGAAACTTTAAAACTTGTAGTTTGACTAAAGAGCGAGGAAACGTCACTTTAGAGAACTGTGACGCAGGGAATGAGTCAGCACAGGGCGATTAACTCCAAGAGTACAGATGTTTCCAAACTGCAGGAACTTTGTCACAGCTCTAAGAACTGTCGTCAGGCTTCCCCCTTTATTCTGCAAAAACTATGAACAGTTTTAGTTCCTAGAAACCCACTTCAGAGGAACCTTTAGGCCTCTACTCCAGAGTAGGTACTCTCCCAGCACAAGAGGGACTTTGAGTGACATGGTGATCGGTTCATAAGTCAGTTAATGTTGAATGGTTGAAAACAAAAGCTGGTTCAGTTCCACAAAATGTTGTCTCTGTAAACTCAGAAACAGTCGGTAAAGCTCCTAGATTTGTTAGAAAGGACCACAATGGACCAAGAATGGAGTCCAGGCTTTGCTAATACAGGGCTTGGTATCCATCACACAGTAAAGTAGACCCTCTCCTCTCAGACTCTGCCCTCCTCCTACAAACAGCCTCTGTGTCCAAGCATCCATAAAGATAGATATACTCATGTACTCATTTGTGTGTTTCAGCCTCAGGCGATCTACTGTAAAGACGTTTTGGACATCGAGCAGTTCTCCACCGTTAAAGGAGTGGAGCTGGAGCCAAAAGACGAGTCTTTCTACAGCAAAGTGTCCACAGGCAGCGTCTCCATCCCCTGGCAGAACGAGGTGACGTGAACAAACACATTTCCTCTCTGTGTTTATGTGCAGAGTTGAGAGGTTAAATGTTCGCTCTTTTCTCCTGCAGATGATTGAGACGGAGTGTTTTGCAGAGTTGAATGTTTTCCATCCGGACGGGACGGTTCCTCCTGACCTGGACTGGAGAGGACAGCCATCTCCTCCGCCCAAACAGGGACTCCTGCAGCGGCTTTTTGGACGACAGGTCAGTGAACACACCGTATGAAACATTGCTGCAGTAAACGTGTACGTTAAAAGGAGAGCTGTTGTTGTTGCCTGATCACCTGCTGTGCGGACTTGTGCTCCTCTGTCATTAAGTGTTTGAGCGCAGCGGTGAGCTCTGGCTGCAGAACATCAACCTGACTCTTAAGAAACACACATGACTCATTATTGTTCCCCTGTGTTCTACATGTGCTGGTAAATAAAGGAATCTAAAACTATGACGAGTCCAAACATGAAACTGGAAAACAAGGAAACCCTCCAAATGTAAGACCTGTCGTGACTGAGTGAACTTTTTGAGGCCCTTAATGTTAACACTTAGAACTCCGCTGGATCGCCAGTGATCCCACGTGACACCATTAATATTGTTTACAGTATCTCTATGGGATGAAAAGTGGTCAAAAGTTTACTCTTTTGGCGATCTATCGAGGGTTTCCAGGCAACTCTACACCTGCCACAAGGTTTACAATCCAGCCACAAAAATAGGTGTTTGATCAGAGACGTTTGATGGTAAATCCGCAGTGATATACCGGTGAAAACACGATTATTTATCATCTTGTTTTGATAAAAAAATGATTGCTATCGCTAAATGCCGCTAATGTATTCTGGATTTGACAAGTTGTTTTGATGACGTCTTTTTCTGTCAGACTTTTGACCAATTACATGGTCTCATATTCTTCTTCTATTGTTCTCCTTGACGGTAGTGTCCAATAAGAGGCAACCAACGATCAACAAAGACAAGAAAGTTCCCTGCTTGTCTGTAAAATAAGAACTAATGGTCAATGCTTGGAAACAATCAAAGAAGAGATTCTGAGCAGTATGATGTGGTCCTCTGTCTCATCCCAGACAGGAACTTCAAGGAGTGGCATAAATAACTGTAAATAGCAAAAAACACCTGGAAGAATGAGTGTAAATATGTCAATAGTTTCTGTTGTGTGTTTGTTTCAATACCAATATTTCTTCTCCTGATAGCCAAGACTTGAGAGAATGATGTTCAGGTGAGAAAAGGCTTGGTCGCTGTAGATTTATGTGTTTTTTGTGCAGAGTACTGTTGGGATCAATTTCTATTTTTGTTTTTTGGTTGAGTTTGATGGTTCTGAATCTACTGTCACTTTAATTTTACATAGTTTTTGCACCCATCAACTGATAGCTGAGGTTGTCCTGAAAGAAAGATGTATATATTTGTTGTGCTTGAAAGGATAAAGTTATTACATAGATTTTTACATTAAAAAAAAAATAAAAAAAGGCAGACCAAAAGCAGCAAAACGTAGCCGGGAGTTCTAAGGGTGAAGGACTTTTAACGAGGCCCACTGTCCTGCATGTTTTGGATGTTTCCCTGCTCCAACACACCTGATTTAAATGATCAGCTCGTTATCAAGCTCTGGGCTCAATAACGAGCTGATCATTTGAATCAGGTGTGTTGGAGCAGGGAAACATCCAAAACATGCAGGACGGTGGGCCTGGAGGACTGGACTTGAGAACCACTGACCTAAACCACTTTGGTGTTACAGTGAGGCCCGGTGGGGTGCAAAAACAATCTTCAGAGAGAACAGATAACTCATGGATAAACATTTACAGGAATGAACTTTGACCCCTGTTTAGATTACTGTAACCATCCGGCCATATTTGCACTTTTGATTCTGAATCAAATCTTTTGCTTCTGCTGGCACTGTAATACCATGATGACCATGTGCTCTGTCTCCCTCTGCAGGACTGCTGTGGTAACTGCAGCGACAGTGACGAGGAGCCCACCAGGCTGTGACGCACGTGCACACACACACATACATACATACACACTCACACACACAGGATCTTATTTGTTTACAACTTTTGCACATTTGTATTTTTAAGATAGTCCTATCTCTAAATGTCAGAATGTATATTTTCAGCATAGCCATAATAATGTTTAATGTTATTTAAAAAGTGTGAAATACAAAAATGAGAAAAGCGGGAGCTCAAAGAAGACCAATAGTTTTTTTTTTTTTTAACTTTTACATCCAGGGAAGTTTTTTTTTTTTTTTCTCTCTTTCACATTCCTCCTCTCACACTCGTCCGTGTTTCTGACGCCGAGCTGCCGCGGCTCCTCGGGGAACAATTGCCTGCTGTAGAAGTGCCTTGCTGGAGGGCACCGTGGCAGTGGTTACTAAAGGGAGGACTGAGCATCCCTCTTGTCTCTTTACTTTGTCCAGGGAATTGAACCAGTGACTTTCAGCTCATGAACTGTGACCACTTTCCCTCCTCCGCCCTCCATCCTGCTGTGACAAACCTCAGCCTTTTTTTTTGTTTTTCTTTTATTTAAGTCTTTTAATAAAAGTGTGATTTTTATTTTGGCTCGGATTTTATGGCTTTGGATGACGTTTTCTGTGTCTGCAGATATTTTTATATCCACTGTGTTTTTAGTTTTCCATGTAAAGTTTGGATTTCTTCAGACAATCAGCTCATCATGTCGGCCCAGCTTCAGTTACTCTCGTCAGTTTGGAAGATTGAAGATTAAATTCACTGACAAATATGACCTTACAAGTTATTTTTTTATATGTTTCTGCCTTTTTCTTAATGAGGGAAAATGTGAAGTAAACGGGTGTTGATGCAAATTAGAAACCCATCCATCCATAATGCATGGTCCCATTTACTGCCGAGCTGCCAACGTGTTTATTGACTCAAAATTATTCATACAACTTAAAAATTAGTCTCTCTTTGTTCACAATCTGCAACACACAGAAGAATATGATTAAGATGAGAGAAAATGCTCTTTTTTTCATGATGCACTTCAATATTAAGTCGACATGTTGAGATTTGAAAAGTTGAAATTTGATTTAAGAGCGAGTACAACACAAGCAAAGATTTAGACTAAAGGAAACAACATTAGTGATCCCCACAACAGGCCAACAGTTTTTTTACAAAGAGCGTCTCAGAAATAGAAGGGGACTTTTCAGATCGTTTGTTTCTTTCTTCCACCGGAGACAACAGAAGAGAGGAGTCTGGCTGAACCTTCACATAGTCGGAGAACAACGGAACGACCGTTTCCTGTTTTGACCCGGTGACTCAAAGTTCGACCATGATGAAACAAGCACTCCTGAGCTGTCACAAGATTCTGTAATGATTGAGGGACTGGGATATAAATGCTTTTCAGTGGTAAGACCCAATAATGTAGTTTTAGATGTTTTTTTTGTATTTATTTTGCAGCCCCTGTTCCATAAATAAAGACAGAAATGACAGAGTTTAAAATACTACAACCATAAAGACACGCACTTGGATCAGAGCGCGTTATAAACTGTAGGATGTGAAGGATGATGTGTTGTTGATGAATCCTTCTTGACTGTATCATGTGCTGTGTTGTTATAGTCTATCATAGCTTTTTTGACGTGCTAATGAGTGGGTCTGTCAATCATTATAGTTAGACTTTGTTTTAATGGGTGTAGTAGGCTACTGAGTTACAGTAAACAGACATCCACCGTAGAAGCACCACTGACCATCTTTTTAGACTCTGGTCTGTTGAACAAAGCGATCAACTCAGCACTACAGCAGCGTATTGAAAACATGATGCATCATGATAGTTATGACCCAGAAACGGGAAAAGTACGTCTCCCTTTAGCGACAGATGATATTTTTTCTCCAAACTGAATTACAGCCTTTCTTAAAAAACAGATTTTGACCTTTTCTCCAAATTGCATCTTAACCTTTTAACCTCAAAATTGAATCTCAACTTTTTTTTTTTGTCTGAAAAATGTGACATTTCTCACAAAGTGCATTATGAAAAAAAAAAATCAGTTCTTGGCTCTTGAACTTTCTCACAGAAAAACTTTCAAGGCGAAGATTTCTGCAAGTCTTCCTGAGCATGAAACTAAATAATCCAAGGTAATATGTTAGCCTTCTTATTTCTTCTGTTACACGGATTACAGGACAGGATGTTGGTCCAACAGAGATGGTTGTTGTACAGAAGCTCCTGAAGCTGCTTTCACATCTGTATTTAATTACTGACATCAACTCCTGACTCCCAAAGAAGACAAAAATATTTGCCACAGTATCAACAGGCAGAAGACAAATGCGCCAGACTACAGCATGTTTATATTTTAGGATGAGTAATCAGCCTTTAATTTAACATCCATAAATGTCTTGCTGAAGGACACAAAGAACTGGGACTTGAAATCAACAACAATACAACTTTATTCAGCAACTTTTTTACTGTATGTATCCAGAAGTGTTTTGGACATCTGATTTTGATGAATTTCTGATCCTAAGAATAAGTTACAAACACTCAAAAGTATTTTCAAATATAATTTGGTTTGTTAAAGTTTGTTCATGGATCTCTCAGAGTTTCTCAAGTCTTTATTTGCTTCTGGTTTTAGTTTGCTGCATCCCCTGGGCGCTAAAGAACAAAGTCATGTTGGAGAGGAGACAAGAGTAACTGAAGTTTTTGGTCGAGTCTTTTGTCAATCATTGAAATGGCTCAGCTGGTTCTGTTGCTGTCTATGGCTTCATGACAGAAAAAAAAATCGCCTCAGACTTTGAGCTTCTAAAATAAAACACCTCCAAATCCACGAGTGGAGTCGTTTTATTCCACCGTTATTTGAGGAGATATTCAGATATTCGTGATACCAGATACGCTGATACTTTCAAACTGTCATACTGATACATCCTCACCTACTCTTTGTATGCATCACTTTGTTAAATTCATAATTTAATATGCTACTTAAGTATTATTATATTGGTAGAAACGTTAATATCTGCTGATACTGATATCATGCCGGTAATGTTGTGCATCCCTACTTTTTAGTCAAGTGCCAAACAGGTAAAATCAGCTGTAATACAAACCATGCAGAATAAGTGACTGATTTTATTGCAGGACTTTTTACCTGATGTAGGCTGCGACTAGAAGTCTGCAGGTTTGGGATTATTGAAAACCAGATGGACTGCTGCAGGTTTGACTGTGCACATTGGGAGGCCAGACCAAGCAACCCTTGAGAACCACTGTACAGTCTGAAAACAACAGGATGACTGTTGTGCTGTTATCGGTTCCTGTCACACAAACTGAGGACACAAGTTTGCCCCTCTTGCTGTTGTTAACTTAAGTGCGGTGTGGGATTGCTGCAGATTTTTGAGCCTATGATGCACCCCTCTCCATGAATGGGCATGTCTGCAGATTTTGCATGACAAAATTACCCATAATTCCCAAAGGATCTCCACAAGCACAAAAAGGAAAGAAATTCCACATGATGCCATAAGATCCTAAAAAAAACTTTAAAAGATGATTAAAAGACAATTAAAAAAAACATATTCATTCACAGTAATAAGCCTGTTGGCCTCTGTCAATGGTGCACACCGCACCTCTCTGATTTCTCCTAAACAAGAAAAAACAGCATCAGAACGAACAGCTTGTCCCTCAGAAATAACGACTGCAGATCATTATTGAGCCTCTGCAATGGATTTCCAGTGGGGACGAGGAGTCCTGCTGCTACAGATGGAATAAATTCTAATTGGCAAAGGGGACAAAGGACAAGAAATACTCGGCGCCATTGCAGATGTGTTGAAGTGTGAATTAAAATTTAAAAAAACTCTGTTTTTTTCTGTTTGATGATCCAGGATCCTTTCTGCTTCTCTGAATCAAACCGTCATGTTTTTTTTTTCTTTTATTATTCTCCCATGTTCGGAATTTAATCACCTTACCCATCCTCTGATGGACTCACACAACAGCCCGTGTTGTTTTCTCTCTGGGCCACTCATCTTTCCTCTTCACACCTCCATCATCTTTTCCAAACACCAAAAATGTCACCGTGACATACTGAGCCTGCACTGAAGAGCGATGATTAACAACAGCTTTTTAAAGGTATTTTGTGGAGCAATTTACGTGAATTAATTGCGAAAAATTTCACCTCACCCAGTTCTTCGCTTCTACTGTGTTCTCAAAAAGTGCTAATGGGTTGCTTGCTAACACTCGCCAACGTCAACATATGACAAAGCACCGTTTACTAAAACGTACATGGTGGAACAGACGAGGTCTAAGCTGACAAACTCCCTTTAGACATGCTGATGTTTTCTGTGCTCCGTTTGACACTGTTAAGATGAAACAGGGAATACTGGCTCCTGATTGGAGCTTTAGTCAGTAGATACAACCTCTGATTGGTCAACAAACAAAAAAAGGCACACAGTTTTACCACTCCTCGACTCTTTGACTTGACTTGGTTTTAGTCGTTTTCCATTATGAGTGGGTGGGGTCACCATGCCAAAGCATCCAGAAACTTATGTGACACAAACACAAGACAACAATGGGGGACATTGAGGCATCACAGACATAATATAGGTCGATGCCTCATTACATACTGGGGCATAATCCGGCATTGACGCCATATTGGATGGGTCTCCTCACTTCAGGCTCGCACCAAAACCAACCAATGTCAACAGAGAACAAGCAACTATAGCTGCTTTTTGTCCAGCCTATGATTGCAATAATTGGCACAGCATTGAAACCAGATCATGTGGGATTAAATTTCACATGTTAGATTGAAAAATAATTTTGACTATTGCTAATGTGTGACATAAACTACATCTCTGCCATTTGTAACGAACCAAACCGTGTGATAATTTGGGGAGTTATGACTACTATAGTTGGGCATATCTATCTTCCTCAGTAGAAATAAATGCATCCAAAATGGCGGCCACACTGATATGTCAGCTCCAATAGGCAGGGTCAGTGTATGAGACATCTACATATATTATATCTATGGAGGCAATGGTGTATCTGCTGCTTGGTCTATAGCTACCCTCAGACTCAAGGTAAAAGAAGAGAGCCAGAGAACACAGGAGAGTCTGGGTGCCCAGCATGGATGTCACATTTTCACTTTGACTCTGCTCACTTTGAACCCCATGTAAAAGTAAGGGTTTCCATGACAACATGTACATTTAAGACGTTTTAAAACGATTTACAAGTTGACTTCCTTTTTGTTGTTTCATGGTAAATCTGATTTAAATAACTCTCAAGGTCCTTACACACCAGCGAATTTGCGAGGGACGCGAAAAAGCGAGACGAAAATGTGAAAATATTCGCCGGTCCGAAAAATCGCTTTCGCTTATACACACCGGGTGACCACTCTGTGGTACACACTCTCCCCCATTGTTGCTCTTGGTGCCAGTGGTGGTGTGTGTCGTGTGAACTGCAGCCGCATGGGTCTGTGACGTCATCATCAACATGACTTTTGATTGGCCAGAGGTCTAGCAGGTCCAGATATTCGCCTGCGAATCTCCGAAAAATTCGACACAAGAGCGAAAAAATAAAAGAGGCTTTTCGCCCCGCGGAAAAATCGCCGCCGGTGTGGAAGCTTGCATTGACTTTATGCTGTTTTAAAAAAAGGCGAATAAAGGCGAATAATTTGCCTGGCGAATTCGCGCCTGGTGTGTAAGGACCTTTACTGTTCGTTCTTTCTACTAGAGATGTCACAAAAACACACTGAGTTCATTGGAAAGCCGACGGTCTCACAAACTGAGTGGATTTTACAGTTACCTGGTAAGTATTGTTGGATTATCCCTTTAATTGTTAGCAAGTTTCATTAATTATGATGGTTAAAAATCTCACATAAGCCTCACATAAACTGCTTCATAATTCTTGTTCCGAGGAGGAAGTCGTCTCCACTGGTATGAAAGAAGATAAATACTGAGAATAGAGAAGATTCATCAGTGTCTGTTTATGTAAACATCTCCCCTCTCGTCCTCCATCGTCCCCTGCGTTACCATGGCAACTATAAATCGGGGAAGGATTGATGTGAAACTGTAGTAGACACACACCCACACATACACACTCATAAATACATTTATTTACTTATTTGTTTGGTTGACAGGGACAATGCATGCGGGCATTGTTACATCTAATGAAAGACAAACTGATGCTGTGTCATACAGAACTTCCTGCCATGCTTCATTTTCAGTCCTTTGCAGTCCACACACAGCCTTGCTTTCAGGGCTGTGTGTTTGTATGTACATTATTGCTGTGACATGTCTCCTCTGTGCTCCAGAGGACAAATCAGCTGCACAAATAGGTGAGGAGGCAGGTGACTGCTCCCTGATTACATGATTAAATCCACTTATGTGAAGTGTACAGATACAGATGAGGAGAGACAGAGAAGAGGCTGCAGACTCTCAGCAATCAGGATGTGAGCTGTTTGAATAATCATCTCACACTCGTGACATTGAAAAGAGACCGAAGCTCTGAGTTATGTTCAACTGAGAGGCTTTTAAATGGGTTTGTGAACATGCCCGCTTCAAGGCTGTCTCCTAGATGACCTACTATGTCTCTTTGAGTACATTTCATTTCATACACTTTAATTGTCCCCGTAGGAACATTTGTAGTGGACTCTCCGATGGGCTGCAGTTTGCAAATAAAAGAACAAGAACATTGTGTGATCGCACCAGGCGACACATAATCACACATGCAAGACAAGTACACAGCAGCAACAAGTATCAGCCGCCCATATCGGCAAACAATGAATGTCAATCGATCAATTACCCGTACACAGCAGCATAAAACATCAATCAAACAGTCAATCATCAATCAATCAATTACCTGTACTCATACAGTACACAGTAAACAACATATATCGATCTGTTACCCAAACAGTCACAGCACACAGCAACAATAAATGGTAGTTGCTCAAACCATAACAGTACACAGTGCTGTGTCACTGTTACACACTAAACGACATCTGTGCATTCAGGATACTAACAGATGTTGTGATGAAAGAGTGTTTGTAACGGTTTAACCTGCTCCAGGGAACTCTAGATCTCCTTCCAGAAGGAAGCATCTGGTTCTCTGAATGGAGAATATGAGACTGATCAGACAGAATTCTTCATGCATGTCTCAAGGTGGATTGTTCGTAAACGGTTTGAGGAGAAACATGATCTTTGACTTCCATAATTTTCATGGCATGTTGTACCAGACGATGAATTTGTGTCTTCAGTTGTACAGACAGGTTGCCGTACCAGGCTGTACTTCTGTACCTTACAATACTCTCCAGGCATGATAAAACAACATAAACTTCTGCTCAACACCAAAAACTCCCAATCTGTGCCGAACATACAATCTCTGTTGCAGTTTGGAGCAGAGACTCTCCACATGAGCTCTTCAGCTAAGTGTGTCATCACTCTTAATTCCCAAGTACTTATATGAAGAGACCTGAGCGATGGGTTTATTGAGAAATTCATTGAAAAATAGGACACAGTGCAGGTGTCAGCTCCTCTGTGCTCCTCTGGTTTTAAGAAGACAGGTGGAGATGCTATCTGGCCCTGTGGCTTTTTTAGCACAACTGTGGGTCGATCAATACCCTGGTGTCCTGGTCGGTGACGCATATAGATTGTAAAACATTGTCACACTCAGGGGAGAAATTGTGGGTCTTGAATCTCATAAAGTTGTTTAATTCATTTGCTTTTTGCAAGTTATCAGGAGTACTAAGACGTGTCGTGGCTGGGGTCATGTTAGTGATGTTAGTATCCTACAGCTTCTTGGAATTCATAGCATGACAATTTTGTTCAATCATTTCCTTATGGCTGTTCCTCGCTTCTCTGAGCGTGCAGTTAAGTTCTTTTTGTACAGTTTTCTGTGTCGGTTCTTAAACGCCATCTTTGTTGTTTGGGTATACAGATATTACTTTTTGAAGTATAACCATAGACTGTATACACTATGGACAACTTGATTCCGCCTTCTGCCAGTATACGGATTTGAAGCTGAAATGCTCTCTGCGTTTATTTCTCCACTTCCTGGAGTGTCCCTGTGAAGACGCTCGGCTCAAACAGCCTCTCCCCTGGGTGAGCAACGCAATCTTCGGCGGCTCCACCCAGCGAGGAGGCAGACTCTGTCCATTCTATATAGAGTTTATGGGTATAACATTGTCCACACAGAACTGGATATAATCAGTAATAGTCTCGGCAGCGTCATTCACATCCATCTTATGAAAGATGCTCCACTCAGCAGACAGGGAGCATCCTTTAACAGCCTCAATGCTGTCACTGGACCAGATCTTTGCTGCTTTTGAGGGCGGTTCTGTAAGTGGGGATGAACGATACGAAGTACGATAAGAGATTTTTGTCTCTTTCTGTCCAGGTTTTCTGTCCTAGCTTAGGCATATGAACTCTGGGGCATCAGCAGAAAGAAGAAACCACATTACTGAGCCAAAAACACAACCCACAACAGCATTTTCTAGGTGTGTTAGTTTTGGCAGATTTTAGTCGTTTTCCATATAATGTGTATATAACACTACAGTACAGATTATTGTATGTTCTGCTTAAATCTGTTCATTTCTTCAAATTTGAATCTTGAAGATAAAACAAAAAAAGACACTTTGGTTGGATAAATGTCTCAAAACAAAGACTCCATTGTGAGCACTGAGTGTGTACTGTGTGTGATGTTGTGTCACATCTTGGTCAGACTTCACGCAGCCACACTTTTTCGCCCACACGCGCGTTAGTCGTTATTTGTGTGTCACCATTGATGTCAAACAAAGCGCACACACACATGCACACACACACTCTGACTTTGAGCAGTGACGTTTCTCCCGAACCCACTCGAACGCCGTTCTCTCCTCATGTCTTTGTCTTCTCTCTCTAACACTTCCTCTGGGTCAGATCCCACGCTCAGCTTCAGCTCTGAATGATTATTGTTGTTTTGTTGTTCACTTTATTTCCATTGTTTCTCTGAGTCACTCCCATCTGACTGGATGACTCGGCACGCTAGGATCCTGGTTTATAAACTCGGGAACACTTCGTATATTTGGAAGCATCTTGTTCTATTACTGTGCTCTTTCTACTTTAAACTCACCGTGATTCATCTTCATTAAAAAACATGCTAAAGGAGGAACGTTTCTCCACCTTTACAAAGCAATGGAAATATTCTGCTGGCATTAAAGGAGTTTTTAAAATACTGATGAGGGAGTTCATGACTGTTTTTCAAGGATATAATAAAGCCTTTTCTCTACAGCAGCAGGATGTTAAAATCAACCCCCCCAAAAATATGACAAAGGCCATGCAGTGTTTGTCAAAAAAGGGTTTAAGCCCCCTTCTGGTCAAGCCTAAACAAACGTATTGATGACTGGACTGAGCTCAACAGTTTGTAATTAGATCCCTGTCCATTTTTCCACGCAGTCATACATTTTATTGGAAGTTACATAATCTGACAATCTCTTGAGAGGAGTTTCTCTGGGAGCCCCAAACGGCTCGGTGATGACTCCAGTTTTATCCTGAAATAAACTGTTACTACATCATTTCTCATCTCAGTCAGAGGGGAAACAACCGATCTGGGTTTGTTGGGGGATTTAACAAGAGCGGAAACACTTGTGCTGTCCGGATGCCAAAAATCTGAGTCTGCCAGAGTATAGCCTCGCTAAGCTGCAGACTTAGTCACCGTGTTAGGGAAATCCAAAGTACTGTATGCAGAGGATGAGGATGCTGGATGGGGGAGCCATCCATCCTGATTATTCCTGAAACTATTTCAAGCCTCGATGGTACCTGGAGGAGGTAGGAGGCGGAAATCTACCAGGAAGATTATAACTAAAAGCAAGAGAGGGCTGATAGAGGGAAGGACCTCAACTTTCGCTGGTATCGTTCCAATTAAATTCAGATATAATGCAGATAAATACTTCAGATAATTACAAATGGGGCCCAGTCAAGGTGAAAGTCAAAAGCATTGGTGCTACTGCAGATGCCAACAGACTACCAGCAAACACAATGTTTGCAGGACTTCTACAACTAGGATAAAGTGACATAGTCCAGGACCAGAGGTCAACAGTTTAGCGATGGCGCTACAACACGCTACAGCATGGAACGAACGGAATGCTGCCTACCCCACCTTGAAATTCAGCATTTGTACATTAATTGGTGGTCTTTTGTTGGCTGACGATCCCAAGATAATTACCATCTAATATTGTACAAAATGATAGGAACAAAATAGGTACAAAATTATGGGATATATCACAAAAGGGAATGATATAATTCAATATAATACAGGGTTCAGACTTGAGCTTGTGCCTCTTTTAAGTGTTAACACAATTCATATTTTCATTCAGTTTATGTTCAGTAAATAACTTATAATTTACTGGAAGTAGTGTATACTTCAAAATAAAGGCATCTTTCACAATACAGAAGATAAGCAACCTAAGTAAGTCAATGGATATTTCAAAATAAAAGCATCATAAACAATGGTTTAAAAGGTAGTCTCGTTTCTGAAAGAGTTTCTGTTCTCAGATATTTATATCTATCTTTAAGATGGGCTCAGTCTAAAATAGTCTTCTTTCTCTCCTAAACAAATGCTCCCCCAGTACCACTACTAATGACCCACCGCCCCCCATTTCTTACCAGCAGCAGTGAAGCCTAATGGGAGCTGAGTAAAGCCTGTTGGTCGTGATCACCCAGCAGAAAAACGTGACTCATTATTTTTGACGGGCTGCATTAATAAAATTATCTCAGGAGGATTCTTGAAACGGCATTTCATCTTTCCTTAACTCACTTTTGGGGAACTGTTGCTAAGCTACAGTCCAGAGCAAATATTTCCTCAACTTTTATTGGTAATAAAACGTAATTAAGCAATGACTCAGGTTTAATAGTCAGCCTTAACATGCTTCTCACCATCATGCCTGAAAGTTAATTAGGAGCAGCTCTTTCCTCAAGTACTGTTGATAATTCAAAACCCAATCGACAACACTCAAAGTCCAGAGTCCCAGAAGTCAAAAAAATCTTTTTTCCATGTTCTTCGGCTTTAAGTAATAGCTGTATGAACACAGCTGATGCATGTTTGCATTCATTGTTTTGTCCTTATCAAGCTCAACACATTGTACAGTTATTTATTTGTTGTCAGAGTATTTGGATGATGTCGGTGTATTACTTTGAGTCTTTTACTCTGTTTATGTTTTTACTTTAAAGCTTATATGACATTTTTAAACTTGTGTTTACCAGCACAGAAAATTTAGCATTTTATAGGTTTTATATAGGTCTGTATTAATAGGTTATTCAGCCTTAGTTTTTAAATAACTTGGCCTACTTTGGAGCTACTTTTTGCCGAACTATCACTGTGTCTCTCCATATTTCATCCCCAAGGTGCTAACAGATGAACTCACAACGGGCACACTTGCATTAAAAGGGGTGCTATTAGCTGTTGGGAATGAGTATTGTCCTATAAAGCTCCTTTTCAATAAAAAAAAAAAAAAATAATAATAATAATAAAAAAAAAATCATGTCTTGCTTATATAAGCCATCCAACAGCTTGAAAACCCTGATAATGTAAAAAAAGGAAAAAACCATTGCTATTTAATGTGTTTATTTTGGTCCTCATGGTCTCATTTTATGCTGTAGGGTTCTTGTATTATCTGGGTTCCTCATGACAAATGAAACTGCCCTTTGATTCGGAGGCCTTGTTTTAAATGAGCTTTCGTTTTTATTTCCATGTGCTGATGTTCTGTGCTTTACAACTGTTTGTCAAAGCACTATGTAAAGTTCTGTTTTTTAAAAGTGCTATAAAAATTAAGTTATTATTTTTACTATTATTGCATTTTATCTGTAGATCTAGAGGGGAAACATCACTTCTACGAGGTGATTGGCTCCTGTGGTGATGCAACAACGGGAGCGAATGCATGAATGTGAATGCCACCGTCACCCTTTACGCAATTCCATTACTCCTTAACGTTATTGTGGTTTTGCTTCAAGACGTTGAATGTTAGAGCCAAAGGTGCCAACTGCTTAGTCCATTATTCAAGTGTCAAGAACTAAAGTACTGAGGGCTGGTTTAAGTTGACCGCTCTGCTCTTAATTGAAATAAAACTTGGTTTAATTGCAATAATGGTAACTAATATTCATGCTTCATACTCTGAAACCCTGCTGACCAAAAAAAACTATGTGACTTCTTCACAGTGTTGTTCTTTTGAGGCCTAGCATGTAGTCAAAAGTGTCTTGAGTATAAGAAAGGATGTGGGGGAATACTGGTCTGAACTCTGCACAGGGCCTATGAATAAAAAATCAACTCCATTATTGAGTGGAGGATGCAAACCAACTTTTATAGCGTATGGTAGGTTCATAACAATGCAGAAAGGGCTTTTAATTTGTGGGTATTCAAACTGCTCATTGCATAAAAACAGCAGAGTTCACAGCTCTCTTTATGTAATGTCTTTGTGAGTCCCCATGCTCCATGGCAGGGAGCTGTTGTCATAGTGATACAGTCATCTCCAACTCATCATAGTATTGTATTATTGCCATCAGGTTGAAGGGGGGTGTCTTTCTCATCACTGCCGAGTGAGAAACTTCTGAGCTCCAAATGATGAGTACAGAAGATGAAGTACTTGCACGAAAACACAAGAAAAACAAGAAATCTGCCAAATCCCAATCAACAACAACAACATCAGTCCAAATTCACATACTTGTCAGATTTTGCCTCATGTGCCTAACTTTGGTGATGCTGTGATAGTGTTTCTTTTGAAATACCTGATCTATTCATACAAAAAAAGCCATGATGAGTGTTGATTCCCTCTCTGTCAGCACTTTAAGGTAGAAGCCCTCCAATCCAGCAATCTTATTTATAGACTTTACGCTGTTAGAAAATGATTTTGTTTTTCATAATGCTAAAACTACCAAGACATGCCTCTAGCTCTTGTAAAATGTTGCAGTGTGAAAGCCAGCATGGTCTTTGGCTGTTCAATCCCACATTATCTGTGAATCAGAGGATATATCACTATGAGTGTTTCCTCTAAGAGTTATGCACATTAGAAACAAGAAAGGAAGAGCAGGACCTTGCTGTTGCCTGGATTGCAGGACAGGATGTTGGTCTGCTTTAATCTATCATAGAGAGTTGTGGTCTTTTAGCTACTAAAACTGCTTTCACATCTGCGCCCACTAACTTGGATTATCTCCCAGCACCAGTCAGCCTTAAACAGATACTACCATGTTTGCCACAGTGTCAACAGGGCAGGGTTTATATGTGCTGGGCTACATTTTTCTGATTTTTCTTTCCTATTTTGCGATTGAGAATCAACGCACGCACTCATTTTGGAGTAGCAGGGATAATATTGGTTGGTTGGTAAATAAAAGAGGACCACAAATGGATCCTTGTGGAACACCTTTAGTTGACAACTAATAATAGGAATCAATGGAGGCCAGTTTCTTAGTTCTATATGAAATAGACATAATACTAGTCGAGCCAGATTGATACTTTCTCCAGTTGTGCATAGTTTTTTCAATGAGACTACCAAATTCATCTGGGTCCTAACATAATAAGGGTGCATTTTGAAAATTGCATATGATTGTAAAAAGCTTGAATAAAATCAGCTTTGATTGTTCAACACAAAAACAGAAGAAAAAAAAAAGAAGAAATCCCAAGTTACCTTCCAGGTAAAGCTTGTCTTAAATTTCTAAATACATTCTTAAATAGCAAGAGCATTTGTGCAAACCAGAGTATAGACTGAATAGAAACAAAAGCTTAGCCCAACTTGTCCACAGAATGTACACAATTCTTAATTATGATACTATTGGTACAAGATTGTGTTACAAGATGACACACTTCAATATTTGGCCATTACAAACAGTTAGATCAGTCCTCTGAGTTGAGATGGTTGCTCATCAATATATTTTCTCAAATATTTATCTTTTCCTCTCACTTACTGGAGGGTTCAACTGGATCCCACTGTTCTCCCATTCCAGGAAAGGCAGGGGGTTTGCAGATTTATTTTTAGAAGTATTTAGAAAATCCTCGAGTTCACCCCTGGGACTAAAGACCAAGACCTTTCTCATGTATTTGTATGACCGAGGAAATGGTGAAGAACACAGCCTCTGAGTTCATCTGGAAATAATCAGCTGTTGGATTGTCAAATACTGTGTGTGAGTGTGTGTCTATAGTTGTTTTACAAACAATTTGGGGACATGCCTCTGTAGTGACTTTGTGGGGAAGTTGTGTCCTTATAAGTACAAGATGACGGTGCTTATAATCTAAACAACTTCTTATGATATTTGAAACTTGCCTTATATGGCATGCATATATTTGGGACTGCTCACCAAAAGCAAAGCCCCAACTTTTTTGGAGCTCCCCCTGCTGGCTGGTTGGGGTTTAGGTAATATGCCACTGCTACCATTTTAACAAATGCATGATGAGTAAAACCTCTGTCCCTTTATTTACCCAAATTTAAATTCTTATGTCCAAATATTTGTTTTGTCAGAAGTTTAGTTTTAATTGGTTATGTCATCATAAAAATGTGTGTAACGCCATGTTTGATAGCTCGGTTAAAACATGTGCTGTTTGCAGTGAATTACAAGAGTGGAAGAGGAGAAGAATGTGTGGACTGAACAAGTTATCTTTGTAAAATAAGTTAGTTGAATACTGGAGGGAAGAACAGAAATTCAATGTTGTTGATGTTTTCAACTATGCAAGAGTCTGACTCGGATTAGCATCATCATTGTAAAATTGCAGCAATTAAAGAGGCAGTATTATGGATTTTATCAGACTACATTTTCTTTCTGATGCCTCTTTAATAGCTTTACATGATCTTCTGATGAAAAAAAGCCTAATGTTGTTCACACTGGAGTATAAAAATATCAATATTTCAGCCTACGTCTGAAATGCTTGGTTTCAGCTGCTACAGTCATTCAATATGTACATCATCTTTATCAAAACAGCAGGTTCTCTCATTAGTGTGGTTCTGATTGGAGGTCAGGCACATTATGACTCAGCCGATTTTACGAGCTTAGAGATGGGTTTTTTTTCTTCTCGATGACTCAATCAATCATCTTCCTTTGTTTGGTGCTTTGTTATATCTGAGTAGAAAACTGGAGATATAAATGTGCTTGTTTCTTCATTTTACAGCAAATTATCACCATTCAAGGAGCTCTGAAAAAGCAAACAAGTGCCTCATGTCAGTTTCCTCTCTGCCTTCCTATTTGCTTTGCATCCTCTCTCTCTGCACATAAAGTCGTTTTATGTTAATGAGATCAATTTTTAAAAGTACAACCTCAAAGCTTGAATGGCACCTGAAATGATCTTCTGAAACAGGAGGATTGATCTGTATGTATCGTCTATTGATGTGTTTTATTATGTTTTACAGGGGATCCTGGTCAACTCTTCCCATCTACCGAAAAAGAAGGAGAAGCACTGGTATGGGAGCTGCAACGAAAACTAACTTTTCTTGTTGGTCAACATCTTGGTCAAGAGAAAATCTGTCAGTATCTTTATTTTTCAATAAGGAAAAATTATTTGAAGCAAGTGATGCAAAAAGTAAAAGAAAATAAAGTCAAAGAATGAACAAATTCTGTTTGTTTTTGCTCCAAAAAGTCAAACCTGGGACTTATACTAGCACAGCTTACGTTGTTTCTTCTGCTTCCGCAGGTCTACTGCTAACCGTGATTTGAATTCAGTCTAATGATGGAGCTACGCAGTTTGGCAGTCAAATCAGCTGCAGGTAGAATGAGCTCAGGTGCTGCATCACTATCTCTCTCTCTTATAAAGGTTATGACTTGTGCAGAGTCCTGTGCTGGAGCACACACAGAACATTTTTTACCCGTGCAAGGTCGCGTGGTTTTATCCTTGATGCTCTGCTGAGATCTCGAGAAAGCCTCCCTGCATGCATACAGACTCTCTGCATCTGCTCTGGGATGGAATCTTGGATTATACAATGCTATTAACACCACTTGAAACATAAATACAGTGCAATTAACTATATGAAAGAGAGGTAAAAATAGCAGCCGAACTTGAAAGCGTTATATACTGAAGTGCCTTTTACACTAGAGAAGTGTATGAGGCTTGTTCTCTCTAATTCAACAGGAAAATTGAACCCCCAGATTTCCTGAAGGACCACTTAGTGTTCCTTTAATCTTAGACCTCTTTTCATGCCCCTCAGTTCCACTCCTTTACGGTCCCGCTGATTTGAATTTCACTCACCCTTTTACAATCAGATGGCTGGAATGAAACCCAGCAGGACCTTGTGTCCCAGAGTTTCATACCAGCTGCAAAGAAATTAAAAATCTGCCCCCAACCCCATGGTGCATGCAATCCCCTCTCTCTCTCTCTCTTAACCCGCCACATTCCCACTTTTTCCTGTCCATTAAAAGGCAAAAAATACCCAGAAAAAAAAACAATTAAAAAATAAATAAATCTGCTGCCCTATCCTGAGGAAGAGTAAGCCTAGAGGGTCTGTGTATTATCCGTCCATTCAATTATTCCATTCAATCTAGTAAATGAAAAACGAAAAAACGAGTCAATATTTTGTTAATTTGTTTTTCTATATAACCAAAAAGTAAAAGATTAGTGTTTGTTTTTGTATTTTCAGTTAAAAATATATATGTAATAGAGATGGAAATGAAAAAAAAAAAAATAATAAATGTACTTTTCGTTTTCAGGTTATTGATGTCCCCGTGCCCCATGGTGCCTTTCTACTGTTCGCACATGCACATAGAGCAACAAAGTAGCCAACAACGTGGACCAAAAACTCCAGGCCAGAGCGGTAGAGAAAGGCTAACCTGCTGTCATGGAGATGGACGCATCCTACATATTATTCAAAGCTGCCAGGAGGGCCACTCTGAAGGAGGACGATATGACTGTAGAAAAAATTATAACCAAAGCTCTGTTACAACGTAAGACTTTGGCGCTTGAACCGCTCTGTTGCATCTTTCGCCATGGTAACGGTCGCTGAGGATCACAGGAAGGCCAATTTAGCCGCCATGTACGTATGCTCAAAACAGGCGCACTCAAAATCAATTATTGTAAATAAGATTTATTATTTCATTTTCATTTCCTTCTCTGTTAGATATTCTGTTTTGAGCTGAAAATACGAAAACAAAGACTCATTTTTTATTTTTTGTTTATACAGAAAAACAAATTAACAAAATATTGACTCGTTTTTTTGTTTTTAGTTTACGAAACCCTATACAACTGTCAACAACAGCAGGACTGTGCTAGACGTCAGAAGTGACTACAACCGCTGCTGGGGATTTTCAAGATGGAGCATCGTACAGCTTTGTTTTTGTCGTACATGATGTTACTTCTTCTTTGCCACTTTCGAATGAAATAATTGAATGGACGGATAATACATGGACCCTAGATGACAGGTGGTTTTGACCAAAAACTAAGTGTCATTTTGCAACCAAATAAATAAGTAGTTACTGATTTTCAGTAAGGATGCACAGAATGGGTTTTTGGGACAATAACTATTCTATTCTTTGTATTGGTTTTGGCGCCCCCTGTGGATGGAGCAGTCTTTGCATATTTCATCCACCACACACTTCACAGTGTCCTTTGACAGAAAAAAAAATCTCATCCTGCCGACTTTTGGCAGTCAAATGCATCATTTGTTGTAAATATTTTAAGCAGAAATAGTAATAACAGGTTTGTTTCTTCAGCTGGTCGGCTCACACCCACACCAGGTGTTCAAAACATACTGTATGAAATCATCAATCTTGCTGCTGATGATCTTGTTTGTTTTGGGGCGTCATAAAAAGGTATCAGCACAAATTCCAGTATATCTCATAAATGTCAAAAAATTCCTTACAGGAGCTTTAATACAGGGGCAATACAGCTTGATTGCCCATCTTGCTCTGAAGATAGGACTATCATGACAGATGAAAACGGGAGTCATGACAACCGGTAAATATGCCGAAGACTCTGGTTAAACTACAAGGTCAGCAGTGGAGTAGGTAAACACAGAGATTTGGTGCATACATAAAAGCTGTTTTTCTCCTAAATATTACTGCCTTTACGCCTCCAAAGTGCCTTTCTTTGCCAAGCCATTCGTCCTAGGAAAACCCCTGCTGGCAAGTTGATTAGTATTCCCATCATCCAGGCAGACAGACAGTCAGACAGACAGACAGACAGACAGACAGGCCAGGCGTCACGAAACGCTCAGTCTGCTGCTCCAGTAACGAGAGCGAGAGAGAGGGAGGGAGTGAATGAAAGGGAGAGTAGAGAGAGAGAAAAGGAGAGAGAGGGGGAGGAGCCAGGCTGCCAAGGTGAACCGATAAACCTCCTTTTATTACCCCTGACATCCAAAACACGACGCGCAGCCCTGAGAGCTGGAGGAGAGAGAGAGAGAGAAGGAGAGAGAGAGAGGGGAGCGACAGAGCGGAGGGCTCACATCTTAAAACGGGTGATCATCTGACAGCACACTGGCAAAAAGGACGCAGAGAAGTGCTCGATATCCTTCTCATTTTGTACAATTTTGGATCTAAAAGTTACATGGCACGGAGTGAGCTGCGTGCGTCATCTTAATGGAGACACAAGAGGAATTAAAGGTGAGTTTTTCCCTCATGCATGATGTTCATACCTGTAGGAAATAACCTATATGACTGATGATCTTTAAGGTTTTTCATCAGCCGTTTTTTTTTTCTACTAATCCCTCATAAGGAACTGAATACATTTAAAATCTGGATCAATTTGCGGACAGCAACATTTCAAAAGGAGAAGTGGAGCTGTTGTATAAGGCAGAGGTTGATCAGCATGTTATAGATGTTTCTGACATGAGTGAAATCAGAGCCACAAACATTAAGTATCTTGAAGCACCACAATCTGACCATCCATCAATACAGAGAATCTGCAAGGTCCCTAAAAGTTCCCATGTAGAGAGCATAAGTGCATGATGTTTTTTTTTTATTTTTTTTATTGGAGTGAAACATAAAAGCAGTGAATAAAAAAAACTATGGGACTCCTTTTATTTGCATCGAAAGACTAATTTGCCCCGCCAATAACTGCATCCATTCAAAGCCATAGAGGCAACTTCAGATTGGTTCCAACCTTCCTAAGAGAGTGATAGGTGTCAGTAAACAGCTTGACATTTGTGGGCGGGGCTTAGCTGGAGGCAGGCTAACTGGCACTAGCAAACAAGTTTTTCTTTTTTGGCTAAACTAATAATCAGTGTGTTTACATGCACAGCTTGATCAGACTAAACTCAGAATTCTTTTTTTCCGCCGAATCGGACTTCTCTCCTTGTCTGCGTTTAGATGCAGCTGAGAAAATCGCATTATTGTGGTGGACGTATTCTCCTCCCAAAAACTAGGGGGCGATATGGGTCTTTTCAGCAGCGCTGTATCCGGTTGACCCTATACAACTGTCAACAACAATAGCAGGACCGTGTCAAACATCAGAAGTGTCTACAACTGCTGCTGGACATTTTCGAGCAAGAAGATGGAGCATCGTACAGCGTTGTTTTTGTCCTACATGATGTATGCGCTACTTCTTCTTCTCTGGTGTTTTTGTTGCAGGGTTATGGGGGTGTGACGCACGCGCACATGCATTGTCCAATCAGACTCCAACTTCGCTGTTTAGATGGTAGAGAAAATCGAATTCCAATCGCATTATCTGGGTGTCTTAATCGGAGTTCTCAAACTCCGATTATAGTCGGACTAAGATGTCTACATGCCCTTCAGTTGTCCGGTCTTAATCGGAGTAAGGCAATAACCTAGGCCTAGGATAAGTCCTGAGATAAACTTACTTTTGCACAAAGGAGGACGACAATTTCCCGTCCCTAAGTTAGTCGTCCAATATTCCAACAAAGCCTCTCCATAGACTGTATAATAAATGGACTTGGCATGAATGACATTGCCCATTTGTTTCAGACTATTAAGGCCAACTGGTGGTAAAACGCTGACCCATCCTAACTTTCAGCCAACCTACCAGAGGCGATCCTTTAGCTACCTCACAAATGGCTACAGCTTGTTGGCCTGTCAGTCAAGTCATTTGCAAGTCTTGTAACCCTGATATCTTCAAAACAAATGTCTGAGGGATCGCAGCATAACTGCTTTCAGAAATAGGCTTTAAACTGTCATTATTCATGATGAATCCACAAGGGGGCAGAGTGCTTCGTTGGGAAGAGTTGAAAGTTCGAGTTGTTAAGTATGAAAGTGGCGAACACTTGTGACCCTTGTTCGCAGATGTCGATAGGATTTGAGGGGTAACATTGAGTTTATTTGCATGCGTTTACACTAAGATAACACTATAAAGTTTTTCATACATATCCCTGCCACTAGAGGCCACTGCAAAACCTAAAACCTAAAAAACACACTTACACTCATCCTTATGATGCCTTTTCGTATGATAAACTGATTAAATTTTAGTGCAGAAGTCCCCTTACTTTTCTGACATGTTGCTGTTAAAGAGTGAACTGAAGAGCTTTACAGGATTCAGAGTCACAAGTCTGTAAAGCAGCTTTCTCAGAAAAGGTTTGTATTCTTAGAGATTTTTATCCCACACGGAGGTCACATGGATCCAGTGGTCATGTTGTGTTCATGCTTTGATAGAAATGTGATGACAGACGAGCTGCTTTCTCAAACCTCAGAGGAGGAGAGATGGCCTGCTGTGGCGTCGAGAGTGTTTTTAAATCAAAACATTCAATCCTGCAAATGCACGAAGACGTCAGCCTGAGACTAAATAGACAAAACTATCTGATAGACATCTCGTCCTTTGTGCTTTCTCTCTTGTCCTTCACAACAGAACTAATTCTGAATCAGTCTAAATGAAGGAGATCGGATTTGACACATTTGCAGGCCAAGAGGATCTACGTTGTTGTGTTGTAAGGTCAACAAAAAAAACCTGATGATGGACCAGCAGCAAAAACTGCACACTTGTAATTCATTACCTGTGTTTGGTCAAGCTTTTGCATGTAAAATTTCGTCACTTTTGAAAAAGTCAAAGTTGTTTTTCTCAGTATTGATTAGGTTCTAAAAGAGATGGACTTGTTGAGAAGTCACTGCGAGTTCATTTATCTGCATCTTTGTCCGATTGTTGAATCAACTCTGGCTTGTGTCCAAGTTGGCGTACCAAGATTTGTAAATGGGATATCCCAACTAAGACCAAGCCGATTTTAACTTAGGGATCCAAATTGATTAGAGATGAATTGGTTAATTGGATGTAAAAGCATTTTAAAAGAATCAGTAGATAAACCAATAATGTCTGCAGCCTCATCGGTGTGGCTGCTATCGACACAAACGTCCCCTTAGTTAATAACGTTTGTCCTATCACAGTTAACGTCTTAAACAGTTACTGGCTAGTGTTTGTTTGATGTGCAGTAAAATGAAGTTGCATTATGGTTAACTTACTGTTGGTTGCTGGTTTGAGTCTTGGCTTTTCTTTGTAAGTATAGAACATGTTCTTTCAATGCATCTGTGGGTTCTCTCTGTGTACAGTCCAAAAAGTCATGTCAGGTTGATTGGTCATAGGTAGGGTTGCAAAGGGGCAGAAAATTTCCGGTAAATTTCCAGACACTTTCCAGCTGGGGAATTTTAGACATATTAAATTGGAAACTATCCATGGGAATTATGGGAATTTATGGGAATTATTGGGAATTAACTGGAAATTAGGGGTAATTTAAACAAACTGTATCATATCCAAACATACATGTAAATATTTTTGTTTTGTCATAAGCAGTCATCCATGCAAAATAATGCAATTAAAAAACATGACATTGACAATTGATGTATGAATTATTGTATGGTTACAGAAAACAGTCTTGCAGGAGTCAGAAGAAACGGCATCAGAGTGTACTTGAATTAAATCTGGTTGTTTTAGCCAAGATTATGCTACAATATATTTTCCCCAACTATATTTAAGTTCCCTGTCGAGGGCCAACCTTCAATTTTGTAAATTTTAGATTTACTCCTGTTAATTCCCATGGAAAGTTTCCAACTTTGAAAATTCCCGGAGTTTTGCAACCTCAGTCATAAGCATGTCTGTCAGACTGGGATAGGGTCGAGCTAATCGTGACTCCAAACAGAGATAAAGGGAATGGATGGATAAAACTTGAACTTTCAGTACTTGTACCTCTTTAAGGTTTGATAAAAAGCACAGAGAGGTTAAAAAAAAGCTGGAACATCCCTTACAACCCAGCCACTTTCCTGCAGATCATCTTCGGCTTTTACTCTTGTTGCTACAACTGAAGTTACTCAGCTCTTCACACCAGAGACAGATCTGTTTCTTCGAAGTCAGTAGTCCATACGAGCGGACTATATTAGACAAAGAGGCTAAAAATAGAGTGAGTATGTACAGTCCAGCTCTGTATGCTGTACTGTGCTGTCGTACATGTGTGGGTGAGGAGGTCTGAGTATCGCTGAGCCGGCAGGAAGCGTGGGGAGTAAACAAAAGCGATGCTCTCCGTATCAGCTCTCACAGACTGAAATATCAGCGGCTGGCCGACCTCATGAAGGCCCTCGGCTGATGAATCACCTCTGTCGACAGTTTCACATCACAATAGACGGAGTGTGATGAGTGACTCCCAGAGGTGATGTGGAGGAGGGAGATGAGGAAGCACTGCGACCACACTCGTGATTTAAATGTTACTGTAATGAGAGAGCAAGTGTCCGATTCAGAGAACAAAAAAACAGCAGATTTCAGTGACGTACGATTCAGTCTGTTTGATTCTGCTTTTCCTAAAGGGTAGATACTGTTTTCTACTTTGCTGTGACTGCCATGTTTACACTGTTGTGACAGCCAGACTGAATCAAAACTGTATTTCAAGCTGTTTCATAATTATGAGTTCAACAGGATCTAGAAAAGCTTCTTTTTAAGTTGTTCTCTGACAGCTTTTCAAATGTAGATTTACTGGAAATGGTGGTGTCTTTTCCATGCAGTTTCAAGACAAAAATATTGACCAAGATGCAGACAATGAGGTTATATATTGTACCAAAAGAGGAAAAGGAAAAAGGTCTGCAGTTTGGCTTTATTTTGATCACTGGACATGGCAGCTAGAGAAATGTCTAGGTAACACTGATTTAGAAGTATGCTGAAATTAAAACTGATGAAAGGAGATGGAAAAGAACATGGTACAAGCTCTGCCAGGGGAAGATAAGTGTGGTTCAGATCAAGACTTTACCTCCTGGTCGTGGAGTTTGGTTCTGCTGCTACACCTCTTAAAATAACATGAACAACACCAGAGTGAAACTGTCTATTGTTGGACTCTTCACCATCCTGCAGACTGCTGAACAGTGAACCATGAAATAACCCGTCAGTGAGACTCTTTAGACATGTCTCAGAGAGTCTGCTCTCAGCAGATGGAGGTCTGCAGTCTAACTGATGTCTGTCTGGGGGTCTCTGACATGAAAACCTGCAGGACCTTTAGTTCTGTGGTTGGATTTTACTCCAAAACTGTCTTGTTACAGGAAGACTGAGCAAACAAACATTTGAAATGTCATGTTTATTTGTTTCCATCGAAAAATCAGCCATTTTACAAACTCAGTTTTGGTTTTGAAAATCTGGTACAGCAGACATTATCGACTAATCAGGAGGATCCATGCAGCCTGCTCAGATTATGCACACTGAATAAAATCTGCTGCTAATTGGTGTTATTATTCTGCCAAGGCTTTTAACCATCATGCATTTTGTGCCCCGCTTCATTTTTTCCTCTCTGGCTAAAAACACAATGAATATTTTCATGTCAAGTCTTTAATTGAGGATGTACCTATCACAAGTGGTTTAATTTTAATGTTTCCGTTTGCTGCAGTAAATTAAGGTTATTAAGGTTAATGTTCTGGGAATGGAGTATTATCCAGAAAGTATCTGTCATTTATTCTGGGTGAGGGGGGATGACTAGGGCAGAGGGTATGGATTATTCTGGGTATACAGTATTTAATGTAGTGTATATTCTACATTTAACTTGGTAAAAGGGTAAAATTCACGAGGTATGTTTGTGTTTATTTAGGTTATATTTATTGTATCAAGTATATTTTTTTGGCTGTGTTATATGTATTCATAATTTAGGGCAAATGTACGTTTTTTCAGTTATGTTTTGGGCATTTCTTCCATTTTAACCAGGATAATTGAAGAAAAGGGTCTTCTTGGCATTGTTGTGATCCAGCCTGAACAGCTGAGATTTATCAGCACGGAGCCCCCGACTCTGTTTTCACTCCCCAGACTTCTCACTGTGTCCCAAATACTGTCTGAATTTGTCCTCAGATACTCATGAGGATGCTCTGTTTCTTCTCCGTGTGTCTTTGTAGAGCGGCGTGAGGCAGATGAGTCCTGCAGGGATCTGAGAGGGAAGAATTCAGAGTTCCCGCCGTGCAGACAGACCCCAGACTGCGAGCCCCTGCAGACCCGAAGGGACCAGCTTTACTTCACACGGTGAACTTCACACATCATCTCTGAGCTTCTGGCTGGACGTCGCTTCGGTTAATGCAGCACAGAGGGCTTTTGTTTCTTCAACAACTTCCTTATTTTCTTCTCTTTACTCTTGGACGAAAGATTTCACCTTCAAAGTGAGGAGGTGATGACTGACGGCTCAATCTTTTCAGCCTGTGAAGAAAACTGAGTTTAAAAGCATCTTAAAGGAGCCTTAGGGGGATATAATTGGATATTTCTTACTGTTGAATCAGCTTTAAAAAAGGAGTTTATGAGATCCTCTCTGTGAATGTTTATAAATCAAACACCAGAAGGAATCCAACATCCTCAAAGAGGAAGATTTCATATGGAAAAATTCAGTAAAGACTAAATCATCACATTCCTAACCACGATTTTTTCCCCTTAAAAGGAGTCTGTTGTTTTATGTGAACTTAGATGTTTTAAAGCCCAGTGCAACATTTTCTCATAACATCATCTAATTAAACAAACTAAAAAAAAAAAGGTGATTAGAAGAAAAACTCATAAGCTACCTTTGAGATTTTTTTTCATCACTTTTATTCCAGAAATGAGACTGAATCATGCCAGTATAAATGTGACTGTGCATTTTTGGTTATTACGGGATGCTGCTTTTAAATGATGACATGCACAAGCAAGACTGTGACTGCAGAGTAATTTGCAACATCCAGACATGTGACAGAAATTATGATTTCACTCAATTTCTATGAGAAATAACGATGGGAACTGAAGCCATTTGGATTTTCAATCTTTAGTGTGAAGAAGCACGGACACACCACTTTTCATTTTTTAGCATTTTACACCTTTTTGTGATGATTTTTAGGAGTTGGGTGGCTGAAGCAAGTTCTCCTGGACACCTTTTATCACTTTGTTGCTTGTCCTAAATTCCTACCTTGGATTACAGCTCGCCACACAGCCTACGCCGTCTTTCAACTGGACGTATTTTTAGCTCTAAATGTGATTAATTGGCTGACTGACTCTGGAGACTCTAGTCACAAGTTTGCAAAGTTTCAGAGGGAACCAGGACTTCATATTTAGCGCTCCTCCGCAGGTTTGAAAGCGTCTCTTCCTTCCTCGGGGGGACCTCTCAGCCCATCCCGTCACCGCCATGGTGATGTCACAGGGCACCTACACCTTCCTGGCCTGTTTTTCCGGCTTCTGGTTGGTCTGGGCCATCGTCGTTATGCTCTGCTGTTTCTGCAGCTTCCTGCAGCGTCGGCTGAAGCGCCGCCAGGAGGAGCGTTTGAGGGAGCAGTGCCTAAGGAGTGTGGAGATGGAGCCGCTCAGCTGTCACCCCGCAGGATACCCGTCTGTTCCTCCTCCGCCTCCCCCTCTACCTCCACCTCCTCCTACACAGCTGCCGAGAGAGCCACCACAGTTCTACCCTCCACTTCAGACTCCAACACCAACCATTCCCCTGCAGGTCCCTCATCCCATGCCACAGGCCAACTGGGTCACCATGCCAGGTAACATCAGTTGAATCCTACTGTTAGTTTTCTTGATTATCGTTTCTCCAGAGGTCACATCAGGTTAAGGTGGGACTGCGGGATTCAGAAAAAGTCAACTGCAGTCCGTAATGTGCAGTCCGCTTTCTCTAGAGCAACGCCTCAAGACAAAACGTCATAGAGACACAAAGACCTCACAGATGCAGGAGATTATTGTATTGCAAAAGACATGCGACCAATAAGCACTTTTAAATTTCATTTAAGAGTAACAGGGAAAACTTAAGATTGACAAGTGATTTTTTTTATATCGTGATGTATCAATATCGACTGATATAACAAAAAATATATCGTGACAAACTTTTTCCCATATCGCCCAACCCTACCCTGGATGCGGCATAAACTGCCCATAAAAACAGAATTTCATGGTTAAAAGAACCATGATAAAGATTAGAAAATCTGATATTTAATTGAAAATAGTGCAAAGATGTTGAAACAAACAATTTCTGATATCGATCCTTTACCATCAGCTCTTCTCTAAACAACACTCGGTAGATTTCTGAGAAACGATGAGACTAGTTTCTGGACTTTTGAGAGTCCGATGCCCTGGACTCTTCTACTACAGAGCCATCATGTTGCAAAACATGCAAAGTATTGTTTAGCATGTTCTGTGTTAAATGTCAGTCTGTCTTAAATGGGCTCAGTCCTGGAGAAGTCACGTGTTCAATCTGGCACAGACATTAAATATTTTTTGGAAGTGATTTTGCGCCCATGCAGTGACTTCCACCACAGAGTTTAGGTTTTCTGTCTCCCTTTTGTGCAAAGATTTCTCCACAATGTAAAATCAACAGATTTTACCCTCACTCAGGCTCTCATGGGAAGGTGCATCTCTCTCCATCTTTACTTCTAAGACACCCAGCCTCTCTGTAGAGCCTCCTTTTACACTCAGCCATGTTATGTACCTGTTGTAAAATAATGTAAACAGTTTGACAATTTCCCTCCAGGTGTTATTTGATATTAGACATATTTTTCAGTGCTTGCTTTTTCCCTTTCCCATCTGTCTTGAAACCTGATGCTGGCATCGATTGTCTGTGAGCATTCATTTTTAATATGAAGTCGTCTTTGCACTAATTTGAATTATATTTATGGTTTAAATGATTTGCAAACTAACAGAATCTGTTTTTAATCAGCATCAGAACTCTATTTGCACAGGAGTTGTGAAAGCAAGACTGAAAAACCCAAGTCTGGCCACTTCTGGCTTTAATGCCAAAATCACACCTGTTCTTAATTGCTCACCTGAAACCCCAGCTATCTGACTTCAAAGACATCCACCTTCTAGCATGTTCTTGGATCACCGTGTATTTCATTCACTGCTTCATAAATAAGAGGACTGAAGTGAGCAAGTCACATGCAGTAAGAAAGGAGGAGGAATACATTCTGCTCTGTGTTAGATACATTTTTATTAGACTATCATTTCCTCCACCTCCTCCTCCTCCTCCTCCTCCTCCTCGTCCTCCTCCCTCCTGCTGGGCAGCATTCCCCGCGAGGCGTCATGGTGACAGCTGCTGCTGGGACGTGGGTGGTGACTGTGGAGTAACAACACGGGCCGGCACAGCTGAGATATAGAAAGATGAGAAGAGAGAAGCGATTAGAGAGGTTGTAGAAACAGGAGGAGCACACCTGCACATGAAAGACAGGATTGATCTCTGTAATCGCTCCTCTGTGAGGCTCTGCTTTGTGTCATAACTCCACATCCAAGTCTGTAAGACACTCAGCTCGGTATAAAAGGATGTACTTACAGTTGAATCAAAGCTGATGAACGTCTTCTGGGTTGATTCAGCAAGCGATTGTCTTTGTCCAAGCTAGAGTCAGTTATTTTTTTAACTTCAGAGCCTCCGAATGTTGGACCAGGGTCTATAAAACCAAACCAAAAGAGTTAGTCCAGGCAGGCCATGATCTGAATGCCAGCTCATGTCCACTTTGCAAATATTAAAATGCACATTACATTTAAACTGCTTTAGCCTTCCTAGTCTTACTTGCCCCCATCCCTGCTCCTTCTTTCTAAAGCGTGTCTGATTTTACCTGTATCATATGCATTACTATTGATAATTCACGGGTTCTTTGCTGGTGCTTTCCCTGTCTTGGCCTTTTATGTCCCATGGTTGACATAAATGTCCAAAAACCCCTGAGTTATAATACTATATCTGTACTTTACTCAAGTATGTGGCTTACAACTTCATTCTCCATCTCTGGCTTGAACAGTCAAAAGAAATAATCACGTTTCTTGTTGACAATGTTCTACTGCTGTGTAGTTTTATAGAAAGTTGCAAAGGAACCCACTGAGCAAAAGATGGGTATTAGATGGCTAGTCTAAACTTGTTCTAAATTTAGACGTCTAAAATACTTTAAGTTTTAGACTTGTGGTAGCCTGATTTTAGACCAGTAGTCTAGGCTACATTAAGACGTCTATTAGACCTCCTGTAGACCAAAAAATGCTCAGTGGGAAGCAAAGACAACTGAGAGAGTTTGTAGCTCTATCTAGGCATTAACTACACCAACATACCTCCAGAGATGATCCAAAACTGTAAAGATGTTCCAGTCTGAGGGATGGGATCCTTCTTAAATTACTGAAGTAAAATAAAAGTGAATTGTGAATTATGATTAGGGATGTGCGCGACTAGTCGGTTAAACGCTGCATTAAGCATCATGCATCTTGTTCCTCACGCCTCTGCCTCGTCTTCTTTGTAAACAGGCTGAGAGAATTACTCCTCCTCCCCTCCCACCACACGCACACGTAGCAGGGGGCGGAGCCACAAAGTTTGGGGAATAAAGTTTGTATGAAGATGGCGGCAGCATATCGCGGGGAAGTCATTTCACAAATCAGCTGTGTAGTCTTAGCTGTGCGGCGAGCGCCACAGCGTCTGTCTGGAACAAACGCTCTCATGCTCATCTGCCTGGCCCCGCCGCCATGTCCGCCGGGCGCGGCCTTACCATCTTCGCACTGCAGGTTTACATCGAGGTGTCTTCTCTGGATGTGGTTTCTCATCGCCCTGGTAGAGTGGTTATAAGCGAGTTTCTGCTTACACAACCGACAGACGACCTTGTTGTCAAAATACTGCCAAACGGTGCTGATTTTCTTGCGCTGTAGGACGTTTGCTGCATCCAACTTTCATACTGAAACAGTGTTCATAATAAATGCCATGCATTGCATTGGCAAACGTATCAGAAATGTATTTCTCTTTAAATTGTTCACCTTTATTCAGTCAGTTGTTGTTACATGCTTAGTCGAAATTCCCATCCCTAATTTTGATTTGATGATTGTTCCAGATAAAAGGTCAGAATGATCACCAAAGATTGGATATTTCATCCTGAAGGGAACGCGCATATTTACACAAAACTTGTTGACTCTGGAAATGGCAGAGGAGCAGAAGTTTCAGGATTATCTATCTGGATCTGCACTAAGAGTTGAAATGCATTGAATGAATCCCACTTGGATGAATCTCTGAAGTGTCAGACAAACTTTAAAAGCCGGTGATTTTACAGCTGCTTTGTAGATTTGTGTGTTATGAAAACATGGCAGATAATGACCTAATTTAGCAGGAACTGATTCAGGTGTCAGTTTACGTAGCTGGTCATGAGTCCATCCAAATTCCCAATATTCAGAAGACTCATGCAGCACAAGAGGTCTAAGAGAAGCAACATTAGTCAAATTTGCATCATTGAGCGGTCGTCCCTCCCATTCAAAATCCTCACATCTTCTCACAGCCCGGGGTCAGTGTGCTCTTCAAAATTTGTGAAATGTATGGAAATTCATTCATGAGTTTTGGGCAAATTCTGCTTGGAGCTCCCAGTGGAGGTAAACAAAAAGCAGCTGCACTTTTCGGGACTCGGGGCTTTAGCTTGAAAATGACTTTCACAGGCAACATGAATTGTAAAAGGCTCCTGAAATGAGAAAAGGTGCAGCTGCTGTGAGGATGATTGTCAGAGCTGGGGAGCATTAGTATTAAATAAGAATTCTGACATTTCATACAGAGAGCTGAGAGAAGTACAATCTCTCAATAGGCTGGAAATTTCATTTCTGGATCAAACAGTCACTAAAGTTCATCTTTCTTTTACTTCAATGCTGCAGAGAGAATTATGAGTGGTTCATCCTTGAATACAATTGACCAGAGATCAGACAACAATCTCAACATCTGCAGATTAAAACATTCAAAGCAACAAGTTAAGAGACTAAAATCTGTGGTCAGGGAGAAGAAGTGAAACCGACAGATTCAAAGCCCTCAGGAATCTGTTGCTGGAGGGATGAAGTAAAGAAGGATTAGGGTAGAGGAGAAGAAAAGCTGGCAGGAGGAAAAGAGCAGCAGCTGCTGTCAGAGATGCTTCGTGAGCTCAGACAGACAGAGAGGATAAAACAAAAGGCTGCTTGAGTCTCCCTTACTCTGCAGACTGATGGAGAGGTTTAGTTTCTAAGCAGCGGAGGAGTGAATAGAAGCAGGAGGAGAAGCAGCTGAGAACAGCCAGACGAGTCAGGCACTTTTGGAGGAAGAGAGGAGGAGGAGGAGGGAACTGTATCTTTACATTTACATCTCATGCATTTTTGTGCAGCTAACATTTGTCTCGCCGTGTCCAAACAGATGTAAATGTTTGCAGCGTCTTTTAGGATACAGACGGTTCCTGTGCACTTGACTCAACACCATCAGCTGTGCATGAAGGTCTAGCCCAGAAAACAGCTTGTGCTAATTCGAACCAGGTTGTAGTCTCTGTTAAATGTACTTAGTGACTTAAAGCGAGGTTTCAAGATCTTACAAATGTTATAGAAGGTCTGAGAGTCAAGCACTCGTCTCCTGGATTTCCAATAACTCTCTTCGCTCTTGTAGAAGCTATCCAGGATCTTAAAAAGTGTTTCCAGATCCTGCTCGAGTTTCTTACATTTTCTTGGATGTTCCAGACTTTGAGGGCTTCGCAAGTGTTTTTCAGGATTTCGCAAAAGACTCTCAGTGTTTCAAAAGTGTTCCTTGAGCTCTTGCAAAACTTTTGGAGTATTTCATAGATGTTCCTCAGAATTTAAAATAAAAAATAAAAAGCATTCTCTAGGTGTCTGGAAGTTTTCTAGTTCTCTTGATGAATTTTCCAAGACTTGAAAAGGCTGGAGAAGATCTTGCAAAAGTTCCTCAAGATCATACCTTTTCTTTTAGAATTTCCCAAAGGTCCTCAGAGCTGGCAAAATCTTTGTGTAATCGTGTGAAATCCTGAAAAATGTCTTAGTATGCACTGGGTTTCTGAGGTTCCTTGTGATCATGCAAAAGTTGGGATTCTTGCGAAGTTGCCATGGATCCTACAAAAATTCTTGAGATTTTGGAAATCTGATCGTGAAAAAGTTTTTCAGGGATTTTGTAAAGATTTTTCAGGATTTTTCAAACAGTTTTCTGGGATTCTGCCAAAAAACGAAGTTTGGGGATTTGGCAAAAGTTTCTTAAGATCCTGCAAATTGTTTCTACGGACCCCACAACAGTTGATCAAGATCATGCATCTGTCAGACAGTCTCAAAAAGGTTTTCAGAGCTTACATAATGTTATTAAAATCTTTCAAGACTTTTTAAGAGTTCAACATTAGTTCACTCAAAACCTACAAAACTTTCTCAGGATAAAGTTTACCTCAGATCTTGCCAGAGTTGGCAAGGATTTTCAGGGATTGCAGGATACATCAAAAGTTTTCTTGGATATCTAAAAGGTTTTTTAAAAAAGACCTTCAGAATTTCTGGAAAAAAAGTTTCCTCCTAAATATTGTTGAGGTCATGCATGGGCTTCCTGGGATCTGACAAAAGTTTCCAGGGATCGTAAAAAAGTGTCCAAGCATAAAGTAAAATTTGTCAGTTTCTTTAGTTTTATCTTCAGTATCCCACGATCATGCAAATAGTGTTTTTGGATCTTGCAAAGTTTCTCGAGATTTTGTAAATTACTTTTATGAATCTTCCAAAAGCTTCTCGTAATCTCACTAAAGTGCTGCTTCAAAAGTTCCTTGGGATAATTCAAGGTTTTTTTTGCAGAAGCTCATTGAAATTAAACTTTATTTTCATCTCCAACAAATGGAACCAAGTAGACAATAAAAAGCAAGTGTCTGAAATTTGACATTTAATAGAAGCAGAGGGATCAGATTTATGACCAAGCCACATTTACCAATACTGTTTTACGTCAGAATAAGTTGCATCACTCACGGTTATGAATCTATATTTTGGGTAAGGTTCAGATAATACAAGGTTCAAAGAGAAGTCATCCTGTCAACATCTCCTCCAGGGTTGAACGGCTTATGTGCTGTTGGCTATGATGTTTCATTTCTTCCTCAAAAACAGTTAAATCTTTCAAACAGTTTAATTCCTACAAAGGTTTTGGACTTGCTTGTTAAAGTGACAATCCTACACTTTCCATTCAAATGGATGTAAGAGCCCTCGAATCAAAGCTGTGAAACAGCAATTAACTTCATTGTCTTGCACATTCGTTATGTTTTTATTCAAAAGGTTAATTAATAATTCATTCTCTGTGGCACCTCTGGCCCGCTGTGTCTGACACAGAGATGTGATATTGGTTCACTTTGGCTTTTTTGAGAGTGATACATGCCGGAATAAAAAGAAAATGCTTTCAAATGCTTGAAAGCGTGACAGGAGATGGATTTTAAAATGACATGAGTGAGTGGGTCACACAAAAAAAAACACAGATTTTTAAGCGTCCCACACAGCCAGCATGTCTTTTAGCTCTGGCAGCTTTTGTAGAGTCATCCTGACCTACACAGAAAGTTCACATGGGGAGCAGCTGGGTACAGTTTTCGGTCTGTTGGATGGACAGACAAGATGAAAAGAGGAAAGAGAGGTGTAGTGAAAAGTGGGTTTCAAAAAGGTGTAAAGTATTCAGTGCAGGTAGTGAGCACTGTTTGATTATACAGCTGTCAAGGGTTTATACACAGGTGCTCAATTTACACACAGTCAAAAGCTGAATATCATATACACAAATAATAAGCACAGCTGACCTGTATCCAACGTATTTAACGACATTTTCAGGACCAAAAAACTGTCTGAGACAGAACTTCAAAATAAAAGCACTGTGAAAATAAGGGGGATCTCTTGTCGAGAGGAACTGGATCAGGATTTTACTTTGAAAAACATTCCAGAAGAAAGATCATAGTATATATTTATCATGCTTGTGAAATAAACATTGCTGACACAGCACATGGCTTCAGGAAAGCTCATGCTCATGGTCCTAACAGTCTTATTTGTTGACACGCACAAAAAAGTCAAGCTGTTCTGCGGCTGTAAGGTGGCGAACACACTTCCTGCATGAAGCGCGAGGTGAGATATTATCTGCTGCAGAGACACAAGCAAGATCAGGAACTGTGCAAAACTATACTAAACCAAACCAGACCTCTTGTTTGAAACACACCATAAGGGTCTAAATTGGACTTCTTAAAGAGTATCCTAAGCAGAGGTTTCATTCAACGCTATCAGCAGCACCACCCAAATAACCTTCTCCTAATTAATAAGTACGTCCCACAGCCTCACTTGAAAACACCTGAACTGTCCCTTTAATCTTGTGTTTGTGTAGCTCTGTAACTCATAGAGTGGCTGTCACAGTTTACTCATCTCATTCCTGCTTAAATGGCTTTATGACAAACTGTGTCCTCGCAGAGCTGAAGCCTCCTGATCCTCTGAGCAGAAACAGATTCATGTGTGTGCAGCTGATGTTTATTTAAAGCACTTCTGGCAGCTGCTCCCATGTTTACAGCTCAGGGGAGTTAAAATACAGGGAGTCTGATCCTGTAGGTATCTGTGAAGGATGATGGAGGAGTGATGATGGACTTTGGCCAGGTACACACACACACAGAAAGAACCAGATTTGCTCCTATAAATACATTCAGATACATGGCAACAGTTCAGCAAACAGCTGTTGATCTACACTATGAGGTTTGTTGTTGTGACGGAGGACTTGAGGATGGATTTGTTTCCCTAGGTCAGTGCTTAAAAGTTGGGTAGGCAGGATCTGAGGAAGTGCCAGTTTTTGGGAGAAATCTTGAATGTAAACACTACCCCTCCAAAACAGTTTCTCCTCCTCTCCCCTCCCTCTCTGCTCCAGCAAGCCCCGCCCACAAACAGACGCTCCTGCTCGCTCGTATCGTTCCAATTAAATTCAGATATAATGCAGATAAATACTTCAGATCATTACAAATGGGGCCCAGTCAAGGTGAAAGTAAACAGCATTGGTGCTACTGTAGATGCCAACAGACGACCAGCAAATACAATGTTTGCAGGACTTGTACAACAAGGATAAAGTGACATAGTCCAGGACCCGAGGTCAACAGTTTAGCGATGGCGCTACAACACGCTACAGCAGGTCCCTTTGACAAGAAACACTTCTGTTACAGACACTTGTCTTACTTTGTTAGAGCGGTTTACCTGTCCAGCAGAAAGGTTACAGGGTCACCAAGATCCTGAAGTGTTCCCTATTGTTTCATGTTGACCCGGCTCTTAAGCTCTTGTCCGGTCTACCTCTGTTTTAAGCGCCCGTTATTCCGCCAGAGTCTCTGGTATTTACCTCGTTTTCTTGCTTGTGTCGGCAGTCGTGGCCAAAGGAGGATTCAGACAATTTTGCGTACTCTCTGGTCGGTTTCTACTGTTCGACATTGTAGCACGCTAACTTTGGTTTGGGCTCGTGAACGTTATTCGTGGAGCGTGCCTCACACCATGAGGAAGCAGTGTCTGCCTCACAACCAATCAGGATGGGGGAGGCGGGGAATGGCTTTGTTTACAGTCAGAAAGAGCGGGCCGCTCAAAAATGTTAAAATGTTGACTACACAGACATAACAAAACACAGCGATATTGTGATATTCCCAGATGTCATCAATAACTCACAGCAATTGTCTGATATCAAAAGCTGTTTTGTATAAACACCACAAAGAAGATGCTTCCTTTAACATATTCCTTCCTGCTCCACCTTTAAGACAAACATTTCAAATCACTTCTGAAGTTTTTACATATAAATACAAGAATTTCTCTCACCTGAAGCCCAGCCTACACTAAAAGATTTGAAGCTGAAAACGTGAGGGACTAAACACAAACGGAAAGTTCTTCACAAGACCTTTATGCATTCCCAGAAAAGAAGTCAAAACGCCAAGAATAAAGTTAAAATTCAAGCAGCATTTGCACATATCGAGGTCGGGTGCACATAGATAGGCCAAGCCAAGATACATAAGCCCAGGTTAAACATGCTGGAGAAAAACTATGTCATTAACTCTCAAAGTAGAAGGCAAAATTCAACATCAGGAAAAATGTTTCAATACAACTCAAAGATAAAAGTCATTTTCAAGAAAGAATTTGCAGGGAAATGGGGAAGTAACACTTGGTTTTAAAGCTGTTTCAAGATTTCTATAGTTATCACCTCTTTGAACTGGAGTGGGATTTGACAACTTCATCATTTTAAAGTGCCGGGTGTCAGTCAGAGTCAGGTCTGACACAAAAAACCCAACAATAATAAGACTACTCATACATCAATAAACCAAGAATACTACTGTCAAACCAAAATCACAAGTCACCAGCAATAATTTCACCCAAGAAAAGTCGAGCACCACAACATCATATTTTTGCAACCAACAATGAAAACCAAGAGTAAAGTGTGTGTGTGTGTGTGTGTGCGTGTGTGTGTGTGTGTGTGTGTGTGTGTGTGTGTGTGTGTGTGTGTGTGTGTGTGTGTGTGTGTGTGTGTGTGTGTGTGTGTGTGTGTGTGTAACGCAGTTCAGTTCATTAAAGTTTGCCCACAATGAGGAGAAAGAAACAAAAAAGTCTGCTCAATCGATCAGTTCCACATCCACAGTTCAACGAAAATCATCAGGAGTCATTTGCTCACGATTTTATCCCAAAACCCAGAAAAGAAAACGGGAGCCCGGCAGCTCTGTCACAAAACAAAACAAAAATATTAAAACAAACTCTGTACTCACGACTTGTCGTCAGTCAGTGGATCAGGAAGTTGGGGAATAATTATTCCAGGAAACAGCTCCAAACTCCAGCACATGACAGAAACAATCCCAAAATCCTGTCGTATGTCGGCCGTATAAACTCCACCGATCGGCGGATCACTCCGGTGTTCAATCCGGACCAAGAACTTCAGCAAACGGCACTAAAACGGACTGAAACCGGCTTTAGCGGCTGTAATAAACCCGCGGGTGACTCTCTGCTCTCCTTTACTCCCACCTAAAAAACACTTCCGGGGTCCAGGATTTAAACTGACCGCGGTATTGTGTCGTGCTGTGATTGGTGGATTTGGAGTTTGCGGGCATTGAAACAGAGCAGGTGTGACAGAATGAATCACGGGAATGGTGCGGTGATCATTGGGCGTGAACTTAGCGCGGGACCTCTGATTGCCTCTGATTGGCCATAAGTGCCGAGCTCCGATTGGTTATTCCTAATGGTGGTGAAACGCCATTTTCTGTGGGGTTAGGGTTAGGAGATTCACAAGTGCCATAATGTTCTGTAATGTACGTATGATGAGGTTTCCAGCTTTTCTAGCCAATCAGAAGCTAAGGATGAGGGACTTTCCCATACTGTCCTACATAAAAATATATCGCACGCGCGGGCGCTACAGAGTTTAACAAGATGTTCACAAGTATTTTTTTTAAATTATATGTAATGGATCAAACAGCAGGTGGCTCTGAACAAAAAGTTTAAACTCACACAAAAACCATGCAAGATTAAATCAAATTATGACTGGCTGGTACTTCCAGTTAAAAGGGCAAAATAAGCACAGTATTTACATGCTTTTTGTTGCTGGGCAAGTTTTTATTTTTCCTTTGCAAACCTTGAAGGTCACATTTGGGGCCCTTATAGCTGTAAACTCAATGATTATAACTTTGTTGCATGGCAACAGTGGATGAGGCTACTACGTGTTGGGTTCTTGAATGTTTTATAAGGCCTCACGGACAAAGGCTGGGCTAGAAGACACCCAGAAACGCTTTGGATTGGAACATCATAGAGCAAATTCCCAGGGATGAAGAAAAAAATCAAACAAGCTAAGATTTCTGTCAGAGGGCTGTGGCGCTTCACAAATCAAAACAATCTATTTTGAAACTCTACACTTGTGAGTTTATGCCATAATCGTGTAGCCTGACCCCCAAGAACTCCTAAACACTGCATCTCAAGAGCTTCCTCCACTGTTGCCATGTAACAAAATGATCTTTTGCTGATTTACATGTTACTGATTTGGACCCTGAATCTGACCTGGATAGTTTAGAAAGGAACAACAACAAAAAAACCTAGTATTGAGGAACAGGTAATGTTACGTGCATTATGCCCTTATAGGAAGATTTACCAATAAGTGATGTCACAAATTGATCAAATCAGAAGCAGCTCTCTCTTAATTCTTTGGATTTTTTTTTTAATAGGTGGTTTAGAGCAGCTTCCAGTTCCATCCAGTGATTACTCCAATACGTTTTCTCATGTTCAGCCTTGACAGCCAATATTTTTACCTAATTTCGTTTTAAATTAGAGGAAAAGAGCACCTCGTGAAGATGTTTACTCATAGCATTTTTGTGTCGCAGTGAATTGTAAACAAGGCAACCAGCCAACGGTTTGTAAGGATGGTGCCGAAATGCATTCCTGAAGAAAAGCCAACATTGCTGTTCAAGAGTGAAGAAAAACCTGCCTTTAACTACTCTGAAATACTGTGGTGATACTAATCTGGTGATTTAAGGAGAAACGCTTTTCTTTGCCAAACGAACGCCAACACAGTCTGAGCTCTCTGCCTCCTGCCCACATATCTAACACTTGGTCTGAAGTTTCCTCTATACTGACTGAATGGTAAATGGAGATGTAAAATACTCTTGTATCACAATCATTTTGATTATATTTCAACCTTGAGAAGCAATTGTTCATGGGTTTTATCGCATAACGCAGTCACCCCTTCATTGGAATAATTAACCCCTTAATGAAAACGTAATTCACACAACACATGAGCATTCAAAGCATCCAGGCATGTGAAAATAACATCAATTCCTCTCCTTTTCCCTGTCAGACCTGACTACGCACTGCCGGTATTTTTGTCAGACAGCAGCAACAGAGCTGTAAATGATTAAGCCTTTAGAGAGAAGCAGGAGGACGGAAAACAAGAGTGCCTAAAATAGCAGCGAGTGATAACTAGCAATAAAATGTGTGTGAGAGAAAGAGACCAAATGTGCCGTGATGCTTTTTGTTCTCACAGCTGAAATCATCACATGTATCGCAGCAGGATGGAGTTGATAACAATCGTTTGGGTTTCGACCTGCAGATGAAACGTGCTGTTGCAGCACACTGACGCACTCACATTTATTTACAATGGCTATACTCCAGATGGTATCATGTACGTATGATACATTATTACGTGCAGTTGGTGTTGAGAACTTATACACCTTTCCTGGTTTATCACATCAAAGATAGTGGATGATGGAGAACAAAGTACATAGTTTTTTCTACTTTTACTTTAATTTAAGCATGTTGGTGTTTGGTTTTGATGGAGGTGAGAGCAGACCCACCTGAGGTGTTAACAGGTAACGCTCATCTAACATCAGATGATTTTTTAAGCAAATATCAAAGTTGGTGACAATTTCCTGAAGTCAAAATAAAACCATGAGAGTTTTCCTGAAGATCTGGTTGTGGTCTTAAAACTCAGTCCAGGCTGTTTTTAACATCATGGCATTATAAGAAAGTCAACCCTGTCAATAATGTGAATCTAGGCACCCTGCAAGACCCCCATTCTTTGTAGTATTAAAGGTTTTTCACTCAGTGACAGTGCTTTTGATTATGGTGCCAGAACCTTATGTACACATAGCTATAAAAAATACTCTGGCACAGCTGTTTCAGATAAAAATGTCGTTCAGACACCTAAACTGTCTCCTGCTGTAGAGATGGACATTTTAAAATGAGACTCTTGAAGCGCAGAAACCCCCCAGTGGACACCTTAGAGACTGCAGTGTTTTTGTGTTCTTTCATGAAAGGGAAAATGGACTAGCTTGAGGTTCTTAAAGATGTTTGTCATCCAGCTGTAATGGACTGGGTGGTCACCTGAGATCTGTTAGCAGGGTTGTTGACCTGGTTTCTCCTGAAGGCGTGCCATCCTGGGCCTCATCAGGTGTGCCATTCTTGCATGATGTCAGAGCCTGTGTCAGAGCCTGTCATTGAACATGAAAGCGTTGTCTCGATTGCTGTCAAAAAGATTCCAAAGTTAAATTGTAAGTGAGGGAAAAGAAGTGCCTTAGCCAGATGAGTGGCTAGGACTCCAGCAAGATCTTCTAGTCAGGACTGACATCTCTAGGATACAGGACACTCCTTTGAGGACAGCAATGTTAGGATTCTTGCCAGGGAAGACTGCTGGTTTGAAAGAGGTGTCAAGGAAGCCATCTTTGTCAAACTGTAGAAACCGTCCTTGAACAGAGGTGGCAGAATAAGGCATTTCTTATCCCCCACTTAGAATCCCACTTGGAGTCCTTCAACAGCAATCAAAACAATGCCCTTGCGCTGGATAATAGGCTCCAACATCATGCAAGCATGTCAAGCCTGAAGAGGCTCTCAGGTGACCACCCAGTCCATGAAGAGACCTTCTGGAAGAGAGGTGAAACATCTTCAAGAAACTCACATCGGTCCAGTTGTCCTTTCAAACGAAAAATTGGATAACCATGACGTGGATGAATGAGGACCTACACGGATAGCTGATTCATGTTAAAAACACTCAAGGTTGTCTTGTGATTGACCCTATTCTCCTCTTTTCCCATTTCAGACACAGATATTTTTGGAATGCCGCCCTGCTATGAGGAGGCAGTCCTGATGGAAGACCCTCCTCCACCCTACAGTGAGGTCTTAGCTGACCCACGAGGGGGCACCTACATAAAGCCTGCCCCCCTCAGAGCTGCACCAGTGCCACCTCCCCCAAGAGAACACTTGGATCCTGCTCCAGTGTTCACGTCAGAGACCAGCAAACCTCCTGTGATGACTGTATTCCCTGAGCGAGGTTACTCGTCCTTGATCCGCTTGCCTTCATCACAGCGCTGGGACTCTCTGGGACATCTCCTCTCCAATATGGACTTGAACCACAACAACCTAACTCCACCCGGGGCTAGGTCCGTGCAGGCTGCAGCTGCAATGGCCACCATGCCCCGCAGAGAACCCAAGACTCACCGCGATGGACTTGGGCTACAAGGTGGACTCCAAGGAAGCTTGCAGAGATTCCAAGGAACCATACAAAGAGGGACTCAAGGATTCCAAGGTGGGGTACAGGGGTACCAAGGAGAGTTACAGGGGCTTCAGGGGTTGCGTGGACTAAGGGGGTATGAGCCCACCTGTGGCCTACCAACAGCCTACCCTCTGCTGGGTCGGAGCACCGCTGTCTAAGTGGACCAATCCTTTCACTTAGAAGAGCCCTTGAACAGGAGATCTGTGGAGACGGATCTTTCTGCTGCTGAGTGTTTACAGCATTAACACTGCTTAAGGTAACAGATCAAGAGAGCCAAACAAGAGTTCAGATCTGTGGGCAGGAGTGCCACTCACTCCGCTTGGATCCTGCCTTTTAACTGTGGGTGTAGGTAACACTGTTTCAGAGCGTTGTTGTTGAGTCACAGAGTTATCCCGGAGTCATGTGAGGGCTAATCGAGTCGAGGTGTGTGTTTGACAGCAGATGAGAAAAGACATGAAACTATAATGAGGTAAAGGATGAGCAACTGTTCCTCTTTTTTCATCCAGCCCAGGGGTCTCAAACCAGGGGCCGGCACATGAGCCATCACCGGCCCCCAATACAATTTTTAAAATGTAATGATTTTTTTCCAGTTGTTTATTGCTCATTCAACTACCCTGTGATATAAATCAAAATTTAAAACACAGATTCAGTAAAATATAGTGAATATTTTTTGCTAAGGTCAAAGGCTAAAGTGCGGATGAAGCAAAAAAATTTGATGAATAACACAGACAGTTCCAAGGACATTCCAGCGTTTGTTTGTGGAGTTTGATGGAAATATCACCTTCCTGGAATGCAGGGAAAAGGTGGCTGTTTTGAAGGAATATCATCTCAAATGTCATTACTGGACCAAACACGAAGAACAGTACATTGTTGCTACAGAAAGGGCCAACATCCCAGCAGAGTTTTTTCTACAACGCCAAGAAGGATGCTGATGGTGCAAAATCGTCAGAGCAAGGCAGTTCTTCAGCCAAGGTCGGTTTCTGAAGGACTGCCTGTTGCAAAACGTTGATATCCTGTGTTCAGAAAAGAGGAATTTGTCAACAGTATTTCTCTTTTAGCCCAAACTGTGGCAGTGCGGATCATTTATGATCATTTTGAGAGAAAGCCAGGCGCTTCACTCCACTCTCCATGTTGTATCTGTTTTTGTGAAATGAATGAACTACATCAGGTCCAGAAGTTTACAGCTTTGCTAGTTCTGGCCTTTTTTTTAGAGGAACTTGAATCAGCGTATGGTGATATTCTTTACTTTACTGAGGTGCTCCGCAGGGGTAACGGCCTGAAGAGATTTATGGAAGGTAGCAGGACTGATGTTCCTGAATTTGATGATCCAAAACGGGTCATGGACCTTGCATTCCTTGTGGACATAACACAGGAGCTCAACATCCTCAACCTGGAGCTTAGCAGGTTATCACAGCGGCTTCTGCACAAAACTGGGAATGTAAAAATCTCAGTGATTTTCCAGCATGCAGATCTCCTGTGGAGGAAGGCACAGCATTCAGTGGTGAGGACTACATCTCTGCTATTCAGTCATGTAATGTGTCTTCTTGGAGCTATACACTACCTGTGTGAGAAGCTTTTCTGAACAATGAACGTTGACAAGTGCTAGTACAGATCCAGGCTTATCTCAAAGCTGAACTCAGGGTTTCAACTGTGACCTCTATCAGGGCAAATGTGACTCAACTGTGTGAGCAGAAGCGCCGTCAGGTATATGGTTAGAAAGGGATACATAAAAAAAATGTACTGGGAGCATTAAAAGTCATTTTGTTAAAATAAAGGAAGGACAAGACATTGTGAAAATGACATTGTAATTGACAAGAGTTGCTCCAGTTCAATAGGAAAGATGACAGATGACAGAACCAGTGGTGGCCCCCAAGCCAGTTTGAGTTTGAGACCCCTGATCCGGGCTGATTGGCCTTTATTTTCATTTACACCTCCCCTTGTCACGTCGCCCTCTTATTCTGCTCTTTCCATCCCTCCCCTCCTTTTCCTCTCTCTGTGACTGAGAAACCTATTGTACCAGCCTGCCGTTACCATGGCTCCCGGGAACTGTCAGACGACCTCTCCTCCTTTAGCTGCTCTGATTTCTGAGAACTGTGTTCACGGCTTCTGAGCTTTCGAGGACTTCAAGTATCACCAATTCCAAAAGACCATGTGCTGACCGTCAGTGTCAAGTTAGTTATAGAAAGCCAGTGACAGAAGGTGGAGTACCACAAGCTACAGTGAACCAAACATACACGGACTGAATTTTTTACCTACTGTTTATCGGTTGAACGTCGTCTTTAGTATAAACTGTTATCGTTTGACTCCATCATGGTTGCAGGATGGCAGTAGATGGGTCATCATGTGAAAAAAAAAGTTTTTCATGCACATTTTTCATGATTCTTTAAGCTTTGTGACCTTTTTTTTCCTCTTGTGAAATAAAATGTCGTCTTCCATCTTCCATCTTCTGACCAGTATTTTGTCTGCAAAGCTTGAAGCGGTGATCCCTTCATTTGGGGGTCAGTAGTTAGTCTAGATAAGAGCAGTTTACTTTCAGTGTCTTAAGGATTCAGTGGATTGACTTCCTCTTCAAACTGCCAAATAAAAACATTTTTGCATTTCAGACTTTCCTCAGACTGTTTGTGTAGAACCATCTTGTTTAAAATTCTGTCTCGGGGCTGTTTGGAAATCTGCACATAAGGTTTGCAAATCTGTGCCCACGGTTTGTAATCAATGTGCTTGCATTTGTTATCGACATGTGGGTACAGATTCATACTTTATGGGCACTGACAATTTTATAAACAGAGTTTCTTTTTCAGATAGCAAAGGATATCTCATTTCTACAGTCATGAATTTATATGTTATTGAGGGTAGGTATGGCTTTCTATGTTTTTCAACATGTAGTTAAGATGCACTGCTAATCCATTCACAGGGATTATGGGCTGTGGGTACAGATGTGAAATCCATGCCCGCAGATTTCCACATGGATTTTTCCTTCTCTTGACCTGGTGCCTTGGGGCTGCCTAGTTTAGTTTCCCTTTCATCAGTTATTAAAGGGACACACTACAGTTAAACAGATAAAGATGACTCGTAGATGCAGATATCTATGTGAATTTCTGTCTCATGGATAAAAAAATGTCATTCTGTGGGAGACTTCAGAAATTTTCACCGCTGTGTATGGCATCTTAGCACTCCATGGCGTGAAGGAACCAAAGGGCTTCAAGCTTGAAGGTTTTACATCTACAAAATTGGTCATCTTTTCAAGGCTAGAAAACTGTTTCCCCCTGAATTCATGACAGTAACCACAGTGAGAAAACTCGATACAAAGCCTGTTAAAACTGTGAAAACGGAATTCCTGTTAAAGTAAAGCAAAAAGATTGAGGACAGGGAGTGTAACAGTGAAGTTCTGGAGATGTAGATGCTGGGCGACGATCATATCGAGAGAATGAATCTTTGTGTGGACTGGCCTTGTCTCTGAGTTTGCTGTCTGAATACTAAAATGTGGTTTTATTTGCTCCATTTGTTTGTGTGTCTCTGTATGAGCTGTGAAATACAGAATGTACCTTTCATTTTTCAAAGTTTTCATCAGACGGTCTTTGCCTTTTCCCGTTCTGCTTTCTCATGGATTTATTTAGACTGTCTGCATCTGCCTATCAGGAAAGCCTTTTTATGAGATGTGACTTTGATTTTCTGTCTGACATTCTCTGCGACATCCTCTCGCCCTGACTCTGTCTGCTGCGCTCTTATTCATTTCATGTTTTGAAAGCGTGTCTCTGCTTTAAAAACAGATAGTGACTCCTCTCCATCTCTGACTTTCACTCTCCCCAAAAAATACACTCGGGTGGTAGAAGTGAGACGTAATCAAGCTTGGCTGTTTGTAGACAATTAGATAATATTAACATTGGTACAAGAACAGACGAAGGAAAGGAAAGCTCTTTGGTCTGAAAATATTTCACAGTTTGGAAGCAGAGATTTTCCATCTTTGAAACAGCTTATGTTTGATTACATTTTATTAAAGTGATTCTCAGAGGGTGATCTTTGAGGCAAGGCCTGACAAAGGTAGAAATAAAATACGGGAGTTAAAAGGTTTGATTTTTCCCTGCTGATTGTAGGCGTACTTCACTTGACTTCGCTTTTATTGTTTGCTCGGGTAAAAGGTAAAACGGAGGCGATGAGTAAAATACAAAAATACAGATGTCATTAAACTGTCAAATTTACCCACCGAGCTGACGAAGACGGACATGTGAGAGTTTTTTTTTAGCTAGAACTGTTGAGTTCTAGTTTAGAAACACTTAACCTCTGAGGTTTTGGCATTAAAAAGTCTTTACCTTTTTTTAACCAGCAGGGAAACATCAAACCTTTGAACCTCAGTATTTTATTTCTACCTTTGTTAGCCCTGCTTCAAAGATCACTGTCTGAAAATCACTTTATAAAATGTGATCAAGCTGTGTTTCAAAGATGGGAAATCTCTGCTTTTAAGACAGTTCAGATCATCTGCTGTGCAGATAAAGAGAAAGAAAATGACTCTTGACATGCAGGACAAACAGGGAAGATGATCTTTAAGACTGTCAGATAATTGGATCTTTGGTGACTTTTGTTGGAAAGATGAATCAGCCCAATTATCTTGTAGGTCAGAGGAGGGCCAGGAGTTTGTTTAAATCGGAGTCTATTCTTCAGTGCTCTGGAGTTGAATGGTTTTGCATCTGAATTTTAATGGCATTGCTGGATCCCTGTGACAGTTGTTTCGTGTTGTACCGCTGCACGGTTGTGTGATGGGGGGCTGCCGCCTGCAAAAGCCACATTTGAAGAGCGAATGCTTCACAGTGGCGTGTCTTTCAAAGTCTCCCCCAAATGTGGCCGACAAATGTGTACCTGAGCTGTGAAGGCTGCATCCTCAGATTCTCTGCGTGCCTATTCAGACACGATGATGGACTCTCAGGCTGATGAACACACTATTAGATAATAGAATTTGATTGTAACTCTATAGAAAGATGTACAAATGTTACATTAGCCAGATGCATTGAAAGTTATCTTTGAAATGTCTGTGTTGAAGTTTGTTCAGTGGCCACCTATTGATGATCCACAAGGGTGTGACGTAGGCGGGGTCCATCAAAAGCTGCAGCCGTTGAATTGAGTTGTCCTGGTACCAGTAATGTGACCAACTGCCGTTATGCAGTTCTGACTTTCTTAGGAATTAATTTCCTCGCCTAAATCGAGTCATCAAGGGTAGATTCATCCTTAAGAGGGATCACAAATGATTATCATCAACTACAAAGTCAGGTTTGACCTCACGGCCTCAGGCAGGCAGCAGAAAGTACAGCAATTCAATTCAATTTCACCCTCGCAGCCCCTCTCATCTCTGGCTGCTACAAAGGGACAGTGCTAATGGTTTTAAATTACTGTAACCATTTCAATCACCGTCTTTCATTAAGGTAGAGAGCTTTAATCATTATATCACAGCTGATCATCGTATAAAATACAACAGTGAATTTTGTCGAGAGTGTTGCAAGAAGTGACATTTTCTCATTTGACTCATCGTTCATTTTCTCCTGTAACGTGCTGTAGTATTCAGTCATGGATAAACCGTGTTTGAAGTGTAGAGCTGAGATTTATATGAGTAGTTTGAACATGTACAGAGCGCAGTCTCATATGTGCCCGAGGGTGATGTCGATCTTTTGCGCTCTAGTCTTTGGAAATGTCCCGCTGATGCTGCCATCGTTCAACAAAATATTAAATGCATGGGCTTAATGGTGAGTGTCTGTCTTTCCTTCAGTGATGCTCAGTCATGTTTGTAAATATGAGAAGCCATATTTAGTTGTTTTGGTGCTTTAAAGGGATATTCCAGAGTAAAAGTAAGTTATGGTCAAACACACTGTAACACCGAGCTAGACACCCCCTCAAGAGATGAATGTTGCCGACCGCTTACTTCTCTAGTTACACCAACTTTAGTAATGACCGCACGATAGCAATACACAGCGCACACCTCAATCAATACACCACTCTTTAGCCACAAATAATGCTCAGAACAGCACCTAACTTCATCAACAGGACGTATAGGGTCACAGACATAGTACTAGACACCAAACATCTTTTTAACTTTGACTCATTTCTTTAGCAAAGAGACTAAACACAACTCACCTACTCTCTTCCAGCAGCCGCTTGTTTGTATGGAGACCTCAGACGAGTCCATCACTGACTGCAGTGGGGTGACGCAGCTCAAGGAAGAACATTTATGATTATTTCGTTATCATCTAACTTCATGTTACGGTGTGTTTGACCCTAACTTAATTTTACGCCGGAATATCCCTTTAATCTCGCCAAACTGAGCCAATTTTGTAAGATAACTCAAATGACCGCTTGCTGTTGGTTAAAACGCTAATTCGGTTGCACAGACGGCCTGGAGGAATCAATCTTTGCTTATATAAGAATCAGAGGACATGCTGAGAAGATGCACCCTGCTCTCAACTCACGAACATGCAGTTACTTTTCTTTTCTTTACAAACACGATGCCCCTGTGTTAGAGTTCGATTACCTGAAAGCGTAGAGACTACAGAGCCAGATTGACTGAAGTCACGCCTGATTTATATCATGCATCACAATCAGCGCACAAAGATGTCAATCACGCTGTTGATTCATTGTTTGTACGTTAATGCCGTCAGCGTCTGCACCCTGATGACTCACAGATGATCCAACACCACAGGTTCGCACCTTCAGCCAAACATGTCTTGGCCTTGACGAACGATTTTTCGCAGGAGTCTGAATACGTGCGATTCAGCGCAGAGACAAACACCTTGACGATGACTCAACCTGTGAGGTCACATAAACAAAGAGAGGCTGTTTCAACAAACGCACATGTGCTCAGGAGCTACGAAAGACCCGTGGAGAAAGATGGACTCCTGTGAGGTCCTCGGGTGTTTTTATTCTTCAGTTTGTGGCCTCGACCTAGACCCAAACATTGGTGATGTCTGTTTTTCATTCACAGTGATGTTGATGTGTTTCCTTTGACCATGTTCTGATATGACACTCTAATTTTCACAAATGCAGCTGAGCCATTTAAACGTTGGAGTTTTGTACCAAGCCTTGACCGTGGGTTTGTTTTTTTGGGACTTATTTTCAAGGCTATTCTTGGGCGCAATTAATTGGGCTTTATTTTGAAGCTGTTTTTGGGAGGGGGGCTTTTAGGGGTTATTTTGGGAGGAATTGGGGGTTATTGTTTGGGAATATTTTGGGGTCATTCTTCAGGATTATTTCAGGGCTATCTTTTGAGGAGTTTATTTTTATCTTGGGGTAATTTTTGGTGCCTTTTTGGGGACATCTTAAGAGTTATTTTGTAGGTGGTATTTTTATAGGGGGGCTGTCTTTGGTTTTATTCTCTTGGGCTAATTTTTCTGGGCTGTATTTTGGGCCAGTCATTGGTCTTTTCCTCAGGGTAGTTGTTGAGGAAAATTTTCTTTCTTTCTTTCTTTCTTTCTTTCTTTCTTTCTTTCTTTCTTTCTTTCTTTCTTTCTTTCTTTCTTTCTTTCTTTCTTTCTTTCTTTCTTTCTTTCTTTCTCTTTCTTTCATGTCCATATTTTGCTGAAAAATGGTTATGTTGCTGCTGCCACTCTGCTGTAGTAAATCTATCGCTCACGTCAATCACAAGTAGCCCCTTTCCTCGAGCTCTGTTATGTTTTATGGTTTCTTATTGGACATTTGAATCCTGGGATGCTCTAAAACTGTTTCTGCCACTGTGAAAAAGATATTAAAAACTGGTTAAAAAGTTGTTTTTTTACACGCTATGGAAACATGTATTTAACCTCGATTCTACACTGGATTTCACTGTTTTCTCACACATTAATGCAAAATCTCTTTCAGTGTTCAGTGGGCGAAGTGGATCAAAAACTATATTTATTGGAGCAGTTTCAGCAACATGAACACAGTGAGATGTTTCATTATATAATATATAGATACCGTTGTCTCTTCCCATAAAGCTAAAAAGTCCGGGGTGGGAAGTCCTCCTATAGCTGACTTTTAGGGGTTACATAATTTTGACATCTCCATGGCAACAAGCACAGTGTATAGCAACCAATGTGACTCTTCCTGCTGGCTCATTGGGTGACATTTACCAGCCAAACACCAAACAGACAAAAAGGACAACACAGCCCTGAGATTTTCTCCTGACTCAGTCCTCTAACACAGAGCCAGGCAGGACATTTCTGTGGGGACCTGTGTGGTGGAAATTATAGATGGTTGTGCCGATGGTTATACCAAGTAGTCGCAGCTGCCAGTGAATAACACACACCAATTATGTTCATGAACACATTCGCCACTTTAACAAGTGAGGGAAGGGTGAGTTTGCAGCTCCTGTGGAGACTCTGATAAAGATGAATTCGGTGGTCTGCACAAAGTACACAGGCGGTATTGTTGACGCAGTTTTTAAAGCGCTATATTAGAGTATCACTTCGAGGAGAAGTGGGCTGAAAACACCAGGGATATGTCCCTTAAACTGACAACATCCATTCTTTGAAAGATTGTACTACGTGTCAGAATCAGTGCCACACATCCCACTGTTGGTAAATGAGAATTTTGAGTCTAAAATCTTGGACCAATGATGCAAAGTGGCAGGAAACTGATAATCTACTGATCTGCCAAGTCTGGAGAAAGTGTTGTACTTTAAAGGAGGACATGATAACTGAGGTGAACTCTGTGATTACCAAAGATGATGTGAAAACCCAACTTTGTGGCATTGAATGATAGCTGGAGGAGGTGAATGAGGGAGAGAGTCCGGTCAGAATTTGATAAATAAAGGAAAAACTCTCAAAATCAAAATGAAATTAAGTACTGATTATGGTCAAAATGATAGTTTTGATTTGTTGCATCCTACCCATTCTTCAGAGACAATGCTGGAAGATGACAGAAGGCAGATGGGACTCATGGCAAGCCTAACAATGGCCCCAAAACTGCACCGATTGACACCAAGGCAGATGGCACACTGTGTCATAGATTGAATCGAAGAAGGACGAGGGTACTGGATCTGTTTCCTATTCCTGACCTGAATGAGGAAAAAGACTCTGAGTAACACAAACAAAGAAACTGAACATGGATGTTTCTTATCATAAAGTCTGAGTCATTTTCAATGGATTATATCACAGTTTGATAACTTTTGCATATCTAATTATAAACATATTAGTGATACAATTTTGCACATTTTATATTGATTTGCTATTATGTTTTATATACAATTATCTGCCATCACATGTTACTCCAATCAACTGCATTTGTTTCATTTTCATTGTGATTGCAGCTGCCAGTGAATGACAAACACCTATCACACACACACACACACACACACACACACACACACACACACACACACACACACACACACACACACACACACACACACACACACACACACACACACACACACACAGACTCTGATCAAGACTCTGTCAGTTTTACTGATTTCAAGTCCGTACAATGAAGTCACCCAGGCTGCTCTTCGGATCTCATCCTGTCTCCTGAGCCTACACTTTGCACCACACCTGTTGCCTGGCAACCGGCTCAGCCTGTAATAAAGAAAGAAATCAGCCAATGTTGAACACACTCTGTCTTATTGTTTGTATGTATTTAAAGTATTCATGTAATCATATTTGTTGATCATTTTGTGTCGTTGAAGAGATACGGAACAAAAGGACCCTTTTGTTTATTATTGTATGGGCTCCTAAAATAGACAGTGCTGCCATGTTAGATGGACTCTTTGTATTTTGTATGTCAGGTTAACAAAATGTCTAATGGATGTGAAAGCTTTATATACCTGATATACATCATGCTATTATCTTGTTGTACTGTGACCCAGATCTGCAGCTTGAGCCTGTAACGCTTTCATTTATGTGGACCTTTGATTCTTTTGAGTAACCATCCTTTTACTCCCAAGTTTACTCTTTTCTGGTCCATTATTTATTAATTTGCAGGACCAGTCAAGAAAGGTTATTGTGCATAAACCTTCATCTTAAATCTGCAAAACTGTCCTGAAATACATCCTCCTTTCTGCAGGTGTACCATCATAACCTGTAGATTCCTTATTCTTATGTTGGACTAATTTAGCAAAGATGGTAAAACTGTTTGGTTCACAAACTGATTCTTTTATTTTGAAAGTGTATCGTATCAGTTTAGCCTGTTCATTCACTTTCTTTGTTGCCATCAGTTTGGACCTCTAGCCCTGGGTTCAAGCTTTTCCTTTGGGGGGGATTTTTGGGGAGCATTGTAGTGCCCCCTGGTGGGGAATCAGTAACACATGCAGCCCTTAGGTTGCAGCACTTCAGGTGTCAGCCTTACAGGACAGGTGGACAATCCAGAGGTTTTATTTTTGGATGAGGAGATGCAGTTAAAAACATCTGGAGTTTGGATTTGGACAATCTTATAATAATACACATAATAAATAATAAAAAAGTTAATAGATATATAATCAATACATAACTCCCAAGGAAACCAACCGTATAAATGGTACAGTAAGATATTGAGCATCAAGTCCGACTTCCTTTAATATCTTTGTTATGAACTTTTCCAGTATTTTCTAGGTGATAGTATAACAGACCTGAGAAACGTGTTTGAGTCTTCAAAGAAAAGACTTAAAAAAGGAGATTTTATAGAATATGTTTTTGGACAGAAGCTACAGCTGCATGTTAGGAAGGTGATCCTGAAACATTTGTACTCTGTCTCTCTTTCCTGTGCTCCATAACTCCATAACAGCTTTAAAAGCAACAAGAAAAAAGTCAAACTAATTCCCAGCCTCACAAACTCTCCTCTAGACTCACCCCCACCTCCCTCTCTGCTGAGGAAGGAGCTTTTCATCGGCTGACATGATCAGTGGTAACACCACCTGAGGCTACCATCAGCTCCAATGTAGATCACCTGCCAGCAGAGAGCAGAACAGGCCCGCACATGAAGACACCTCCCTTTGTAGAAGACAGTTTTGACCACTAGATGGCAGTACAAGTCAGCATTCACAGTGAGGATTCAGGCTTTCCTCTCCTGGCAGAGAGCCATGTTTATATTAGAGACAAGTTATTTAGAGCTAATTGGCACCTGATGTTTACTTAATGAAGACAGAGACAAACAGACGGACAGACGGCCCTGAGAGGAAACAGAGGCAAGTCTCCTGACGTGATGAAGAAAAGATACCACCTCCCAGTAATTAAGGCGCGAGCATTTACACCGAAACCCCACAGCATGTACACACACACACACACACACACACACACACACACACACACACACACACACACACACACACACACACAAGACTGCTAATGAGCTCAACAAATCCAAACATCATTAAGCAAATAAACGGAGACGCTCAGAGATGTCTTCTGGGTTGTTTGACTCTTTTGAGCCGACACACTGTAAAGGAAGCTTGATTAACACCCTGATTTTAGATGATTGATCATCAACGGTAGGCCTGTTGATCAGGTTTAATGACAGGGAGATCGTTTCAGTCATGGAGGCAGCACAGGTGGAGGGCCTGACTTTGAAAAAGGGACTCATGCAGGATATGCACTGTTTAAAGTGGGGCTGCAGGATATTGAAAACACTCATACTGCAGATATTTACACAAGGGAATGCAGTGAATCAGCTTACTCTTATCTTTCAGTTTATTTTCAGATATCATTTTCTATCACAGAGCTGAAACTGGACGTGTAAAATGCATGTAAACACAAAAGTCTGGGTGTAATTAAACTTGTTATAGTTGGGCTAACATACATGGATAGTGGGGTTGGGGGATCCTTTTTCTCAGTCAAGCTGAAAGTGGCCTAAATGCTCTGTGCACGCTCCAGCATTTGCACGCCAGACTCTGAGCCGGTGGTTGAACAGCTTAGTTTCGCTGCGAGAGAGCTTAAGTAAACTTTTACGGATGAAGAAAGGACATAAAGAGACAAAATTTCCCAGTTATATACTTATATATATATATGTATAAGTTTAGCAGTTAATGTGTCTGCCCACTTTGTTAACAAGCATTAGGATGAGCAGGACAGCAATGTTTTAAATCAAGCGTGACGTCAGCAGTGTTGTGTGCATGTTTACATTCCACCTGCCTGCACAGTGGACAGTCCTCGGTCTTCAAAGATAGTTTGGGAACTAAAAAGAAGATTATCTAAAGAAAAAATTAAAGTTCATATCTAACTTGTAACTTATAGCAGAAGAGTCAATAGTGACAACTATTGACTCGACTTGTTTTGAACATTGCATTGTAAAATTAACGGCAGATGTGTTCAAATTCAATAAATGCACCAATGCATTGTTTTTAATTAATACAATCCACTGTTGTACAGTGACAGCGCTCCAGCTGCAGCATAATTACCAAGATTTTTCAGTCAGCTGGTTACAGGACTTCAGTATTGGCACATTTTGGCTCTTCTAAAACAGGAGGGTTCCTTGATAACTCAGTTGTTGTTTGTAGAGTATACAGGGGCAAGCATCAAACGCTACCAGGTCTCATATCACAGCAGCTCTCGGGCACTTGGCCGAAACTCACAAAAGGCTAAAGCTATCTCAGTCTCACCAGATTTAAAAAGTCTGTAAATAGTCTTAACATGAACTAAAATTCAAACTCCCAGGTATTAATGACACAAACCCCAATAACAGATCATGTTGAGAACCTCCAGCTGCACCATCCCTTATATTCAAGATTTTCAAACGTTGGTGTACTGATTTGTAGTCATTGCATAGCACCCCAAGAATCAAGATTTATCTTTACCCTCTATTTGAGAGCTCTACTGGACCTCCAGAACCTTCAAATGAAACTGTTTTTCAACATAATAGTGTTATAATAAGACGATCAAGTGAATCACGTCTGATTACAGATGTCTCCCCTCCTAAAGTATTGGAGGAATCCACGTTTCTTTGAACCTCATGAGCAGTCTAATGTGATTACTCCTCCTCAGTAGTGAAGCAGCTCCTCTGCTGCTGCTGCTGCTGCTAATAATAACCAGATCAAATCTATATGAGCTGTGACTGCAGAGGAATATAATGTTTCCAAACTCAGCCTCAGTGTTTCTGCTCTGCAGTGTGAGGGAGCTGCCCTAACAGACTCTGTGGTTCATTAGTATAAAGGTTTGTGAAAAGGCTTCATTAAAATTGCATCCAGCATTTCAGAGCCTGTAATGAAAGTTAGTGCGCGTGTCAAAACCTCTCCTGTTAACCAAACTCAGCCGAGGAAGATTCATACATCGTGTGCTCTGAAGAAAAACAGTATTGTTTCATAACGTGGGCAGACATGAGCATGAACAAAGAGCACTGAAATATGATCTTGTGTTTTTGATGCATCTAAATCCAGGACCTGTTATAACGTAAAGGAGATGTATCAAACCCATTTTCACCTTAAATTATCTCAGTTTAGAGCTGCTTTGCATGATTTATCTGAAAGTGGCATATATAAAAATCCCTTACTTCCACACTACTCAGACAGTTTTCCAGTGATATAAAGTCACACGCAACTTAGGGGGTGTTACTTTTTACACAGCGTTAGAGTCCAGCAACTCCCGAGTCAAACTGAATCAACAAAGTGTAATGGTGACGAGGAAAAGTTTAAAACCGCTTCCAGGTGGGTTTGTCCTTCAAATTGCTCTGCTACAACTCTGAAGCCTGACTTCAGGTTCAGGTTTGAGCACAGTTCTTGAAATTAGATGGAAAGCATGCCCAACGTCGGTGTATCTCATGTTTTGGAACTAAGCTCAGTTTTAGTTTGGAAATCCAGCATTGAGGAAAACTCAAGCATGATTTCAGGACAATGACTTGAACCTGAAGGTCCTACTTTGGTTGGTCCACCTATCTTGCAAAATCTGCAAGATTCAAGTTAAAACCATTCAAGTTAACGTGTCAGTTTCCACCGGCTTCTTCTCGTTCCGCTGCAGATCGGTGAACTCCGCAGCTGATCACAAGAGTTCTATATTTTCCGGACGCTGGAGCATGGCGGATAAATTCAGCACAGATTAACCCGTGCTGGAAAGGAAGTCTGGCACAGACATAAATTAAAACATCCAGCTTCTTTTCAAAATAAAACACTCCATGTTTCTGGCGGATCGTATTTCACACCATGCAAACAGGGCGGCGACGAACAAGTGGAAAGTTTATAGACAGCATTTCACCCCGATGACACCATGGAGGAGGAGATTTAAGTCTAGAAGTAGATTTCCTCCTCTGGAAGGACACAATCTACTGCTCACATGGTTAGCCAAGTGGCTAGAGACAACTTGTCATTGCGCGATATCACGTGAATCCGCAGGTTCGTGTGCGTTCTTCAATTCCTTCTTCGATTCCTAACAGATCCAGTAGGAAGTGGTGGACGGTGAAAACCGCTTCCGTTCCGGATTGGAGCTGTTCCGGATGTGGTGAAAATAGGGTGTTACTCAGTGTCCAAACTCTTTATGGTTTTAGCCGTGTGGTTAAAAGATTGCAATGATTTCCACTGCAGAGTCATGCCTATTTTCAGTGCAGTGCCTCACAGCTGTTGTGTGCATCTGCTATAAAAAGAGCTTAAATTTGATCATGTCACAAGAACATTTCAATTGGACATATGATCTGTCATCATATTAACATCTGTTATCATCCACAAGATCACGTTTTACAGCATCCCAACTCTACTCTGGCGATGGAGGGGTTGTACAGCTGCAGATGCGTTACAGCGATAGGCAGAGGCTGTTGAGTGTTTGTTGCATCTCTAGAAGGTGCAGGGTGTGGTTGAGAATAACGGCAGTGATTGACCTCTGCCTCTTTTGATTGGCGTATCCCATAGAGGAGCTCTCGGACACGTTTTACATTCGACATGGTTTTGCTTTACAAATTGAACCTCAAAAGCATCATCACTGCCGGCTCAGAGCGCCTCTTCCTGGTCTTTCTATTCGTGTCCACTGGAATCTCCCGTTCCCCTAAAATGTTTTACCTTTTAAAGTGAAATATCACTTTGACGTCCAGCGTGGAAGATGGCGTTTGCGTAAGTGAGTGAGTGAGTGTGTGCGTGTGTTCATTAGCTCAGAGGTCTGAGTGGTAGCAGTCACTCCGGGTCCATCATCACCAATCCTCGCTCCTTCTCTTTCCTGTTCTAATTGCTTGATAGTCATACTGCTGCTGCCCATTAGGATAATATCCATTAGTCTGCCTTTGCTTCCCCCAGACCACCACTCCCTGTCTTTACTACACCTCTGAGACACACACGCACTTATAGGCAGAGTGTAACGCGCAGACATGTGCAGAGGCCTTCAAGCACCAACATAAACATTGTTTTTTTTTTTGTCTTCATGTTGTAATGGTATTCTTTTAACGACAACGACCAACCAGCTCTAATTTTAGTTTCTATAATGGACTCCTCATCTGTTCTCACTTTGTCACATGTAGAATAACTTCACAGATTTCTTCTCCTGAAAGGAAACGAGCTAATCCTGATTTACCAAAGTTTATTACTTATGATGATATAGAAAAACTTCTTTGGGGTACTCAAATATATCACACTTTACAATGAATGTCAGCTACAAAATGTAAATGAAGAGTTTATACTATTTATGTTATTTACTCAGACTGAAAGTTATTTTGCAATGCAGCTGTTGTTAACAGTTATAACACATTATAATACCTGACCTTGTAAGTCATGATAAAATGCTTTATAATGTGTTATGATTATTGCTATAAAGCATTATGATCATTTACGAGTGTTTATAACTATAGCTATACAGTGCTATAACATAATTTTAACGCATTATAAATACATTTATTATGCGTTATAGAGATGGGCGTCAAATAAAGTGTTACCGAACTGATACAGTATTTATTAAACAAAGTTTTGTTGTAGCACAAAGAGATAATACGGCTTTCATAAAGTTGCACACCAGGTTTAAAATGCAGTTTACAAACATAGTGTAGAGCATGTATTGATGTTTGGTGGCATTTAAAGTCTGCAGATCAAATAAACCCTCTAGTAATGTGTGTGTGTGTGTGTCCTTGTGTGTCTGTCTTCATACTTATATTGGAAAGTGTGCATGATGGAGAGCTTGATGATGGTCTGGGCTTGTGCAGGTTATTCTGGTATGTGAGGAGGTAGTGATGAAGGTGACTTTGTAGCAACATGCTCCCTTTACACCAAACACACCCCTCGGTGGATGCTGGCTCATCTGTTATTTGCTCGTAAAAGATATAAATTTAATGGGAAATGTTAGTGACACTTTCACTGCACGCCAAACCTACGAGAAAACCCTTAAAGGGGACCTGCCTTAAAAATTTCATCCCCATTTTTATCATTTTTTCATAATCCTTGATGTCCTCTGATCATGTTTGCGACATAATTTTAGCTGAAAAGTTATTTGATGGTTTGTTTTAGTATGCCTAAAAAACCTTACAGGAAAACCAACTGATTTTGGCTCATTAACATTTATGGTAATGAGCTTTGCTCTGTTTGAATCACTGCTGTGAAGCCTGCTGTGCTCTGATTGGCTCAGCAGTGGAGGTTCGGATTTCGGTTTATCCATTTTGCTAATGTGTGCTAAAGTAAGGTGCCCAGATGTCTGTAATGATATCCGGGGATATTCGGTGCGGCGGCGGGTGCAGGGGCTGCGTGATCACAGACAAAATCTCTGTACTATTTAGTAGCAGCGCATGCCCCTCTAATAACCCCGTAAGAACTGTTGTTCAGGACTGCTAACTTGTGCTTCCTACCTATTCGGCTACTGTAATAACCGTTGTTCGAGCCCACACGCAACATTTTTGTTCTCATTCATGAAACGCTTAAATCGGGGACATTTTCGGAGACAGCTTTTGCCGGGGACAGGTCATCCAATACGGGGACTGTCCCCGGAAATCGGGGACGTCTGGTCACCATATGCTAAAGGCTAAAAATGGCAGGTATTAAACCATATATTTTGGACCCCGAGTCCGAAGAGGAGGTGGAAGTTGAGGAAGAAGCCGGAGGAAACATTGGTCGTTTGGAAGAGACCGATAGCGGATACAGTGGTAGCTGGGTCTCGCTCTGACTGTGACTGAGTACGAGAACGAGAGAGTGGGCGCGGCTCACCGAGGACGCGCTCGTGAATAATAATGAGCAAGGTCGGCGTGACGTCAGAAGGACCTGCTTTTTCAATTGGCCTGGTTTACCCGTTCCTTTATTTTAAACCTTTACAGAATGCAAACGACATAACGGTTTGTTTTCATATTTACAACATAAGACGAACATAATATGGACCTTATATGACACAAAAAACACACAAAATTACATTTTTGATGGCAGGTCCCCTTTAAACTTAAAGGTCTAGATGTCGCTTCTGTATTTTTTTGTCATGATAACACAGGCTGTGGTGGTCCAAATAAGCAGTCCCTGTCTTTATTACTTTAGGCCATAAATGTGTATGGAGCGTATGAGGAATAACCAGGGACTGGAGAGGGGTAAGGGGATCACAGCATCATTTTTTCATGGTCCGAGGAGGCAGCTCCCCACCATGTCAACCAGTCAATCAGCATCAGCTCTATGGCACAGCTTTAAATTTTCATACAGAGACATGTTCCTGTCACTCTGTTGCTTTGGGGCAACAGAAAAGGTGCAAGAGTGAATGGATCACACCGAGTGAAGAAAAAAAAAAGATTAAATATTAAAGTTGCACTTGTGTGACTGAAGTGTACTCTGCAAACTGATCCTTGGGAGGTCAAGTCTTCGGAGGTCAAAGGCCAGGACATAGGATGAGAGCGCAGACGATAAAGATGAGACCCGGGACTTGATTGTCTCCTCCTTGAATTCAGTCCTCAGTCTGCAGCCTGGGGGCGATTTGCTGCTGTACTATCAGACACCTGAAGAGCAGTCTGAGCAAGAAGGGCAAGAGATGCAGTCATAGTAAGAGGTGTCAATCACAGGAGATTAGAGGGGGTCACCTGAGTGAAAGTCTGCGGGGATCCTCTTGAGTCTGACTGTCTCCCTGAACCTCATGTTCGCGAACAAAGATGTGAGAAGATGCAGGTGAGGCAAACAAACTCCCCTCAGGCATGAAAGAAAGATGATGGTATGAATGATGTATCGTGCTGTTACACTCTACAAACACACACGCTCATACAGGAGAGAAACCGGACTGTCCTGATGGCATGACTCCATTTGCTGCAGAAAAAGAAGGGAAAGAAGGAGGGATGACTGACGGAGGGCTGAACACTCAGTTTGTCTGCAGCTGTCAGAAACCAGGGTGCACAAAATCAGGGGTCTCAAACATGAGATCAGGGCTTATCCACATGCACAGAGACAAACCAATAAAAAAAAACAGGATTCAGACCTCCAAAAAGCGATCTGACAAACAGATATGTATCTAGTGATCGAGAAGTGAACTGAGGTAAACACGACTGACTTTTCCTCCCGAGTTCTGACATGTCAGATTTATGTTTCTGTAAGTTTCTGACCCTTAGCTGTTTGGCAGAGTTACAATCAAGGTGATCCAAACACAGCAGGAAAAATCCCCTGGCATAGAAATACTGGAGAGCGACAGGTAGAGAGACAAGTTGACAGGCTGAGAATGAAACAAAACAAAGAAAAAGATAAACTTACAGATTTAAGCTGAGCCGGTGCTCGTCTCTGACACTTCTGTCAGTCTGAGGCCAGAAACACAGTCAGACTGTCCATTAGTGGTTGTGTGGAGCCGGCAGAGCAACGACGGACAGTGATGCATTCTTGGCAGATGAAGTTCCTGAGAAACAACTAACAGGTCGTCTCTTAACGCAGGTGGAAAACTGATAAAATCTATTAACTGATGGTAATTAAATTAAAAGCTTCATCAAAGACTAGACACAGATCTCTTATTTTGATCATCTTTTTTGTCTGTATGCCCACCTGTTTCGGACAGAGGAACAACATTAAACTCATTATATCTGAAAGCATCAGAAATAACTACTTCAGTTTGGATTAATATGAAAATCCTTCAGCGTGTCCCATTTCATCTTGGAAGTAGAAGTTGAAGTCATCGTCTTGCTAATAAAAAACAAAACCCATATTCACTTGAGTTTTGGTAAAGACGGTATCTTAAAGCTCGTCATCGTCTCGACTCTTATCATGGAAATATATCATCATAACTTTCATTAGTGAAACGAGCTCAGGTGTGACATCGATCCCAGCTCCAGTATCCAACTTCCCAGGTAAATGAAACACAGTGGCCCCGTTTACATGGGTCCAAAAATCCTATTTACAATCAGATTGAAAGGTCAGTCAGATTCATAATGTCTCATATAAACATCTTCGCCAATCTGATTCACCCGGATCTGATTGTATTTCGGGTCGGATTGTAAGAGGTAGTCTACACCGATTGATAATCCGCTCCATGCTCCATATATACGGCTGAGTGGAGCGGATTGGGTTTACAGAGAGGCTTGTTCGGTCTGCGCAGGCGCTCGGTAGTACATAAGAGGCACGTAGTGACGTACGCAAATGAAAACAAACATGGAGAACAAACAGAAAAACTGGACGGTAGAGTGTTAAAGTGTGTTGTTTCATGCGACTGACGAGGCGTACACTTCTCGCTGTGTAACCCGTCTGGATTATAATTTTATTAAACTTCAACACATAGGGTTCCTTACTCTGCTCGGTCTGGTAACTCCGGCGGTGTCACACACAAACACGTCCGTGCACAACTCTAAAACGGAACTAAAACAATGGTTCCTATTAACAATGCCCATTGATACAATACAATACAATCGGATTCAGCTGGGGCCATGAAAACGCGGACTGAACGTGGATCTCTTTACTTAAAGTTTATGTATACAGATGGAATTAGATTCACTTAATCCGACTGATTTCAATCAGATTGAGGAAAACTACCCATGTAAAGGGGGCCAGTGAGAAACATCAGTTTATCATTTATAGCTAACACCTCCCAGTGACTCTTACAGTACACACCAGAAAAAGGTTTCACATCCCAAAAATACGAATACATTTGCACGTGTTTACTCCTGTTTCTACTTCCTGTTTCTGTTTTTCCAAAGTCAGCCAGTGCAACATGACCCTGAACTAGGGTGACCATATTCTGACTTCCCAAAAAGAAGAGAAGAGTCGCTCAAAACCGCGGACATTCGAAGGATAAACTTCCCTGGACAAAGCCGGACAGCCACTAAAAAAGAGGACATGTCCGGGTACAAGAGGACGTACGGTCACCCTACCCTGAACCCTTCGCACACCAGGCCTCAGTCTAAGTGCCTTTTGTTCCACCGTGCCAAAAAAGATAACCAACCTTCTCGATGTCTCACTAAATTTGAATAATGTGCTTCAAATGTAACATCAATCACTGCCGGTGTCATCCTAACAGTAAAACCCATTAATGAGCAGCTGTCGTCCTGCAGGGTTTGTATTTGTTTGGCTTTTGAATGTTTACTCTCTCTTATAAGTGGGGAAAGAAGATTCCTAAAAGTGTGGTCGACTCTAAAAAGTAGCTGACTCTGTGAAAACGACCGTCCTAATTACCCAGATTACCCTCCCAGTTCTTCGCCCCGGGGGCGCTCTGACTCAGCTCATCATTCACCTGCTGCTGGAGTGAATGAGAGGGAGGAACAAAGGGTTGGAGAGGAGTTCATACAAAACAGCTTGTTTATCAGGTAACAGTTGCAGCAGAAACACCCGCTCGCCTACTCACCATCCTGATCTGATAACTGCCTCATCATCACAGTTATCTGATCTCAATAAGGCACTTAAACCACCCACTTAGAAGCAGACAAGCTAACTTTTACTCCATCTTCTCTTCCTAATAGCTCTTAAATTGGTGTCATTCTCATTTTATGGAAGCGGTTAGCACATATTTTTAACCCATATCCCTCTTCACCCTGTACACCTCGGACTTCAGCTACAACTCGGGGAGCTGTCACCTCCAGAAGTTCTCTGATGACACAGCCATCGTCGGGTGTGTATCGTCAGGGGATGAGCGGGAATACAGGACTGTCATCAGTGACTTTGTCAACCGGTGTGGCACAAACCACCTCCAGCTCAACGCCAGTAGGACAAAGGAGATGGTTGTGGATTTCTGCAGGAGGAGGACACCTCAGACTGTCCTACAGATTCCTGGGTGTCCACCTCAACAACAAACTGGACTGGTCAACAAACACAGACGTTCTGTACAAGAAGGGCCAAAGTCGTCTCCACCTGCTGAGGAGACTGAGGTCTTTTGGAGTGTGCAGGACTCTGCTCAGGACTTTCTATGACTCTGTGGTGGCATCTGCACTTTTCTATGCGGTGGTCTGCTGGGGGGCAGGGAGCACCGAGAGGGACAGGAAGAGACTGAACAGACTGGTCAGGAGGGCCGGGTCTGTCCTGGACTGTTCTTTGGACTCCCTGGAGGAGGTGGGTGAGAGGAGGATGTTAACAAAGCTTGTATCCATCATGGACAATCCCTCTCACCCACTGAATCAGACTGTGGGGGCTTTAGGCAGCTCCTTCAGCTGCAGACTGAGACTTCCACCTTACAAGACGGAGCCGCAGGTCATTCCTCCCCTCTGCAATAAGACTTCACAACGAACTGTAATAATAACTGGACTCACACCACCACTTTCTTCTGGTACTTAAATTGTGTATATTGTAGATAGTTTTATTTTTCTTCTCCCTTTTTCCTTTTTCTATTTTTTTTCTTAATTATTACATTTATTTAAATTTCTTAATATTAGGATCCTTATTTTTATAACTGCATTTTTGTCTGTGATGCTGCTGTGACAAATCAATAAAGGAATATTCTATTCTATTCTATTCAAATGTGCAGAAACACAATATTATATTATTCTACCTCCATTTCAACAGAGTTAAGACCTCATGTGAACCTGCGTTTTAGATGCACAGACACTGTTTTAGGATGTGATTTTGGGCCAATGTAGTAACTTCCACTACAGAGTCATGTCGATTCTCAGCTTCATTAGGATTTCTTGGTTTTTCCGTCCGGTGTTCAGATGCTTTATTTTCTGCTTGGTTAAACTTTTATTTTGAAGTTTACTACTTTCAGTAGATCGCAAGTTACAGAAAAACGTTAAAATAACACTTAACAAGAAAAAAATATTTACGGGGCGCTCACAGCAAGCGCGAGTAAAATCATCTCCTCGCTTAATTCGCTCAAATCTAGACTCCTGAATGAATAGTATTTACTCGCTTCATTCGCGTATCAGCGGTAATTTCAACGGTAATCCCTGCCAACTCAACCGGCGGGATCAAGTGATAGACAAAGGTTTGTTTTTTTTTTTACAACTAACCAGGCACACCAACACAATCAGTTTTTTCTCCATTTCAGATGAACAACAGTCTGTTTTCATACGTCACCCGGCAACCTTCTTCATGATTAGTTATCGCGACGGGAATATTCGCTCAAGTTGAGACATTTTCAGCTCCCGCCTGATTCGCGTCATTTATGCCGCCAGAGTAGTAGTAGCGACTAATTGCGTCTTTGCATTGACTTAACATTGAATTTATTTGCACAAATGATTTTACTCCCGCTTGGTGTGTGAAGACAGTTAGCCTAAAGAAGTCCAAGTATGGCTGTTGCTTCTTCTGTGGCAACCACAGTCATAAACTCCAGGTATAAGCATATGCTGTTATCGTCAATACCAGGACATTGTGACAGACCTAGCTTCAATATTGGTTGTCTTTGCACTATTTATATTTACAAGCTATCAAATACTGTTGTAAACACATTGGATTAATTCACCAGATTACACGTATAAGACCAACAAAACACATATTTAGTCAGCGTAAAGCTGATCTTTATCAAATGGACCAACACGTCATATTAAATATGTTGTATGGGACTGACACTATTACTGCAGCTCTATTAATTTGTTGGCATGCAGGATTAAATTGGATTAAAGTTGGGATTTGAGATGGACTTTAATAATCAGGTTATCCAAAACCCTTTTTTTTCTGCCATCCTCGGCTTTTATAAAAATCGTCTCTCCCTCTAAACGACGAAGAAGATTTTGGCGCTCAGTTTTTCTCACTGAAATCACTTTGTGTCTCCTCCTGTCGGGAATCAATACAGAGCGGTGATAAAAACCAAATGATAAACTCCAAATGACAAACTAAGTGGTGTAAATTGATTGTTTGCCCGCTGTTCCTCTGTGTACGTAAAAGTGTGTGTGTGTGTGTGTGTGTGTGTGTGTGTGTGTGTGCCCCACAGGGAGTGTGTGCTCTGTGATCCAGGTAATGCAGAGCAGAGTGTGAACAGGCGAACAAACGAGGGGGGACGCTTCTCATCCATCTTCTCTCTCTCCCTCTGACCTCGTTCATCTCGTCTTCACTTATTGATCCGTGAAGTGACGCCGTGTTGTGTTCGCAGCCTGTTCCTGACAGTCCGGTGACAAGAGTCCACGGGGACCACCGCGGGCTCCCACTGAAGGTACACAGACAGTGACAGAGGGATAAATGCTGGTCCTTGAGGCCTTCAGCGAAATTAAGTCCTGATGCTAAATCCACCTTTTGACCGCAAAAAAGAGAAATCAGAGTTTGCAGAAATCCGCTTATGAAAGTTTCTGATATAATAATGCATAAAAACACATGATACAATCAACTATAATATAATCAGGGGCATAAATCTCAGCACATGATATGAGGTTATGTCCCCCTCTTCTCCTTATCGTCTCACTGGAATCATCTCAGGACATCTCAGAGGCTTTAGGTCACAATCAGTGCGGACATTTCCCCACCGCTCAGTCAATAGTGGTCGCATGCAATCTGCACTCAGCCTCTTAGCATGTGGCTCCCTTATTGGCATTCCCCTCAAAAGCAGCAAGGGATTATGGGTGTTGACACTCAGTGGGGTCCGCCATTAATCGAATAATTAGTAACACTGCGCTGATTCAAATGATCCATCATGGCCGAGCCGTGCAGATGAAGTCAGTGATTTATCATCATGTCTGGAGGAAACTTTATTTAAACTGAGAGTCGAGGACAAGAATTTAAACAGCTGATGGTGGAGAGTCAAATTTTAAAGTGTGGTAGAGTGTAGAAGTGCCAGTTTTTATCATCTTCCTCTTTTAACTAAGGTGAAGTCTCTTTTATCTTTTAGTGATTTTAAAAAGGAATGCACAGCTTGTCTTGTTAACTGTGATGCTCTTTATTTTGGGGCCAGACAAACCTCTCTGAGTTGTTCAACATGCAGCAGCTCATCTTTAAACTGATCGATGAAAATATGACCATGTTTTTTCCAATTTGACTCTCTCTTCATTGGATTTCTGTGTGAAGAATTTTATTAACTTAAAAATCTTTAAACGGGCTTGCTCCTTTTTATCTTCCTAACCTTGTCAAATCGGTGTGTCACTTCGACACTGAGTGGTTTCAGGATGTTTGGCTCTGATAGTTTTCCGTTGACCGTTTTTCACTTATCCCTTTTCACCCTCATTTCATCTTATTGCTTTTCATTTTAAGGCAAAGTTTGGATCTGGATCAGTGTTAGACTGTAAGTTTTCCTTCTTTATTTGAACAATAAATCACCTTTAACACTCAACCGGACTGATGAACTAACGGATCGCAGAGACAAGCGTTTTTGTTGAAGGAAAGCAGTCGCTACACTCAGACTCTCAGATCCTCTGACCGGTGTCTTCTGACTGTCCTGAGGTCGGTCAAGGTTGAAGCTCAGGGGTGACGGAACTTTTCACTGCCTGTCTTTAAATCAAACGTAAAAAACGCTCTTTTAGTCTTTCAGCTTTTAAGAATTTGGCTTTTATTAATGTTTTCAACGAACCATTTATGCCCTCCTGTTTTTACTGTCTGTGTTTTTCATAGTTTGTGTTAATCGTCTGATTTATCATTTTACTGTACAGCACTTTGGTCAACATTTTGTTGTTTCTAAATGTGCTTAAATAATAAATTTGGATTTAAAGGAAATTATGGTAACACTTTACTTGATGCCTATCTCTATAACGCATAATAAATACATGTATAATGAGTTATAAACACATTATAGCACTGTATAACTATAGTTATAAACACTCATTGATGATCATAATGCTTTACAGCAATAATCAAAACACATTATAAAGCATTTTATCATGACTTACAAGGTCAGGTATTAAAATGTGTTATAACTGTTAACAACAGTTGTATTGCATTATCTATGTGGGCACTGTCAGTGAGTTGTTAACAGTTATAACACACTATAATACCTGACCTTGTAAGTCATGATAAAATGCTTTATAATGTGTTATAATTATTGCTGTAAAGCATTATGATCATTTATGAGCGTTTATAACTAAACTGCTATAACGTGATTATAACTCATTATACATATATTTCTTATGCATTACAGTGATTGGCATTAATTAAAGGGTTACCGAAAGTACCAAACACAGATTCCTCTTCATAGCTTGTTAATTCTTGAGCAAATCCCTGTTTTTAAATGAGCAAAATAAAAGTTAATCATTGAGTGTCGCGGATCATTCAGGGTAATTCCTGCGGGGCGAACGGCTGTCGGGCCTCAGCTGGTCAGCTGTTTTACAGACGGCGAGCGGGGGGCGAGGGGGTCAATGTGGGGATAATAAGAGCAGGCAGGTTAGTCTGAGAGCGCAGAGACAGATGTGACTGCTGCTGCTATAGATCCACGCTGCATTATCTGACAGGCCTCAGGCCAAACCACACACACACACACATACACACACATAAAGGAACCTCTTTTTAGTAGGATCATTTATTGATTAATCCTGAGTGAAAACATCCGATGTAAACATTATTGGTCCTGTACTGTAAGTAGAATTTTTCAGGAAGGTCAGAGAAGGTCAAAGGGAGATCACCATTTTCAAACCAAAACTTAGGAGAAGGTTTATGTTTCCAACTTTTAAATCTCCCGCCGTCTCAGCATACCCGGGTCATCAGATACACCTGAAAGTGTCACACACACACACACACACGCCCTGAAACAAAAGTCAGACCTGCGGACAAAGAGAAACGCCACGCGCCTCACAAAGCCGACAGACACCAGAGGAGTGTGTCGGTTTGAGCCTCTGTTGTCTCGCAAACAAAAACAGATAATGAAGGGAACGGCTGAATCAGAGGCGTGAATCTGTCGCTCAGGTACAAAGAAACGGAGAGATTTGACCCGCAGGGGATAACGGAAAAACCGGGCGAATGATGAAGATGAACTTAAAGCAACTGAAAGGCAGAGATGGTTTGAATAGATGCTAAATCTGACCAATACAAACACTTTCCAAGCTCAGAGCGCCACCTTCACTTTAGTTACAAACCTTTTCTCAGAAATACTTTAAATCAGAGACTTTTGAAGTGGATTTTGTTTCTTTGTAAGTCAATAAAAGTGTAATTTTCACACCATCATTGAGTTCATTGTCTGACAGCTTCTAAATCTTTCTGCTTGGATTCATGCGAACAGACGAAGAGTGAAAGCAGAATCAATAATCGGATTATTTCTCTAATTATACCAGTACTGATTAAGATCTTCTGATGGTAACTCTGTGTGTGTGTGTGTGTCTGTGCAGTGAAGCCAGCACAAAGCCGTCCAGACATGAGCGTATGGTAACACGGCTGACCCCGGGCGCCGTAACACTTGTAGATCAGCGCACTGGCCTGCAGGTCCCATTGTTCTGCTCCCATCAGCCCCAGCGGGGACCAGGCTGCAGGGGTCAAAGGTCAACTTGGTCTTTTATAAAACAGGAACATGGTTTTCCAGATGACAGCTAATTAAATACCCCCTCCTGTGATTTTCTATGAAGTGGCAGATTAGTTATATGAAGTCCAAAGTCTGTGGATAAAAGAGGCTGCAAGGGTGAAGATGAGAGGAGGGTCAGCGCTCTGTGAGAGACTGCGTGAGTAAATCATTCAGCAGATCTAATGTCCCTCAGTGTAAGACTGCAAAGATTGGGGGATTTTATCATCTGCAGTCTACAAAATCATTTAGAAATCTCTGAAGGAAAGGGACAAGGTCATGATCCTCAGACATTAAAAACAGACGTGTCTCTGGAGTGGAAACCTCTGCATGGGCTCAGAATCACTTCCTAAAACCATCATCTGAGGATAAAGTTTGGAAATGCATCCATGAATGAAGGTTTTAACTGTACTATGCCCTGAGGACAACCTGAAGAGGTGGGACTGCATCCATAAAGACACAAAGCAAATGGCGATAACCTCCCCCTTCCCCATCTTCTCTCCTCCCTCCTCACCCCTCAGGGCGCTCTAAACTCCCCCTCCCATCCACTATCATTCTCCTAATCCCTCCTCTGATCTCTGAGCTTCATCTGGATGATGTTTAATCCTCAGTCTGTTGCTCTTTTAGCTCTATGAGTCACAACTACAACCAGCCAATCACTGCCCTGGAATCTGGTATCAACATTGGTTTAACCGGTCCATAAGGTGGAAGATGATTGGCTATTCACCCGCATAGTGTTTTGTAACAGGAGCCTGTTTTGATTGATTGTTTTGGATTTTTTGATGACGGTGTTTTAAAACTGGGGTTGTTTTTGGCATTTTAGATTTAGTCTTAGTCATTTTGACGAAATGCTTCTTCGTTTTAGTCCCATTTCAGTCATTTCTATCCTTGATAGTTTTAGTCAAAAATCAAAGATACTTATACATAACATATGTGTATGTATCTAATAGGCCAATACAGGTATTATAATGAAGCACACTGAGACAGATCGAACTTTCTAAAGGTGAGTTGTTTTTTTCCCCCGTCTTAATGGACTGTATCTGAAGTAGGACCAGGAAGGAGGCTTTTGGTGCGTGTGTGATGGGGGCGTGACTGTTAGGACAAAAAAAAGCATGTTTTGAAACTTTGTTCGTCCACCTAATAACGATTTAGTCTCGTCTCGTTCTCGTCTGACAAAAATGAATACAATTTTCGTCACATTTTAGTCTTTACAGAGCTTTGGTGACGTTCGTCTTAGTCTCATGTTCGTCAAGGAAAAAAGGGGTCTGACGTCATCATTTTAGCTTTTGTCCTGCCTGACGAAAACAACACTGTTTAAAACTGGGGTTGAGTTGGAGGTATTGACCTCGCCTGTAACAGATTGTGCAGTAAAATACCGACCGGGTCACAACACGGACAGATGGGAGCCATGTTTGATCATCACCTCCCATTCAACACGAAACAACATAAAAGCTCATTGGTCACATCTTTAATGTCTTCTTCACCTCAGCGTAGGATCAGAACCACCTGTGACCTTATTAAAGAAAATTAGATGCTTCCTTATTGCTTCCTGAAAAAGTGCTCTTTAGTTTATTTACTTTTTGATGCTTTAAAGAAAGACCTGCCACGTCTTTACTCGTATGATGCTGCCTGATTTAATTCAAGTTGACTTCACTGTGATTTTTACCCTCTTGTATACAAATTCAACCAGTCCGTTCAAAGAGCCTACGGATGTACAAATGTAGAATTCAGCCAAACATTCCTATGGTCCTTTAACTCCGCCCACTGATGTCAAAACAAACCAATGATCTTCCTCCTGTCTCCCAGACGCATTCATCTAACTCACACAGTGATTGGCCAGATACAGACCCAGACTGGGAGGACAGTGTTGTGGCCTGTGGAGTGGCCTGTTGAATGTGAGAATGTGTAATGAATGAGAGGCATTCATTATAGATCACACACATCATTTATTCATCCGTCTGCTCTGTCTGTCTGTCTGTAAACATGCCTGTGATCTACTGTCTGTGTGTGGGTCTGCGTGCTCGCTTTGATGGTTCTTGTTGTGTGTCAATATCTCTGCATGTCTTGTTTACCTCTTAGAGGATTTTTTTCCCACTTAACATGAAGATTTTTGTATTTTTCTTGATTAGAGTGGATTGTTTCGCATTAAAAAGACCGTTTTTACCAGGAGATATCCAGTACTGGGAACTTTGAGTGTGTTATCATGAATATAAAAACAGAATTGGACTCTGCTCCTGATGAGAACCATCATCCATCAGTCCAAAAATAGCTCCCGATCTCTGCAGGTAGGTCTGTAACTCTGTGTTTTTCTATCAAAGCTCTCTGCTCTTAATGGCCTCTGAAATGCTGATCAACAAAACGCATTAATGCTCCTGTGAGCGAGACAGCCTGATGAGTGCCGAGTGTAGATGATTTATGGATCAAATCTTAGGGAGTCTGTCTTAGAGACGGCAGGACGGTAATTTGTTGTGTTCTGACATGATCAGATATCGATATAGTGCATTTTCCCTCGTGCACGTCATTTCTGCAAAACAAACCAGACAACGTGAGCAACAGCACAAAAAAGTGAAACTGCGGCTTGAGGTGACTGTATTTTAAGTGCGTATCATCAAACAAAGGGACTGTGATGGAAGCAAAACTTCAGGGGAGTTTTCACAGACAGCAGGTTCAGTTCAGTTCCCAATCATGGTTTCTTCGATATGAGCTCACACCGTGGGTGGTCTAAGGGCTGCAGAGAGACGAACATCTGGCCTTTTAGATGCATGATGGTCCGTCATGATTCCCCTCATGAACCTGTCAGAGAGAAACACAGAGAAAATCAGACAAATCGAGATCCCCTGAACTCGACGTCAAACATATTTTTCACACTGACAAACCCACTTTCAGACAAGTTACAACACTGTGAAATTTAGTAAAACCAGATCGATTATTTGACTGGATATAAAACAGGGTAAACTTTTGATTTTGCTAACAACATAAGAAATAATCTGGACTGATAGGACTTTAAAACTCAGAGTTTGAAGGCCGCCCTGCTAAACCCATCATCCATCGTACCGCTGAATGACAGGGTTCGATGAGCTGGAAGTGCGGATGTTATGCACTCGAGGTCGGGTCAGAGACTCTAAGAGGGGATGGTAATTTGCCCTGTTTTGACATGTGAGATATCAATATGGTGCATTATGCTCCTGCACTTCATTTCTCCCTGATACACCAGAGACCCAGGATGAGAAAACTGCTTAGAGAGCGAGAAAGAAAACTGACAGTGACCTAAGAGAGAGTAATTTATCTGAATCCCTGTTTTTGTCTTTGCTGAAAAGAGAAAGGTTTACTTAAGAAGAAAGTCCTCATGGGAAATTTGCACATACATGTATAAAACGGCAGTTCAATAATTCTTGAGACTTTTGTTAACAGATTTGCACTCAACTATTGAAAGGAACATCATTTTTAACACTTTCAGTCATTCTAAACTGATTGTTACTTGGTCGAGTGTGTGAAACCGAACTCTGGATCTTTAATTTAAAAGATACAGGCCGCGTTGGCTACGAAACCAGTCCTGGCACAAGTGTGGCGTTCGTGAGCAGCAGCTGTCGGTGACAACAACTCACTGTATGTCACCACAGAGTAACAGGATAGTATACAGGACTCTGCAGAGCTGATCCTTCCGTTCATGTGCCATATGCTCTCCCACGGCTCCAGGTAGAGCTTAACCAGAAAGGTGGCTGCATGTGGAGCGGGCTCTTATTACCAAAGTCACTGTGTTTACCCATGACTATTTTCCTGGTGTGAGCTGGTAAAGGCCTCATTTCAAGATGGAGTAAAGGCAACATATCAAACACTGAAAACGAAGAGGGTAAGACAAAGTGTTTCAGAAAGGTTGGAGCATGTATCGCAAGCAAAATGTTGTTTGGCATCTTCCTTCCTTATCATGGCAGCATATTTTCCCCTATTAAAATAATGACCTAAGTCATTTTTTGACAAAAATTTGTTTTTGTCCTACATCATCTATTGAGATGATTTCGAGATGATATCGGCCAAAAACTCGTTTTCGTCGAAAATGACTTAGGCCATTATTTTAATAGGGTGACGATATGTATAACTTGTTCAGCACTGATAATAATATTAATAATAATAGATTTTATTTGTAGCGCACTTAACATTTAAAAACAAATCTCAAAGTGCACAACAAGCACTGATAGTACCTTCCAGGATGTTCAAGCTACCCATGCCATGGACACGTATGGATGCTGGGTTTTGAACCCTGAGCTGATAACAAGCCCCAGGGTGTGATGTTCATGATTTCCAAAAGAATTTTAAAATTTGTTTTTAAGACGACAGGAAGGCTTCTGAAATTGGCACAGGCTTCAATAATGTTTCTGGATCATGTGGTTTCCTCTTTGCATTTTACAGTTTTAACCTGTTTGTTGATGCAACAAGCAAAAAAAATGAGCTCACAGAAACGGATATTTAGGAGTGATTTGGAGTCATGTCAGTTTTTAAAGTTTCTGAGCTTGTCACTTTAGTCCAGATATTTTTCCCAGATTTTTTCTGAATACTGTAGATGGTGAAATCCCCAAAGTTATTCTGAAAGTGGTGAACTATTTGCTCACACAGTCTCTCACAGCCTCTCTTGAATGCCTTAGTCATGTTACTAACCTGTTGTAAATTAACCTCATTAGCTGTGAGGCGTTTTAAAGTGTTACACAACTTTTCATTGTTTTGTCAGATGCTTTACATCAGCATTGTTTTATGAATCAGTATTTACAATGTTGAGATTTTGGGGGGATTGGGGTTGTAAATAGTGAAGTAAGACCTCTCAGGATCTCTGACTAGCACAGCGAATCCCCATCAGTCTGTCACACTTCAGTCCTTCTGCTGAAAGTTGTCATTACAGAGTCTCGGCTCATACTTTTACTCTCATGCTGCACATGAAACATGTAACATAATCTGTTTCACTCAGACACTGAGGGGCAGTAAAGCTGTCAAACACACAATCAATACCTTCCACTGTTCAATCATGAGCCCTCCATTATCTCCATAACAACCCTCATCACCATAACAACCCATCAGCATCCCAGCTCCTCATCCAATAAATCAGGCTCCTCAATACTGTCATCCATTCAATTAATAATTCAGGGTTTTGATTGGCAGATGAGGATCAATTCACCAATTAAGGAGTGCTGCTCTGTGTTCGGGTTTCATTCAGTTTTCTGTGTTTCTCTGCAGAATCGGCGCGCTGGAGGTGGATTTTGATTGACAGGCCGCAGTGTAGCTTTTACACTTGTCACCTCAGGGCACACGCCGAATAGTCCAGCTGATCAGAAGTTCGTCTGCCAGTCCGCCATCTTGTATTCAACTTAATTGTGAGTTTGAAAGTCCAAAGTGACAAGGTACTGAACCGTGGTCCAGCGGTGTAAACATCATTTCTTCATTCTTTGTCTTTTAAATTTAAAGCTGGAGCGCTTCGCAAAGTTGAGATCTTGTAAAATTGATCGAGTTTCTTCAGTCTTCGTCAACTCTGAAGGTAGAAGTCAAAAACTTTGAGACCTGTGAGGAAAGTTTGCAAAGTTTATTTTTCAGTGAGGAGAAGTAAAGGTGTGTTATTTATTTATTATTTATTGAAAAGATGCACACTGTACAATATGGTCATGCAATACAAAGACACACCAACCTGTGTGCTGCAGTACATGACTTTTCTTGTGTTTCTAAAGCCCGTGATCTTTGGCTAAACTTAAGAAAGGTTCATATACTTAAGAGTCTTGGACAGTTACAGCTAAACCTGAGGTCCAATATCATCCCGTCGTTCTGCCTTCCTTCTTCTCTGAGCAGGAATTTCTTCTGCTTTCTGACCCTCCAATCTCCCAACCAAGGCTCTCTCTTTCTCTCTCTCTCTCTCTCTCTCTTTCTACCTTTGCAGTGGATGTCATTAAATATTCACAGCTCCATTCTGGGCTAATTGTCCTCAACATGGCAGAGAGCAGTGGAATGAAATTAACCCATTAGCCAGGAACTGCTTTCATCAGAGCACAGGGCCCAGGAAGTGTGTGTGTGTGTGTGTGTGTGTGTGTGTGTGTTTGATGCCCTCTGCTCTTTTATTCAGTCATGCAGGTGTACGTGCAAACATATGAACCTCTACCACTCTCTGTTTCTGGACTTGACTGCTTTGCCGCTTTTGACATTTGATGCAGACGATCACCAGACTCTCACGTCATGGTTTGAGGTTTGAGGTTCTCCATTCATCTTGGCCAGTAATATTCAAAAGCAGCCCCTCTAGTTTCAGGAGTTCCTCAAGGCTCCATTTTAGGTCCTACTTGTTTTTTTGTTTTTTTTAATTCAGCTCCATTTCTAAAAAGCCCAACATCTCTTTCCATTGTGTTGCAGGTTATTGAGGAGAAAGGGCGACAACAGCATGAAGCAAAGGGTCACGACCACAACAGCTAGGACTTAAGCCTCTAAATGTATGACGTGAGTAACATCACCTGTATCTGAAGCATAGTTTAAAAGCTTATTGGCAGTGCTCACCATATCAGAAAGGCTAACTCAACCTACCAAGAGTCAAAGAGGTAGGCCTTAAACTTCCTCGCCTACAGCTACATTATGCCCAGATGTCCGAGTCCGCTGTGTGTCCAATGCTGCAAAATTTGTCACCTTAACCCTTTATTGCCCTTTGTATCATATTTGATACATACTTTTATAATACTTCTATCAATCAATATGATCAACAAATTACAAAAAAAAAAAAAACACCTTAACACAGTCAGATAAATGATTAAAATGTCCTCTTGTGGTTTATCAGTTTCCAAAAACATCTGATGTATCAAACATTTAAGGACATTTGGATTTTTTTGGTTTTCAGTCGTAAGTAAAATAAACATTTCAGCTCCAAAAAAAAAAAAAAGAATTTTCTGGCCATAATTTGTGGTTTCAGGCATTGAAGTGTTAATATCTTCAAAAATTATATAAAATTTAAAAAAAGAACTCTGTGATAGATAGAAGATATTCAGATAAACCAGAAAAAAAAAGGTTATTTGTTGTAAAAATCTGCTTTTTTTATGTGTGTGTGGTTGCTGATACTTTTGGAGCCAGCCCCAAGTGGACACTGGAGGAACTGCAGTTTTCAGCACCTTGGCTTTCTAGACTGGTAGATGCGTCTTGGTGAAGCATCACAACAGCGACTCTGTATCAGACAAACTGACAATCATAAAGGTAAAAAAATAAGAGAAATGACTGAATAAAAATCAATTTAAAATACAGAAAATACGACTCCTATCATCTTACTTCTCTCCATCTTTTATTTTTCTTATTTTTCCATCCTCTCTCTCTCTCTCTCTCTCTCTCTCTCTCTCTGTGAAGTCGTCTCATGGCACAGGTCAATACGGCTCTATTCAAAGTATTGACAGGGTAAAGTGGTCCCACTTAACGGCACTGAACAACTCGCTCTTGTGACAGTCTCCAGAGGCGGAGGACGAGTGAAGAAAGAGAGAGCGAGAGAGAGAGAGAGAGAGAGATGCAATTATTTGCACAATATTTTGCCTAATTATCTTGTAGTCAATTAAAAAATAGTCTGAAGTTCAATCTTTCTTTTTTTTAACTTTGAATTATGCAAACAAAGCCATGTACAACCTGACAGGGAGGCTAAATTCACCTCTTCTTCCTCTGGGACTGAGCCACTACCTGTCAGCTAATTAAGACGTCGCCTCATTTGTTCCTCATTACCGCTAATTTCTCTTCACCTCCCTCCTTTGTTTCTCGCTCTCTTCCCTTCCTCCAGAAAAAAACCCACCTCCTCCATTCGTTTGTTTGTTTTCCTCCATCTTTGCATCTGTCGCAGCAGAGAAATTAATTTTGATAAACGAGAGGATCTTTAAATATTAATTATGTATTAATTACATTCACAAGGCAAAACAAACCTTGCTTAATGATTTATGAGGATCAGTCCCACTTTACTCCTGATTTCATTGTCCAATGAGATTCAGGAGAGAGGAGGGAGAGCGATGAGCTGGGAAATTAAAACAATGAAGCTAAACGTGATTAAAGAGCGGCAGACAGATTCAGACTCTGTGTGTAAGTGTGTGTAAGTGTGTGCGTGTGTGTGTGTGTGGGATAGTGTGTGTTTTTGTGCGTGAAAATGTGAGATAACTGTCATCACATCAGAGCCGATCTTTAACATGATGAAAGATGAAATAGAGCCGGAGCGACAAAAGAGAAAAAGTAACAACCTCGACCTTTGACCTACAGTATATCATCTCCAATCTCAAGTTACATGTGGAAGCCTGTGACCTTTGACCTCTGTGACCTCTGGCTCTTCCATATATCTCAACCTATTCCCCATGTGGATCCATGTGCGCTGTCCAGACTGATTTCTGCTGGTTCAGGTATCGTTTTCATTGTTCACGGTCAAAACTGGCGTGTGAAGTGCGAATGTACTCGATTCCTCAGCCGGCGCACAGACCTTTGTAACCTTACATTTACGACATACCTGATGTTTGTCTAAGAGTGATAATCTTCATGCTGATGGAGTTCCAGGCATGTACGGTGGCCCTAAAAGGTCAATGGTATAGATATTTCAGAAGGTTAATAAATTATGTTTCATAAAAAAATGCAAAACATAAAGATATTTCACATAATTGCAAATAGATTATAAAAACATGCAATAATTTTTAAATAACATCTGCATACCAAATTATTGCACTCCTGAAATATTTCTACCATTGACCTTGAGGGCTACCGTAGTTTGCACATTCTGCAGCAGGAACGAGATGGCGGAGAAAGCATCGCACAGGCCTTGATCACTTATTGATCACACAGATTCACTATGATAATACGTCTGCTTGGTGTGCAAGAATGTGCAAAGATGAATTAGTGCATCTCTTCTGCTCACCACTTTGTTTTGCATTCAGATTTCCACAGGATTTCAGTGTCAGTGTGCAGAAGTGTCAGCTTTAAAAAAAAAACAAACATTTGACTGAAAGTCAGTCCTGTATTAAAAGATTTGCATGAGAAAAAGTGTTATTAATTAAAATAAATGCATATGTTTGAAAATATGAAACATGCAGGAATAAAATAACTTGAAGTACAGGTGAAGAAGCTGACAGTATGAAGTGTGACGCATATCTCTGTCTATATATAAATGAGTATCGGTGTGACACATGCCTCTTTTACACACTATTATCATCTCCTCTTCCCTGATAATCAGCTGTCTCTGAGGTAACCTCACACACAGACAGACACACACACACACACACACACACACACACACACACACACACACACACACACACACACACATACACACACTGAGACTCCCAGTTGTAATAAATATTTCAAAGGTGGAATGTTTAGTAAACAAAAGGTGTGTGGTGGTGTGTGTTTGATGCTGTGTGTGTGTGTGTGTGTGTGTGTATGGTGTATCAGTGTGTCTAAGGGATGCTGAGGAGAGGTGTCATATTTGCCGTCTCTCTCTTCCCTCTCTGTGAAATCCGACCTCGTTGTCGTGCAGTTTTAACCAAACAAACACTGACCGCTGCTGCTGCTGCTGCTGGAGGAGGAGGAGGAGGAGGAGGAGGAGGAGGAGGCCTGACCCTCAAACCACACTGCGGCATCAGGTTCACACAGAAAATTGGATGTGTGTTTCCCCGAGAGTGTGCTTCTCTTGATTATGGGCTGAGCTGAAGAAGAAAAATGTAGTTTTTGTCAGGACATAAGGTTTTGAGATTAAACTTGCCAGAAAACAAAGACACCATCGACATCTCCTCTTCCACACCTGCTGCACCTGCTGAAAACTACAACCTGAGACATGGCCAGAGCTTCCTCATGAGCTCTCTCAGCAATAATAAGCACATAACAGCCTAGTATGCAGTGTTACAATGGATGTTGCATCGATCGTTGCTTGTGACCCGTGACTGTTCCCCACATTTGCCTGTATATCTATCTATGTGTGTGTGTGTGTGCATGTATGCAAAGCAGCAGTACCACCCAGGAGTGTGCGACACGATAAACCCCAGCTCCCCACAGCAGAGGCAGAAATTATTATACCGTGGCTCACCAGCTGCAAGTAAATAAAACATTAAAGATGCACAAATTTGGCTCACAAATTTGGAGAGAGGGAAAAATTTAAAGTGCTTAATACTTAATACACACTTTACTGTATGTTCAACTGTATCAATATGTAATGAGGACTAACTGCGAGCCTGCCAATACAGTTTTTTTTCTCCAGCAGAGTGAAGAGATGAAGAGTTACAGCTCACTGATGCTTTCTGTTTTTACAAACAGAAATCAGATCTGTTTAGAAAATCCAGATGAGATAAGATAAGATAAAAATATGACACACATCCAAACAGAGAGAGGAGAAATGACTTCTGCATGTTTGCCATGTTTTACAGAGGCTTAGGAAGTGTTCAAGATGTCCTTTCAAAATAAAACTTGAGCTTTTGCAATTCGAAGTTGTACATTAATTTAACGCATGGTTAAAGCAGTAAAACAGATGCAGTTTGGTAACACTTACACGATAAATGACTGCTGAAGGTTTTCTGTTCATAAGGCTAAATAGGTTATAACCTGGGTGTGGTAAATACTTGATTCTGATTGGCTGAAACTCCATAAGTCAGATGTGAACCCGATCAAACACGCTTTGCTAAATTAATCTGCAGAACTTTGACCTCTGCCTGTTGACACTGTGGAAAAACCTTAATTTAAGTCTCATGTTTGGTCTTGAGAGTCTGGAGATAAACAAATGTAGTGGTTAGGGATGTGAGGGCAGCCTGAGGAGCCATGTCTGAAAGAGGAAAGGGAAGCAGTCCTTGCACCTGCATCAGAGCTGGTGTGAGCATCTCTAAACCGGGGATCTTTATAAAGTAACTTAAAGCTCTAATGGGGAGTTTTTCCTGAATCTGACTGAAATCAAGATTAATGCAAACAAGACCATCAAAGATAAGATTAACATTTTCTTTGTATTGGTGTTGATGCGATAAAGAATATAATCGAGTGAAATAAGACTCCTCCATTATCTATACATTATATTGTTTTCTTAATGAAAATCTGATTAAAGTTCAAAACAAAACAAAAAACTCATAAAGCAACACCAGCTCAAAGAAATCAATTTTAAGAGCATCGGGAGGAAACGGTGTGACAGCAGCAGCAGTGTGGTTTGTGGCTTGGTGTGTGTTGTGAGATGGGGGTGGTGGGGGGTGGGGGGTCACAGCTAAGTAGATAGGTGACAGCAGTGAGAGCAGGATTTCTGAAACTGTAGCTGACCCTGAGCTGCTGACGGGGGCCCACACAGGACGAGAGACCCAGAAACAGGGAGAGTGGGAGGGTGAGGACGAGGAAGAAGAAGAAGAGGGTGGGGGGATGCGGTGTCACAGTGAGGAGGGTTACATCAGAGGATAGGAGGTCTGTGAGAGTTGAGGACGGCCTGGGGGTGAGCGCTAAAAAAAAGGGAGGGGACGGGACTCTGCAGGGAGGCTGAAAATGGCTCGAGGTGAAAAAGGATCAAAACTGAAAAAAAAGTCCCTGAGGATTTCCTGAGTCTTTCCAAACAGTGACAGGAAGTCAATTCAGCATTGAAACTGTTATTGAAAAACTGAAAATAGTAAAAGATTTTAAAGTAGTTAGAACATTTAGTATCTGCAATCATCAACATCCCAGCTCCACTTTTTGTGGTTTTACCAAAGAAATTTAAATGATGTCGATGAAAACATTACAGGTGTTTTCAGATTATGTTCACGGTTTTCTCCTCACTGACCGAGTTTAAAGCTGCATTTACGGTGATGTCCACTACAGAGTCGTGTCTGTCTTCAATGAAGAGCCACCCAAGGGCAGACGCTCACAGTCATGGTTGACAGCCTTAGATGCGCTGAATCTTTTAATGCATGTATGAGAGTACTGTTGATGATTTTACATTATTATAGAAGTGACAAAGTATTCGCTCATGTGATCTCTCATAGTGTAACAGCCAGGCTTCATTTCTAAGAGACTCTCTGACTTTTTAAAGTCAATCTTTAGGAAATCAAAATCATTGAAGGAGATTTTTTTTCAGTTTTGTCATCTCCGTCCAAACTTTTTTATTAATCATGTTGCTGGTTTTGAGTTTGAAATGAGCTGAAATGAAATAATCAAATTTACCACTGTCAACACTTCATATGTTTTCTTTTCACTATTTTTAGCCTCATTTTTGTCAAGACAGTCTCCAAAAATATACACTTAGAATAACAACGAGAAATATTGTTTCTGAAACCTGTCTCCTTTTCTCCACTAAATTACTACCAGAATTTTACATTATTTTACTCTTGGATTCACTTCACAGGCTTTAATTGCAATGTTCACAATACAGTATTGTAACGTCAAATTTTACATTGAAATCAACACAGGCAAAGTTAACCACTGTGAAATATTGACAGTGAATTACTGTAAAGTAGTTGTAAATTTACAGTCAAATATTTTATCCATCTAAATTAATTATTATCCAATCCAGAGACGACGATAAAAGTAACTGAAGACTCTGGAGAAGTTTTTTAAATGATGATTTTTTCTTCATGTGACTTACTATATACTGATTTTACTGATTTTAAAAGTTTTGGTAGACTCATACATGCATGTCTACAGTGTAAGAATCCCGTCATCTGCAGCACCAACAACTACCAGCATATGAGCATTTCAGATGTAACGTCTCCAAACAGCAGGAAGTTTCTTGCACACACAAAAACTTCTGGGTGATTTTTAAAATATTTTGAATCCCAGCGCGAAAACTTAACTCTACAGTATAAAATGACAGACTACATGTAAACTCGAACACTCATAAGTACATCATTGCATGACAATAGTTGCAGTGTTTGGGGGTTGGGGTGAGGCGGGGTGAGGGTGGGGGGTGGTTCTCAACTGAGGATAATGGGAGCAATGGGAGCAGCCCAGGCAGCATATGGCCAGGCTGGGCTGCCTGCTGGTGCACCAGCTGTGGAACTGGTGGCTGAGATCACACAACTACTGAAGAACCCATCACCCCCCACCTCACACACTCCACCCTCTCTACCCCTCCCTCCAGCTTTCTGTCACCCTCAACCCTCGTCTCATGTGAGTTCACTCCAGAACACTGTGATACAACAATCTGGGGGGGGCAAGAGCCAAGACAAGACTGGAGGAAAACGTTCAAAAGAAAAGATCCTTTTTCTAAATTTATATTATGATGTAATTTCAGCAGATTTGAGACCCATTTATTGCAGAAAATTGGTTTCTGTCTTAGGAAAGCCTCTGTGTAAATAACTTTTTTCAATGAAGCTGAGACTCCCAAAAAATATCTGAATATGCACAATGAAATGTGATGGATGACAATGTTTATGTTGGAGGAGTAAATCTCGTTTAAAGTGTTCCTACATATGCAGTCTATTAGTTACCTGGCTGAGGGAAATTATTCATCTAAAGCTGTAAAAATGGGGGTCTGGTGAAGGTTAAAAAGGTAACTCCTTTAATGCAGATATTAAAGCTCCTGTGAGGAACTTTTAGTTTGTGTCAATGTTAGCGCCCCCTGTGGACAAAGCTCTCACTCTCTCTCTTGGTTAGGGAAAGATAACTCAAGGATGAGGGTGTGCTATTTAAAATCAAAACCTCTATTTTCTGTCTTTCAATCAGCTCTTCATTTGGTATTTTTCCCCCTTCTCTTTTCTTTATTATGCTCCTCCCTCCATCATCTCCTTCCTCATCTTTTTCCCTTTCTTCCTCCCCCTGTCCCTAATGCCACTCTGCATCTCTAAGAGGAGCGATCACAGCTCATGGTAAAGACGATGTAATATGGATGAGGCCGTCTCAGAGTCTCAAAGGCATCAAACAGGCAGCATCGTATCCCAGAAGGCTGAGCGACTGACTTCACATGCAGGGAAACGCTTAGAGAGGGTTTTTGCAAGCCGCTTTCATCCCTCTGTCTTTCCCCCCGTCGGCTGTCTTTATATCTGCTCCTCTGTGAGCCGTTAGTATGTCTTTGTTTCTGTTTGAACAGGCCGGTCTGTGTGTGTTCGGCTTGTTCTACAGAGGGCTTAAAAGTGAAGAGATGTGTGGTCACCAATTGAGACCATTTCTAAAATGACAGATGATTTTCATGGACATTGAAAGTGCGATTTAACATTTCCTTAAATGATTAAACGGCCTGAAACCAACGGTGTCAACGTTTCTAATAAAACTACCACAGAATTTAAGCAAAGGAAGATGATGAAGCATCAGAATTGGTGTAAAAACAAACAGATTTTAAAACTGTGTTTCAAGTTATATTTGTATTAAAGAAAAATAATAAACAAATGCTTGAAAAATTAAAGTGTTTACTCTAAATGTTCAAATCTTTCTCAGGTCATATCTGGTGTTCCACAGGGTTCTGTCCTGGGGGCATTATTTTTTTTTGTAGGACGGTGGGGAAAAGTCCCGCCTCCTTCGCTTCTGATTGGTTAGAAAAGCTGGAAACTTCATCACACGCTCAAGCCAAACGCAGGCTGTCGGCTCTGTACATCAACCAGAACATTACAGAACATTATTGCACTTCTGAACGTATTAACCCTAACCCTAGCCCCAACACTAACCCCAGCCCAACCCTAATCCTAACACTAACCCTAACCCAACCCTAGCCTCAACCCTAACCCTAACCCCAACACTAACCCTAACACCAGCCCAACCCTAATCCTAACACTAACCCTAACCCTAACCCCAACACTAACCCTAACCTCAACCCTAACCTCAACCTTTTCCCTAACCCTTTAGCCCCAAGCCTAGTTAGGTTGGGGCAAGGGTTAGGGCTAGGGTTAGGATTGGGGCTAAGGTTAAGGTTTAGGCTAGGGTTAGGGTAGAAGCTAGGGTTGGGGTTGAGGCTAGGGTTTGGGTTTGGGTTGGGGGTAGGGTTAGGGTTATTGTTAGGGTTGGAGGTAGGGTTCCAACCCCAACCCTAACCCTAGCCCCAACCCAAACGGGGTCTTATTCCACCCTGATTATATTCTTTATTGCATCAACACCAATACAAAGAAAATGTTAATCTTATCTTTGATGGTCTTGTTTGCATTCAACATCAATCTTGATTTCAGTCAGATTCAGGAAAAACTCCCCATTAGAGCTTTAAGTTACTTTATAAAGATCCCCGGTTTAGAGATGCTCACACCAGCTCTGCTGCAGGTGCACGGATTGCAGGACATGAAGCTGCTTCCCGTTCCTCTTTCAGACATGGCTCCTCAGGCTGCCCTCACATCCCTAACCACTACATTTGTTTATTTCCAGACTCTCAAGACCAAACATGAGACTTAAATTAAGGTTTTGCCACAGTGTCAACAGGCAGAGGTCAAAGTTCTGCAGATTAATTTAGCAAAGCGTGTTTGATCGGGTTCACGTCTGACTTATGGAGTTTCAGCCAATCAGAATCAAGTATTTACCACACCCAGGTTATAACCTATATAGCCTTATGAACAGAAAACCTTCAGCAGTCATTTATCGTGTAAGTGTTACCAAACTGCATCAGTTTTACTGCATTAACTGTGTGTTAAATTAATGTGTAACTTCAAATTGCAAAAGCTCAAGTTTTATTTTGAAAAGACATCTTGAACTTCACTTCCTAAGCCTCTGTAGAACATGGCTAGGGTTGGGGTTGAGGCTAGGGTTTGGGTTGGGGGTAGGGTTAGGGTTATTGTTAGGGTTGGAGGTAGGGTTCCAACCCCAACCCTAACCCTAGCCCCAACCCAAACATAAACCCTAGCCTCAACCTGAACCCTAACTTCAACCCTAGCCCTAACCCTAACCCCAACCCTAGCTAGGTTGGGGCTAGGGTTAAGGTTTTGGCTAGGGTTAGGGTTGAGATTAGGGTTAGGGTTGGGGGTAGGGTTAGTGACTGCAGGTCAGTTAGGAATATCTGAGTCTGCAGGATTAATTTGCAAACAGCATATGCACAATAATACAATGTTGCTTACAAAACCTAAGGTGCAACATGTTACTCTATTAGTAGTTGTTCGGTAAACACTAAACCACCTGCAGAGACACTTCTGAATCAGTATGTCTAACTATTCAGTATTAAGGGAAAAAGCCGACAGCTGGACTCTACAGTGGGGTGTGCACTGCAGAGTGAGAGTCTGCAGAGAGGGTGTACACCTCAACATTTTCAACAGAAATATCAGAGAATTTGTGACAGACTTTCCTGTTGAGGATGAGGTATAAATCGGTGCTTTCTGAAACAGAGGATTCCTGTTTGAAAGGTGACTGAGTGAACGAGAAAGGACGGCTCTGCAAGTTAAAACAGAATCCATGAGAAGTTTCCCTCTGCTGTGATCTGTGCATTTGAGAAATGAAAGTCTTTATCTCTTAGTAAAAAGGAGAAAGTATCAAAGCTGCAGTGGATTTATTCCTGAATAAAATGTGAGTTAGCAAATATAAGACTGCTAAAATCACACAGACCAATAATACCAAATATTTCCTGCTGTATTCATCCATATTTGAACTGAGCGCCCTAAACGGTTTGCACATCTGTTGATTTCCTCCAGAGCTCGTAAATAAGAAATCGCTCTTGTACAACTTAAATTAAGGTCAAGTAAAAACATAAAAAATGCATTTGGTCTTCAATGGGAGGCTGTCAGTGCGGCCGACAAAGGTGATAGTTTATTCTGCGAGGCAGGAGAATTATTTATGATCATGTTGCACTTCAAGGGGTCTGCCAATCAATAACATGTGGCCTTAATCACCCAGACAAAGTTGTAAGAACCCCTGCACACACACACACACACACACACACACACACTCTGACACGGACTCACAAAGAGCGACATCTCCCCACAGTCTGGAGCATCCACCGAATGCTAACGTACAAGGGATAGCTATCATGGCAGCATCAAGTATTAATCATGTTTTAGAGAGGGAGAGAGGAAACCCCGTCCAATGCAGCATCCCACCAGAGACAGGAAGAGACTAAGAAGACCCAATAAGAGAGATTGGGGGACGGGCCCCTGCCATAACACAAAACCCTGAACTTTTAAAAACCTGAATTTTCCTTTTTCTCTGTGAAAATTTCCCTAAAATCAGATATTAAAGAGCCAAAAGTAAAGTGACGGGCCGAAGTGAAAACTCACGCAGATTAAAAGGAATGTTAAAGTGCCGGTAAAAGCCCAGATTAACAACAAAAAAGTGAGAGATCTCCCATTTGAATAATTGAAAAATAGGTGAGCGTTTAATAATTCACTGCTACAAACGAGGAGAGGAGGGGGGTGATGAATGTTTTAAACACACGCTGAATCTCTTCACCGACTGCTGGCCTGCAGGACGGACACGGCGCGCCTATACGGTCACAAAACACACACACTTATACACAAACAAACAACGAAGACACTTGTTTTACTCCTTCAAAGTCTGCCTGTAGGGTCTCTTTGCTGCCGTTTGGCTGAAACAGGTCTTAGGAACTGCGTTTCAGACCAAATGGTCACATACAGCAGCCTTTTTGTCTATGTTGATTCTGGTGCCCCCTGTGGACAAAGAGATCTTTGCTGATTTTTTCAATTTACATCTGTAATTAGTTTGTCATTTAACTAAATTTTACATCATTAACTTTAAGTGTTTTAGCATTCATCAATTTGAGTTTTAACGACAGGATCATCTTTTAATGAGCTATTTTGGTGCTCTTATTTTAGTATCTTTGACTTTGATTATTTCTTCAATTTCATTCTATGTTTCTTTGTTTTTAGATTTTAATCTAAACCTCGAGTGTTTCCTTATCTCGAGTTTTAAAATGATGTTTCCTCAGTGTGCATATTCCTGTTTCCATGAAATCAAGCCTTTTCAAGTTTATGCATTTTAATACTGTTTCTGTTGCAGTTAGATCGTGGGAATGAGGGGTTGGGCTGGGGTAGATTTGGGTATTCTTTGTTTCTTTTATTCCCTTTTCTGTGTAAAGCACTTTGTGCTACATGGTTGTGTATGAAAAGTGCCGTATAAATAAAGACTGATTAGGTTGCTGAGGTTGGCCTCTGACTGAATGCGAAGAAGATGGAGGTAATTACCTGTAACTCCCACGTGGACCATCCGCAGATTACAACGTCAGATGGCAATGCTCTGCGAGAGGTCGATGACTTTAAATACTTGAGTTCCTGGGTCGACTCCACAGAACAGGTCCGTATGGTCAGGAAGGCACTAGCGTGGAGGGCCCTGAACGGTATGTTGAGAGTGTGGTGCTCGAATCTCTCCAGACACATAAAGCTGAACCTATTCCATGACACTGTGGAGTCCGTCCTCCTGTACGGCTGCGAAAGCTGGACCCTGACACCCACCCTGCAGAAGTCCTTGGATGGGTGCTACACCAGAATGCTACGAGCTGTGCTGAACGTGGACCAGAACATCCACATTACCAACAAGGACCTGTACGGGCGAGAACGTAGCATCTTGGAGGATGTGGCTGGCCGGCCACTGCCACAGACATCAGGAGCTCCCGGCCAGCAGGAACCAACACACGGGCACCGTTCGCGAGGACATTCAGCGCTTACGTATGTGGAGCTGAAAGCTCTTCGGAGCTGGAGTATGGAGAATCGGGAGGATTGGAGACTCCGATGGAAGCTCGTCTGAGGACAACAGAGAAAGATTGATTGATTGATTTCCTTTTCTCTTGTAACAGTCCCATGAATCAGTTATTATCAAATATAAATGGAGGCTGTATTTGCAGTATGAAGTACACCACTTCGTCTGACACCGACCCCCCACCAACTGTTTCAGACATTAAAAATAGCTGACCAGCAATTGTCATCCTTCCTGGAAATGGTCCTCTACACTTTTCTGAGTCATAAAAACACAATCTGTATCAATTTCAATCTTTTTTAACTGCGAGCTAAAAACCCTTACAGGAGCTTTAATTGTGCCACACATCCAAAAAAGTTTGTTTTGAAAGCCCAGTGCCGCCAAGTTAGAAATAACGTGCAAAAATGGATTCAAGGAAGGGAGCAAAGGTGTCATTTTTGGGAATGTTGAACCACTCATCAAGTCTACATGAAGCAGGAATTAGGAATTAAGCAGGAATTAAAACGGACATTCGTGTTTTTCATGTAGTAGCTCCAACAGTTTTTAACTTTATCTCTCCCTCACTCCTCTTTTTCACATTTTCCCTCCGTACTTCACACACTTTCTAACCATCGTCCATCTCCAGTTCCTTCTTAAACTCTTTTTCTCACTTGTTCCTCTCTTCCTCCTCTCATCTTTCTCACTGCCTTCTCGTTTTTCCTCTCTCATTCATCCTCGCTCTTTCTCCCGTACGGGATGCAGGCGGTTGCCAGGCAGTTACCACGGAAACATTCTGCATTATTGATGGAGCGGGTTCATTGCGTCCCAAGCAGCACCCAAACTGTCCCAGCAGAGCACAACAAGCAGCAGCAGCAACAATACCGACAGAGAGAGAGAGAGAAGAGGAGAAGGAAGAGAGAGAGAGAGAGAGAGAGAGAGAGAGAGAGCGCTGACCAACTAGGGTGAGACAAACTCATCCTGAGAGTCTTTACCCAGAATTACTCTGTAAACACAGAACAGGTTATAACAAAGTCGTGACCAAGTTTACTTTATTTTGCACACAAAAACACTTGAAACACAGTTGAAAAAAAGTGAAAAATGTAAATAAAAATTGAACAAATAGTGTCTGTGAACTTTAAGGTGTTAATGGCGGTGAAGTAAGGGTATAACTGATGACACCACCATGGCGCATTTCATTTTGAAAATCTCCAGGATGGCTCTGGTGACATTTGAAAAGTGATAAGCCAAACTGAGGCAACATATCACTAAAGTCTACTTTGAGTTTTAGCTCTGAGATAAGGTGCAGCCGGTCAGACTGCATCACAGAAGTTGGCAGAGCTTTTATTTTGAAGGGCGAGAACAGGGGGAAGAAACTAAATCAAAGAAACAAACCAAACTGAAACCCCTGAAAAGTCCTAATGCTGTTGCGTTAACCAGGAATCACTGGATGTCAACTATGCACTCCTGCGTACTTCTAGATATGCAACAGTAGTACCTATAGTACCTGAATGAATGAATAAAAGGATCCTAGTTCACAGGATAAGCCCCACTTTAGATCTGTCTCCTACCCTTAAGTGCTGGTTTCGGATTTTGATGGTGTAGCAGTGCAGCATTTATTAGCTTAATAAACAATGCATTATAAGTATTGCACTCTTAGATGATTCAAAGTTTGACCAGTTCACAAACAGATTGCACAGTTAAATATGATTATATGTTGTGGAAAAGCTTAATAAATCCAGGGACACTCAGAGGGAAGAGTTGGGTGGTAGATGCTGTACAAGATTACATCCTCCACTCTGTCACCACCATCAGAGAGTCCAGCTACTCTCAGTCTACTGCCCCTGCACACAACAGCAAACAGGATCACACTGGACCCCACAGACTCAAAGAGCATCCTCAGTCAGCATCATCCTGCAGATGTTGAAGGACGTCAGACTCCGGAGGACGTAGAGACGGCTGATGACCTTCTTGTAGACAGCTTAAAAGTTCTTAGACCAGTCCAGTTTGTTCTCCAAGTACAACCCCAGGTAGGTGAACTGGAAAGAAGGGGGTGTGGGTAAGACCCTCACCTGAGGATGAAAGGGGACTGTGAGGAGAAGGTGGGGAGGGCAGAGAAGTGGGAGAAGAGGAGAGAAGAACTCAAAAAAGCACTAAAGAGGAAGGACTAAAAAAGGAAAGAGTAACAGCAGCGATATAATCTGGGTCAAATTCAAAACAAACCTGCGTTTAGAGCGCTGAAGATGTGACAAAAAGTCTGATTTATTTTTCTGCCAGAACATTTTGTTCAGTCAAACCTCCCACTTTCTGAAATGAGTGCATTTCAATTGTCTCTTCATTTTACCTCTGTCCCAATGAGTTTATTCTGCTCCTGTCTGGTTCATCACTAACACCAGTTAAGTACAAGTGTTGCGATGAGCTTTTTCAGGTAAAGAGCACTGAAATGAGTTGATATTTAGATCTGAAGTTGTAGTTTTGCAGTCTGGAGAGTGACAAACTGATTCTGTGGATAAGAACCCCTTTTTTCTCTGCTCGAATAACTATTGTCTGCTCCGGTGAAATTCTAACACTCGTGTTTCTGACAAAGTGAAACAGGATCTGTTTGAATTCGACACCCAGAGTCCACGCAGCAGCAGGACTCCTCCAGCCAATCAGGAGTCAGCTTGGCGACTGGCTGTCTACCTTCGATAGGAGTTTGTCTGATGTATTCATTCACTCATTTTCTATGAGTCCATTTATTCATTTAGCTACAAGAACGCTGATGCCACAGTTTTTATTTTCAGGCCTCATGCATCATTTTCACTTTTATCTTTAAAGATGTAAAATTAAACATCCAGTGATCTGAGCGGCTCGGTCCATTTTCATCAGTTTGATAAAAAGCCCACACTGAAATGTCAGCCTGCTTCAACGGTTTCACTCTGTAATAAATTCAGTCATTTATTCTCATGCTACCAACTCTTTCTTCAAACAACACCATCTACCCATTTGTGAGAGTTGCTTTCATACAAACAACATGTCAGCCACGACAGCCAATCAGCAACAATTAGCCCTCGCTCAATGCTTCCAGTCCAGCAGCCGGACAGTCAGCCGGCCGGCAGCATCACTCACCTGTTGTGCCCCAGGCGACGCCTCCCTCCTGATCCCCATGATGCAGCTGTCATCCCAGCCACTCCACCACTCTCTTTCTCTCTCTCTCTCTTTATGCTTCTTTGTTGTCCATCATCTCGTGCACCACCTACACATCCACCGTCTGAATGAGGCCTATTGTGCAGCATGCATGCTGCAGAAGCAGCAGCAGCACGGCCCTCCATGACCCTCGATGTTCTGCATAACAAAGTTTCTCTTCATATCTCTGTACGGCCATCGTGTTCTCCTGCTTCCTTTCACTTATGAAAACACACTTCTCTTTTTCTTCGGCCGTGCAAATTTACTCAAAGGAAGATCATCTCGAAAGAGTGCAAAATCAAGAGAAATTAATTATTATGGATAATCCTCAGCCAAAGTCAGGCTATGAAATCAGAGACTGCTATCCACAAATCCCTGCTAGTTCTTGTTTGTAGTCCTCTGGTAAAATTGACTTGCTCCAGTTGTACAAAGAAAATAACAAAACCGCAAAAAACACAGAAAAACAAGAGAGCAAATAAAAAAATAAAGAAGAGGGCAAGTGTAGAGCGTCCACAGCTGGCAGGCTGGACTGTGTTAAGGCCTCAGGGCCTCGATGGATGCTCCCTGCGCCGTGTCTCGGAAGAAAAAACAACAAAGAAAAAGTGTGAAAAAAAGAAGGAATGAAAGAAAGAGAGCGAGCACGCAGGCACCTCTGCTTTGAGCAGCAAACAGGAGCTTGAGTGAGGAGGAGAGGAGCGAGGCTGCAAGTTTATATGTGTTCTCTCCCCCTGAACCAGGGGACCGGCTGAATAAATAATACAATAGATATTCCTGTGATGAGGTCTTGGCGCACCATTCATAATTATTTCATTGTAGCTGTAATGAGAGCGCTGGCTCTCCTGATGCACCCTGAGCTGGCAGGTAGGTCTCTCCTGAATCCAGGGCCCAGAGGCAAGATGTGGACCCGTGCTTCACGCAGGAGGAACAGGTCGGACTTCATTAATCTGGTTCTCAGGAAACATCTGTTGCATGATTATACAGCTGGAAGAGAGTTACAGGTGATATGATAATCCAGTAATCTGCAGCTGTTTGAAGATGCATGCAAGTAACAGATTTCACCAGAGTTAGAAAGTTGTTTTAACCATAAAACAGCTACAGGCCAATGGTGATGTTTCTTTAAAAACATGAGCCATTCATGTTTGATTACTCCATCAGAATCCAAAGATGATAACTGTAGATAGAAACTGTAACTCATGGATATTAGCCTGAAAGTAAAACCAAAACAGAAGGGCCTTAAAGCTGGATTCTTTGCGAATCTCTAAAAAAAGGAAAAGACTGAATGGATGTGATTTTAAGTCATGAAACTCTGTAGTGGGACTCACTGCATGCGCTCAATATGAATCCCAAGAACCATTTCTAGTGAACAAAATCAACATTGTAGCTTGAAACTGTATCATGCGAGATTCAGAAACTCTGGCCACCTCTCCTGGACCGTGTGGAATGGAACATTTTGGAGGGAATCTATGGACTCTGCATCTTTGTCTCTGAAGAGGTGGGTAAACACTTCGTATGTTAACAGGACACAGTTATAAAGCCAACATCCTTGATGGTTTGGGGGATGCAGCACTTGAAGCAGTCGTGCCCTGTGCAAGGGTGACCAATCCGGGAAGGCACCATTAATGCTCAACCATAAATACAGGTTTTCTAGCAACATATGCTGCCATCCTGACCATGGCTCTCAGGGAAGACCTTGCATAATACAGAAGGTAGATGCCCGATTACATTTTGCATACATTACAGCAGCGTGGCTCTGTAGTAGAAGAGTTCATTTGGAGCATCATAAAACAAGGTGGAGTCTGGGTTGTATATTGCAACATTAATAGAGTATATCTGTATGAATATGATGAAAAACAGCAGTGTTGTGCTGCATATATGGGGACATGTTAAACGCAGTTTATTTAAAAAAAGAAAGCATGCTTCAACATATGCTCTCAGAGACAGACTCGCTGTCCCTGTTGGGTTTTCTTGTCCCCTGGGACCGCCGTCTCAAGGCTTTTGGGGTCCATCAGAGCTACACGCATCAAGCAGGGCTTTTCCACACTAAGCCCAGGTCCCCCTCGCTCTTCCACTGTCTCACACACACACACGCACATGGACCACCTATTCTGCTCTGTCTCTTGCGTGTATATATGTCCTGAGGTCTGCCGAGCGAGCACCTTCAGTCCTCTAATCCTGTTAGTAGGAGACGGGGGAGTCATGAGGAAGGGGGAGGTGAGGTTCCGCTGATGTGGGGGGATAGAGGGTGAAGACAAGGGACAAGGGGGGAGTAAATGGGACACAAAGGCCCCCCCAGTCCTGCACCAGCTGGAGCACTGAGGCAAACGTGAGACCTGAATACCCCCTTTAACAACATACAGTATATTCATTCATTCACTCATTCATTCAGTCAGTCAGTCAGTCATATGTTGTGCTGCGTTTCTCAATGACCATAACATTTTCAGTGTTCAGGCTGTTCTTCACTCGAGTTGATGCATTATAACATAAACAGAGTTTTACTAAATAAAATTTTTTTTACAGACCTAACCTGTCTAGTGCCTCAACCCAAGACTTCCAGATCCCAGATCTCACTCAAAATTACTCAGCATCATATCTTAACATGAATGTGAAACAAGGTAAACACATAAACTGCCTGAGCGATTTTTAAAATGACCGACAATCAAGCCCAAAAGAACAAAATCTTGAACTTGACAATCTGTTTGTCTGCAGCTCTCACAGAGGAATAGTTTGAAGCGAAATGCTAACATTAGGATGTTTAAATGTTTATATTGACATGGCAAAGATGGAAAGACAGGCTTAATGTCTACTCTTCACATTTTTAAGCAAAGTTCACCAAATCCTGACAAATACCTTTTAAAAACTAACGTGTATGTGTTTACAAGAGTTACTGTCAAATTATCCGGGTTTACAATACGATATGAGACGATATGATGCGATGCCATGCAATATGCCACGCTATAATACAATATGATACAGTATGCTGCGATACCAACTAAAAATACTAAAATAGAAACTTAAGAGAGTCACACACCAAAAGCAACCTGAAAAACATTTAATGCAGATAACGTGCACATTTTGCACAAGATTTGCATGCTGGTTTGCACAGAGGAACTCTGTATCACCTGCTGAATGGTGGGAGGTCATACATAGTGCAATGGGTCAAGCAACCCTCTCTTGATTTTTCAACAGTGGATGAACACTGACCAGGAGTCTTTTAGACCTGACCGAACAAATTATAATCATCATAATCAGTTCAAAAATGCGCCAAAGTCTTTCTACAAGCAGAATCTGCATCCATGTAACATAGATAATATGTTATCCTTACCACCCTGCAAGTTTTACATCCGAACATGTCTACCATTAAACCCTACATGCAATAAACAAGAGAGATCATGGGGTGATAACATCTAAATTTGTCTCAACCCAAGATAAAAATAAAAACACAACCAGCCGGATCAGCCAATCAGCTGCAGATCCAAATCACAGGGCATAAACACAAACGGCCCCTGGCCAAGATGATTAATATTTCACTCCAGAAGAAAGTCCAGCTCTGAGCTCCATCTCATTGGTTTTCTGTCTGTCTTCCTGTTTCCTTTTGAAAACGGTTTTGCTCTTTATTCAGACACTCCTGTAGCCGTCATCACCATCACTGTCTCTTTGTCTTAATCAATCCCGGGAAAGTGGGATATTTTCGGCAGTTCAAAGTAAGTTCATGTTAAATTTGGAAACTGGGTTGGAAACTGTGTTCACATTTAAGTTTCAGGATACACTAAGACAGGAAACATTAACTTTCACTTGGTGCCATGAATGTCAGAGTGATCATAATAAACGCTGTGCCGTGCAAAATGCCTGGTAGCTGCATGACTTAAAGACAAAGCACACTAGGATGACCATATCCTGAATCCCCAAAAATAGGACACGACGACAAAAAGGTGGAGTCGCATGTGGTTAATTTTGAGAATTTTGGGTTGGATTTAATGTTTTTTACACGCTTCAATCTCAGTAAATCCACGCGACACAAACTCAAAACTTCCATACAAAAACCCTGGACATTTGAAGGATTTTATAAACTCCCTTGGACAAGGTCGGACAAGGTTGGACAGCCACGCAAAAAGGAGACATGATCAGGTAAAA